TACTGGGAGCCACCATGGACGCAAAGAATTCGTCCACAGCCTGGCCTCCTTCACCTAGAACAAGTTGGGAACTCTGCGGCTGGAACTTGGGGGCCTTCTTCGCAGGCTGGTACGAGCTGCCAAACGCCTCTTCATCGAAGTTGGAAATGCGGTCGCCAAGGTGATCCTGCGCAATCCGGTTCAACTCATCCATACGCCGTACGTGGCTTGCTTCCATACGACGCACGTGGCTCGCCTCCATCACGTTCGTGGAGTCAGCCGAGTGCAGGGCCCGGTTCGCGCGGACCATCTCGAACAGCTCATTCGTCGGACGGTTCATCAGGTCTTCGTCAAGGTCCGATGCGGAAGACCTGCGAGCAGAGGTGAGGTCGTCGATAGACATCGTGTTCGAGAACTCCGCCTTCGGTGAATGGTACTCTGGTACCGCGTCCTTCATGTCCTGCTGGGTAAACTCGGCTGAGCCGCGAGGTGAACCAATAGAACTGTCGCTGTCCTCGTCAGAATGCTGCTCCTCCACCTCAGAGAGTTTTCTCGAGGCTTGAAACTCATCATTGCCTGCATCTCCCTCGGCTTGGAGCTTAGGAGCAGTCTTCACGGACTGCTGCGAGCTGCCAAGCATCTCTTCATCGAAGTTGGAAATGCGGTCGCCAAGGTGATCCTGCGCAATCCGGTTCAACTCATCCATACGCCGTACGTGGCTTGCTTCCATACGACGCACGTGGCTCGCCTCCATCACGTTCGTGGAGTCAGCCGAGTGCAGGGCCCGGTTCGCGCGGACCATCTCGAACAGCTCATTCGTCGGACGGTTCATCAGGTCTTCGTCAAGGTCCGATGCGGAAGACCTGCGAGCAGAGGTGAGGTCGTCGATAGACATCGTGTTCGAGAACTCCGCCTTCGGTGAATGGTACTCCGGTACCGCGTCCTTCATGTCCTGCTGGGTAAACTCGGCTGAGCCGCGAGGTGAACCAATAGAACTGTCGCTGTCCTCGTCAGAATGCTGCTCCTCCACCTCAGAGAGTTTTCTCGAGGCTTGAAACTCATCATTGCCTGCATCTCCCTCGGCTTGGAGCTTAGGAGCAGTCTTCACGGACTGCTGCGAGCTGCCAAGCATCTCTTCATCGAAGTTGGAAATGCGGTCGCCAAGGTGATCCTGCGCAATCCGGTTCAACTCATCCATACGCCGTACGTGGCTTGCTTCCATACGACGCACGTGGCTCGCCTCCATCACGTTCGTGGAGTCAGCCGTTTGCAGGGCTCGGTTCGCGCGGACCATCTCGAACAGCTCATTCGTCGGACGGTTCATCAGGTCTTCGTCGAGGTCCGACACGGACGAATCGCGAGGTGAGGCGAGTTCATTCATGGACATCGTGTTCGAGAATTCTGCCTTTGGCGAATTGAACTCTGCTGAAACCGGACTTGAGGCATCACCAACGATCTTCTCAAAAGACTGTGACTTGAATTTACCCTTTGCTGGTGTCGTCGGCTCACCGCTCAGGCGGTAATTTGCATCAGCATCTTCCGGCTCGGACTCAGACCCAACACTCGACCGGTGTGCGCTCCGCTGTTCACTGCTGCGTGAAGTATCACTGAAAGGAGATGCTGCACGCACTTGCTCGCTTTCCCCCTCAATTGATGACTCGCTCACGCGATCTGCAGGCTTACCATCCTCCTGTTCATTGTCACGTTCCACAGACTCGTCGCTTAAACGGTACGTAGGCTTAGCATCTTCGTGTCCGCTCTCGTGATCCACAAATTCCTCACTCGGACGGTATGCTTGCGTAGCACCACCTTGATCGCTCTCCCGCTCCACCGATCCCTCACTAGGACGGTGTGCTTGCGTAGCACCACCTTGCTCGCTCTCGCGTTCCACGGATTCTTCGCTTGGACGGTATGTTTGGTCACGACCACCCTGTTCACTGTCGCGCTCTAGAGACTCCTCGCTCGGACGGGACGTTGACTTATCGTGCTCGCTTTCGTGCTTCACAGACTCCTCATCTAGACGATATGGACGGATACCACCCATGTTCTCAAACTTTTCAATCAGGACGTGTACTGGTTCAACATCATCAGATGCGCTGTCACGTGTGTGCTTCTGGATGTTCGCTTGGATAGCAGGCTCACGTGCATGCGTCTGGGTACTCGCTGGGGTAGCAGGCTCACGAGCGAGCTTCTGGGTATTCGCTTGGGTAGCAGGCTCACGCTTGAGCTTGGTGAGTCTCTCACTAGGCAGGATTGTCAAGTTAATATAACCACCCTGGCGTTCGTCGTTGATAGACTCTTTAATCGGTCGGTTTGCCGAGTTGACGTGTCCTTCATTCTGCCCTTGCTCATGCTTCACAGACTCATCACTCATGCGGTACGACGAGTCAGCGCCGTCTGACACACTCGAGCGATCACCCTCGGCAGACTGTTCGCTCATGCGGTAAGTCGAACCTGCAACCCCCGTTCCGTTTGCGGGCTCGTGTTCGATCGGCTTCTCACGCGATTGGTACGAGTGCATCGGTTGTCTTGGGTCGATGGGGTCGGTCGGCTTCTTAATCGCCCGGTACGCCGAGCTAGCATCAGTTGGCTCAAAGTCGTCGTCCTCATCCTCCATAGGGCCTTCGCTCAACCGGAACGAAGTGTCAGAATCATCCGGTCCCTCACTTTGCTCCTCGTCCTCTACATCCGGTACTTGATCCAGGTTCTCCGACGCAAACGGAATCGTGCCACTACGCTTTGTGCGTCCAAGAGGGCGAGATTCGAAGTCGAAATCAACATCATCAATGTCAACAGAGCTGGCAGAACTGATCGAGCTGATCGTGCTATCACCGAAGTGGTTTCCAGAAGAAAGGCTGATCGAGCTGTCGTGGAGACCGCCGAGAGTCGATACGCTGTCGCGAACGTTGTCCTCGTCGAAGTGATTCGCAGCTATTCTGGTAAGCTCCTCCATCCGCTTACGGTGTTCTTCTTGTCTCTTACGGAGTTCATCTGAAGGACGCGGTTCCTCGTCCGGAAGCTGATAGGGAGCCCGAGCTCTAATAGAGCTGATATGATGCGCCATACCTGCTGAAGATTGACTCGGTAAGTACTCATCGAATGACGATGACGAGTTTGATCCACCTTCGGCGCTTGGTCTTTCCATCATAGCAACGTGGTCTGCCGACTCGCCAGGAGTCTCCAGGATGGCGAAGCTGCTGGAGAACTTCGACTTGTCAACCGAAAGTTGAGACACGTCAAAAGCAAGGTCGTCCGGATGCGTCGACATCGGGGCATTGGAGAGCTGAGAGGCATCCAACCGCCGGCTACCACCAAACGAGGAACCGCTTCCTTTGCTCGACGTTTGAGATGAGTCCATGCGCCGACCACGGAATGAAGAGTTACTACCTTTGCTGTTCTGGAATCCAGACCGCTGGGAATTGAACATGAGGTCTTCGCTTCGGGCACCCGAGTTGGCGAAAGCACCATTCGATCGGTTCGACAAGAGCTGCCGACTGTTCCTGAAGTCGCTGCTGGCATCCGTTTGACGGCCAAACGAGCGGTTCGCGCGCTGGTTAAATGACCCGTTGAGCGGAAGCCGACGCCCTCGCATGCTAGGGGGTGCACCAGGAGGGGACCCCGGCGGTGGCCCAGGAGGAGATTCAGGCGGCGGCCCGATCGGAGATGCTGGGAGCCCAACCGGGGAGTGGGGAGGCGAATTGCGAGCGCTGCGGCGGAACTTGTCTTGATTTTTTGCCGCCGGCGGAGAGTGAGGCGGTGATCTTCGAGAACTGCGCGAGCTGCGAGCACTGCGACGGAATTTATCCTGTTGCTTCTTAGTCGCGGGCGGGGAGTGAGGCAGTGAATTGCGTGCGCTGCGGCGGAACGAATCCGACTGCTGTCTAGGGGCACTACCGCGGCTACCCTGGGAACGCACACCGCGTTGCGAACGTTGAGAGTTCTGCATGGAGGAGCGACTCGCGTCAGACGCCATCGATCGCCGCGCTGCTTTCTCCCTTGCAATCTCCTGCATTCGCTCAATCTCGCGCATTCTGTTCAAGTGTTCCTCTTCCAAGGACTTCAGTGCTGCTGTAGATTGCTCGCTTTCGGAGGTTGATTGGGGCGTTCGACGGCGGTTCCGGCGCATTTGCTCCAGAATTGCCGACGACCGGGTATTGCCGAAGCCTCGCGAGTCTCTTGAACTAGCCTGAGAAACCCGAGAGTCCTTGTTACTACTGATTGCTGCGGCGGCAAACCCCTTGCTTCGGGGAACTCTAGGGACGCGGTTCGACGAAGGCCTTCCATCATTCTCACGACGTCCTTCCTTCGGCGGCGGAGGTGTAAACATTTTACGAGCAGCAATACCCTTGGGCTTTCGGTCCTTGGGATTCCTGGAGTTATCCGTCTTCAGCGCACCAAGGTGCAAGGGGCTATCTTCTTCTTCGTCCTCGTTAACTTCTTCGGGCGGAGGAGAGAGTGGTGGTGGCGGGGGTGGCGAAGGGGGAAACTCGCTCTTGATCCCGTAGCGCGCCGAGCGAGCCTTGGCGAGGTTTTGGATCGACACTGTCTTGCTAGCGTGACTTGCATTCGGACTGATATCGTAACCTGTGCCTTGCGTTGCCTTGAAGTCCGACACCTGAGTCGAGTTGTAACCGGGGCCCTGGGTCGAGCTGAAGTCCGACACCTGGGTCGAGTTGTAATTCGGAGCCTGGGTCGAGTTGTAGTTAGTGCCCTGGGTCGAGTTATAGTCTGAACTCGAATTGTAGCTAGCATCGGGACTGATGGTGTATCCACGATGGCTGGTGGGCTCGTCTTCGGGGATAGGTGCTGCTGCATTGTACCTACCCGGTCGCTTAGCGGGCTCTTCATTGGCCGAGTATTGGCTTGCACCAAAATCGCTCCCATAGTTACTTGCACCATAGAAGTTACTGCTCGTTGTGGAGGCTTGAGGATCGTAAATGTACCCGTCCGTGGGCTTAACACTACTGGCCTGGTTCGAACCCATCGCACTGCTTGTGGCACTGTTTCCTCCGTGCCAGTACGAAGTGCTGGTGCCGCTCACGCCACTCACGAAACTTTCCTCGCTACCACCACCATCGTAATACTGACTGTCGTCGAGCTCACTGTTGGTACCGCCGAACTGACTTGACCCCTCGAAATGGCTCTCAAAATGGCTTTCAAAGTTGCTGCGCGAAGCACCAAAACGACTTGTTGCAACGGAATCGCGGCTTGCATCTGTGAAACGGGAAGCGGCAAACACGCTGTAGTCCGACTGCTCTTCGAGGCCGTCCTCGTCTCCGTCCTCGTCCATGCTGTCTTCATCTTCCTCGTGGTACATGTCCGGGTTATCTTGATCCTGCAAAATGTCCGAGTACCGGGTCTCATTCTGCCCCCGCCTCGGGTCAGCACCGCTGTGGGGATTCGGCAACGCTCCGACAGGCTCATACTCATCACCCGCCGACAAATGATTGCACTTGGTGCACACCCGCGTTTTCACGGGCCCGCGCTTGGTGGAGATCATCACCTGCGGGGCGCACGGCTGGCACACCACTTCACCGCACACACGACATCTCGTCTTCCGCACAAATAACGAGAACTTGCGCGAGCAATTGACGCACAGCGCTCGGGCTCGCTTGGGCATCAGGTCCTTCTTCTTGAGCAGAGTCTGCCGCCCCATTCTCGCCGTCTGGATCTCCCTGCTGATCGTCACGACGGACAAGATGCGCCGCTTGAGCGCCGAGTTCAGCAGGAAGTGCGGCAGGCGGTTGGTGCTCTTGAAGTTGATCTGCAGGCTGTGCATGACGTCCATGTATCCCTCTCTCTCGGCCTCCACGAACACGTACCCGGACTGGTACATGCTTCCTCTCACCACGCCGTCCAGCTCGGGGCAGCTGGGCAGCTTGATCGAGTGCATGCTCAGCACCCACCCCCTTCTACCTGACGCGTGACGGAACGTGTTCTGGCACTCGAGGTAGCAGTAGTCGCGCTCGCGCGAGAAGGCCGAGGGCCCCTCGTAGAGCTGGTACTTGGCCGAGACCCGGTAGAACGGGTTGTCCGGCCCGCCCTGCACGAGCGAGTAGAGCACGCCGCAGTCCAGCACGTCCTCCGCCTTCTTGGCCACCATGCGCGCCGTCGACTGCTGGTCGAAGTAGCTGGCCACCTCCTCGATCGTGCCCATCATGGTCGTGACGCCGCACAGGAACTCGGTGCCGGCCGTGCCCACGCGGTCGTAGCTGCCCTCGCCACGGTACATCTGGATGCCGCGGAACTTGCCCGTGTAGTGCCACTGCACGGGTCCGTCCAGCGTGTGCGCGTGGTCCACGAGCGCCACGGACGCCTCCTTGGCCTTGCGGATCATGTAGGCGCGCTCGCTGGCCGTGAGCGACTGGCCCTGCCAGGACTCCTCGCTGGACGCGCCGCTCTGCGCGCGCCGGCGGCTCAGAGTGCGCGCTCGGCCCATCGGTGCTGCAGAGTGATGGTCGTCCGGTCCCCAGCAAATGCGGAAATGAAGGCAGGAGATGTTTTCCTTTTGTGTAGATTGGGTTGTAGGATGGAAGTTTAAGGGAAAAGCGGAGACGGTTAGCACTAGCCTAAACGTTGCAACCCGGAGGGTGGAAAAAGAGAGAAGAAGGCAGGCAAGAGTTGCCGAAGTTACCTGCGCTTCGTCTTCGGGCGGCGACAGGAGACGGAAACGCCCACGTGTGTGGCGCCGTGAAAGTGTCGGTCTAGCTGCGGACTGCTGGCGGGGAGGATCGCCCGGCGCTGGAGCTGCGCTGCGCTGTCGTAGCGCTCTCGCTCTCTGCCTCTGCGGCCTCGTTCGTCTTATACGATGCTGCAGCACTGCCCCGAACCAGATGGCCACGCACGTCAAATTGCTGGCTACTTGGCGCCAAACTTGATCGGCCAATGGGCGGTGAGAATTGCACTAGTCGAGCGCTCCGATTGGCTGTGTAATGCAAATATTGCGCTTCCGGTCGGGTCGTCGGTATGCAACTTGTGAACTTGCGATCAAACGATTAGAACAACAGCGGCAACGAGCACCTGAAGTGGTCGGCGCTGACACTCTACTGATCAGCACTGCCGAGCTCGAAGTCGCCGCCTCATGGGGGTAAAGTGCCGCTACAGGGGCTATCCCTTCGCGTCCGTTAGCAAAACGATCATTATCTTGAAGAGTTGAAGAGCTATTCCATCCATCCATGCTCCGCCACCTTCTGGAAAGGCTGCCGTCAGCGCGGCCACCGAGACGGCTCTAAGGATCGACGATGCTCGTCGAAGTCGACAAACGTATCGACGACAGCAGCGGCGTGCGTAAAAGCAGACTTTAGTTAGCTTTACAGTACCGTGAAGAGAGTAACTTCTCCTCCTCTAGACTCATCGCCACCGGGGCCCCGCGCCATTGTTTAACGTCAGCAAGACGTTCATAGGGAAGAGAGGCCCCACTGGAGGAGAGTGAGCTCACGGTCCGACACTTGGCGTCGACGGGCACCACTCCCTTCAACGTGTGCCTGCTTGCGCGCGGTGAGGTGAGGTGTTGTTGCCAGCCACGGCTCTGCAGCCCCAACGAGTGGACAGCATTTGCGTGGCCGAGCGCACACCCGCCGCCACGCTTTCGCAGCCACTTTGCAGCGCAAATGGCCGTTTGTGCAGCGGAAAGCTGGGCCGAGTTCAGCTGGGTGGACTTGATTGCACCGCGGGCACGCACCACAATCGTTGCTTGCCGTCGTCGGTTTGTGGCCAAGTCGATCATTGTTTTAAACGAGCGTTTTAAACAATATCGCGCTGGTAAGTTGAAGTGAGCGTGTCCGCGGAGCCGGAACCTGCGATCCCCATTGCCCCAGAGCTGGGAGCGATTCGTCAGTGCTAAGATTTATTGTATTGCTGTATTGTTTGCTGGTGCGCTACGATGTTGGGTTACCCCCATTGAGGTATTCGATATTATCCTGTTTCATCCAGCTCTGGACGTTCAATTCACGCTCTTGGTATGAATGATATCTCCGATCTACTGTAGTTAGTCAACAAACTTTCTACTTCCGTGATGAATTAGGACTATAACACTCAAAGATAGATACTAACTCGCCGTCTCGTTCGTACTGCTTGGTGGTACCCATGGATCCCTCTCGGACAACACGCTGGAACTTATGATCTTCCAGGAATCGAGCGCTTTGGCTACGGCGGGGAACTCGCTTTGCGTTTTGTTGAGGAACAGCTCTACCACAATCTCATGCCCTTCCGGGCTAAAGTGCAACCCGTCCCACAGCAGCGCATTCCGTGTGGACGCGTTCATGGCGTTGAAGTACGAGTACAAGTCTAGCACGGGAATGTCGATTGCCTTGGCCGTTTCGACGCATGCACGAGCATACATCCCCGATCGGGCGTTGGATCGATCCACTACACCATTCCACTTCCCTGTATCCTCCTCTGCATGTTTGAGTTGGGCGGCGTCGTCAACGTGCGGTGGGGTGACCAACAGGATATCGGCGGCAGGGACCAGTGTCTGGAATCTGCGCACGATTTCAACCAGGTTCTCCTTGTACGAGTCGACCGGGACGTGCTTCTCTGCTCTGCTACCGTTCATTATGACGGCGTCATTGGTTCCGAACCAGATCGTGACTAGCGTTGGGGTGAACGTGTGGCTTTTGATTTCATCCTCGACGACTGGCATCGCGTACTTGAGCACCCACCTATAACATGCACAAACGGGTGAAACGTGTCGATAAAACACAACACAATGGCAGCGCATGTACCTTGTCGTGTAGCCCGACAGTCCGTGAGCGACGACATCGGCCGAACGTGACACCTTGTTCACCAGCAGCGGAATGTAGCCGCCCTTCGCTGGGTCGATAGCCTCCTCCGTGATCGAGTCGCCCAGGAAGAAGAACAGTGGCTTCGGTTGAAGCGTTGCGAGTTCCTGAGCGTTGTTGTCTGCGAATTTGTTGTCGGTGGAGATGTTAGATGCGGTGTTGTTGGATGCATCTGCCTCTTGAGGATATGTCTGCTCGGTGTCGGACTGTTGTGTCACGATGAGTGAGATCGTGAGCGCTGCTGCAACAACAAGCACCGCAAACACTGCAAGGCATGCCTTGCGCCAGTTCGAGAGATCACTCCAGTCTACGGTTCTCATTTCGGATCGAGGAGAGTTCGTCGGTGGTAAGAAGGGAGACTGGCGGTATGGATCTCTAGTGCTGGGCGTCATTTGCGCTTGGCTGTGCCAATTCGCAACTCGGCTTTCCTTCCTTCCATCCCGCGCGCTACACACGACGAAGTGGACACGTTGGACGCAACCAAAATAGCGTTAATAGGCTTTCTCCTGTAGGGGGAAAGGTCATCAGAAGCACGAGCTTCGATAAACGATGTCTCTTACTGTGACCCCTAAATACCGAGCACGTCCTCGCTGAAGCTACCAAAGTGTAGATAGATAACGCCTCAGTTTCCGCTGCTTACGCTGCATTCCTCGAGCTTTCCCACGGCTTGACCGAATTGCAGACTATTGCCGTTTCTTTTTGACACGATTCGTACTGGTAGGGTGAAGAGTTGGCAGCATTAACCAACGAAGAGCTCAATCTTCGCATCCTGGGCGTATTTCCCTTCCGTGCTACTTGGGGGAAATAATTCTGCATGCAATAACGGCAGATTCCGCGAACTCGTTGACTGGCAAAGGCGAAATGTATTGAGCATCAGTCTGGGTATTGAGGGTGGGAAGAGCAGCTAGAGAACGCATCACAAAGAGCCTCGAATCGATGGAAGACAACACCAAATTTGACCCGGTCAAGTGGAGAATGATACCACCAGCTATACTGACGGGGTCACAATCTGCTCGTTAAGAAGAAGCTTCTCGAGCGCGTTGGTGACCTGGACGGCATCCTCGGTCCCAGTCTCCAACATGAGAGCCGTAAACTGCTTCGACGAGTCTCCCTGCGTCGAAGCCGAATCGAAGTGCATCGGCACGTGACGCATGACCACCCTAAGCAGCGTTCCTGGCAGTGGAGAGCTCAATAAAGGGGTCGTCACGCACCACCCAGTCTCATCAGCGTGCATGCCAGTGAATAATCCTTCCCCCTCAGTGAACGAGCGCCACACGATCACCATCTTGCCGTCATCATCGTACCGCCGGCTCACAACATGTTGCAGTACCGACACGACCCGACTAGAGTTCAACTGAGCGGTGTTGCGGAATTTGAACGCCACGGTGTTGGGAATACCGTGGTAAACCTGTCGGTCTTCTTGGCGATGTAGCAGACGTCCTACCTCCCAAAGCGTATCGCTGGTCTCCTTGAAGCCGAAAGGCACGATCTGCTTGTCGACAAACATGTAGAAGCCTCCCTTGCCTTCCTCTCTCCACTGCTGTTTCGGGTCATCCCAGCCCGCAGTCGTCGTGTCCAATGCGCACGAGCTCAACACTGCATCGGTTTTGGCGTACATCGCGTCGAGTTCTTGCACGTAAGCCTCGTAGAAGGCCGCATCGGACGGTTCGATGCGTACTCTCTTGTGTCTATGGCGCGTGTCACCGTCCAGCAAGTTTTTGCTTTCCTTAGATGTAAGTTCGTGCATGAAGTCGCGGAGTTCGTGGATCAACGCAGCTTGAGAATCAATCGCCGTGAAAAATCGGCGCTGCTCCGCCTCGGCGCTCAGTCGAGCTTGCAATTGTCGCTTCGTCATCGATTCCCAGGACGCTGATAGCGTCGACTTGTTGCGCTCCTTCGCCTTCTGTAGGCCTTTTGACTGCACAGTGAGTTTTCCGACCTGCTGCTTGAGACTCTCCTTTTCCTGTCGCTGTCGCTCTCGATAGGCGCTGCGTCGCCTTCGATCCTTCGCTCGTTCCTGCTCGAGCTTCGCGGCAGCATCCGCGATGCTCAGTGTCTTTCCCCTTCCTCTTGATGCTCTGCCGAAGACTGTGCTGTCCGTTTGGTGTCGAGGCTCTTGCATGGAAGTTGCGGCCGCATCCAGTTCCCCCGAATCAAGAGCCTGGAGCGAAGGAAACGCCGGCAAGTCACATGAGAGCAGGAACTCTTCCACCTCGGCGAGGAACACCGCGTCGGGTTTGGGTGGCGCTGACATGGCCAAAGCAAAAATGAGAAGAAGTCGATTACGGACGCAGTGAGACCCACGTGATTTGATGTTTACGAGCGCTGCAACAAACAGCGCTCGCTGTGATACACAAAAGATTCGGTCATTATGATAAACGAGTGTGGGCTCTGACAAACAGCAGGTGAGCAGTTTGTTTTTCGTGCAGACAAAATTTCCTCGGTCTGCTCGTTCGTTGCTTGGAGAGTTCGTATCTGATGCAAGTCTCAAGTTCCGCAAACACGTCGTTTCTGGCAAACTGTGCATAACTTACCAAAAGTAAGAATATCACGATGCTCGCATGATCCCAGTTTCCGGGTCACGAACGGATATAGCCTCGCAAGGCTCCATCATTGTCGTCGTGAAGAGAAATTTCTCGTGTGCTCGTGCGATGCCAGCTCAATCCGCTTCAGACACCAGCTCCGCTGTTACCGCGTCGACAGCCAAACGCGGCGGTAATGGAGGAGATTCTCAGTCACTCGACTCACACGAGTACACGATCTGCATACTAGGAGACTGGACGCACATGAAGACGACGAAAGCAAAGCCGCACCCTGCAGATAACAGCGCTCATCCGTCCGCTGTGCACGAAATCGCAGCCGATTTTGACTCTCCAATCGTCCAAGTAAGTTGTGGCTCTGGCTGGAGTTGTCTGCTCTGTGAAGACGGCCGAGCGTATTCTTTCGGCGACAACACGTACGGACAACTGGGCCAAGGCCACGACCGACCTCACGTGACGGTGCCCATGCCGATGTCCGCTCCATTCTGTCTGCAACCACGAAGACGTATCTTACGTCTCTCGTGTGGGAATACCCATGGAGGATTCGTGTTGGATACTGGCGATCTGTACATGTTTGGCTGTGGGTCGTACGGCCGTCTTGGTACGGGCGATGAGAACAACACCAGCGTTGCTGCCATAGTGAGAATGAAGTGGTCGACGCTACTTGCTACTGGTCCTGGGCCAACCACCCACCGCAAGCCACAGAGCACCATAGTGACTGTCGAAGACGATGACGAAGTGCGGTTCACGGACGTGAGCTGCGGGGATCGACACACTTTGGCTCTAGCGATTCGGACTCAGGGAGGGAACTCCGACAGCAGACGCACGACGACGAAATCCAAGACGGGGATTATCTCCTTCGGCGATGGAATGAACGGCCGACTTGGTCTTGGAGACGAGAGAGACCGAAACGAAGGAGCGTTGTTGACAACGTGGTTAGCAGCCGCTAACGTACCTGGTGTCGGAATTGCAGGCAACAACGGGTGCATGACTCCTCCGACCATCACTGCAATATGCGCGGGTAGTACGCACAACCTGGCGTTATCAGCCACAGGAGACGTGTTCTCGTGGGGGAATGGCGTGGACGGACAGCTAGGACATGGCACTGCAGTGAGTGAGTGGGTTCCTCGACAAATCGCCTTTTTCAAGGATCTAGCAGTGACTGCGATAGGCTGCGGTACGGCGCATTCTACCGCGACATCTCGTACTGGATTCGTCTACACGTGGGGTCGAGGGGCTGAAGGGCAGCTTGGACTCGACTTGGAGGGAGATTCCACCGTTGATGTCGTTGACAACAGCGTGTGGGTCCCACACCCTGTGGGGATCCTCAAAGGCTCGGCCCACCGTGTCACCGTTCGCACGATGGTAGCGAAGCAGAATATGACGCTGGCGCTCGACGACCGCGACCGAATGTTTGTGTGGGGCGACAACGCTCTCGAGCAACTCGGACTCCCGCTGTCGGTTAACACGCAACACGGGACGAAATCCTTCCTGCCAAAGCCGAGATTACTCGCGTACATGGATCTTCGAGCACCCAAGACTGCATCGTGTGGTTCACCTTCTTCGTCTTTATCGCGCGTTTCGAGTCTGCGTGAACTCGTAGCGGCTGCCAAACCCGATCCAATTCGTCTCGGACTGGCCCATGTTGATGCAGGGGATCGATACACCATGCTGGTGTTTACCACTAAGCCCGGAATCAGCAGCTCCAGCAACTGCGAGGCTCGAGAAAGCACCTCTCGTACGTCACCTGAAGTCTCCCCGGAGCCAAACGGTGGTAATGACTCGGTGAGCAGGTGGAACTTTTCTCTCATGGACGAACTTTCACCGTCTGCTATTCCATCTCGACAACCTGCTTACTACCAGTTCATGGTGAACTACAGGGTCTACATTCGCCCCACTGTGGTAAAGGCAAGAGACGATGACGAAGAGAGCGAAGTGGATCGAGATCGAGAGTTGCAACGTCGATCCCCGCGTCGGAGGGAATGCAGGCGATCCACCTTCACTCGGAGGGGAAGTCTCACATCGAGCGCGAGTACTGCAGCCCCTGAGAATCGAGGCAGTATCACGAATAATGAGGATCGAGTGGATGATATTTGCGCTAGCAGCTCACCGGCACATGTTCAGGGGTTTGACTCGTGGCTGGATAAACGTCTGAACTCACCTTCGAAGACGGGCATGGCGGGGCATTCTTTCGCCAATACCCCACGATTTTCACCACAATCGTCGATGGAAGAAGAAACGAGAAATGCCTCGTATAACAGCAACAGTGTCAAGGACAACGAGTCACCAGCCAGTTTTCCGGTCAAGCCCCAGAAGCCGAAGAGCAGCTTTGGTCGGTGTCTTTCAGTCCGAAGACCGACGTCGTTCATCCGTGGACGTTCAAGTAGGAAGGCTGGACTGGCAGCTGGAGACAGCTCACCAACTAAACCGTCGAGTAACCAGGAGGCCTCACCGAAACAAAGCCAAGCCAAGAACAGCCCCTTAGTCATCGTTCCGTTCGGTTCATCAGTGGAATCTCGCTTTGGGCCGTCTTCATCACCCAGTTCCTCGTCAACGAATACTCCGATCTACCCCGAAAAGTGCTCGATTAGCGACCGAAGAGCGCCACAATTCACTATTGGAGGCGGCGCCGACCAGTTCTCGCTCATTGTCTCGCGCCGACTTCACCATGCAAAAGGACCTGGACCTGGGCCAGGCACGTACGACCGCTTTGGCGGTTAAGGATGCGTCTTGGGATATCCCGCTGTGCTTGCATTTGCAAGGTTACGATTGATAAAGAAGATATTCAGTGGCCGTCGAGACCACATTTGGGTCGAATATGCTTGGGCTTCCGACAACCACGTCAGTACGATATTGCCGGTTCGTTTCGACAACCCCGAGCTCACCAACTTGAAAGTTTTCTGTCGTCGTGATAGAAAGGTAATGAGATATTGGTAGCTATGTACTTCCTACGACTTTAATGTTCATTTCTTCTTGTCACAAGGCGCCGCTGAAAATTTCTTCGCTTGAACACTTCATGGCGTCCTACCCACTCCTCTTGGGTTTACTGGATTTGGCTCTGCATGTACTCGGTCATGCGGTTGGATGGACTTTCGCAAATGGAGTCTAACCAGCGCCAAGCTTCGAAAGAAACTGGTCAAGACAATTACTGAAGTAGGGTCTAGAGCGATTTTTATCAATTGCACATGTCAACCGTGTTTGTTTTTGTTCGTTCCGTTTATATGTGAGGTGCATCACAGTCATTGAGTTCCTAATGGCCTAGAAAATGATGTTTGTTTTTGTTTGAGATCAGGCAAAACCGAAATATACTCTGTACAGTGACCTCATGGATGGACGCTTTCGGTAATGCTGTTCCAACTTTTGACATCTCGGATGCCAACAAGCTTAACTCGATCTGCTTCTTGGCCCTTACCCCAGTCTGGAAAAATTGCCAATAGCCCCTCGCCTGTGATCTTGGAAAACTTGAAATCGGATAGTGCCCCTTTTTCAATGACGAAGAAAATCTCGAGCGTTTTGATCTCGAATGATGAAACCGAGAGAAGCAGAGACTTGAGAAACTTCTCGAAGTAGCGGATATGGAACGTGAGTAGTAGGTGGCAGCACGTTACACCGGCAGTTTTTTATTTTCATAATTTCTTACCGTAATTAACCACCGAGAACATTCCTGAAACCTTCTTTCGGGACAGCAGCGATTTCAACGACGCGACCTCTCAACCACCTGAGAGCTTGAGGAGGCGTCTGTTAGCGAGCGGGCAGCCGCGCGACCCTGTAGACGTGCAGGATCGCACATGCGAGGGTAAGACGAAACTCCTAATAATTACTGGCACATTACGACGTCATTTTCAGAAATAATTTATTTTTTTCAAAAAAATAAGAGGCTATCTATATAGATACCATACATACATCATGTCGAACACACTAACTTTCGGAAAATACAAGGTCAATCCATTGAGGATGTATTCAAGAATGATCCTGGATACTGTCGATGGATGCACAACCAACCAAGCCTTAACATTAGTGAGGATATCAAGATTTTCCTTCACTCCAAGTTTCTCAGCAACGATAATTCATATATGATGACATGGGGGAAGTATCGGGGTAAGACTCTCAAGCAGATTAGCCGAATGGATCCCGGATATATCGATTACCTACGCAAGAGCGAATTCGTGATTGAGAAGTGTCCTAAGCTACTCAAGGAGCTTAACTAAGAAAAAAATATTTTTTTTGTTAGCTAAAATGGGGTCTACAACCTATGCGGTTGAGAATTCTAAAATTTCGCCGGTTAGTCTATCGAACGTTAGTTCCTGTTCGCTGATCACGAGGACCAACAGATTTACGCCTTGACATCCAGCGTTGGTACCCTGAATCTGAATGGCTTGAGGTACATCACGCTCAGTCAGACGACTAACGTCAGCGATAAGGACACGGTTAGTTAGCGACCACGTCTGATAGTCAAGGAGACCATTAACTAATTCAGGTGTTAGATCACCATTGATCGAAGAGATCTTAGCCAACTCATTGTGGAAGTGATGGAAGTCATAATCATGGCTAATGTCGAACACCTGAGTAGAACCAATGCGCACGTTGAAGTTGCGAATCGAACTACCTGGGTGGAGTGTCCATGGAGAACTATCGAACGGAGATTGGAATTCCTGAACAGTAGCAGAAGCGAAATTACCAGTCTGTTCAGCAAAAGGGAGTACAACTACGTATTTCGCATTCTTAACACTTGCCGATAGCTGTAGATCAAAGGAAGCGTTATGCTGAGTCGATTGCTTTCCAATACCAGCCCGCTGATAGAACCACTGAGCGTAGCAATCGTTGTAGCGAACCTTCTTAACCGGCTTAGAAATGATAGCCTGAGGATTCTCAAGATGTACAAACGGTACATACAGGCGAGCCGTAGTGAAAGGCATATACGTTCCATCGATAGTAGGTTCAAGAGCATTGACTACAGCGCCCCAAGAGATACTGAATCCGGCAGAAGCAGCAAGCACTCCAGCCATGGGATTACCACTGGAAGAGGCAGCGACCATTACAGGACATACATTGCCCGAAGCAAGGGTAGTAGAAGTTAGAGACATACCCTTTGTAGAATCTACAGCGATAGTAGAAGTTCCCTGATTGACGCGGAAACGGAGACGAATCTGGGGATTAGCCATTAAATCAAGTTCCTTGAAGATAGGATGGAGATCGGATAGCTTGATCTTTAGCATGTAGTTCCATGTACCCATGATTGCGTTAGCAGTGGCAGCACCAGCTACAAATGCACCACGAGCAGTTTGGTTAGCAATGGTGGTAGAAGCAGCAGCTCCACCCACCGAAGGCCACGTCGAAGAGAAATCAACGCCAGCAGTAGGAGGGTTCGACAACAGACGCTTTACGAGACCGTCATTAGCAATTGTTGCTCCTCCAGCAGGAGTAGAAGTGGTGAAAGTTGAAGAAAAGGCAGCAGTGTTTGAATAGCCATCGCCGTTGAGGGAATTAGTTCCAGAGCTGTACGAGACGGACTGAGCAGCATCGGGGAACAAGAACGATTCCGCTCCCTGCTTCTCTACATATCCGGTCTGAGCGCGAACGTTGTTCCAAAAGAGCTTGTAGTCGGCCATCGATACGATGGTCTTACCATTTAGTTCAAGACTCAGGCTATCGATGACATTCCAGTTGCCACACTTTAGAGTAGCGCAGAAGCGGTTAGCAGGTAGAGTCTGACCAGTAGCACCATTCTTCATCGATACTTTGTATGGAAGCATAATGTAGGCATCACGGAGGCTCGCAAACCCTTCTGATCCATTCAGTTGAGCTGTTGCGTCAATAGTGATGACACCATTTTGATACGATCCCTGGTTGAGATCGATAACAAACGGTACACGCTTGCCCGATGATACCTTGATCTCCGGGTCGCTCTTGAGCGAGCTCTGGTACAAATATTGGTCGGATAATTGAGTTTCACTCATCGTTGAGATTCTATATGGGATGTAATATACTTTCTCAAAATTAATTATTATGGAGTTCATTAAACCAATCACATCTGATCATGACCTCATTGAACTTGCGAAAAAAATGAATATACATCTTGATGATATTTTTGAGTCAAGTGAGATAACAAAGCGGCTCCCAAAGAAAGGATCATATCTGATTTTGTTGAGGCAACCTAATATGGATGTAGGACATTGGACATGTGTTCATGATGGGGAGTATTTCGATAGTATGGGTGAGGCAGCCCCAACAAAGTATGGAGTCGGTAAATACAATCCAAAGCAATACCAAGGTACGTATGGTGATTATTGTGGGATATGGTGCATGCTGTGGCTCTATTCGAAACAATATCGTAAGCCAGATGTATTCAAAAATATGAAAGATTTAAATTTAACTATTCTTTAATTCAACGTATATAGCAAACATGTACCGCGAACTAACTATTTCAAGCGATATTCCTGCCCGAAAGCTTAGCAAAGCTTTCAAGACCGGTAAGCTTAGTCTTACATCAAACGAACTCAAGGGTAGCGGCTCTGTTATCCACCTTCATCCGACGTCTTATGAGAAAGCTATTAAGGCTCGTAAGGCTGGACGCGGTGTCAGACTTGACATTACCAAGCACGAAGTAAAGAAGGGATACAAGAGGGCTCAAGGAGGTTCTATTTGGTCCAAGGTGTGGGGAGGGATCAAGTCTGCTTTCAAATTCGCTAAAGATTCGGGAATCTTGAGCAAAGCCGTTGATGCTGCCGTTCCTGCGTTAGCAACGTATGCCGGTCAGCCAACGGCTGCCATCCCCGCGCGAGCTGCAATTAAGTCTCTAACAGGAATCGGTATTTACGACTCCGATAGCGACAAGGAGGGAGGACGTGTATCGATGGCTGACGTAAAGAAGGCTGCTAAGAATGCTCTTGGATATGCCAAACGTAGAGGAATCATCACTGATGCGGTCGATGCAGGAGAGAAGTTCCTACTATCAAAAGCTACCAAGCCTGAACATGAGGATCTAATCAGATCTATGCGAAAGGAGGTTCGTCGTCGTTATGGAGTAGGAGTAGCAAAGAAACGCCCAGCGAAGGGTTCGGCGGAAATGAAGGAGCGAATGGCAAAGCTACGAGCTATGCGAAAGAAGGGTAAGTCTGGAGGTTCTTTTACATTGTAAAAAAATTATCGAAGATTTATTTTTTTGGACGGATCAAGAGCATAATAGATACCGAAGTATCACGGAAAATGACCTTCTTGTCATTTTGATTGTATATGCTTAGCGTAATACTGGCACGAGATCCGTTATGACAGTTCATCCACGCATACTGACTCGGTTTGTATGAAATGACCTTTCCAATAGCGGCATCGCCTCTATCAAAAGCGCTGACAATATCGCCTGAGGCTACGTATTCGTTTTTGATAAGATCGCAACGGACGATGTAGGAACTGGTTGGATGGATCTGAGGAATGATATTAGAGAGCTGAGCACTTGCAACAGTAGCTGGAGAAGCAGGATATGACCCAAGCGTCAATCCTACTACTTTTCCGAATTCAGCATTATCGATGATCAATCGAGGGACACGAGTGGTAGTCGGCAATCCACTACCGCCCGAGGAATATAGACCTGTGGTAGGTCTTGTCCATGTACCCCCAGCTGTAGGTAGCGTTGTAGGTGTAGGAGAGAAATCAAGCTGACAAGCGTAATAGACGCTGTTAGCACTCATTTTGAGGTAGAATGTATTATTCCCAGACGGATCGATGAGATAGGCCCCAGCATTGACAAGAGCCGTCTGAATGCTCCGATTGATATCGTCGTAGGAGTAGATTCCATCAGGAAGGCTTAGATTGATTGTCGATGTAGTTGCAGCGGTAGGTACTTCGATTTTGAAGGTTGTGTTCTGAAATTGCATCGAATCAATGTTATACTCGGAGTTATACATTGAAATCGATTGAATAGCACATACTACATCGCGGAAGTCAGCGGCCGATCCGGGAAAAGAGTATTTCCAGGTTGAGTTGGTTCCATCCTGTACCAGATTGGTGCTATCGAGTTTGATAAAGCTGGACATATTGTTTTATATGAATGGAAGCATATTTTTTTATAAAATTAGTCCTCAATTCGAATCACTCTATCAAAGTTATACCTGATCTGACCCTTGACGGAATCTATGAAGAGCATTTGCCCCTTTCGCTCCGTAGCCTTGTTGTAGTAATAGACGATTGAACGATCATCTACTCCCTTGATATTGAAATCTTTCACAACCATCTGGAGATCACGCTTCGAATTCGCCTTTAGGATAGCTACATACTCTGAATTCAAGCGTATCATCTTATCCGTGGCAAAGTAGCTGTGGCTTAGGAATATCGTACTGAGCTTGAAGTGGCGACCTCTTGTATAGTAATGAGAGAACAAATTCTTCTGAAGTAGCTTATCGTTGCTGTAGTCATCTATGATGACGAGCTCAGGTTTATTGGAGTTGATTGGTGTATGACGAACCTGATCAACACTTGGAGGCGAATCAGGGTCGGCGAATGTGATAAAGCCATCCAGCTTGTCGCGAAGATATTCGTACAACTCCTGATGAGGATTACGGGCAATGATCGTTAGATGAGCGAATACGTGAGGAGAATGTTTGAGGATGTACATACATAGATTGTTCTTCCCACTGAACGATGGCCCCAGAACCACCATTCTAAACAACGCTTTAATGTCAAGCGCTGGAATATCACCCATCGATGCGCTTTTGAACTTTTTTGGGATTGAAGCCCCAAAATCAGGAATACCGCTCATGATTATCGTCTAATCTATATAGCTTTAGACAAAATGAGTTCTGGTTTTTCTTATCCTCAACCAACATTCACATCTTCAATCTATAACCCTGCATTCTACCTATCGTTGGATGCCAGTGGTTTTCTAACGTATGACTATGCTCAGACTCTTTATCTAAACAAGTATGACTATCGTTTGTCATACATTACCGGTATCTCTCAAGGAATTGCAACCCAAGGAGTAGCACTTGTCCCTGGATCTGGTGGTGATATCAGCGGCCTCGGGGCAATCAGCTGTAGTAGTCTGACTGTTAATGGATCAACTATTACAAGCGCTCCATCTTACGTTTTAGGAATTACGCCTGGTACCGCGGATCTAAACAAAGCATTGGTACTTGATGGATCGAAGAATGTTTCAGGAATCAGTTCATTATCAGCTTCGAGTCTTACAGGCACGCTACAAACCGCGGCTCAGACGAATATTACCTCAGTAGGTACGCTGAGCAATCTCACCCTGAATACGGGTGGGACAGGTCTATTCATTCCGAATCTCAAGTTCTGGGATGGCGTTAGTGCATGGGTTAACTTCAATCATGCTTACTTCCTTAACGTTATCGAGGGAGGAGCTTCCCCCAGTACCGCTGTCGTACTCAGTAGTACAAAGGATTACTCTGGAATTCGAGATCTAACAATATCGCGCAATTTTATAGCTTCAACTTCAATATCATCACCAACGCTGACATGTGATACGATTTCGAAAAGCGGCACTCAAACGATGAATGCAACTACCCTCAACATCAATCCTACCACTCTTCAAATCAAAGGAACAACCCTGAATGCTACTGGAGCGGAGCTGAACAAGCTTTCCGGATGTACAGCAACTACAAGCGAGTTGAATTATTTGGATTTGACTACTGGGGCAGGAACGGCTGAAGCATTGAAGGCACTCGTTCTAGACTCTAATAGCGCGTTGACAACAGGTATCACATCACTAACTTCGACCAATCTGATCTCAACGACGACCACTCAATGCCAAATTGCTGCTGGTACTTCATTTACATCGACAACGCGTGCGTCTGATTTCAACCTCATTATCCGAAATCAATCCAACACGGTTGGGGCTCAGGCTGGATTATCGTTCGTGATTGAAGGTACTAGTGATATGACTACGTATACACCATCTGTCAATCTATATTGTACCAGAACAGCTACTGCCGCTCAATATTCGATGGCCGATTTTGCAATTAGTACCAGAAGTGGTTGAAATGCTCTTAGTGCTATGACTGAACGCATGCGTATCACTCAACAGGGGTATATTAGATTCGGATCATCGTCATCGACCGCGAAAATTGATATTACATCAACCGCGAATTTACTAAGCGGATCGTGGCAGCGTGCAATGAGAATCGCTAATGATCAGGCAACGCCTATCGAATTCGAAGTTCAAATTTTCAATGATGTTGCTGGAGGTAGCAATGGAGTAGCTTTAGTGACCACTACAAGCGATCCTCTTAGGTTCATGGTTGGTAATACTACCAAAGCATATCTCAACGACTCTGGACGGTTGGGAGTTGGAAACACAAGCCCCGAAGCGACCATCCACAGTGGAGGAGAGGTATGGGCAAACAACTTCATGCATATCAAGGGTAATGGAGATGGTTTCGCTCGTTATCGATTCAATTGGAGCCAGACTGACTACCCAGCGATCGGAACTGACTCTACGGTCGGGGCGATCCGTCTAGGCAAATGCGATGGAAACTATAATTGGACAGCCTATGTTCCGGTGAGAGGTGGTTCATATACCAACGCATCAGATCAGAGATTGAAGAAGGATATAATCGATTTAGAATATGGAATAGATGCGGTCATGAGAATGCGACCAAAACGATTTAAAATGATTCAGGAGCAAACCTCACATGTTGGATTCATCGCGCAGGAAATGTATGAGGTTATACCGGAATCTGTTGATATCGGAGCAAACGATGATCTCAATGCTGATGGATTTCCAATCAATCCATGGGGTATAGATCTATCTAGCCTGACATCGGTTCTGTGCAAAGCGATTCAACAGCAGCAGCAACAAATCAAAGAACTCAAGCAAAAATTGGACTCAATTATATAGAATGGCTCCATTCAAGTTCCGACTATCAACTCGAAAAGGCAAAAAATATGATGCTGTTTTTACTGATGGGAGGGTTGTATCTTTTGGTGCTATTAAGCGGACTGGTGAGCCTTATCAACAGTATCGAGATCGCACATCGTTGAAAGCTTACAAAGACTACGATCATAACGATAAGGCTCGCCGAGAGAGCAACTACAAGAGGCATGGACCCCTTGACGAATCAAATCTATACACAGCCGATTGGTTCTCGAAAAAATATCTTTGGTAGAGTATATATATCATGGGTTGCGTACCAAGTAAAAGGCAGATCACAAAGGATTTGACAAATCCTGAAACTGGTCAAGTCATCGGCTCAATAACGATGCGCGATGGAGTAGTATCTACTGGTGATAATGCTTATATCCCCATGCGCAATGTCCACAACGGCAAGAATGCTATCATGGCTATCGATATCGGTGATAAAAAAATTAGAGTCTACCGTGAGAAACAAACAGAAGTATCTCTATAGAGCAAAGGTTTTCACGCTCTTCGACTTTTTTTTCGGCTGGTACGCCCATACCCGTCCACCTTCCGTTTGGGTAGCTGCTTCCACCTTCTTGATTGACTTATCGAGGTCAGTAGCCCATGCTGCTGCTTGGGTCTGTTGAGGTCGGTCATGGATGATTAGATTCTTCATGATGGACTTGAGCTCAGCAATGTTGAGATCGCTGTTGTCTCCATAGCTGCCGCCTGAACTGGCGATGATGCGGGGGTTGAAAAAGAACATAGCTATATTAGTCCGAAAATAAAAATGGCCCAAGCGATAATTAGAGTAGTAGGAAATTTCATAGTTTATAGTAATCGAGTGATAATTTCCTTGAACTCCTTATCATCAATCAGACGATTGCTGTACATATCCACCGTGAGAGACTTCAGCTGTTTGATGATGCTAGGATTATCGTTTTCTAGCTCTAATTCACCTTTCAGCTTGTCATACTCGGCGCGGAGCGTCGAAAGTGGATCCTCGAGCTTGTCGTGGAAGTTGTACTGGAGGTGAGTGATTGCTAGGATTTCCTTGAAAAGCTTCTTATCATCGATCGATAGCTTATCGTATGAGGCTTGATCAATTTGCTGCTTATAGACTAAGGTTCGGATCATTCCTTGGAGACTCTCACTGATTTGACATTTTGGACCACATTTTCGGCGATTCGGCTGTACAATGACCAGTGTTTTTGCATCAAGATCGGGAATTCTGATGTATTTGCTCCCAAGCTGCTTATAGGTATAGGCACTAGGTGTAGCTAATCCCTGGATCTCGTTGAGATTATAGGTACGACCTCGGCGAACCACACCTTCCAATGGAGCAACTCCTGCACCACTCAATCCTCGCCCCTTAAGCCCGCTACCTTGAGCTAAATGACGAAAGTGAGCACGGACATTAGCTCGGTCCACCCTTGCTCGAGCCGAATCGGGCATTGGATGATCATTGTACCTAATTTCATTGAGTTCTTGTGCTCTGGTTATATAATCACGTTTCTTAACCGTATACGCTGCCTTAGTAGCTTTTACAGCTGCTTTTGAAGCTCATACAGCGTCCTTATCGGCTTCTGAATTTGAGTTCTTTAAATCATGTAGATTCTTTTCCAGCTGACTGTAGGCTTCTCCGTATGCGCGATAGGCTTCTTCAGCCTCATCGTGTAGCTTTTGTAGCTGCTCGTCCTCATAGCCATCGTAACCTAGTGGGCTTTTAATGTCAGAAACGTTGCTGAAGATAGCTTCACGGAGTAGTTTGAGGTTATCATCAAGAATTTTCTCTAAATTCTTATCATCATTCTCCTTATCCATTTGAGTGTTTAGCGATAGCACCAATCCCTTATCCTTAACCATTGCTACGAATCGCTCGAGTGTGGCTATCCAATTGACTTCCATCTGAACAGCAGGGCGATGCTTATTAGTGTCGGTTCCAAATACATAGATTCGGAAATTGGCGTCAAGCCATAGATACCCCTCTTTATAAATTTTCCCGTCCTTGAGGATAGGATTGATTTGCTTATGAAGATGATTGGCTTCTAGCAAAGCACTATTTTGAATAATCAACCATGTAAGATTGTACTTGGCGTCGTCATCATCTAGCTTTGTAGAAGTAGATTTGTCCTTGTACTTTAAATCTAGTCTTGGCTCCTTAAGTGGAGTATCTGAGTCCTCAATATCATCATCACCTCTCCGCTTTCTATCTGATCGAGGTGGTTTGTCTTCCCTACGCATCGCATCAACTTCATCGATCGAGTTGCTTTCCCCATCGTAGAAAATATCGCGAATCTTTCCTTCAGTGGCAATCCAATCGATCAAGTCATATCTCTTGTATTTACGACCGCTACGCACTGAGCGGAGAGAACCCTTTTCACTAATTACTAGGTTTTGATCATCTCTACCAGTTTTCTTTTTCACTGGGTGAATACCAAGCGCCACCCAGTTAGGATTGTCCGTAAAGAACTTTTTAATCCATTCACGCGCATGAACTTGCTCCTCAATATCTCGAATAGAGGTGTCTGCCTTTTTCTCATTGAATATGTCAGTGTTTACACCAGTATCTGTCATTCTTGCACTATTATCAATTCCAACATCATTCATATCAGGTCTCACGTGGACCCAACCATCACTGGTTTGAGGCTTTGCTGTGGTCGAAGCATCACTTGTTTGAGGCTTAACAGTAGCTTCTGCATCGCTTGTTGAAGGTACTGCGCTAACACCAGCATCTACCATTAACGGATCAACATTTGGCATGGCTTCAGTTTTAGTTGATGTTGAGGACTCAGGGTTTTTCTGGGAGTTTTCAATTTTCAGCTTTTTTTTTAAGATTTCCGCGAGCGGAATTTTTAATTCATCAGGCGTTTCTTCGTCAGGTCCGACAGAAATATCAGTCTGTGTGGATTCAGCTGTTTTCTTAGTAACGGTGGTGATGCCCTTGATGATGTCACTAGCCCATGATGCGCCTTCGTACATCTGACGCTTGGAATTGGCTTGTCGAACCCGTCGTTGAGCTCTTTCGAGCAACTCTAGTCGCTTCTGCTCTCTTTGAGCAAGTGATGTAAAATTTGGAAACATATCGATCCTATATAGATGTTAGGCATAAAAAAATGAGTATTCGAATTACCAATAGCTCGGCATAACTGAGTCATGGCGGAAAGGTAGATACGAATGACAAATACAATTTCGTTCGTTTAATAGATTTAAATATCGGTCTTTAATACAATGGAATGGAACGCCAAAGATTTCCTCCAATTCGTGTCTGTATTTATGATTGACCACTGTCTTACGAAAATTCGCGCTTGCATCAAGATTCAGCAACTCATTTTTGATTCGACTTACCTCCTGAATGATCCACAGCTTTCGTCGGAGCTGTACAAGCTCACGTTGGTTCTCTACGCAGTTGGAACACATTCTTTTATCTATATGAAGTCATATATTTATGCAATCGTTTTCAAAAAAAAATTGATAGATATAGATGAGTCAAAGCTTACAGAGGATTGCTCTATTAAACTTATTTTGAAGCTAGTTCGACTCATTTTTTTATCGACTTCCAGTACTCATTCTCTAAGGTTGATCTCTTGTTCTTATTGACTAATCTAAGATTATCTTGTGGCTCCCAGGAGTCAAGTTCATTACCGAGCCATTTTATCAGATATTTGTACTTCCCAGTCCGTGTCTTCCTATGATCCAAGATCTTTTCCGTCTCAAGAATATCACCTCGATTAATAGTAGCATCTGTAGTCTCTGTTTTGACCAGTTTAAGATCGTTTGGAGCCTTGTAGAGGGTATGACCATTCTTTGAGCGGATTTGGACTCGGTAGCCATCAATTCCAACTATCATATAGACTGCATTGCTCCACCGAGCCGATTCCTTACCAAATGCATGCTTCTTGAGACGGTATAATACGCTTGATCCGACCTCAAACTCCTTCTCAATTCTATCGGCTTCTGCTTGATTATGACTCAGATCCGCATCCATTACTTTACCTTTGGCATCACTCGGGGTCATACCAATCGAACGATGAAACGTGCTATTGTAGTTTTCGATCACATCACCAATAAGCTTTTGCGTAATTCTATTGGGGGACATTTTAGTTAGTCTCTGCTTCAACGTTCTGTTAAATCGCTCGATTTTTCCCATAGTACCGTGATCACCTGGAGCGTTGTTGTAGTGTTCAATTTTTTTGGATTTGAAGTATGCTTGAGCCTGCGAGTTCATGAACTCGCTACCGTTATCGCTTGTAATGATATCCACTTTATGGAGTCGAACAAACGCTTTAAGCGCTGCTAACACAGTTGCTGCTGTCTTGTTCGATAAGACCTTAGCAAAGCCCAACCTCGAGTTGATATTGATAGCAGTCAAAATTGGTCGCTTCTCCCAAAACGCGAGGTCAATTTGCCAAGAGTTAGGGTTATGCGAAGCTATTTTGAACCCATCGTATCGCTTTTTCTGCTCCTGAAATCGCTGAATATCGCTCTGGTTTGAGAACCATTCCTTGACGATTTTCATTGTTATCTTCGGCTTTAGTTCTTTCGCCTTCTGGTACAAGGCTTGTGCCCCCACATAGCCCGTTTTGGGGTTATAGTATAATTTGGACAACAGCTGATCCATCGCTCTATATGGTTATAAAACAAAAAAAAATCCCCTGCCGGGTAGTTGCATATATGTCGAGCGGCTCGGTGGTGATACCATCCGCAAGTACACGACGCTTGTCATAGTAGTAATTTAGAGCTGTTTTAGTCTGGCTGTACGTAATTATTGACTTACTCTCCTTACTGAGTCTAAACCCCTTGTTGGTACCCTGTAGCGTGATGCGATCGCGAACAACTGATTCAAAGCCATCTGGGTTGAGGACGTCGCCATTGCGTCCAGCACTCTGCTGGACTCCCTTCGCTGAAACCTTGACCTTGTAAGATTCATCTGGTAGGTAGCAAATGTAGTTCTTAGAGGACAATGATACCATAGCATCACCAGACCACTCTTCCTTAAATAAACCAGGGGTTCGACGGTCAAACTTGGCTACAGTCTCATTATAGTCGCGCGGGAACCACTCATACTTGTGCTGCTGAAAATGCTCACGAAGCTCAGGCTTGATGCACTCCTCAAATGGCTTTTCACAGCTGAAAGCGATGTAGCCAGAGTCGGTGTCCATCTCCTGATACTGAAAATTTGAGCGGTCGAAGTAGAAGTCAATACAATCGTAGTAGAACTCAAGCATGCGGAGCTTAGCGAGCTGATAGATTGCAATTGAGAGATGAATTGGGTTCTTGTTGTTGAGCTTTCTCTTCTTCACTGTGAATTCACATGAATCATTCAACTCTTCCATTCCATGGAAGGTGAAGTGCTCAATCTTTGATTTAATTGCCTTCTCATCCGACTCATACTTGACCTCCTTATGCTTGCTCATGTCCATGCCACTGCGACCGAACGCTGAATTACCTACTAGTTTCATCATCTCAGCAATCATGGCCTTAGACTTATCGGCATCACCTTCCCGTCGCGCGTTCGATACGGCTTCCATGAATGGAGCAAACGCCTTGTGAGAGCTAGCCCTGATGAAGCTGTAAGTCTTGGTGATCTCCATGCCATGAGAAATGTACCATTTGAGTAGCGGTGCATAAATGAGGATCTTCTCACCAAAGTAGCTCCCGATGAGTTTGCGAGCCGGCTTTGCTCAGCTTTGCTTGCACCCCTCGTTGTACTCGAACATATGCTGACCGATGACACTCCGATCGCTGCAGTCGATAAGGGTGTTCTTGAAAATTGGGGTCATTTCACTGAAATAGGGTTTGAGATGCTCTGGTGTACGGATATCACACTCTAGGAAGCCAAAGATCTTGCCATTTACAATATCATCGACGATCCCTGTGTATGCCTCGATGGTGGTCAACCGTCCACATGGCATCTCGTTACCAAGAGCCCACAAATACAGAGCATTAGCATCGTAGCCGATGATTTTTTTGCAGATCTTACCCCCTCGAATCTTGGTCTCGTTGCGTTTCGCGTATCTGTTGAAAATGATAGAAGGGCCACCAGCAATGTTCGCCTTCATCTTGGTGTAGATGTCCTTCTCCTCTCTATCGATACTGTACACCAACCTGTCTGAGTTGAATTCAAGTAGCTTCTTGTGGCGGAAGCCCTTGAGCGACATGTTCTTGCGAGCAACGTTGCATCCAACACAGCTGATCAAGATATTGCCATCAATGTGTCCGAGCTTGTTGTTGATTCGGTCAGCCGAGGCAGTATCAGCTGTGAGTTGCTTATAGCATAGACCACACAGGTACTTTTGACGCTCTAGCAGCTCATCCAGGTGTTGTATGGTCATACCGAACTCGCGGTCAGCCTTCTCATCTTGCTCGATGTAGCCTAGGTAGCGCTGCTCAGGGAAGTCGAATGCCTTAGCTGGGACTCTAGGTTGCTTAACAAGTTTGGAGAAGCACGTCTGATACATGACTTTCTCAGAGAGACCAGGTAGCGACACACCATCAGCGAACATATCAAGTTCGAAACGTTTGAATAGTTCTCGCTGGGCTTTGATGGCCTTGATGAAGGGGACTACATCGAGGTTGTTGTACCAAATTAGTAGATCCTTGATTGACTTCATGCCATAGTGCCCCCATACGAACTGTACCCGCGCAAAGTCCTCATCACTGATGCTAGTGCTACGGAGAGTGCTGTCGAATGCTGACTTAGGAGGGACTTCCGACTGACTGAGTACGTCAAATGACGTAATGTACTCGTACGGGAAGATACCTTTTCCTAGGCCACAGACGTATCGAATCTTGTCATCACACTTGCACTCACCGAGATATGTCGACAAGTACTTCGCATAGCTGGTGCCTGCCGGAACATAGTTGCTAATGTCAAGCATCTTCATGTCTGACGTGGCGATGCACATGTAGCTAGGGTTCTTGATGACTGATGTGATGTTGTCAGTACCGATGACTGCAAACAGGTCCGCCTTGATAAGATTGATGTCGTATCGTCCAGAGTTGAATCCGAGTACTGGTACCTGATCAATGCACTGCTTCAGGTTTCCATAGTCAGAGCGCTTCTTACCGAATGTGAGCTTGCTGTGGAGATCGAAGAAACTAGCAAAATCTCCGTTCTGAATCCAAGCATTGACATCTTCCATCTTGTACGTCTTACCCAAGTCTAGGCCAGGAACCTCAGCGTCAGTCAAACCATGGACGTTGATGATCTTGTGTAGCAAAGTCTCATACTTCGAGACGTTGTACCGCTGAATCTTAGCCGCAACTTCCTCGATGTACTGGAACATATCCTTGAGCAACTCCTTTGGATCATCGCTGACAAAGCATCGCACCTCCTCAGTCAAGCTGTTGGCTACGGAAACAGACACAGGGATGTGTTCGTTTGTGAAGATAGTATTCTCTCCGTGTTTGACACCCGTAGGCTTGAGGATAGCCTCAAAATCATATACAATGAAGTGATCAATGTAATGGTCAGCATCCTCGATGGAGTACTTAGTCAGTATGGAACGAATGCTATTCGGAGCGGGTTGGTAGATGGTTGGCTGAGCTGGGAACGATTCGATGTTCACGAGTTCACACTGGTTCTTGGTGTGGTTGCGTAGCTTATCAGAGCTGACAAACACCATCTCACACTTAGAGCATTGGTACTTCTGCTGGAGCATATCAATGTTCGTGATGTAGAGAGCGTGATTCTCGTGCGACAGGATGTTGATCGAATCATAGTCCTTGTCCGAGCGGCGAATGCATTCAACCTTGCCCGTCTCAACATCCATGGTGAAGACGTTGATGTTCAGCTTGAAGCACTCCTCAAGCTCATCGAATTGGAGAATATCGATAGGCTTGAAATTGCGGAACAGGCCCAGAGTGTAGGTGATCTCCTTGTACGAACAGTACTGCTTGAAGGCTTGTTTCACCAGAGCCTGGATTCTGCGTGGATCCTTCTTCGCCCCCTCCTGCTTGTGATAAGCAATGCAGTGGAAGACACACTTGTTATTCGTCTTGGGGAAGTTGATGACGTGCTTGTTATCGCGGATCACCTTAGGAATGACAGCCTCACTATCGCCCAGCGCATGGTCGCGCTGGTAGATATAGATTTTGAAGCCAGTAATACCCTTCACCATGTACCCGGATCTGGGGTAGTTGAGCTTGTCAGCCAACTCCATGGAGCGAATCTCCGAGATCACCTTCTTACGAATATCAGCCTTGCTGTTGATAGCCACAGGAGTGCTAAATACAGATGTGTTGCTAATATTCGGGTGGAAGTAGCGAGTCTCGCTGTCATCGGTTCTGCTGACAAGCTTGTATCCAAGAGCGATGTTGACCTTGAAGGCAGACTTCTGGGTTGCAAGCACGTTCTCAAGCTTGTCGTAGAAGTCAGCAGGCTGGATTCCCTCATATAGGTGCGACTCCATGTAATTGCCTTGGTAGATGCGGTACTTACTGTCTTCCTTGAAATCAGCAGCCAAATTCTTTTGGAGCTTGCCTAGACTGATCTTGTACTGCTTCGCTACCAATTTTTGGTTAATGGGGTGGGAAATGTTGCTAATGTATACCATGCGCCCCGTCTTGCCACGTACCTTAATACGGTAGCTGCTACCCCATCGGATTGGGTTAATATTTAATCTCTTAAGACCTTCAAGCTCGTATGCGAACATTGCTATATATCGGTGGCTATATTATTCTCCGAAAAAACGACTTTATAATATTGGGTCTTGTATCAGGATTGACTTTATATCATAGGCGACTTTTTATCCGAGGAAAAAAATTAATTAATTAATTAAGTTCGGTTTCATTATTAAGTTCGACTTCACCATCAATAAGTTCGGTTTTGGGTTTACGCTTGCGAGCTCGAATCTGGTCTCTATTCTTGTCATCGTAGTCTTTTTGATAAGATAAACGGGCTTCGCGTGTGCGCTGGTAGTAGCGCTTCTGCGCTGCTTTGATTCGTTCCTTGCTAGCTTGGTATTGCTCAGGAGAGTACGCCATCTTTGTATATTACTAACTTTATATTTATCAGGATCAAAGTATGTCAAGAAATCAAATACTACTTCGAAGTATTTAACTCGGGAGCCACATTATTCCATTCAATCGACCGCAGGAGTCATATCCCAATAGCTTCTCCAACGCTCCGCAGTATCGTCGTGCTTCCACCTCATGCACAAACAAAATGTTTCTGGATCCTCCACGTGAACAAACGTCTTCATCATGAGCGGATCGTTCGTCGTGGTTGATCCTTCTTTCAAACGACTGAAAACGCCATCTGTGCACTGAGCATCCAGAACCTTCACGAAGACCTCGACCTACACGCAAATGTCAGTAAACTTACACACACCAGAACTACGCGCTCACACAGTACCTTGCGTCTGTTGCCAATGGATTGATTCTCTTCAACAGATCCGGGTAGCATGTTGACGATGGGAACCTCAATGCCCATACCGTCGAACCAACCATGCATATCGCGAGAAAGCGCAAGCCTGTTGTTTGAGTCGCGATCGTACTTGGCGAATTCCCGTTTGTGGTCTCTGCTTTGCTTTTTCGACACCAAATGGCAGCTTTCTGCCTTGCCGTACGGTAGGAAGAACTTCTCGTGCTCAATCCGCTGAAAACGAAACTCGTCAGTCGATGAGTCCAGATTCGAAACGCTTGTAGTCAACGATATCGATGAAACTGTGTTTTGAGGAGATTCCGAATCGTCTGGAACGTAGTCGCAGTAGAAGACGCGCTGGAGATCAGTAGACACAGCGTTAGCTGGTGCAACACGCGTCTCAACAACCTGGTCAGTTAACGGAGAGCCCAGCGTTTGTGGCCCAGTCCTTAAGTCAGTTTCGAACAGCAAAGCAGCATCTTCTATAAAAGAAACAGAGTTAGCCCTCAATGAAGCAGTATTACGATGCAGCGACAGCATATAGAAGCACGTACTTGTCTCGAATAAAACATGAAAACACAATTTCTTGTCTTCATACCAAAACGCGACATTCTTGTTGCCGATGCAGCGCGTAGGATCGTAGTATCCAATGCGTAACGTCGCCATCCAGTACAGTTTGCAGCGAATCCCTTTCGTGTTCAGCGCGTTGTCAACGGATCCAGTGACAAGCCACAATCCAGTTTGTGCGTGTTCTTGCTCCGGAACCACCACCAGCACGTGAACTTGTCCTTCACCCGGTTGAAAATTATCGCCAAAGTGCTTGGGGTTCTTGATCCACAGGGTGGGATCCATCTGCCCGAAGCCTTGCGGGTATCCACGTTCATCGAGCGCCACAGATGCCGCGCCAGCTCTATCCAGCCACACGCCGCCCTCCGTCTTCGCCAGGAAGAGCTGCAGCTCGTCAGCAGGGAACTGGTACATCTTCTTCTCCTTGATCGCGTCCTTCAAGTCATCCACCGAGTCGCTCTCGTCCACTCGCACCGAAAACGCGCTGCCCGCCGCACCAACGATCGCACAGAAGAGCTTCACCATCTTTCCTCGAGCCGGCAGATTCTGGAATGAGGAAGAAGGAAGAAGGGAGGGAGAATTTCTGGCGTACTTAAGCGGACATGAAGGTGTGTGACATAGATTTTCAACCAGCGTTGGTCCTTGGCTACATATTGCTTTTTTATCAATATAGTTAGAACGTTGTCGGTCGAGCGGTCCCGAAATGCCCTAAGAAACAAAAGACGTGGCTCTCGCTATAAGGTGGTCGAGAGGTTGCGTCGTCAAAATAGCAGCTGCTAGATCTCAGTACTTGAGCGGTTCTAAGACTACCCTAAGATCCAAAAGACGTGGCTTTCACTCTCAGGTGGTCGAGAGGTCGTACCCGTAAAACGAACGTCTACCCCAAAGATCGTTCTAGCACCGTTCTCGGTTGTAAATTACGGTAAGAAATTATGAAAATAAAAAACTGCCGGCGTAATGTGCCAGTACCTACTACTAACGTGTGAGTGTGCCCCCGCGTTACTTGTACGAAGCGAACGAGGTTGCTGGTCATGTCAATGTAGACAGCATCGTAGCCCCCTTGATTGTACTTTCGCGGTTTCAGCCAGCAGATTGTCGGCAACCTCGGTAGGTTCAGCGGGTCGACAACCTGGATCTGTTCTTCCGGCCAAGTAATCCTTTGATCGCCATCGTACAGAGTCACACCTCCCTAGCGGATGCAAGCGAAAAAATACATCTCCAATATCCACCCTTCCATTGCAGCATTTATGTCTTCCCCAAGGACAGACACAAGTTTCTTGATCAGTGCAGGACCGCCCACCCTAGCTGCTGCAACGCCAGCATATCCACTGATTATCCCTGGTTGCGCAGCACCCCGAAATCGACAATACAATCGATTAATGGCATCACGTGAACGATCACCGACAGTACCCATTGCTGCCGGCTCGGCATTCGGTATAGAAGCGACAGCCATGTCGAGGTTCGAGACAACATTCGCTGTAGGAAAGCCGAACATGTACCGAGCACTTCCTCCAGTAAAATAGTACTTAGATCTCACAAGCGACTGCCGCCAAATGTCTGTGGCATCCAAACCTTTACTCGCCCCACCATCATGAGATGATTCCACATCCATCTCCCAGTCAGATTCAGCATCATTGGAAGCATCCAAGTGGGGTTTCACGCTTTGAAAAAGTTCACCATCCTGGACTGGTTGCCTTTATTTTGGTTCTTATGCAGATCAGGTCTAGGATTTGAACATGCTGATTATGAGACCGAATCCGTAGACCTGAACCAAACAACCACAGCAGTGGAACATGGCACGACGATCCATCTCCATGCTCCGTTCAACTACCTAGATATGTGTCCTACTAAGTATGTTGCAGATAAAGGTGGTCTATATGACTGGTTACTCGAATGAGCAGACATTGTGCAGTAGCATTCTCCGATGTATCACTATCACTGCTAGTAATTTCTAACTGTAAGTTCGTGCATGTACCGGTATCTGCATCTATCTCTTCCGAGTTTCTACCCACAGCAAAACGCACTAGCGGTAACCTTACATGTGCTGGACATTCTTCTACGTTGGTAAGATGTACAACTGTAGAATGCAAAAAAAGAAAATTGTGGGAAACAACACAAAGTCCACAAGGCACCAATAGGTGTACACCCAGTAACTGGGATACCCAGTTGCTTTGCTTGGGGCGTAGTAAAGTACCGTAGCCGAAGTGCGCAACGTTGCTGAAGAAGCTGTGCCAGTAATGTCAAGGACGCATAACACATTGTATAACCTCGCAGCAATACAGTGTTCGAAGCAATTGTATTCGAATCGGCATGAAAACTACGCAGACTTGACTCCGTTCCTAATGGTCTGTCTGTCTGTCTCGCCTGCAGTACCTACCGTCCTAGCGCTTCCAAGTCTTACTCTTTGAGTCAGGCAACTTGCATGGGAAAAGTGGCGAGCGCGGCACGACCGAGAGCCCGCGGCAAGTGTGGACCGAGATCTTGCGGTGCCGTCCAGGTCCACGGCGGTGACGGAAGCCTGGCGCCTCCAGCTCCACGACCGTCGTACGCTTGGGATTCTTGTGCATGGACTTGGTCAGCACAATGTCGAGCACGTAGTCCTTCAGGTACACGTTCTGTCAGAGAGTCAGCGGGCCGGTGCTCATCTGATCAAGTCCGCGCGGCGGGTGTGCTTCGTGTCATCAGCGCCTAAAAGCAAGACAGGGGAATTCAGACATGACGTTTTCCCAGTTAGTCACACGTTTGATCAAGAACGATGGCGAATTCGGAGCACACTTACGTTCAGTGTTCTTGAGGTGTCCAGGCAGCACGCCATGCCACGATAGCAGCATGCTCTTGTCGTTGTCTTTCCGAGGGTCTCGTAGCATGTACCCCATCACAGCGCTGGCATCGCCCACAGGCTCGGGTGGCATCAGCACCTCGAGATGCGCTCCGCCGCGCGTAGAGCTCTTGATCACAAGATGCGCGGCCAGTCGTCGTCGTCGGCGATACACAGCGGGCGTGTCCGCGTCCTCCTTCTCCTTGAAACGCAGCCGCCGTCTCGTGCCCAACGGCGACTTCTCCGATGGCAAGTCTGCGGAGGTCGTGCGAGCTTTCCGTAGGCGCACCGCAGGCTGCTGCTGCTGCATCTGCATCCCCCAGCTCACAAAGCTCGCTGGGGTTGCCGGCAGGTGGGGAGGGAGCTCACTGCATGACGTGCTGGACCGTTGGGTCTGGATGTCGGAGGACCTCTGTGTCTTATGCTCGTGTCCGAAGTAGCTAGTGTATTTATACAATGCATGTAGGATCAATGTGGTCGCTGGGCTTGGCACTGAGAAGAGAACCATCCACTTCTGAATCTCCTTCTCCTCTCCAAGCTCCAGCAACCAAGCTCCCGGAGCCTTAGGCCCCGCCATCCAGCGTTCCAACCTTCCTACTGTGCCCGTGGCAATGCGCAACAACCGACAGGTTATGAGCCCAAACAGGGTCTCTAGTCGGCTCCAGGACTCGCATGGAGAGGACGCTCAGAATGGTACCAAGAATCGTCGGGATGACAGTTCTGAAGACGAAGATCGTCCAAGTGACTCATCTCCGTCGTCACCTGCGCCCTCGGCAACGTCGCGGAGCGACGGGGCGAGCTCGATCTCGAGCTCGTCTAGCTCGGACTGCTCTGAGTCCGACTCGAGCTCGTCCAACTCCGACTCTGACTCGGCGAGTTCGGATGAGGGGGGGGGGCTCTAAGCGAAAGCGCTCCAGCAAGAAGAAGCGCTCCTCGAAGAAGAAGAAGAGGAGTCGCTCCTCTCGGTTGGACAGCCCCAGCCTGGAAGTCCCCAAGCTGACTGGCGCCGACGACTACGAGCTTTGGCGCACAATGATCGAGTTAAAACTCAAGGTTCAAAAGCTGTGGTCCCTAGTGACCGAGGAAGTGGTGCTCGACAGCTCTTGGAGCTCCGCCAAGAAGCGTCGCTGGAAAGAGCGTTGGCTCAAAGCCCAAGCTGTTATCGCTGGGTCGCTTGGCCCCCGATTGGCTGGTCGTTACAGGCGACTGTCGGTGAGCTGCGACCCTGTGGCTCTATTCCAGGAGATCGATAAAGAGTACAATGCGGGCAGCGCCGCAAAGAACGACATCCTGACCAAGGCCGCAATGTTTGTGCGCAAGCTGGCCAAGGGGGAGCGCGTAGACACCTACATCGACGCGATCATGCAGCTACAAGAGGATCTCGTGACGCTTGGCCATCCGCTTGATGACGCTGAACTTGCTCGACTACTCCTTACCAATGCGCTTGAGGTATTCCCCGACCTCAGCACGGAGCTAGTGGGTGCAAGAATGAAGGCCAGGGAGCTCGAGGTTGGTAAAGTGCGTGGGCGGCTTTTGGCGCGAGAGCAGGAAGAGAATATGCGTGCTCCGGCCGGAGGCATCGTGGTTCGCAACGCTTCGAGTGATTCTGGTTCTCGCAGTGTCCAGTCTGACTCAAATCCAGTATACCAGTTTTCTTCTGGGCACAGCCACAGCAGCAAGAATTTCGATCGCCATGGAGGGGGTCATCGGCAGAATCAGAACCGAGCGCATCAGAGCCGACGCCACTCTGAGAAGGCCGCCATGCAACGCCGGCCGTGCTCCAAGTGCGGTAAACTTGGTCACTGGTATCGCGACTGCTGGCAGAAGACAAGCCAAGATGCAAGCAATCGTCCTCCGAGCAAAGGCGGTCAAGGTTCGTCGGCTCGGGCAGGTGGGCAAAGCGGTAGACGGCACGATGTTACGGGGCCGACGGCGCTGATGGCAACCTTCGGCGGTGCGGCCACGAAGTGGCCTCTGACGTGGTTGAGTGGTGTCTTGACAGTGCGGCGACTGCCAATGTCTGCAACGATCTCTCTCACTTTGTGCACATATTAACTATAAGGAACGGCCCCGAAATGCTGTGTGCCAATGGCGGCACGGTAAGCATTAATCAAGTCGGCAGTGTGGAGCTCAGGATCGTGAACGAAGTCACTGGCAGGCAGGAGACGCGCATTCTCTCCGATGTGTACTATGTGCCCGATGCTCCTGCGAACTTACTCTCGCAGGGCTACATGCAGACGGAGCTCAACTACTTCGTCAAGATGTCCGCCGATCAATCGGTCTGCTTCCTGACCAAGAAAGGAACAAGGCTCAAGTTCGTCAAAGTCAATCGGTTGTATCGCATTTGGTCGGTGAGAGACCAAGTGCGAGAGCAAGCCGTTGTATACAGCGCTATTGTGACCCCGAAGAAGTCGGTGCCGTTGGCGGTGTGGCACACACGCGAGTGCCACGACTATCGTCGACATGGGCAAGCAGAAGGTGGTAAGAGGACTACAGATCAGCACAAGCGGAGCGGAGGCTGCGCCAACGTGTCTTCCCTGTATGCACGGGAAAAAGCTGCGGATGTCATATCCTGAGCGACGACAGCACGCACAACGACCGCTTCAACGCCTTCAAGTGGACGTCTGCTGTGTGAACGAGCCCACACTCGATGGGTGTACCTCCTTCTTACTTGTGGTCGATGAGTTCAGCCGATGCAAATGGCTCTTCCTGCTAAGGCAGAAGAGTGAAGCGAAGAACCACATTGCGGCACTTGTTAATCGCCTGCACGTCAAATATCGCGAACGGAATTGGCGTGTGGAAGAAATCCACTCGGATCAGGTGGCGAATTTGACAACAACGACATTCTCGACTTCTGTGCTGAAGAGGGTATCGAGCTGACGACAACCAACGCGTACACCCCCCAAGAGAACGGTATCGTCGAGCGCGCCAATGGGATCGTGCGGCAAGGTCCGTGCACTCCTCCACATGACCAACCTACCCGATCTGCTGTGGGGTGAAGCTGCTCTTCACGTCGTCTACACGTTGAATGTCACGGCGACCCGAGTGCTCGATGGTCTGACACCCCACGAGAAATTGTCTGGTGATTCGCCTGACGTGTCGTGCCTAAGAACGTGGGGGAGTCTCTGCTACTATCACATCGCTAGTGGAGCGCGGTCCAAGAAGAAAAAGCTCTCGTCCAGAATGGGCACTGCGATTTTGGTGGGTTATTCCCCAACGACTCATGTCTATAAGGTTTTAGACCTTGCGCGTGGTGCAGTCTCCACTCATCGCGGAGGCAATTTGATTTTCGCTGAAGACTTTACGGTGGCTCGTGAATACGTGGAGAAACTGCTAGCCAACGCCTACAATCACGGTGACCATGAGCTCCCGCCGAGAGCGCCGCTGGTCCCAATGCAGATGCAGATTGAGGACGTTGTTCGATTGGATTCTGAGCGAGAGAGTGTTCTCGTGCAGCCTGGCCAGTCTGTCGCTGTGGAGCAGCCCCCTGCTGCTATTGCTGCTCCCCAGCCTGTTGGTCCTGTGTCTACTGTGGAGGAAGCACCTGGTGCTCGTGGAGGCGTAGACGTGCAGACTGCTCCTGTTGATGGTCTTGCTGACAGCGATACTGTGGCGCGACACCGAGTCTCGTGTTTTGGCAGAAAGCGTAAGAGGAACTCGAGACTCATTAATTTTGAGCTCCACTATGTTGCGCACAAGCTGGTTAAAGTTTTGCAGTGTGAATCTATCTCGCCAACCCAGTCTCGACTGCATTCAAGAGATGTACCTGTGCCAGCGACGTATAAGCAGGCAATTCGGTCGAAGTTTGCTGCGTACTGGTTGGCCGCTATTGCTGAAGAACTCGAGTCGCTGCGCAAGCATGGTGTGTGGCAGGTTGTAGATAGAAGTGCTGCTGGAAAATCTGCTGTGATCACGAACAAGTGGGTCTTTGGAATCAAGAAGGACGAGAACGGCTTCGTCAAGCGCTTTAAGGCTCGGCTCGTCATACATGGGTTCAAGCAGAAGTTCGGCGAAAACTACAACGAGACGTTTGCATCAGTCATTAGGTTCGACACGATTAGCGTCGCGATTTATTTCGCTGTCCAGCGCCGGTGGTCGATTTTCCGGTACGACGTCAAAACAGCCTTCTTGCACGGCAAGCTCACTGAAGAAGTCTTCATGGAACTGCCTCAAGGCAATGGATCGCCTGGAAATAGGGAGATTTGTAAGCTGATTAAGTCCCTGTATGGACTCAAACAGGCTCCCCACGTCTGGAACAAGACGCTGCACCGACACCTAGTTGCACTCGGGTTCACGCGTCTGGAGAGTAATCATGGCCTTTACTCCCTCCTCGAGAAGGGGGAGATTGTCATGCTCCTAACTGTCTATGTGGATGACCTGCTGCTAATGGGCGAGAGCAGTCGGTGTGAAGCTATTGCTCGGAAGCTGGCTGCAACATTTGAGCTCGTGGAGCTCGGTCCCGTCAAGTACCTGGTTGGGGTGGAAGTCAGCATTGATCATGAGAAGAACACTGTCTTCTTCAGTCAGACAAATTACGTTGAAGAAATCCTGCGACGATTCCATATGCACGGCTGTCATGGTGCTGCGACGCCCGAGGCAACCACGATGGAAACTGCTAGTGAAGGCCCAGCGGCACCTGAGCCGAGTGATCTGCCGTATCGCGAGATTGTCGGAGCCTTCCAGTATCTCGTGTCGGGGTCAAGGCCCGATATTGCACACGTTGTTCGTCGGCTTGGACAGTATATGGCGTGCTTCGGTGCTGTCCACTACGCGCAAGCTAAACGGGTACTCAGGTATCTGCAAGCCACCAAGCATTTTGGTCTCAGTATGGTGGTGACTGGTTCAACCCATTTGGATTTGTTGCGCGTGGAAGCTTATAGCGATGCTGACTATGCCAACGATAAGGAAGACCGCCAGTCCGTGAGTGGGTATGTCACGATGGTGAATGGCAGTGTAGTCTCCTACGGGTCACGGAAGCAAGGGCTCAATGCCCAGAGCACGATGGATTCCGAGGTGATGGTTCACCAAAAGCGGCTGCAACGTGCAAGAGCAGGCATTAGCTCACCGCGATGTTACGTGGTTGATACTGTGCTGGCGCCGATGTTCGTGCGCTCCGATGTTTGCAGCGCGATGTTCGTGCTCACTGCTGCTACGATGTTCGTAGCTTGTGACGAATTTGCAGAGCCACAGTATTGCTCGCAGAATCAGCGTGACGCGAGCAAGGGGGAGTGTCGAAGGACCTCTGTGTCTTATGCTCGTGTCCGAAGTAGCTAGTGTATTTATACAGTGCATGTAGGATCAATGTGGTCGCTGGGCTTGGCACTGAGAAGAGAACCATCCACTTCTGAATCTCCTTCTCCTCTCCAAGCTCCAGCAACCAAGCTCCCGGAGCCTTAGGCCCCGCCATCCAGCGTTCCAACCTTCCTACTGTGCCCGTGGCAATGCGCAACAACCGACACTGGAAGGCTCGACATCACCGAGAAGCTGGCATCTCGGGGATGCTTGCCAGCGCCATGGCAGCCACTGCGCTGAGGCTCGACAACTTTCGTAATGTAGTCTTTTGCGTCTTCCGATGGCGAATGTGATCCAATCACGAGATCATAGAAAAAGTACTATCTGACCAAATCCAAGACCTGTTCAGCATAAGACCCATTTAAAAATCTACCCCTGGACTGCGTGAAAATATTCGTCCAGCTTCCACGACGATACGATGTATTCACAGGCGCCCACGGAAGCGTCCTCTGCCTCGTTTCTCTTCACACGAGACGCCATCGATGCCACCACCACGAGTCGGCGTTTTGCCGGATTCTGCTTGAGCCAATTGTAGCATAATTGCACTACCGCATAATTATTCATCGTCAGACCGTCGAGAAACACAACGTGGGACTTCGTGTCCTTTACGCCATTCAGCACCGGTATCAGACCATTACTACGCTCGAAACTCAGCGGGGATGTCTTCTTCACTCTATTCTCCAAGCGCACACATTCCAAGCACTCGAGACCAATCCACGTGACAACCCAACGTGTACGAGCAATGGTCAAGGCAAAAGCCGCCGCAGTTGCAGATTTCCCAGATCCAGGAGGCCCCACAACGTATCCACACCGACCATTACGTAAGACGTCATTTCGCAAAAAGTGTGGTTCTTGTGGGGTTTGTTTGTGGGTAACATACATAACTCGACTGCGTCCTGTCGACGGAATAAAACCAGTTTGGCACCTCGGCAACGAACTCCAAAACCAGCGATAGCATCAGCGTCCAGCTTCCAAGTGGAGGTCTGGCTGTCATCGGTCCCCGAAAACGGTAGCGATGACGCGTCGAGATCAATCACTGTCGTTGTTGTCCACCGCATCAACACGACCACGACGATCGCATTCTCTTTTGATGCACCAAGCTCTCCAACTGGCGATTCATCTGACAAACGCTCTCGATCCGCGTCATAGGCCGCTCTATATGCGTAGACTTTGAAGCACACATTCGCCGGGAGCGTGTGACGGATGTCCTCCAAAGCAGCCTTCCGAAAACTTATGGTTAGTGCGTCATCTGCTATCAACACGGGCTCTGGGGGGAAACGAGTACCGCGTGAGTCACCAACTCCAATTAGTTCGACCCATTTTAGCGCCATGGACACTCGTAGATTCCAGTCTGCTCTCTACTGAGGAATTTGACGACTGCAGAAGAGCTGCGGCTAGCAACAAGCTCGTCTTTCGCCCTTCCACACGCGGCCAGTCAGCAAGGTCGTACCCCTGTCTGTAGCCATATCTGCGTTAAGGACCACTGTTAGACGATCAGAGTTCACTGTCAAGCTGGAAATTGGCGATGAGCAGGTGGCGTCGCTTGTATTTTATGTACATTGACGCAGCGACTCCGGGGCGCTGAGAGTCTCAGGGACAGCCCCAAGGCACCGCCACCGTCCGACATCTACAGGACAAACCTCTGGCGCCATCAACAGAAGACGACGATTTCTTTCGTACTTAGCAGAATTGTAAGAGCAGGTCAGTCGAATAGTCGTGAACTTTCTTGGCAGAGCACAGAATCCCCTCCAGAAGTCATGGCGCTCAAGTGGTTCGAGCTCGTTGGCATCGATGACCCTCCTCCTCCTCGGTGCGTGCTGTTAGCGGAGGACGCACTAATCCTGAGCTTACGGAAAGCTGCTTTCCACGACATCCGCCACGTTCTCTCTGCGAATGTATTCGCATCCTTCCTCAAAGTATACACGAATAGAGCGGCCTACAACGCTGCGGATCGACAGGAATTGCCAGATAAATTGCCGGTTGGCGCCCTCGGTGGCTCAAAGGACGATGCGCTCGTTGTGAAGGTGTCGATGCGATGGACGACAACGAACTTTGATGCGTCCTCACAACCGTTCGTCGACGACGACAGTCAACTTTCAACTTGGAAGCTCGACGCTGCTGCGATCGCCGGTTTTGGAGTTCGTTGTCCAAGTGACAAGCTTGTTTTATTTCGCCGACCGGACGCGATCAAGGTGTTCAACTTCTTGCGAGACGATGTCATACGTGACGGCCGCTGTGGCTACATTTTGGGCCCTCCCGGGTCTGGGAAGTCAGCAACTGCGGCGGCATTTGCTTTGGCGCTGGCTCGCACTCGATGGGTGGTCACGTGGATTCATCTCGGGTGCATGGCTCCTCCAGAATGTGTGCGCTTAGAGAGGAATCTGAAGACAACACTCACGCTGGGTTATCATTACCTCGAGGGTGGTGGACTTGGACAGATTTTGAGTGAAGTTGATGATACGGAAAACCACATCGTGTTTGTTGATGACGTGGCGCTGCCAAATGATGCGGAATTACTGGTTTGCAAACGATGGCTTAGGCGAAATCGCCTTAAACGCCGACTTGTCGTGGTGCCGTCGGTGTTATATCGCAGGATCGACGAGAGTACTGATATGGACATCAGCGAGATGGTTGTATCGCCATGGACGCTAAGTGAATATTTCGGCGCAGTCGAAGATGACGAGCTGTTTCAACACGTGAGACCGCAGCTGGACGCGTCAGATGACAACGCAGCTGCCGATGTCGACGCTATCGAGACATTCAGTGGATCTACCTACACCGACTCCACCAACTTTTGGCGCCGCTCACTCGTGCGATCGAAGTATTATTTTGCTGGTGGAAATGCTCGGTATATGTTCAGCTTTCCAACTGCGAAAGTCTCTTCGTTCCTGGATCAAACTGTCCGTGCGTTGTCGGACGATCTGCTCATGCATGCCTGGTCGAAGGGGATGATCAGTTGACCTTCCGAATTCGGTACATTTTTCAGCCAGGGATTACCAGTGGGTATGCTAGCTGTGCCATAGTCAGACTCGGTGGCCTTGCGCTGATAAAAAAGCTGACACCGATCCTCGCGGAAGACTTTAATGCTGCGATGCAAGGCTGGGTATTGGAGTTGCGGTTCCTTGCTGGCATCCGCAAGGGTGGCGTGACTCTATACATGCATGATGGCGACAAAAGGACATTGATTCATTGGCCAGGAGGTCAGTTCCAGCTTGTAGATCCGCTGAAACTGTCAAAGCTGCCGGCGTCCGCGTGGCTGCAACCGGAAAACTACAACCGCGGGAGCTATGACGCTGTCTACATCGATAAGAAGCACAATCTTGTTCAATTTGTACAAGTTGCACGGGCGCACAGCTATCTCCACCAGTTTTTGTGTACTCCGCCTCGTCGTTTGATGTCTTCAAGGTTGAGATTTTTGTCGTCGTCGAATTGGAGGCGTTGCCGTTTTTTATGTTTTCCAAGGTAACGGGTAAACATCTTCTGGCAGGTTTTCCTGGTTGGGAGGGCGGCAAAGGAGAAGAAAGCGTTAGGCGTGTTGGCATTGCGAACGATCGTATTGAATGAACCTTCTTCCAAATAATGTGTTAATACTGGGATAGCATTGGCCGATAGGTCATGCTGCTAGGCAGCCCAAATCAAACTTCTGTAACTGAAGCCCCTTGTCACCGGCTGTCTTTCTATTGGTGAGCTGGTAACTTGATGAGTCCGATCTCGAGTCGCTCACTTTCTGTCTACTTCACATCGTGTTTCGTCAGTGCATGACTTCAGCTACTAACTGGTTACCCGCCTGTCTTACCCTAAACTAACATGGTCGGGAGTTTTCCGGCATAATTCGCCACTATTAGGTTGACTACACTGAATTCTAACCTTTAAGTTTTGGCTGAAAACGTTGTCGACGTCGCAAGTTGTGAGGGCATCTACCCTGATCTCGCTACTAGGCACTTTCATGGTCATGCCAGTGCATTACTGCGTACTCGTAGTGTATAAGTTATTGCGATTCTTATCGCGGCACGAAGGCAAGGTACGTGTCTAGTGGGATCGCACAATCTACCGAAAAAACTTTTTGACCGGCTTGCCTCCTGCCATCCGGGTATGTGAAGCTTTCATGGTACTGTATGAAACTTATGTAATCTCAGAGAGTAATGTAATGTAATGTATTACGTTTTCGCGTTGCCACACTATGCTGTCGCTAGGCTCAGCTTTGCTAGTCGACGGCATAAGGTGGTGTCCGCATACGTCGGGTCCTTCTTCGCCGGCAGTGCGGCGACAATTGCCCTCTCGAGGGCTTTCCATTTAGGTTTCTCTTGTGCAAGCAGCCGAAGTTGGTCCAGGTCACGGCGGGTCTCGAGGCGATAGGCGTATCCGCTCGAGATAAGGCCCGCATCGAGCACAGTCGGTAGTGTCGTGCGTGGGCGTCACGCACCTGTTGAAGGTCGCAGGGGCGTTCTTCAGACCCTGCGGCATCACTAGCCACTCCCAGAGCATGCCGCTCGGCGTGCTCACTGCCGTAAGAGGGATATCGCTCTCACGCATGAGGATCTGATAGAACCCATCGCGCAGATCGAGAGCACTGTAGATAGTGCTCCTGGCCATCGAATCGATGATAACATCTTTTCGAGGTATCGGCGTCTGCGCCGGTATCGTCGCACGTTCAGCTTGTTATACGCATGAACGATGCGCCAGCCGCCCTGTGGCTTCTTGACACAGAACGTCGGAGCACTGTGCGGGGATTTCGATTCCCGCACTTGTCTAGCTTTGCTCCACGCCAGGTTCCCTTGGACGACGAGTCGAAGTAGGCGGCCATCTGGGTGTACGCTGGGATCTCGGGCCGGCGCAGGATGTGGCCGAACAGACGCCATCGTGCTGCTGTAATTCTGTGGTGGAGCGGGCGTTCCTGACAGATTTCGTAGAGCGTGGCGTTAGAGATTCGCTGAGGGTAGCGAATGTTTAGTACGCTACGTAGTTGTCGGCGGTGGAAGCTTTCGAGTCCGCTCAGCTCGGACGGCGTCAGTGCCCACGTTCCGCTGTTGTACAGCAGAACAGGAAGCACATAGCAGTTATACAGCCGGACTCTGGTGGCGTCACTGACGTACTGGGGCCGGATCCATATTGTCCAGAGCCGACGTAGCGCGCCTGCTGCGAGTATTTTGTGTCGTGTCAGATCTTCTGAGTCGCCGAGTAGACTGCCAAGCTTCTGTGTGGAGCGCCACGCCTCTTCTGTCGCCCGAGCGTGTCGGGAGTAGCCCGACGAGCCTGTACATCGCTGAATCATGGTTAGTTCTGTCTTAGTTGCATTCATCTGGAGGGACCAGCGTGCGAACACTGCTGGTGCTTCGGCTTGGATGCGCTGGACCAGCTCGGTATCGCGGCAGACAAAGTCTGCATCATCAGCATAGACGATCATTTGGTCGAGTAGGGTCCGATTTACTCCGAGGTGGGATGCGAGGTCGCGTAACGCAGCTTCCAGGTAGATGACGAACAGGACCGGTGAAAGCGCGTCGCCCTGCGACGTTCCAATGTTGCTATCGAAGCTGTGTTGTGCCTTGGACCCGGAGCGCAGAGAGAGCTTGGTGTCGGCGAGCAAAACCTTGATCAATCGGACCTCGTCGTCGTGTAAGAATGTCCGGAGTACTTCTACAAGCTTTACGCGGTCGATTGTGTCAAACGCGCGCGAGAGGTCGATGCCGAGGACATGTATGGTTTCACGATAGCGTTGCACGCGGGCACAGAGCCATTTGTGCGCCCACACGGCGTCAGCAGTGCTTCTGTGTTTACGGAATCCGCTTTGATTGGGGGACAGGAATGTGTCCACCGCAGCGGATATCCGTGCGAGTACGACGAGAGATAAGGCCTTGCGAATGCTGCTTAACAGCACGATGGGGCGGAGACTGGAACATACACCTCGGGGCTTGTTGGGCTTGGGCAAGCACACGAGTGTTCCTTCACCGAGTGCGAGGGGGGTGCCTTGCTCGAAGCTGCAGTTGACGAGGTCTGCGAAGAGAGGCGCGAGGACTGAAGCCCGTACTTAAGAAGTTGTGCTGGGAGCTCATCTGGCCCAGCGGCGCGTCCGTTGTTGAAGCGCCGAAAGGCTGCTTCGACTTCTGTTGCTGTAACAGGACGGGTTAGAGATCGCGGTTCACGATCCGGAACAGGATGTGGCCGCCCCGGGTCCTAAAACAGCGCTCGGAAGTGATCTGTGATCACCTTGTTAGTAGTTTGTTGCCGCAGGATATACTTACTTTCTTGGTCGTGGAGTAACAGCGGTTGGGGTCGATGGGGGCTAATGTCTCGAACTGCTGCATACATTCGTGCCGAGTCGCTCAGATTTTCGATGCGTGTAATCCGCTCGTCCAGTTTGCGAGATGCGATGGCTCAGCATCGCGCTCGGATTTGATGGAGGATCTTGTTGCGGGCGGCTCGGAGCTCGATCGTGTTAGCGGCGCAGTCGTTGTAGATTCGAAGCTGAAGCGCCCGCTGGGCCTCAGAGAGCAGCTGAAGTTCATCGTCGTGATGTTGTACGTGGCGGTGGTTAGGACCTGCGAATCCTATAGTCCCCTCGGCTGCTTCTCGGATTCGATCGAGCGTGTCTGTCCAGCGCTGGAGAACGGTGCTGCCTTGTGCTGTTGGCTGTGAAAGCGCTGCCTGGAGCGCGTTCGTGTAGTCGTCCCGTGCTGTGTCGTCGTAGATGCGATGATCTCGTGCTAACTTGAGTGCTGGATCTGGCTTGACCGCGCTGTAGCGGAGACGGTGAGTGACCGCGTTCAGGATGAAGTCGGCGGTGACGAGCTTGTGGTCCGACGCGCCAACGTTCCACCCCAGGATCGTGCGTCCATGCAGAGCCGTCGGCAGTTCTGAGGGCATAGGATATAGTCGATCTGGTTGTAAATACAGTGATTCGTCCGGCGCTGACTCCATGTTGTTTTGTGGCGGGCTCGCTTTGGAAAACCTGTGTTAGTGGCAAAGAGAAGGTGAGTAGAACAGAAATCAGCTAATGCGTGGCCGTTTCGGTTGCGTATGCCTCGTGCATGTGGTCCCATGAATGCCTCTCCGTTGATCTGTTGTCCGAGCTTGGCGTTGAAGTCGCCGGTCACGAACGCGATGTTGCGCCTTGGTAGTTGGTCAAGTGTGTCGCTGAGATCAGCGTAGAATCGATCTACTTCGGCGAGAGGCCGACCGCTGTTGGGAGCATACGCCGTGACGATGTTCACGGGGCCTGCGTGGGGGAGTAAGAGCTGAACGACGCCGATTCAATCGCAGTGTGCCCAATAGCAGTGTAAGTAGGGGCGGACGCGGGGGGAGATGGCAAGCCGATCCCGTGGCGCTCCTGAACGGCTGGTAGTGTGAGTAGCGTGTAGTCTCCGATACGTTTCTTGTCGAGGGTGCAGATGCGTGTTTCTTGGATGCCGAGAACGTCGATGCGGTAGCGCCGGAGGTCCTGGGGGAGCGTGTCCTGCTGCTTGCGGGTCGAACCTAACGACTGGACATTAAACGAACCTATCCTAAAACGGTTAGTTTGATGCGCGCGGCGAGGAGAGCGCGATAAGAGGGTGGGAGGCGTAGTTGTCGCTAGTGCTGTCGGCTTGGGAGCGAAGGAAAGACCCGCTAGGGACGTACAGATGCCCGAGAGCACCTGCCGGAAGCGCGTAGCTAGCATCATGCTGGCCACGCGTTCCGGGGGAGGGCGTCACCCCAACCCCAACCAAAAAATCTCAGAGAGTACATTGACAAATACCAGTACGACATAATGAGGCTAAAGTTCTACGAGACCTCAAATTTTAGAGCCAACTTTCTATTAGGAAGCCTTCAATTTCAAAAAATTTTGGCCAAACTACATTACCAGCCATTCGAAACCGTTGTGGTAGGGCTCCGCGAACGCTGTAATAGTATAAACTCTATTTTTTAAACTAACCATGGGCATCTCCTGCGCCTGCCGCAGCATCTGCCCGGTAATTCGCCTCAAAAGTGTAGATTTTGGGTCTGAGTCGGCATGTTTATATAAAATAATGAGAACGCTCTTTGCTTTGCAGGGGGTGCGGATGGAATTCGCGTGGTTTTTGGTGGGAAACCTAGTGGTCTGTTAAGTTCGCATCTCGTCGGCGGATCGTCGAGTCTTTTGAGGCCTCCAGTCTTTATTCAGATGTTTGTCAAGCGTGGACCGATTTGACCAGCGTCAGTATCACCTGTCGTCGTCGCGAGGGCAACACGATCACCGGAAGACACGCCTCGCCGGGGTTGCTTCGGGGTCAAAGCGTTCTTGCACTAGCGGTTAGAGGCGCAGGAACGAATTCGTGAAAGCGAGCGACGCCAGGCTGTCGCTCCTACTCCTCACGGCCGTGCGTCTCAAGTATTAGATGCGGGTTCGCTACCAAATTTTGGTAGCGAACCCGCATCTCTCCTGCTTTAGGCGGTATATGTGTAATTGCAGCGCGCTCGAAAGCGTCGAGATCAGTCTATCGCGGAGCAGGACATGGCTGCGCCAAGAACGAGAAGAAGAACTTTGAGCTCGCGCTGACGGCGAAGGGAGCTGAAGGCAGCAATTTTTTGTTGTTGAAGTTCCAGTTCACTGTAACGCTCATGTAGCTCCCTGCCTTGCTTACGAATGAAATGCATTGTGAATTGGGGGCCCGAATCCTCTAATTGAGCTGAGCACAAACGCTTATGCGTTAGCTCTCTTCAGCGACGACCTCATCAGCGACAACCGGGGACTGACTCGATTCGGCGCTGCAAGTGACATCCAGCCCTGATTGTCTGGAAGGCGCGATGAGCTGGGCGAATTCTTCGCATTCGAGAAATTCGTTAGCGCCATGTTCGAAGACCACCGGCCACTTGTAGATGCCTCCAAAAGCGCTCAACACGAGGATGCCGTTCTTGTGACCGGCAGGTTCCTTGGCAAACTCTCGCTCGGCGTTGACCCTGCCAAATGCCCCGGATCGGAAAAATGCCTCTTGTGTCGTACTCGCCCACGCAGCAAGATCGGAAAAGTTCTCCACCTTCTGTTGCTGGGCAATGTTGCCCATGACGACTGCCTTTCGGTTCTTGATCTTGTTCTCGGCTGGTAGATGCGCTAGGAGCTCGGGCTGGTCCGCATACTTCCGCGCAAGCAAACGCTTCACCTTTTTGGACCCGGTCGGCCATGGCGGAAGTCCCGTTGAAAAAGCAAGTCCACGGCAAACTGCAAGAAATGGTTGGCATAGTATTTGGCGCAAAATCGCACAAGAACTGGCGGGAGACCTCTACAGGCACACACGTCTACGCCGTATCAGCCTTCCTCATCAGCACTATCCTACCGAGTGTCTAAAAGGCGTCTTCATTTACAACGCCGCTAGGCGACTCAGATGTACTTGGTGCATCCGCCGATGCGAACTTCGCACCACGCTACTTCCCACCGTTTGGTGCGTAAAAAAGCCAATACTCGGGAAACGACAAAAACCACGCGAAAAACAACTCGTCCCCTTTGCAGGTGTAGAAACGCAAATGCTTATATTTGATCCATGCCCAGTAGCCTTAAAACAAATGAACAGTTGTATATTCACGCTATAGTGCCCCCGCGTCAGAGCTAGCTTTAAATAATCTGTCGTACAACAGCGGGCAATTTACGCGTGCCTTTGGACGCACCGGTGCAATATACTCGCCGGAAGTGGCAGCGGCAATGCGACCCCCGCAACCACCACGGCCACCTGACTGGCAAGGTCAAGGACAATGGGTGCACGAATTTTATGGCTAGTGGAATACTGAATAACGTTAGGAGGAGACCTGGTTCTAAGATCATTCATGTGTGCATTGTAGTTGGCGTAAGCTGACATTAGCAATTTACACCAATTCGTACTGGAATATGAATTGTAGATGTTGATAAGCCGTGTTCGATAAGTCGTACGAGCTACAATACGAATTACCAACAAGTCTGTACAATCTAAGCGCTTATAATGCGCCAGGATTCTCACAAAGGCATCGCTCACGAAGCCACCCGAACTCATATTTACTTGCTAGGCAAATAGTGAAACTTCTAGCGCTTCTTCGCTCGTCGTATGATGCTTCCGGGTCCAGGGAAATCTCGTCATGGTAGCCGACGACTAATAGTCGTCAGATAATATCATCTTGGAGATGCCGGTCTGCAGCGCACCCGAAAGCCCCACCAGACAGTAAAAACTATTGCTGCTGTGGTTAAAGCCCTAGCTGCTCTCGTGAAAATTGCTATCCCAGCCTAAGCGTAGCCCTAGTTGTGCGCCAGCTAAGAGTGATTTGCCACTACCGGTACTCGGCTGGCCCAACATGATATTTGCCACTTCTACCCCTGTATAAGTTATAGTAGGGCTATTGACACATGATCGAGTGCATCAATCCGCACGCTCGCTGCCATACAACTCACCCAACAAACAAAGTCGCGCGTTGCACGAACAAGCTCTGAAATTAAGAGCAGACATGAAGTTATGTAGTGTGTGTAAGCCCAGTTGCTCACTACAGCGCATCTGCTGCGGCTGCGAAGCAGGCGCAGCATCTGCCAAGTTGACTTGGAACTTAGCAAAACGTCAGTTTCCTGGAGCAATACCCTCTACGATCGACTTCTGCCCACGGAACAATATGCTCTACTATTTGCCTCACGACTTCACCGCCTATTGCTTCTTGTTGAGTCAAGATTTCGATGCAAAGCACTGAGTATTTTTTTAGTGAAAAAAATCAACGCAACAGCTCATGCAGAGTTGGTTTTCCTACCTATTGGGAACGATCCCGCGCGACCCACCCACTACTGCACAGAGCGGTATAGTGGTGATGGGAGGTGGGTCGTATCTTTGGCGGCGTACTTGGCGAGCGGAGTCGGCACGACACGGCGCAGCTCAAGCAGAATGTGATGATCGTGGACGTTTCTCGGGCGGCCGGACGTGCGCAGTGGTGCTTCCCCATGCAGGGGGCGAGGGGGGCTCGTAAGAGCGACAAGGATGACCGGGTGCGCTGCAAGCACCTCACTAGTCATCGACAACACGGCATAACATTCTTGCTGGTGTGGACTAGCTGCCATCCATAGTTCCAGCGTGCGTAGCCAGCCTTCATGTCAACTGCCGGACGATGTGGCTTCAACATACTTTCACGCAACATCAAGACCGTACATAAGCGGAGGGGGGCGACGACACAGGCAACATTCACGTAATTTATGAAGTTTTTCGGGTATTAATTATGGAAAGTGACACTGTACCCCATCAACTACTTTTTATATGCTACCTCTATTTATGAATACCACATCGGATATATAAATTACCAGACATCAATCAATGGCAAAATCGGACCTATCCTCCCTCGGCTCTGAAATAAATTTCAGAGAACAAGAGTAGACAAAACGTGACAACGGCACCTCTCGGTGGTCGCCAAGTCTCATTCATTGCGAATCTGGGATATTTTCCATTCGCCAATTTGATCAAGTGGTTCGAACTCGTTGGCCTCGAGGTTTCTCCTCCTCCAGATTACGTGCTGTTAGCAGAAGGCACACGAATCATCACTTTTCGGAACGCAGTGTTTCACGACATCCGCCACGCTCTCCCTGCGAACGTGTTTCCATTTGACTTCAAAGTATACGCGAATAAGGCGGTATACAACTCGGCGGATCGGCAGGCTTTGCCAGATGGAATGGCGATTGGCGCGCTCGGTGGCTCCAAGGAGAATGCACTCGTCGTGGAGCGGATGCGATGGGAAAGAACGATGGAGCTGGATCCCGATGCGCTATCACTGCCGTTCGTCGACGGCGACAGTCAACTACAGACTTGGCAGCTCGACGCTACTGCTATTGATGGCTTTGGGATTGTCTGTCGAAGTGACAAACTGGTTCTGTTCCGTCGACCGGATGCGATAAGGCTGTTTAACTTCTTGCGAGATGATGTTTTGCGTGATGGTCGGTGTGGCTACGTACTGGGACCTGATGGGTCGGGGAAAACAGCAACTGCGGCGGCGTTTGCCTTGGCACTGGCTCGCACTCGATGGGTGGTCACATGGATTCATCTCGGGTGTATGGCGCCCGCAGATGCTGTGCGGTTGGAGGGAAACACGAAGAAAACAGCCTGTATGGATACTCGTTACCTCGATGGCGATGAACTGCATCGAGTACTGAATAGCGTTCGAGATTCGGAAAACCACATCATGTTTATTGATGACGTGTCGGATGACGCTGAAACATTCACCAGTGCATGCAAAAGATGGCTTGAGAAAGATCGTGTGAAGTGCCGACTTGTGGTGGTAACGTCAATGTCGTACCGCAGGACTACGACAACGGATGACGCTGAAATGGACTTTGTTATGTCGCCGTGGACATTAAGTGAATACCTGGAAGCAATCGAAGACGACGAGTTGTTTCAACGCGTGAAGCCTAAGTTGGATGCATCCGATGGCAATGGAGTTGCCAATTCTGGCGCCGTCGAGGCATACAACCAGTCTACTTGCGCTGACTCCGCCAGGTTCTTTCGTCAGAAGCTCGTGCAGTCGAAGTATTACTTTGCAGGCGGAAGTGCTCGGCGCATGTTCAGCATGTCGACTGCGAGGATGATCTATTACTTGGGGATAACACTCCGCACCTTGGGGGATCAGCAACTTACCGCGGCTCTGGTCGACGACAATGATATTTTCGTCAGATCATTCCGGGATCAGCTCCACCCAGGCACCATTAGTCGATATGTTGGCTCCGTCATCGTTATGTCCGGTTATATCGCGTTGACACCAGCCCTGAGGTCGACCTTTGACGAAGAGGATTATGCTGCCGCGATGAATGGTGGAGGACGGAAATGTACTTCTTTGCTTGCCTCCGCAAGGGCATTTTAACCCCAAGGTCTTCTGCCAGTTTCGTGCCGTCCTTCGAACTTGCGGACTTGCTGTGGCATAACTTTTCATTGAATTGTCCATTCTGAAATCTGATTGCACCCGCTAAATCTGCGCGATTGGGCTGAATTATGTACTTCACGCTGGTCCGTGTAAATTTTGCAGAACTTCTTGTTATTGTTTTGTAAAGCTTGTTGATTTGGAGTGAGCTGCCAGTTTCCTGCCTCTTTTTGATAGCATTTTTGTATGCTATCCTAATCCTAGGAGGCTTGTGACGCTGGAAAAATCTACCAATAGACTACGAGAGTTTAACAAGGAGAAGATGCTAATTGGCTAAAACAAGTAGGCACGGAACGGGTTGTAGGCACGCAACTGGCACCTTACCTTATACTATGGTGAAGAGGAGATACGTTGGCCAAAAGGCAAAGTCCGACTCGTCGATTTGCGGAAGCTGTCGGAGCTTCCGACAACCGGCTGGCTGAAGCCGCAGCAGTACGATCAAGGAGGGTACGATGCCGTCTACATCGATCGGGAGCACGGACTTGTTCGCTTTGTGCAGTTGGCGCGGGCGCACAAGCACGAGCTCCACGTTCGCTACTTTCACCGATTTCTGCGGGACTCCGCCTCGTCGTTTGAATTCACCCAGCTGGAGATTTTCATCGTCATCGAAAGAGGGGTATTGTCCGGTTTCACGTTTTCCAAGGTCACGGGTGAGGGCCTATTGGCAGCTTTTCCAGGCTGGGAGGAGGGCAGTGAAGCGGATAATGTCAGGCGTGTGGGGATTCAAGAGCTCAAAAGCTGGAGCAACTTTGACTAGAAGTCTCAAAAGTTACAGGAATTTTCACTCCCCTTTTCAATGCAACCTCATGCACATGCTTTATGTAGCCATCTATTGTTTTTGACCAATGAAACTTCCCTAAGACAATATTTCGGCCAATAGGCAGTTAGTGCGCAATATCGGCAAGGACTGCGCCGGGATGAAGCGCGGGCGAGTGGCGACCCGCGGCTCGACGCGCCGCGTGCTGCGCCGCAAGAACGTGGTGGTGGACGAGGAGGACGAAGAGGAGGAGGCGGAGGACGTGAGTCAGGAGGGAGAAGAAGAAGAGGACGACGACGAAGAAGAAGACGACGGAGAGCAAGAGCAAGAAGAGAAAGAGAAGACGCCGCCGCCCAAACTGACGCGCGCACAGGCCAAGAAGCAGGAGGAGGAGGCCAAGAAGAACAAGAAGAATACCAGCAACACGAGGAAGGCTCCTGCTAAGCCTAAACAGATGGCTACAGACGCAGAGGACAATGAAGGAGAGCACGAAGATGCAGAGGCGGAAGGCGACGACGACGACGACGAAGATGATGACGACGAGGAGGAGGAGGACGAAGAGGAGGAGGAGGAGGCTGATGCTGGGGAGCGACGCAGAGGGACGAGAACACGGGGCGGCAACAAGCCCCAGCTGAGAGGCTCCAAGCCGCCGCCCAGGAAGAAACAGCGGCGCAAGATCATCGACTCAGAGGACGACGACGAAGACTCAGAGGACGACGAAGAAGAAGAGGATGACGAAGAAGAAGAGGAGGAAGCGGAGGAAGGCGACGAAGACGACGAGGAAGAAGACGAAGACGAAGAGGAGGAGGAGGAAGAAGTAGCGAAGCCCAGGACTAGAAAGATGCCGACGCGCAAGGACGAGAGCAAAGCGCCGACTCCCAGAGGCAAGACGAGGGCCAAGAGAGCAGCGGCGGCGGAGAAAAAGACGGCGCCTGTAGAGAAGAGGACCGCGAAAAAGCGCCAGACGCCGAAGAAGGTCGAAGAGAGCGCGGAAAGTGAGGCTGACGAGGACGACGAGGAGCAGGAAGAGAAGGAAGAGGCTGGGAAGGCTGGCGTCGAAGAAGATGCTGAAGAGGAGCAGATGTCAGTCAGCGAGCCGCTATCCGCTGCGCCCACCCCGTCCTCGTCCCCTGCGAAGCGCAAGGGCTTGTCCATCGACACGCTGATGAATGACGCGAATGAGGAGGAGGACCAGGAAGAACAGGCGGACGTTGAGATGACGCCGGCGTCGGCCTCAGCGTCGGACGCTGGCACGGATGCGGACGAAGTGCCGGACCAACATTTGCGTGAAGCACTGAGTGCAGCTAACACCGACGCGAAGCTGATGGAGGTGCGTTGAGCTGTCACAACGATCGGTATTCTGCTGCACATGATGATTCACATCACAATGTTTTACAGGTTTTGACGGAGGCGTGTGGTAGGCTGATTCGTGAAGGCAAGACTCCAAGCCGTCTGTATTGCGTGGGATTACTTGGAGTTGTCAAGGAAGATCCCAAGGTACACACGCTTGCACGATGGCTCGTTATCTCTTTTGCCGTGAAAACTAATTGGAGTGCATGGATTGCTTTTCAACTGTGTGATAGCGATTCGGCCAACCGGTGGTGCTCAAGTATTTAATGCGATTACTGCGATCGAAGCACTACATTGGTATGAAGGACCCGTCCGACCATGGTAAAAAACCTAGCACGGCGACCGCACTAGGATCGGGGCATTCGGCTGGGGCGACTGAATACTTCCAGCTCTCACTCCCCGTTCTGGTGACAAATCTTTTGGTGCATATCATGAAGGTAAAGCCAATTGAGCTGCAATGCTGTAGTATTTGATCCATCAGTGCGTGACTTCAATGCTTGTGCCTCGCAGGATACCGAAGAATGGCCGGTGGACAGCGTCAAGGTGTTCCTGGATGATTCCCTTTATTCACGGGTCTGGGTCGACCACGAGCTGAGTCAAGTATTTGTTCAGAACGTGAAGACGGTGCTGGAGTCGGATGCTAGCGACCAGCAGCCTACACAACCATTGGTCCGCAAACGCTTCCAGGGCGCGAACGTTGTCCAGGAGATGAGGGATCTTATCACGAACCACATCCGCTCACGTCTTGTGGAGCTGGAAAAGGAGAGGCCCGGCAGTATGGGAGGGTCTTCAGGTGTTGGCGGCAATCATGCGGTCAGGAACATGATTATGACCCTCACCGATTTTGCTAGTATTCCTCAAGTGCGAGTATTTGGAGCAGAGAACCTGGAAGCGTGGCTACAAAACCCGTCTGTGAAGGGCCCTGCAAAGGAGCTGCTGAACAAGATCGTCGCGCTCTGCAAGTCAACGAGCTCTCAAGATTTAGCCACCGTGGATCTGCTGCTTAAGCTGAAGTTGAAGTCGACGATGTTCCAGCTAAAGGTCGAGGCGATCACGCATCTTGTGTGCAACAATCCAGTGTATTTGAACCGCGCGCTGTCGATGTTTATTGCGCGGGAGCGGCCCAACAACATGTCGCGAGACGTGGACAACATCAAAATGCTCCAGCACATCTTCCGGGCGTCGCGATCGTTGTCTGCTTCGTCCATCCTTGGCAGCTCTGATGACTTATTTTACCGCCAGCCTATTGAGCACCAGGGAACTCTTGCGAGCCGTGAGCTGGCCCGAGTTTTTCGTGAGATGGCTAGCGTATCCGATGTTGCTCCGGTGCTGAAGACTATGGTACGCAAGATCCTGAAGCAGCTGACGTTTGAACAGGTGGATATCAAGGCACTATGCGTTGGAATTCTCGATAATGATGGACACTGGGACGCACTGGTTGGTGACGCGCGTGTTTTGGACTACATGGGGCTTGTCACTGGTGTCGTCTGGCTGATTTTGTTGATGCGAGGTGCAGCAGTGAAGAGTCTTCAAATCCAGCAGTCAAACACTTCGAATCGCCAAGGAACAAACACAACCGCCCTTGGCTCGACAGGGCTCAAGCACGGCACGCAACCAATCGCTCGGCGAGGATCGAACCCTCCTCTTCCAGTTTCCAGAGCCAATAGGCTTGGCCCTCAGAAGGGAAAGCCGTCGATGGGCAAGTCGCTTTCATCCAGTCACAATCCGGGTAGTGGCAGCAATACTCCGAGCACTCATGGCGCAAATGGAAGCACCGGTGGCAATGGCGGCGGTGCGTCATCGGAAGGATCGAAGACGGTGAAGATCTCGGTGTGGGCAAAGGAAGAATTGCAGCAAGCGCTGGCTTTTGTGCAGCGCGAGGCGATTATCTGCTGTCGTGACGTGCTGAAACATTTCGGTCTCAATGGCGATTCACCTTTCGAGAAAATGCTGTACGAAAACATCGTCAAGAAGTTGCTCTTCCTCGATATTCCGGCGGATGTGCAGCCTACGGAGCACGATCGAACCTGCTTCCAGTCTACGAAAGAACATATCCCTGTTCATGAAGAATCGCTGGAGCTGCTTGCGAGTTTGTTCAATTCATGCAGAGCTGTTGATCGCATGGAGGCTCTGCGGACTCTAGAAACCATCGTCTTCCGTGGCGCTGAGGCTCATATGCACCGAGAAGCCTTGTGGCTGCACCACGAAGAAGATCTTGCTTCCTACGCTCAGAACGGTGGTGTGCTTGGCATTGAAGTGAAGAACAGTCAGTTCGTCCAGCATCTGCTCAAGCTCGCACTGGTTCGTACACACACTCTGATTACCCTTGGTATGTCGGTGAATGCTAACTCTAACTGTTATGGTTTTGTTGGAATAGTGGCAAGGCGGAGACGACAAGCAGGAGCAAGAGTTCTGTCACTCAAGCCGCTTCTGGATTTGCTGCTCCATATTGCTGGTAAGGTCATGCTATGCTTATTTTTCTGATGTTTTGCAAAAGTGCTTATCATTATTGCCCTGTTGATCCATAGATTGTTGGCTGCTTTAACCCCAACACAGTGGGCTCCTTCTTGTGGGAAGAGTTCCCGACGCTACGGGGATTGATGCAGATGGTGATCACGGGCCGGTACACGTTCCCGGCTATTGGTGCCCCAGATCTGCCGCTGCTTGGCAAGCACAGATCGGCGTTCCCTGATCTGATCCAGGGCAATTTGCAGCTACGGGACTACGAGCAGCAGCTGCTACAGCTCAACCAAGCAGACCCATCGGTGACAGGAGATCCACTGATGCTGTTCGATGCCAGCGGACTGGCACGCCAACCGCCACCAGCGATTTTGGAGCATCTTCGTACATTGGATCGCAAATTTAAGCTTGGCATGCGTCTTCGACAGAGTCGAAAGAAGGACTTCCTCATGGAGATGGTCGCAGGAAACGAAGACAAAAGCGCAGCGCAGAACGCCAATCCTGCAGGCGCTGCGGCTAACAGTGCGTGGTGGATCGCTGACATCGTCTGCGAAGACTTCGACACGGTGCAATATCTTCCCTACGGGTGCTTGTGCCAGTTGCTTCTTCTCGCGCTGCGACCGAACAGCGCCGACAACAGCTCAGACGCACAAGTGCCGCTGAACCAACCAGCTCTGACTCAAATCATCCCGCGCTTGCTCAGCAAACTACGTGAGTACCTTGCTGATGGAAGCGACAGCTCAGGAGTGGCGTCGAATGTCGTACTTTATTATTTGGAGAGCTTAAACGCCCCCGAGATGTCTACTCGACGCGTTGCTGCTCATATCCTCTACCTGCTGACTGCGCCTTGTAGCGTGGAGGAGCTATCGGACGAGATCCATCAAGTTATTGCCACATCTGGCGCCGAGGGCACCCTCAGCTTCTCATGGCTTCGCGAGTTGGCGAAGTTGCCGTGCTATAGCAGCATCCGCAGCAGAATCTTCCGTTCTCTGGAAAATTTACTCGAGCTGGAAGCGTCGATTCCATCACTTCGGATGTGCATGGTGGCGCTACACGACTTCTCAAAGGGCGGTGATGCCAGCACCAACGAGACAGAAGGCGTTAAGAAGGAGGAGGATGGTACTCACCCGAAGAAGAGCGCCATTGAGCAATCGCTTATGCTGGCTGGGGCGTACGGACGGCTGCTTGCAGGGCGTGACTTGGTTGCTACGCTGTTGCTGAAGGACCACGACATTTACGCTATCACAGTGGACGTGATTTGGCGGTCGATTGAGTCGCAGCTGGAGATGGCCCCGCAGCTCAAGGCTACGTCTGGGATCAGTTTTTCGGATTGCAAGGTGTTCTACGTGACGGACGGGGCTAACACCATCCGTGAGATTAAATTGCCACTGGCGATTATCCACGGCGCGATTCAGGTGCTTTGTTCGCCGCATGCACATAAGGACCCACCGCCAGCACAAAGCAAACGAACTTCTACCTGCACAGCCAGACTAACGCAGAGCTTGTTCCCCAAGGCCTCGCCGAATGCCGCAATCCTGTCTAGCACTGGCCTTATCGCTACGAAGGACGCGCGTTTGTATCCAGACCGTTTGCTGACCAAGCTTGCAGCCGCTGCCTCCCCGACAACTGCTCATCTCTGCGCGACTGCCATCCGCGCTATGTCTAGCGAGTCGCTGTGGGATCTTCTCGACCAATCTGCTCTGAGCGAGCAGTGCCTCGACATTGCCCTGCGGACGCTTCTCCAGACAATTCAGAAAAGTGAAAGCAAGGCTGTTAGTAGCCTGATAGCTGTGACGAAGGCGTCGGATATCTCGGTGGCAGCGGATGTCGTGCTGATGCAGCTGAGCGCGTACAGTCCTGAGCTCTCTCTTTCATCGGGGACAACTGAAAAGCTGAAGTTCTTGCGCGAGTGGCTTCAGCAGCGGAGTGGGTCGAACGCCAGGATGGTTACGGACGAAGACGACGAGGAAGCGCTGTTGCTGTCCGAAGGGTTCACCACCTTTAAGATCCATGCGACTGAGCCCCCCGTGACACCAAGCACTTCGTCGTTTTACTCCGAACCGATGGTAGATGCAGTCAAAAAGTTCGCCCCATTGAAAACTACGGCGAGCCCCAAAACTGACCTGAAGGTGTTCAAGGATACGTACTTTGACGGCCCACACGATAAAGCACCGTTGCTCGATGGACTGGTGAGAGAGCTCAAGCGAAGCTCCAGCACGGGAGCGCTGCCAGACGTGATTGCCCCGGAGGACTTTGTTTTTGCTGCGGGCCAAGCGGTGGGTCAATCTTGTTCAAAGGATTATGGATCGACGGCGCACTCTCCTGCAGACTTGTGGGCGCTGCAAGTTTCGTTGCTGCATTTTACACGCTCTGCATGCAACTCCGAAGCCGCTGCTGCCAAACTTGCGAAGGGGTTGTTGCAGGTTGTTGCTCACTTGCCGACCTGCCCCAGTGATGCCCACCGGAAGGAATGCAGTGAATTTGTGCGACGTGCACTGGACAACCTAAGTGAAGCTTTCGCTGGTTCCTACTCTGCCTCCGTCAGCTTCGTCCGCCATATTACCCAAGCATCGACGACCGAGGGGCTTTATATGCTCGAAGATATGGCTGTAGCCTTGGATATCTACACCGTTTTGCACTTGGTGATTCAATTCATCAGCCGGACTGTTGCGCGGTGGAAAGCGCAGGGTGTACGACTTCGCCTGGATGCTATGGCTCTACACAGCCTTGTGGTGCTGGTAAAGGAAGTAGAGGTGCTTCAACGTCTACAAAACAACTGCTCCAGCCCCTCCGCTGCGGATCTCTTGGCGGATTTCGCGTATGACCAAGCAGATGACAGCACGATGCTGAATCTGTTGGAGCCGATCTTGACTGCAGACCCGCACCTTGGAAACCTTGGCGATGTTGTCGCGATCCATGGAGACGTCAAGCGCGATCTCATTGGAGTAGGTACAATTGATTGCTTACGAAAGTCTGCAGGTTAGCACTAACCTTCGTTTATTCTGCTGCAGACTCTGTACTTCCAGAACCCCAAGCTTGTGGCTGGACTGCTGGATGTGCTGAACCCCGACTGGGAGTCACTGGTCAACTTTGATGTTGACGCTGAGCAGCAGCGAGAGTTGGTCATCCGCGATCGCCGGTTGCTGTCGCAGGTGGACGACATTCTCCGCAATCTGACGCGCGAAGGAAGCGAAGTCATGGAGCGATTCCGAGAGCTGACCCGATGCCACCCGATGCTGGTGCTCTCGCGCTTTCCTCGGCAGCTGATGGAGCACTTCGGTACTGTCTCGCTGTCACAGCTCTACTTGAACACAACATTCTTCCAAAACGTGAGTGCACGGGCATGGCTAGAGATGATTTCACGCATTTATCGCAACTAACTTGTCTTTTTGATGTGCTACTTGCATACCTAGATCCTGAGCGCGATGCAGATCATGCGACCGCACATGCGTCACCATCGGGGTGTGCTGGACCCCTTCTGCCAGTTCCTGTTTGAGATCTTGCGCGTGATCGCCGACCACCACGCGGTTGAGTTCCATCAGCTGGTGTCGCACACGTGGGAGTTCTTTTTCGACGCACTGGAGGCCGACTTCGACCTCGCCAGCGAGTTGATTTTCTCGTCACCGCGCGTCCTCTTGCTAGAGAACATTGTTGGAATGTATGAGTCGCAGCCGGAGACGGTGGCCTTTGGAGAAGTAATGGCTCAGCGGCACAGTGAGTGGAGTCTACGTGCAACGCTGGAATCGATTCGAACTGGGCGGAACAAGCAGCACTCAGCAGCGAGTCAGCAACAGCAGATCGAGCAGTTGCTGGCCCGCATCGAGAGTCAAGACCCCGTCTCCGTTTCAAACGGCAAACCGTTGGCCGAGCGCACCGACATGACGGCCGTCACGCAGGGCTTGCAGGGAATCGACTTCTTGTGCGCCAAGGCGGACCAAGGAGCAGCGGTCGTGGCGTTGCTGCGTCGCTGTGCAGCCCCAGTGGCCTCGTTGCTGGTGTCGGAGACGGTGACAAAGGCGGTCACGGTGACGCTGTGCCAGACGCTGCTCAACCTCATGAAGTACGACTCCGTATGTGTAGACGGTGTCATGAGCCAGTACGTGCAGTGTCTGCGCGTCGTGCGTCCTGGCTTGAAGGAGGCGGCAGTGAATGCCGTTCTGGAGTTCCTGGTGTTCGCAGATGCGCGGCAGCGGCGGCAGATCTTGCAGCAGCTCTTCGATGACCCCAGCGAGATCGCCAAGAGCAAGCTTGGCGTGTATCTGAAGAGCACCGCGTACAAAGCGACTCTCCTCGTGGCATCTAAAACTTCCAGGTAGCTGTAACCTTTGGTCCAATGTTAACGCAGTCGTGTATTAAGGCAAAGCACAGTTTTACCCACTTGGTACTGGGCAGCTAAAAGGACCGTCGAGCCGCGTTGAGGTTTGCCTCGAAGTTGGCGTCGACGAACGGGACCTTGGTCTTCTCCCCAAAGTCGGTCTCGCTTAGAGCGCTACGTGCCTCCTCCGTCAACTGCTCCCACATGATGAGGTCCTGGGGTTCACGCGTGTCATTCGCCGTACTCATGAATAACTTGCTACCGTGCGTTCTTTCAAGATCCGAGTACACGAGGATGGGGCTGGTGTCGTTGAAATAGTCCGTGAAATATGGAGTGCACGACGTATAGCCACATCGCGTGAACCCACGGAGTGTCCGTTCTAACGTCATAGCCCCCCTCCGAGTTCGTAGTCGACACTGCGAATCTCTGGCTTCTTCAAGGCGGGGTTATCGAGCCACACAACGGCGCTGACCCACATCCCGAATCGAAACTGCTCGTCCGTACACTTGAGACCCCAGGCTGGACCCTTCGCAGTCGGAATCGAGATCCCCAGTTCCTTTGAGTCCTCCGCTCGTCTCACCCCAGGGTATGGGTGGCATGCGTAACTGAAAATGAGACTCGGCTTGAACTTGACGGCAGCCTTCTCGGACACGGTGGCCGGCTCAGGCTGGGCGAAGGGCTGAACCTTGTCGTGGTCGATTTTGGTACCTCTAACAGAGTAAAGCGTAGCGGTGGCAATTGCGGCGAAAAGTAACGAGCGCAGATTCATGCTCGAAAAGGTCTGGTTGACAAGATGATGGCGGAATTGGAACTGTTGAATCGGATGCAAGAGAGACGACTGTATAGTACAGAACACGTCGTTCCCTGATATTCGCACTCGGAAACGCCATCGTTGGTGACACCAACGGCTGACCAATGGTGTAGATCAACAGGGCTGTAAAGCCCGACGTATTTTGATTGACAAAGTTGCTTGTGATATAATACAATGTGTGGATAGGAAAAATTGAGCATGCACGGCTCACACTGACTTTGATTATGAGAACTATAAGAACACTGATACCACGAAAAAAATTGAATTCTGAGTTTGACGTTATCGTTATCTTGCGCTTTTGGGTGCAACAATGTATCGCTGTAAAGTAAGAGAAAAGTAAGTTCCAGCTGTGTGACTTTGGTTGAAACACATACTGTACTGCAGGCACCTTTAGTAATACTGTAACAGGTCGATTAAGAACAGATCTAACACAATCATTGGTACAGGCATTTCTTCCAAGTATCGGTAGATGTCATGCACCAAGTTGTGGCGTTGTATTTGAGACTACAGATCTAACGCAACCAGTCTACAGTCGCGTAAGTACGGCTAACGCTTGTTGGTCGACCATTATTATTGGTTCAACCATTATTAATTCGGTAGCCTTAGACGAGGTTTCATTGTTTGCAAAATCACGTGCCACTTCGTAATTCGCGAAGCAGACCTCACCAATTCTACCGGTACTTAGCCCATTTCGATGCGTAGACTACTAGGGCTCCAAAAATTTCATGGAACTACAGCGTTCCTATCAACCATTGACGCTACTTCCGTCTCCAGCACAACTGCGTCGGAAATCATTGGAATTCCAGCGAAGTCCGGGGAATTTGGCACAGCAACGACCAAGTAACTTTATCTTAGTTTTGACTATGTAGCGTTAGTTTGGGGTCTACCTATGAAGTACTTTGAAGTTCACGAAGCTGGGAAAAGGTTGGATTAGAGTGACTCACTTTGTTAACTCTGGATCAAAAATCCACCAGAGAGCATATGGATACAGATCAAATATCCTTCTCTTCAGCTTCTGATTCACCAGTCGAACTCTCGCCAGGTTTTGGTGATTGAATGCCCACAAGTCTTGCGTTATCTGCTTCATCCCCCCCAACCTGGAAAAGCTGCCAAAAGGCGTTCCCCCGTGAGCTTGGAAATCTTAAAATCGGATAATGCCTCTCGTTCGACGACGATGAAAATCTCTAGCTTGGTGACTTCAAACGACGAGGCGGAGTCTTTCAGATGGCACAGAAATTGATGCAAGAAACGAACGTGGAACTCGTGGCTGTGCGCCCGCGCCAATTGCACAAAGCGAACGAGTCCATCCTCTCGATCGATGTAAACTTCGTCGTACCCCCCTTGGTCGTACTGCTGTGGCTTCAGCAAGCCGGTTGTCGGAAGCTCCGACAAATTCCGTAGACCAACGACTCAAATGCGGCCAGTGGATCTCCTCTTCGCCATGATACAGAGTCAAATTGCCCCTGCGAAGACTAGCAAAGAAGTACATTTCCAGGACGTACCCGTCGACCACACCATCCGAATCGAGTAGAACCTGAATGTGATAGTTGACCATGGCAATACCACCAAGCCTAGCCAATGCGAAATCTGCATATCGGATGTGAATCACTCGTTGGAGAGTATCTTGAAATCGACCCACCAGTTGATCTTGGCTGCCCGGCAAGGCGTCGACAGCTCTGTCGGTGTCACAATAGGGAAAGCTGAACATGTATCGAGCATTTCCACCACAAGTCTGCGATTTACTCGATTTTGCTCAAGCCATTGCATGCAAGTATTCGCTTCGGAACTATTGACGCCATTACGCCGTCAAGTCTCACGGTGTAGCATCTTGAATCCTCGATCTCATCTAAAACCTCGTCTAGTCTTCCACCAGCAAGATAACGAGCCTTTAGAGTGGACATTCTTGTTAAGTTCGTCTCGTCGCCGAGGCAAACACAGCTGTCACCGTCGAGAAGCGGTAGAGCGAAGGCATCGGAATCAAACTCCACCCTTGTCCACGTGCATTTCTGGCGTCTGCTCGAGCGCAGCGGCACCTCCATCGTGTTTGCAATTGGAGAGTGGACAATACAAGAAAGATGGAACTGGACCGAGATGAAAATGCACACTGACGGGTTTTAGAGTTAAGATGCATGTCACCTCCTGCTTTTCTTGCGTTGGTGCGTCTTGTATCTTGTGTACGCAATCTTGTCACGGTACAAGAACGGAGACGCCTGCTGCTCCAACGCGTCCGCCGTCGCCTTCATCACTCGCTGAGCTACGACGAGCGGGTCTTCCCCAGGAGCTGCCCTAGTGCTCGGCAGAAACTGCACCGTGTAGGTATGCCACGGCACGAACAGGTACCACAACACGTTGGCCAGGAACGTGCTGGTCTCGTCGTTGATATTCACCGGCTGCATACAGATCAGCACAGGTCAGCGGATAACCTCAGCAACATAACACGACAAACCATAGTTCCTTACAAACGGTCCGTCCGACGCCCGGATCGCAAGAGGCTGCACGGTCTTCTCGAGCGAGAAGAGGAACTTGTGATACTGCAACAATCCCTTCCTCCCGTTCGTCAGTCCACCCTGCATCAGAGACACAGTAGCATCAGTGCCAACGCCTCTACACCAAGTAGACCCCTTGCTCTCACCTCTGGAAACGCAGCCAGCGGTTTGTTGCCCCTTGCGAGTCGTTCAATGATGATCTGCCTCACTGCATCTCGACCCGCTGCGTTGCCCTGCTGCCTGGACACGTAGGGCACGTACACGAGCCCCGCCTTGTCCCCGAGCAGCTTGAAGAACAGCATCTTCTTGTAGAAGTCGTAGCCCAAAATGTACGCGGGCGTGACGTCGAGCATCGCGACGGCGTCGAACTCGCTGATGTGGTTGGACACGATGATCTCCGCCGCCCTGTCGAAGAGCTCCTTGTCTAGGAGCTTCACGCGGGTGCCCGTGAGCCACACGAAGACGCGAGCCAGCCGCCAGCGGTCGATCTGATCCTCGGAGCACACTCGCGGCAGGATGAGAGCCACCAGGAAGCAGCAGAGGCCTCGCAGTAGCAGCAGAAGCAGCCCGAACGGCGCGTACAGCAGCAGCAGCAGGTGACCGAAGCCCAGCGGCCGCTTGATGCGCTCGAACTGGAACATGCTCTCGAAGGGCAGCAGTTGCTGCTCCGTGGGCGGGTCCAGCGTCACGGGGGACTTGCCGTCGCCCAGCAGGTCGAGGCCGCGCCGAACTCCGGTCACCGTCGGGGACTGCGACTTCATCGACAGGTCCAGGAACGGCGCGATGGGCGATCCCATGGCGGACGGAGCCATGACTGTCGTGTCCGGTGGTCGGACTGTCAGAACTAAAAGCACTGGGTAATACTGTACTTGGAGCAGCAGTAGCGGAGACCGAGGACGGACGACCTTGGCGACGGATTTAGGAATGACACGGACGTTTCGAAAGCTGCAGGAAGCAGGTGCAGCCCCTGGCGGGCGGTGCTGGAGCCGGGCGAACCACTTGCCTGGCAGAGGCTTGCTCGTCGGTGGGACGGACGGCTGGTTATGTCGCCGCCCCACCTGCTCGACGCTCTCTGCTGTGGATCTCCATATCTGGTCGAGACCATCGCCAATTTGCCAAATGGCTTCCTCCAAGTGATGCGGCGAATTGTGGCGTCGAGAGCTTCAAGCTCCAAAGAGGTTCTTGCCAGACCTTCATCGTCAACGCCACGAGAACCGCCGCGGAGAGCACTTGTGATGAAGTGACCCCCTTGCTTCGTTCTGGAGGCCACGTAGCTCGGCGCTCATTGGGTCACGGCCACGCGCCCCTCGGATCGGCATCGCCACTTCATCTTCACCTCCACTTGTCCAAATGCTGCCTCGCCGCGCTCTGCGTCACGCCGTCGCCATTCCAAGCCGAGCAGTGGGCACCGCAGCAGCGTTGGCCCGCCCCTGCGTCGTGCACAGCGACGCCAAGCAGGACGAGAGCAGTGACGGCTCGGGCGTGTCGACGCACTCGGCGCTGCAGCGGCAGCAGCTCGAGTTCTGCTGCCTGCTGTGCGGCTGGGACGTGGCGTGCAGCACGTGCCCCTTCAACTGGTTCAACTTCGACCCGCGCAAGTTCCGCACCAAGCAGCGGCGGCGACCGGGCGACACCGACCCGCGCAACTTGGCGGCCAGCGAGGTGGACGTCCGCCAGGCCATGGAGATCCTGGGGATCGAGGCATCATCAACGCCCATGGGTGGCTTTGACAAGGTTTCGATCACGCAGCAGCAGGTCAAGGACGCGTTCCGAGCCAAGGCGCTCGAGTGGCACCCGGACTGCAACCAGGACCCAGAGGCTGAAACCGTGTTCAAGGAGATCCTGCAGGCCTACGAACTGCTGCTCGCGCACGCGCGCTGATGGCTGCGGCTTGGCAGTAATAGATGAGATGAAGCTGTAAGTTAATATATCCTCGAGGATACTACACACGCTGCTACGGGTCTTAAGAGTGAGTAAGAGTGACTGTTGCGTTGGATGGCAAGCTTTTCATTGCGTGGATGATGACTCTCGGCAGTACCCGGTGCTGCACCCAACACCATCGAAACCAGCACCGCTTATCAGCCACGAGAACTGTGAGGGAACGCTCATGAGCCCTCAAGGGACTGACCGGCAACAACACTTGTCATGCGTGGTGGTGGTCTACAGGAGGTATGTGCTGTACATTCGACCGTCATATCTGAATCTACACTTTCGTGATGTAGTGATGTTTCCCCGTCGCGTTCTTAACGCTTCGTCACGCCGCCCACGATTCCAAGCAGAAATTCGTCAACTGCGCCGGTCAATTTGGCCCGGAATCGCTGCGAGCGCAGGGATAGCGAGCAAGACGAGAGCACCGAGCACTCAAATTTGTCGACCCACGCGGACAACCAACATGAGTTCTGCTGCCTGCGGAGCGGCTGGGACGTACCTGCCGTTTTGACTTCGACGACCGGGCGACCACCCGCGCAAGTTCCTAGACAACCACCGGACTACGGAGATTTTTAACTACCCATCGCAACAGTCTTCAAAAGCAGAATCTACAAGCTGCTACTCGCACACGCCTCGCGACTACCAGCCGATAGAAACGATAGAGATATACACTTGCACTTACTTGCCCACTTGCCTGTCGAGCAGAGCAATCCATGCAGTTTGCGGACCTCTTCATCTGCTTCGTTTCACCAAATCAATTAATTGATTTCGATTTCTACGCTTGCCCTTCCCCTCAACCAATTCAAACAAACTTATTGTTTTCGCCCCATTTAATATCGTACTTAAACGCGACCCAGCACGTTTTGGCGCCATTCCCATTCCCATTCCAGTCGGCAACTTTACCCCAGTGACGCAGACGGTGACGGACCCCCGGTAAAACGCAGCCGCCGCCGCCGCCGCCATGTTCTACTCGCAGATCATCCTGGCCAAGAAGGGCCCGCTGGGCAAGATCTGGCTGGCCGCCCACTGGGACAAGAAGCTCAACAAGCAGCAGATCTTCTCGGCCGACATCCACAGCTCCGTACAGAGCATCGTGAACCCGCAGGTGCCGCTGGCGCTGCGCGTGTCGGGCCACCTGCTGCTGGGCGTCGTGCGCATCTACTCGCGCAAGGTCAAGTACCTCTACTCGGACTGCAGCGAGGCGCTTGTCAAGATCAAGCTGGCCTTCCGCCCGGGCGTCGTGGACCTGCCCGCCGCCAGCCAGCAGGCCGCGGCGCACGCCATCAACGTGCCCAACTTCGGCGAGTTCGAGGCCGAAGTCACGTACTCGATCGAGTGAGTTGGGGAGATTATTTATTATTATTATTATTATTATTATTGGGGATAATTACTAATTATTTTATCTTTTTTGCAGGGCGATTAATGTGCAGTCGTTGGACGAGTGGGTGCCGGCGTCCAGTCAGACGGTGGCGAGACGCCAGGATATTACGCTGGCGGACCCGCTCGACAGGATTCGAGAAAATAATGCGTTCGCGGAGAGAGGTATTATTGTCATTCTTATTTTGTGTTATTTTTTGTTTTACTTACTATTTATTTTGTTTGTAGATGGAATTACCATGGAGGACTCGTTTGGAGGAGGAGACTGGCAGGCGTTCGATCTGGACGACAACTTCGGCAGCTCCGGGCTGGATATCAGCGCTGTGAGCGACATTGAAGTTGCCCGTGAAGCTGACGCCCCCGTGCTGCCGCTGGACGACTCGGGTATTATCAATGCTGGAGACAAATCGACGGACAGGAGCTCGTTGATGAACGATGCAGAGCAGCCGGAGTTCGGCTTCAACGAGGCGCCGTTCGAGATGCCCGCGGACAACGGACTGGAGGTGGAGAACCCCATTGACGACCCGATGAATATTAGCGGCAACACTCTGGAGATCAGCACGGACATTAACGTCAGCATTAACGGCTCGACGCGCGCGTCGCTGGATGCGGCTCTGGCCAACGTAGTGGTGGAGACAAACAGGCCCAAGAAGAAGAGGAAAATCGCGCGTGACACCGTCACAGAGCTGACCTCGGCATTTTTGAAACAGGGGCTGGAGGACACTTCCGACATCACCCGCACGCGAGAAATCACGTACAAGAAGACTACCGGAGGCAAAAGCGAGTTTGACCTGCAGCCAGGTCCCGACATGTTTTTCCGGCCGTGTATGGTCAACATGGCGGATGAGCTGCTGAGTATGTTCAAGATGACCATGAGGAAGCGGAAGTTCCCGTTCGGTTCGAAGGAGAAAGAGACGAACCAAGCGGAAGATATTGAACTGACCCGTCGTATGAGCGCGAGCTCGCGCCTCAGTTCGACCTCGGTACGCTGTACTCGTCGTTGTCTTGCGTGCTTTGGGCCTACAACTAATATTTTACCTCCCATATTCAGGCTGGTCTGGACGTGACGATGGGCTCGTGTGATGCCTCGATGCTGCACGACATCGAGGAGGAAAACCACTTCGAGTTCGCAGACATGGGCCCGACCACAACGTAAGTGTGTCCCCTACTAAAACAAACGTGCCTGTTGAGTTGAACCAAGCTGACAGATATGCTGCGGAAACAGTGAACGCGAGCAAGACGGATACCTAGACTACGGCGTCGGAGCGCCATTCGAGCCTGCAGAGGAGGACTTGGAGGATCTAAACGTGGATATCGAGCTGGGCGCTGTGAACGACATTCGCGCCGAGGCGAACAGCGTGCCCGAGTTTGACCCCGCAGACGCTTCTTCTGCCCAGCACAAGTGGCACCCGCACACTGTGAAGGTGATGAAGGTGTTGCGAAAGTCGCTCCAGAACAAGGAGGAAGTGACGTACAAGCAGCTCACTAAGAAGACCCAAGACCGACGAACCGCGGCCGCGTTGTTCTTCGAGCTCCTGCAGCTCAAGACGCTAGACTACGTGGACGTCGAGCAAGCTGCGCCGTACTCCGATATCCAGATCTCCAAGGGCGCTCGGTTCTCGGAGCACATTCCTGCCGTGGATGCCAATTGAGCGCAAGGCAATTTTGATGCGTACCCCTACTAAGTAAGAGCTATGAACGGATATGTTTTCCAGGTTTTATTTTCGCGTGGGTGTTTTGCCGCTATTTTTGCCGTTGTGTAGACTCGCCTGGTGCTGCCAAGGACTTCATCGTTCGCGGGGACATCTGCTCTGACGCCGGGATACAAGCAGTTGCAGCTACTCAGCAGTCAAGATGCACAGCTCGCCTGAGTTTCGATCGCTGAAGGCCAAGATCCGAGTGCTATGCAAGCAGCGCCGCATCCGACTGGAGGAGTTCATGAAGACGTTCGACATCCACAAAGTCAAGAAGATCAAGACCGAGCAGTTCAAGCGCGCGCTGGATGTCAGCGGCCTCCACCTGTCCACCGCAGAGGTCAACCTCATCGTGGCGAAGTACAGGCTCCCGGATGACCCCTCTTTCGTGGATTACCGGCGCTTCTGCGACTTGATGGACAAGGTGTTCACGGTGAAGGGGCTGGAAGCCAAACCTGCTCATCAATCCAGCATCCACAGCGACTTGCCGGTGGTAAAGACTTTCGCCTTCGAAACGTTGACGCCATCGGAAGAAACCTTGCTTGGAGTCGTGAAGCAGAAGCTCTTCGCTGCTGTGATGAGCAAGGGCATCGTGCTGAAAGACGTGTTCCACGACTTCGACCGCAGCAACGCTGGCAAGGTGACAAGACCTCAGTTCGTGCGAGATATCTCGGACATCGTGGTGCTATCTTCCGACGAGATGGACGTCCTGCTAAAGGCGTACGGCGACAAGTTGGACGTGCACTATCGGGCGTTGCACTTTGACATCTGCCCAGGCGCATCGGGTGCTGGAACGAGAGCAGCGATGCCCCGCTCGCCGGAGAGGCGCCATCGATCGGCCCCGGGAGGGAGTGACAGTGACTTCCAGTCCAGTGCGCTCAAAGAACTCGAGGCGGAGCTGTCGGAGCTGGTGCTCCGGGACCGCATCCGCACGAAAAACTTCTTCACAGATTTCGACCAACTCCGAACGGGGAAGTGCACGGAGGCTCAGTTCCGACGATGCGTGAAGCTGTGCTTCCCTGTTGTGACCGAGCACGACTTGAACTTGTTGGTGCAGAAGTACGGGAGCGTGAAGTCGCTGGACACCACGAAGGTCGACTACATCCGGTTCTGCAACTACGTCGAGGGCAAGGCTAACCTGGAGTCGCTCAAGGACAACAACTTCGACGACATCTTGTCCACAATCGCCAAGGCCACGAACCACTCGACTGCGGACAAATGCTCGCGCGCGATGCGAGGTTCGTTGACCGACTCGGACGCAGAAGTTCATCAGGGGATGATGCAGCGTCTTCACACGTTCTGCTCCACTCGGCGAGTTCTGCTCAAGCCCACGTTCCAGGACTTCGATAAGGGCAGACGCGAACACATCACAGTCGACCAATTCTTCCGTGTGATTGCCATGTTCAAGCTCACGCTCAACGGCGAGAGCGAGCGGCGGGCGCTACTGCAACGGTACGCGAGCTCACATGGCGAACGCTTCGTGAACTACGTCACGTTTTGCTACGACCTGGAGAACTGGGGCAACGACAACCAGCGTTCAAGCAGCCGTCCGTCTTCACGTGGTGGTGTCGTGTCGGAGATCATTGCGCCGTCAAAGCTGCGCGCCGACACATTCGAGGAGACTGCGGCCGAGGCGCACGTTCGATCGGTGCCTATGCTCATCCGGTACATCAAGCAGACCATCAAGCGCGACCGCATTCGGCTGGAGGAGTACTACCGGGACTTCGACAAGCTTCGGCACGGCAAGATCACCGCGACGCAGTTCTGTGCTGGACTAAACGCTGCGGGCTTCCTGCTGTCCCGAGAAGAGATGTCGCTGCTTGGAGACGAGTACGCGTGCAAAGAGGTCGACAGCATGGGGAAACACTGGATCGCGTGGAAAGCCTTCGTCGACGACGTGGAGAGCGTCTTCACTGTGAAGGGGCTGGAGCAGAAGCCGCACCAAGATCTGAAGACGTTGGAGACCCGAGAAGGACAATTCGGAGGCGTCGTGGTCGATAAAGACCTTACGCCAGCGGAGGAAGACGAGGTGAAGCGAGTCCTGCTCACCATGAAGCGCTCCATCGTCCGTCAGCGGATGGAGATCAAGCCAGCGTTCGAGGACTTCGACCACTCCAAGCAGGGCTTCATCTCTTCGACGAAGTTTGAGCGCGTGCTGTCGATGTTTGCTCTGCTGCCAGCTCAGGCTTCGGACTCGCGGCTTCTGCTGATCAAGTTCCGAGAGCAGGCAGCAACTGGCACGAGCGCAACGCTGAGCTCCATCTGCGACGTCAACTATCGCGCCTTCCTCCAAGCGCTCCAGATCCTCGGCGGCTACACGACCAACGCCAGCAGTGAAGACCTCCGGAATCTGGTGCTGCCGGGCAGCGTCGCGTTCCGCCAGGAGCTGTACCAGAGCGGCGTCATGAACCACGACGCCAACAAGCGACGGGCTCGAGACAACCTCGCGGGCGCGGCGGACCTATCGCAGCTCCTGGCCGAGATCCGTCGGCAGCTCAGTTCCAAGCGTATTCGGCTGAAGGAGTTCATCGCCGAGGGCGACAAGCTGCGCTCCGGGGAGATCACGCTGGCCAAGTTCCACACGGCGCTCAACCGCAGCGGGTGCGTCTTGGACGCCGCCGACATCCACACGCTCAGTCTGCACTTCCGCTCGACGAGGAACCCGGACAAGATCGACTGGAGGACGTTCATGGAGGCGCTGGACTTCTCTCACGGCGTGTCGGCGCCGACCTCGGGCTTCCGTGGCGAGCAACAGAAGCAGGACGGCGTGGACGAGGCCATGAAGCGGATCCTGGAGCGACTGCGCAACGAAGTGAACCACCGCCGCCTGCACATGAAGCCGTACTTCCAGGACTACGACCACAACAACGTCACGCGCGTGACCAAGTTCCAGTTCGCGGCCGTGCTCGACATGATGCAGCTGCCGCTCAAGCCCGCCGACGTGCAGCAACTCACACACCAGTTCGCGCACCGCGACGGCCGCAGAGTCACCAACGACGTCAACTACATCGCGTTCATCCAGGCCGTCGACTCGGACTACTCGTGAGCCTAGTAGACATAGTGAGCTCCAACAGTTACCATCAGCGCATGATTGCATCTAATACACACCGCAGCGCACTCCAAACCGAACAGCAGCCAAAGCATTACCTATTAACAAGCGCGCCTGTCGGAAGGGCGTATTTCTAAGTCTCCTCGGCGGCGTAAAGCAAAAGTTGAGCCCAATTCTACGTGCATCTCCCCCTCTGGTTGACTCCGCCGAGCACACGCCGTTGCGACATCCAAGTGCGCGTCCGTCCGTCCGTATTCATGCATCTCTTCACCTCCTCATCCCCCTCCTTGCAGGCTCCGATTATCTCCTGCTGTGGATGAGCGACATGAACTCGCTGCGCGTCCGCGGGTCGCTCTTGAAGACGCCCAGCACGCTGCTGGTGACGGTGCTGGCGCCGCTCTTCTCGACGCCGCGCATGACCATGCACATGTGCGTGGCCTCGATGACGACGGCCACGCCCTTGGGCTCGATGACGCCCATGATGGCGTTGGCGATCTGCTTGGTCAGGCGCTCCTGCACCTGCAGGCGGCGCGAGAAGACCTCGCTCACTCTGGCCAGCTTGCTGAGCCCCAGCACCTTGCCGTTGGGGATGTAGCCGATGTGCACCTTGCCCGCGAAGGGCACCATGTGGTGCTCGCACATGGAGTACAGGTCGATGTCGCGCACGATGACCATCTCGTCGTGGTCCTCCTCGAACACGGCCTCGTTCAGTACATCGGCCAGGCTCTGGCCGTAGCCCTTGGTGTTGTACAGCAGCGCCTTGGCCATGCGCATGGGCGTCTTGAGCAGCCCCTCGCGCTGCGGGTCCTCGCCGATGCACTCCAGCAGCGTGGTCACGGCCGCCGCCATCTTGTCCAGCTTCTGCTTGTCCTGCGCGTAGTCCTCGGGCGAGCGCGACGGCAGCGTCATGGACAGGCGCGCCAGCGTCCGCTCCTTGGACTCGTTGGCGGTGGCGGTGGCCTCCGAGTTCTGCATGGCTGGGGCTGGAGAGGACGAGGACTTGAGCGCGGCGGCCTGCAGCAGGTACGCGTCGCTGCCGCTGCTGTTGCTGGACGGGAGCAGGTCGTGCTGCTCGCTCGAGCTGAGCGTCGTGGTAATGGGGGCCATGGAGGACGGAGGAGCGAGGGAGGGACGTCCGGCTGATGCGCCTTGGGCCAAACGTTGCCGAATGACGGGCGGGCAGGACGAGTAGCTTTTCAGTGGCTGGACTTTTGACCCAATGGGAAGAAAGGCGTGTTGCTGAACGGGATGCGATTGGAGGAAAACGCGTTTAACGCTGTCAGTGGATGAAAAACGGGGCGGTGGAATACCTTTCGGCAGCATGCGACGCCGACACGATGCCGGTGCCGGCAGGAAGCGCGTGGGCGAGCACCATGGCGGCAGCTTCGGCGTGTACATGTCGCACAAGATCCAGAAGCTGCGCAACCAGAACGAGAGCGCCGCGGGGGCAGCAGAGGCCGACAGCGACAGCGCCGGCCTCTTCCGGGGCGTGCACGTGTATGTGGACGGCTACACGGTGCCCAGCAAGGAGGAGATCCGCCGGCTTATGTTGCTGCACGGCGGCGGCTTCGAGCACTACGACACGGGCCGCGTGACGCACATTATAGCCACTCACCTGCCGGCGTCCAAGCTGCTGCAACTTAAGTGGGTAGTCAAACGTTGAAGTTGAAGTTGTCAAGTGAAGTGAAGAGCGCAAGTGGTAAAGTGTGAGTTAATTAGTTTGTTGTCCTGTGAGTAGGCGCGCGAGGAGGCCCCTGCCGGTAGTGCGCCCCGACTGGATCGTGCAGAGCATCGAGCAACATAAGCTGCTCCCAGTGCAGCCCTTCCTGTACGCCGGGTTCGCCGACCCCACCCAGAGCAGCATCTTCAGCCTGTCGGGCTCCATGTCGGCGTCCTCGACCAAGGTAGCCGACAGTCCTGCAGTTGAACTTGAAGACAAACGAGCTCCAAGCGCCGGTGCTGCCGATCCGGCGTCTAAACATGCCCCTAGCACAGCAGGAAGTGAGGATGAGGATGGCAATGAACCGGATCTGTTAGCCATTGAGGATGAGAAGGAAGAGGAGGTCGGATTGGATGTGCCTGAAGACCCGCCAGCTTTGCCGCCGGTGCAGAATGCGACTTCGACGACCAAGCTGCGGACCAATTCGACGCGAGATGGTCCTGAGTTCGTCCGACACTTCTTCGCCAAGTCTCGCTTGCACCATATCGGCACGTGGAGAGCGACGTTCCAGCAGAAGGCTGCCGAGTTCCAGGCAAAGTACAAGGGAGGACCGGTGACAAGAGCGCCAGCGTCGTCTAGTGACCGGGTGATTCTCCACGTGGACATGGACTGCTTCTTCGTGGCGGTGGCAGTGAGAGGACGGCCAGAACTGCAGAAGGTGCCGGTTGCCGTCGCTCACTCGGGGAATGCCGGGTCTTCCGAGATCTCGTCGTGTAGCTATCTAGCTCGCGCGAAAGGAGTGGGGGCTGGTATGTTCATGCAGACAGCAAAGGAATTGTGTCCCGAGTTAGTTGTGCTACCGTACCAGTTCGACGCCATCCAGCGCGTCTCGTTCCAGATTTACGACATTTTCTTCTCGCACACTCCGTACGTGCAGGCTGTGAGCTGTGATGAAGCTTTTCTTGAGTTTGGGAAGGGAACTAACGGGATGGAGAAGGCGAAGACAATTCGACAGCAGATCTTCGAGCAAACGGGGTGTCCTGCCAGCGTTGGCGTGTCCTTCAACGTGCTGCTAACCAAGCTTTGCTCGAAGAAGGCAAAGCCCGATGGCATTTACCAAATCGAGGATCGTGGCCAGGCAGAAGAGTTCATGCTCTCGCTGAAGGTCAGTGATCTCCCTGGAGTTGGGTACAAGACGGGAGCGAAGCTGGATGATATGGGTGTAGAGGATGTTGGACAGGTGATCTCCATGACGAAAGGTGAACTGGTGCGATCTCTTGGCAAGGCGTCGGGGGAGATGCTGTTCAACTACGCGCGTGGAATCGATCTGCGCCCGTTGTCGATGGAGTCGAACATGATGCGCAAAAGCGTATCCGCTGTCGTGAACTTCGGCATTCGGTTTGAGAAATGGGAAGACGCGACGGTGTTCTTGATGGCTCTAGGCGAGGAGCTCAGCCACCGCCTTAGGAACCTGAAAGTGCGGACGAAGTGCTTGACACTGCTGATCAAGAAGCGGAGAGAAGGTGCTCCTATCGAGCCATCGAAGTTCATGGGTCACGGCGTGTGCGATAACTTCTCCAAGAGCCAAGTGCTGTCTTTAGCTACCGACGATGAGGTTGTGATTGGAAAAGCGTGCATTGAGCTTCTTCGGCAATTTAACTTTCCCAGTGAAGAGCTACGTGGAGTTGGCGTCCAGGCGACAAAACTTGTGTCTGATGCTCCTGGCGTCAACCAGAAAAGTGGGCAGTTCTTCAAGGCGTGGCTAAAGGACTCCGGTCAACAAGCAGGGAGTACTGCATCACTCCAGGGATCCGAGAGCAACCAAGAAACAAAAAATGAAGAACCAAGGCGAAGCACGGGCACTCGTGACGTTGCTGATACAACCTTCTCCCAGATCAATATGGACGTGCTGGAAAAGCTACCGGAGCAGCTTCGGCAAGAGATTTTGGCTTTGTATGGCCGTGGGGCGCCTGCGCCATCCTCTACTGTTGCCCAACCTACCCGGCTGCCCCAACCAAAGCGCAAGACCAACGGAAAAGCCCCGCTACGACGGAGACACCCAGCACGAAACATATTTGATTCCAAGTCGAACAGCCGACTTGCCCGCGCTGCGCAGAGTTCAGTGGTCAACTCGGGAAAGGAAGACGCGCTGAACGACATTCGACTGTCACAAGTCGATTCGGAAGTCTACCATTCGCTACCGTTTGCTATCCGCCGGGAGATCGACCGGTACGCGAAGAAGCGCAGACCTACGTCGACAGTTGCTCCCATCCCAAGGCCACCAGCCCCATCCGACAGCAATCCCGGTCAATCTACGAAGAAGAAGCCAGCTCCGGTTGTATTACCTGCGATTGAAGACCTGTTCGCGAATCTCGTGGCGAGTCTTGAAGTTTCCGTGCTGGACCATAAGGAGGATGAAGATGATGATGGACACTCGACCAGCAACACCAGGGCACAGTCGGCTGCTTTCGACGCGATCTACTCGCGTATTTTAGTCGAGGTGGAGAATCGAACGCTCGACCAAGCCTTGCGGATGCTTCGCTTCGTGCGTCGGAAGTGCTCCAGCGCAACTACCCCCGCTGAACTCGCGGAATTGTTGAAGCGTGGCTTTAACCACGTTCTCGATCTTGTGAACCAAGATATCCGACGACACTTCAACGGGGTGCTGTCAATGAGCTTGATTGCTCCATTGGAATATGAACCCAAGAGGCATTGACTTGATGCTTCTGTAAGTTACAGTAAAATATGAATTGTACACTTATTCTGAATAAATTATTCACATGATACAGCGGGCTATAAAGGTTTACCAATGGAATATCTCCACAACACTGTGACTATCGTGAACCAGGTTGTAACCCCGATGGTGCGTATTAAACCCTCAGAGGAAGTTTCTGTCGCTTTCATCATGCTAACATAAAGCTAGCTTTACTTACTACATAATGCTCTGCTTTCACTGAGCGATTCTATCAACTTGATGAGAACGCGAAAACTGCAGTGCCGCTCTTTCAGTGTGTGTATTGCATATAGCTACTGAGTTATGTGCGCAAAGGAACTGTTGTCGTTGGGTTGAGTCAGCATGGATTCGGTTTACAGAACAGTCCATCTGTAGATGTAACACAATATGGAGGGACGACATCAAAAGAATTTATTGAACATTGTTCACATGTCAAGGAACACAACAATGTGAATGATGTTGTACGTATCCCCTGGCTCAAGCTTCAAGCTTCCCAGGCAACCACCCGATCGGTCATCCGCCCGTCTTGCATTACAATACCAAAGTTCGTATAATTTTAATTAAAATCGGCGTCTATTATCGTTACGGAATTTTAAAAACGCTTGGTTTTGTAACGAGGAGAACTCCAAAGTTCCTGTTCGAGATTTTATAAAGACGGTTTTAGAGGCGTGAGTTGGGCGTTCGTGCCACGAACTTTGTGGCGTTGAGATACACTGCATGTAGCCACGTCGAAACAGAAACAAGCGGGGGCATGCATGTGGTGCGCGATCTCAAGCACAGTACTGTAGTGTTGTTGCGGTTGACACAATTGAATTTCTACAAACTACCGATACTGCACACGTTCGTGAAACGATGCGGATAGCGACCACCCAAAGCGTACCAAGAGTATTTGTCCAGCTGGAAAGCTGGCACAGTACGCTCGAAGTGACCCACAAGCACACAGGCACAGATGGCGCTCGAAATCGGGACGAATATCTACCCCCAAATACCAATACTTGGCGATCTCTCGCTGCTTGTCCTCACTCGCCAATTTGCCGCCAACACCTCAAGTCCCTAACCAAAATGCGTCTCTCCTTCGCCTTCGCTCTTGGTCTGCTCGCCGCCCCCGCGCTTGTGAACGCGACTCTGGACCCGTGCCACTCCAACCTGAAGGGCAAGTGCCCCAAGCTGCACAACTGCAAGGTGACCAAGGTGTCCACGGCCATCCAGGCCTCTGAGTGCTCGTACAACACCCGCACGCACAACAAGCAGACGTACGCGGTCTTCAAGCAGGACCACCAGTACGACGGCAACCACGGCTACCCGTACGGAGACTGCTACGCCTACACGTGCAAGGTCAACTCAAAAATGGTTGTTGATAAGGACTGCTGGACGTTCTTCTGGGACAAGTAAGTGGCTTTCGTATTCCCCCTTCGTGGTGGAAACCATCGCTCTAATATCTTCTCTCTGTGCGTTAAATTTAATAGGGTCAACATCAATGGCACGAAGCCCGGTGTCGGCACGGGTTGCATCAAGGACCCCAACACGAGTGAATGCGGCTGCGAGGACTCGAAGACGGGCAAGTTCCACGTCAACAAGAGCGACTGCGTGTAAGTCGTCACTTCGAGAACGCCAGTTCGAGAACGAGGATCGCCGAAAGAGTCCCCCCTGCCAGTCGATTTGATGTAAGTGCGCATTGGTACAGTAGGTTGTCCTAGCAGTGCTGAGCGAAGACGCATCGCCACGCTGTACACGCCACTTGTTTGATACTACTGTATACGATAGTAGAACAAACCAAATACATGTACGTTCACTCGAGGTTTTTGCTTACCTCCTTACGGCAAGATTTGATTATGAAATCTGCTACAGGTGTATTTCCGAGTGTAGCGGGGACATTATGTTTTCCGATGGAAGGATAAAGCCACGTTGAAGAAGGACGAGGTGACCGTGGACGGCAAGCCGCACGCGGACACCAAGGCGCACGGGGACACCAAGATGCACACGCACACCAAGCCGCGCGCGGTCACCAGTAGGTTTAGCATGCCATTCAAGCGGGCGGTTTTCTTGGACCGGGCAACCGGTACATGTTTTGTCCCCAGCCGAACGTGGCAGTAGTGTAGTTTGAGCAGTTCGTTCTGCACGGCTAAAGGTTGAAACAGTTGATCAAGCCAGTGGGCAAAGGCTTTTGGCAAGCTTAGACTACGGCAATGTTACCTGCAACTTATCGCGTAGTAGTTAATGCAATCATAGATGACTCGAACGCCAGACCGGTCTTAATTTTATTTCCTGAATCGATGGCGCCTTGCTCTGAGTACCAGCACAACATAACTCGATCTACACTTGTGTGTATAAGGTGCATTTAGGTTAATTACACAACGATCGTAAGTGTTATCTACCGCGGAACTTTTACCGTAGACGAGTGCCTGCACGAGCACATCATCGACATGTTGGGTTGAGCTGAGGGGGTACATAACGTTCTAAACCGCGACAATTTCGAACTTAGATTAACTACCGCATCTCGATCTACAACTTGGCAGCGCCTATGTTAATCTTGAAAGGCGATTAGGATGACACACAAGCAGAGCTAGTTTATTTTTTGCTGGTAGCGAAGGCATGAGTATGCAAGCAACTGGGTGCTGTCCTGTGGCAAACGTTCCACACCGGTAATTCAAGCCATTCTTCGGAGGTTGCACAATTTTGGGCAGTCGTTTCGGATGCGTTGCTGGTTTGCCATAAGCTTATTTTTAATAATTACTGGTAATTTACAAACTCGATGGCGATCCAATGTGGTGTTACTGGATCGTGATATTTCTTTGAGGTCGTACGAAGTCCTGGAGTAAGTACGTAATGGACTACTAGTCAATTGCTTTGATACATGTACGTATCTGCAGCAGTTCTGTAATGAAACCGCAAAACGTGCCTAGCTTAGACTTCGTTGCGACGCGTTCCGCTACTTGAGTTGCGTTGCAGTTTGACACCTGTGCTGCAACGCTGTACCGGTCGGCTGGACAGCAATCGGCTATCGACGGTACTTCTTACGGTACTGCGCTAAGTCCAACTCTTTGACAGGTTTGTGGCCCTAAATGATAAAGTGCTGATGGATTTGTGGCCCCTTTTGATAAAGATCCCACGCTCGACCGCACGCCCGGCGGCACGCACCCGACTCTTCGACACCCACCACAACCACTCCCAAAGGGGACAGCCCCAACTCGCACTCACTCCGTGAGCTTGATGGGGCTCGCCTTCAATAATCCAGAACGACTGCTGACCCCCCAACGTGCTTTACTATGCTCAAAGGACAGCTGTATATTGTCGATAAAGAGACGATGTGAATTTTAGATCCAAAAAATTTAGTAAAAGTGTAGGAAGCTCCCGGGTCTATCCCCAGCCCGGTCGTCCCTTACTACAGGTAGCCAGATCCCGTCCAGCCCGACCACCCGTAGTGTTCCGCGTCTACCACAGGTAACCAGGTCCCGTCTAGCCCGGTCGCCCATAGTATTGCACGCGTCCACCCTTACGAACTTACACCGTTGTTGTTGTCGCGTCCACACCTAGGTAGACCAGTATAGCGCCAACTGCCAGCAGGTACGAGGCAGTACGATGATCAACCAGACAGGTACTGGCCCCTTCACCAGGCGTGGCGGGGATAGGGACGGCTGGGAGGGGAAATACAATCGACCTGGGCTCCGGCAAGCCACAGGCGACCCCCACCGGACATGCAAACAGGTCGAACAGCATCTCCGTCACGGCACTCGGGCACGCCCAAGCACTCGAAAGCGCTGTCCTTCACGGACAAGGTGCTGCCAGGAGTGCACCTCGCGCCCCCACAGCTTCTCTCCGTGGTCCCGCCACCCTACTCAATACATCGCCCTCATCTGTGCACCGCCCGCCACTATCGCTTACCTTATGCCACTTACTCCCGTGTCTTCCCTGGTCGCAAGACACTTCCCTGGTACTAGGTCACAGGAACCCGCGTTTCGGCGCAACTGAGTGTATTACAAGTCCTGACTCGTTACTATCCAGCAACAAATCGCAACTGAGGGTCGAGCTGCCACACCGCAGCTCGTTGCCCCCACTTACTTCTAACCCCCATCGATCTACCCTATCCTATCCACTCGGCGCCTTCTAGCCTACTTGGACCTCTCCCTCTCGGGCCCTCATCTCCTTCCTCGTGGCCTCCTGGCCTCACACTCGCTCTCCAGCGTCGCCTCTCCTCTCTGCATACTCGTTCTCTGTCCTGTTCGCAGGTCACCTCGCCTTGCGATTTTCTGCAGCCGTCAACTTCAATTGCTACCTCCTGTCGCACGTAACGGTAGCCCACTGGCTCGCTTCCGTCACCACTAGCCGCCGTCCCCACACTCTTCGTCACCAACTGCTGCTCGGTGTGCCACACCAGCTACTCCGTCAAGTCGATCACGACCTGGACGCTGTTCCGCATCCTGCTCGTGTTCCTCAGAGGAGGGATGAGCCGGAATCACTTCCTTGGCCTTCGCCTTCCGCGTGCCGCAATCTCTGCACGCCCGCACCCACCGGCGGACATGCACCTGCATATCCGGCCACCAGTAATTTCTAGCAACACATGCATACGTCTGCGGTGTCCTCAGATGACCGCGTAGATCGAATCATGACTCTCACGAAGAGCACTTGCCCACAGCGCGGTGGGGAGCACCACCCGCTTGCTGCCGTCACGCTCCACGATGTGCACCACTCCGTCCTCGACCACGATCTCTACGTCGCGGTACTTGCCCCTCTGTACCAAGTTCCGCACGGTGCGATCCCATGCTTGTTCGTCCTTGATCATCTGGTTCGTCAGCTGGCCGTCACTGCCTGCTGTTTCTCGTCCTTCGTCTCGTTGCTCGACTTCTCCTCGTCCTTGCCGCCGCTGCTCGACTTCTCTTCGCCCAGCAGCTGTCACGACTCGCGCCGGTGCCCTGGACAACGCGTCCGCCACGACGTTGCCAGCGCCCGGGCGATACACTACTTCGAAATCGTACTCCTGGAGCTGTAAAGCCCAGCGATGCAACCGCCCTGTCAACTCCTTCGACGTCATCAGCCACTTCAAGGCTGCATGATCCGTCATCAACACGAACTTTCGTCCATAGAGGTACGGTCTGAAAAGTTTTACAGCCCACACCACTGCTGCGCATTCTAACTTCGTGATGCTGTACTTTGCCACAGTAGGCGAGTTGATCCGCGATGCATAGGCAATCGGCTGCTCGCCTTGCCCCAGGTCCTGGGCAAGAGCGGCACCGAGCCCCACCTGTGACGCATCCGTCACCAATCTGAATGACTTCGTAAAGTCAGGATAAGCCAACAGCGGCCTCTCCGTCAACGCCTTCTTCAAACACTCGAAAGCAGCCTGCTGAGACTCTCCCCAGTGCCAGACCACTCCCTTCCGTAACAACTTAGTCATCGGAGCCGCCTTCGCAGCGAACTCCGGCACGAACCGTCTGTAGTATCCGGCCATGTGAACGAACCTCTTCACCTCCGTCGCATCCGTGGGGGTGGGGAAGTTCTTCACGCTCTCGACCAAACTCGGCATCGGGCGCACTCCGGCGCCGTCCAACTCGTGTCCAAGATAATTCAACTTCTCCGATGCAAACGAGCACTTGCTCGCCTTCAACGACAAGCCTGCCCTCGCCAGCCGCTCCATCACCGCTGCCAGCTACACTACATGCTGGGCTACACTGCCTCTCGAGAACACAATGACATCGTCTAGGTAGACTAGACAGCTCTGCCACGTAAGCCCCCGTAATACAGCGTCCATCATCCGTTGAAATGTGCCAGGCGCGTTCGCTAACCCGAACGGCGTCCTGACGAACCGAAATAACCCCTTCCTTGTGATGAACCCGGTCTTATCACGACCCTTCTCTGCAACAGCCACCTGCCAGTATCCCGCGTGCAAGTCGAGGCTGGTGAAGCGCCTTGCTCCATGCAAATTGTCCAATGTGTCGTCGATTCGAGGTAAAGGGTACACGTCCTTCTTAGTGATAGCGTTTAGGAGGCGATCATCGATACAAAATCTGACCGAGCCGTCCTTCTTGCGCACTAACACGACAGGAAAACCCCAGGCCCCATTGGCCTCCTCGATCACTCCGTCTGCCAACAGCTTGTCCGTCTGTTCGTCAATGGCCGCCTGCTCCGAGTGCGAGTGCCGTCGTGGCCGCACTTTGATCGGTGGCTCACTCCCAGTATGAATCTCGTGACTCACACCCAACGTAGTCTGAGGTGGACACCCCTCACGTGGCTCCAGTAGCGTAGGGTAGTGTCTTAACATCCGCAATAACAACTCCCTGTCCTCCTTGTCCATGTCTCCGACTTTCAGCTCGTCTTCATTGCTCAGAGGTGCGTTCTCGTCGTGTAGATTCTCCTGCAGCCACTGCTTCACGCGCTCTCTGTCGAACTCACCGGTGTCACTTCCATGATCTGCATGTCCTCAGTTGTCGGAGCCCAAGTTCCCAGCTTCTCGCGAGACGGTAACTTCGAGGTACGCCCTATCAAGTTCATGATCGGAACGACCACTTTGCCATTACGAACTGTTGTCAATGTGGGTGCTAGCAACAGGTGCGGCTCTACACCGAGGGCGGGCGTGATCAAACCCACAGTGCCCTCAGGTGCTGCCACTGCCAGCTCCACACGATGAGACGTCCGCGTCTGCACTCGCTCCTTCCGCACCAGACGGACCTTTACTGCTCTCTCCTCGCTCTCGCTCTCCGCCGTGCAGCTGAACGGCACGACCTTCTTGTCGTCTCCGTCATACTATTTCATCTCACAGGACGTGAAGTCAATCTTGACTCCGTTCGTCAGCATCCAATCCTCGCCGAGCAAGAACTCCTCGGCCGCGCCTTCGACCTCCAGCGCGTCTACCAACATGCTCTGCCCGTACTGCGTCCTGAATCTGAACCGCCACACTCCTTCGACCTTGGCCACTGCACCTGTGGACCCTTCGACGAAGTCTACAGGTGGCAGTGTGCCGAGCCGCTCGCCGTACTCCTTCCATGCCTCGCCGGCCACGCAGAACTGCGCGCCGGTGTCCAACTTGATGTCCCGCCACTCGTCTCCAATCTCGACCTTGGCCGTTGGCTGTGCGTCCACCGCCGGGGCCTGCACAGCTCGTAGTCGTCCAACTCGTGCTGGTCTCGCACCGTCCTCCGTCCACACGACACTCGGGGCCGCGTAGACGCTGCCACTCTCGTACTGGTAGCTCCTCTTCGGCGTCCTTCGCCGCGCCACTCTCGTCACCACCGTCGTTGCCTTCGGCGGCATGAATCCGATAGCCGTCTCCTCTTCGATACTCAGCAGTCGTGGCCCGCCCTTGCCGTGCCACCGCTTCGTGTCCACGAACGCCATGTACGTCTTGTCCGGGTACGACTGCGTCGCAAGCCACTCGCGCAGCTTCCGGTCCTCACGCGCCCTCGCCTTGCGCGCCAACTTCTCATACCTCCGTCTGGTCCTCGACACGTGGACGAGCTCGTCGCCCTTCGCCATCACCTCGGTGTCCGCTGCCATTGCCACGAACTGGGGCACGGGCTGCTTCGTGCGAGCCTTCGACTCGCCCACCATCACTACAGCCTTCGCGCCGTCCCTGCTTTCCTACCGTCGAGTTGCCCACGTGCAGCACGTCGCTCACGCCACACGCGCTCTCGCTCATTCCGTTTCCGTCGCTTCTGCAGGTGCCGCGCTTCCTCGTCGGCACGCGCAGCTCTCTGCATCACTTCCGCCGCCTTCACACGTAGCACCTTGGCCTTGACAACGTCTTGTCGCCGCACTTCCGCCGCCATCACCTTCTGCACCGACTCGGGCGAGCCGTCGTCACCCCCTTCGCCGTTCGTTACCGCGTTGTCAGTGTTCGCCACATCGACCGCCGTGCCATCCGCGCCGAACTGCTCCAGCCCCTCGTCCAGCCGCTTGGACACCGCAGCCTCCAGCTCCTCGTTCGACTTCCTGACGCTCGCGTACGCCAAGCCGACCACGGCGCGCTTCTTGTTGTCTGCGCCCGTGTCGCCGACGTTGCCCACGTCCAGCATCTTCTCGACCTTGTCCTTGGCCGTCTTTGTCATCGGCGTCTGCTCCTCGCTAACGAACTCTTCCCCGATGCCGTGATCGGCCACCACGAACCGCACGTGCTTGGTCTCCGTCATCACGCGCGACTTCCCACTCGTGCTCGCCACCTCGTTCTTGTCTGCAGCTGTGACGGCCACGGACACAGCCTGTGCCGCGCCATCCCCAGACCGCAGAACCGCTCTTCCACCAGCCGCATGCCGTGCGTGCAGCACGCCGCCATCCCCAGTTTCAGCCACGCCGTGCCGGACTTGCTTCCTCGCCGCTCCAGCTGCCACCTTCTTCACTCCGCTGCTCCGGCTCCTGGTCGCTGTCGCACTCGTCCTTGCAGCACCACGCGGGAGCCGTTGCTGCTGCCCGTTGACCCGCCCTCGTACTACTGCCAACTTCTCACCCGGATCAGGTCTTGCGAGCGATAAGACCGGGGATCTTATGCTCGCGGACCGTTTCCCGACCTGTTCTCGTCGTTCGCCGCCTCCTCAGACGCCACCGTCGCGCCCCCAGCCGCTAAATCAGCTTGCTTCAGCGTGCAGTTGCGCGCGAAGTGCCCCGCGAAGCCGCAGTAATAGCACTCTGTGCCCTCTCTCGGCACGAACGCTCGCGGTGGCGCCCTGCTTGCCATGTAGCGTTCATGGTTGCGCAATCGTCCTTCTCGAGTAGCCAGCGCCGGATTGCTCGGGCCACTACCCGATCCATGCGCTCCTCCTCCGTACTTACTCTCGACCTTAAAGGTCTTAGCCGGTCTCTTCGTGTTCTGGTCGCTTGCCGGCCGCTTGCCGCTCTCAACACGCGTCTGCCCGCCACTGGTTTGAAATTTTGAACCGCCAGCGGTACCACTTGAAGTACCGGCCGGTACCAGTTGAAAACCAGGTGGGATGGCCTTCCACCACTCACCCGCACTGGCTTTACCGGTATCCACCGGTCTCCCTTCCGTATCGTACCGTGGTGGCTTCGGAGCGGCACCCCAGCCGGGCCCGTACCCCGAGACCACATTCCACGTGTTGCCGCCGACTGCCGACTGCTCTCTTCCGCCGCGTGCCTTCGCCGCCGCCAAGGGCCCGCGCCCGCTCGTGGCCTCGCGTGCGTCCCACGCGGCCATCGCCTCCTCCAGTCTGCTCCCGTATCCTTCGCCGTAGTCTCCGACCTGGGGAATCGCCACACTCAGCGCTTCGTCCAGCGTCTTCGGCCGGTGTCCGCGCACGTGCGTCGCCCCCTCCGTGCTGCTCATGCTTTTCAAGAACGCGCTGACCTGCCAGTCGTCGCCGATCTCGCCACGCTCGGCGATCTCGCGCAGCGCCTGCGCGTAGTCGACGAGCCGCTCTCCTTTCATCTGCCGACGCGCGTTCAGCAAGTCGACCACCTCGGGACCCGACCGCTGCGTCATGTACTTCGCGCGTAGCATCGCTGCTAGCGTGTTGATGCTCTCTTCTTCCGGCTGCACCGACCCATCACGGTCGCGAACCAGCGCTTCGCCTCGCCCTCCAAGTGCGACGCGACTTCGTGGTACAGCTGATTCTCGTTCCACTCGACGCCCATGGTGACCGCCTGCCGACGCACCTCCTGACGCACCGTCTTGAGCCACATGCTCACGGGCATCATGTCGTCAAGCCCCTTGAATTTCGTCAACTTCAGTGCTTTCGTCTTCTCACGGACGACGATGGGTGCCGCCGCCGCTCTCATTCTCGCTGCTCCAAGTGTCGGTGGTGGGGTCGATGCGCGTCCAGGACCAGCGCCACCGTGTCCGCCGCCACCTCCAGTTCCCGTCAAGTCGACGTAGCCGCCGGAGAAGCTGGTGGCCGCCTTACGTTGACCAACCCGCTCACCGTGACCACCGTCACCCCCCTTTCCGTCATCCCCGTGTCCGCCGCCACGTCGACCTCCGTCTCCCGCTGTGGGCGACGTGCCGCCTCCAGTCAAGTTGCTTCTAGCCACGTTGCCACTGCTGCCGCTGGTGGACCGTTCGCCGTCGTTGCCACCGGCCGGCTCACGACCACTGCCAGCCCCTTCGTCTCGTCCGGGCCGACCACGACCACCTCCGCGTCCGTCACTCGCCGATCCCAGTGGCGTGTCACCCGACGTGCTGGTGATCACCGAGGATTCCAGTGTCAGCGTGCCGCTGTCGCCAGTGTCCCCAGCCACCTCCGTCGTCTCCTTCGCTCTTCTCGTTGCCTTCGCAGCCGCTCGCTCCGCAGATGCAGCGCGTCGCTGCGCTCGTTCGTCACGTGCCACCACATTCGTAGCCATTCTCTTAGCTCTAACACAATTAATCACAATCATCTCAGTCAGTTCCCCATTCCTCACTCTCTTCTCATCCGATCCTCTTCCATGCTGCGGGGTTTGCCCACGGAAAGCTCAGCTCGCATGCCAACTCCATTTGACATGCCCAGAGAGGCTCTGTTTATGGCCACCATGTAGGAAGCTCCTGGGACTATCCCCAGCCCGGTCGTCCCTTACTACAGGTAGCCAGATCCCGTCCAGCCCGACCACCCGTAGTGTTCCGCGTCTACCACAGGTAACCAGGTCCCGTCTAGCCCGGTCGCCCATAGTATTGCACGCGTCCACCCTTACGAACTTACACCGTTGTTGTTGTCGCGTCCACACCTAGGTAGGCCAGTATAGCGCCAACTGCCAGCAGGTACGAGGCAGTACGATGATCAACCAGACAGGTACTGGCCCCTTCACCAGGCGTGGCGGGGATAGGGACGGCTGGGAGGGGAAATACAATCGACCTGGGCTCCGGCAAGCCACAGGCGACCCCCACCGGACATGCAAACAGGTCGAACAGCATCTCCGTCACGGCACTCGGGCACGCCCAAGCACTCGAAAGCGCTGTCCTTCACGGACAAGGTGCTGCCAGGAGTGCACCTCGCGCCCCCACAGCTTCTCTCCGTGGTCCCGCCACCCTACTCAATACATCGCCCTCATCTGTGCACCGCCCGCCACTATCGCTTACCTTATGCCACTTACTCCCGTGTCTTCCCTGGTCGCAAGACACTTCCCTGGTACTAGGTCACAGGAACCCGCGTTTCGGCGCAACTGAGTGTATTACAAGTCCTGACTCGTTACTATCCAGCAACAAATCGCAACTGAGGGTCGAGCTGCCACACCGCAGCTCGTTGCCCCCACTTACTTCTAACCCCCATCGATCTACCCTATCCTATCCACTCGGCGCCTTCTAGCCTACTTGGACCTCTCCCTCTCGGGCCCTCATCTCCTTCCTCGTGGCCTCCTGGCCTCACACTCGCTCTCCAGCGTCGCCTCTCCTCTCTGCATACTCGTTCTCTGTCCTGTTCGCAGGTCACCTCGCCTTGCGATTTTCTGCAGCCGTCAACTTCAATTGCTACCTCCTGTCGCACGTAACGGTAGCCCACTGGCTCGCTTCCGTCACCACTAGCCGCCGTCCCCACACTCTTCGTCACCAACTGCTGCTCGGTGTGCCACACCAGCTACTCCGTCAAGTCGATCACGACCTGGACGCTGTTCCGCATCCTGCTCGTGTTCCTCAGAGGAGGGATGAGCCACCACACCTCAAAGCTTTTGCACAGACATTGTCTTATACGTAGTAGTATTTATACTAGCTTTCATGGTATTTTGCGGATCTATCCAAAACAGTATACGACCTGCGAGCTGCAGTACCTATGACATAAACCTGAGCTCGTTTGTTGTCTTTTGCACCCCTACACCAAGTTAGGAGTGTCGTCTTATGTGATGCCTGAATCGAATCGCGATGTGATCAACTCAAGTATGACATCTATTGAGAAGGAACCTCCGCGTTTACAGGTATGAGCGCCAGCCAATGTTTTAGCATCTTTTGCAGGTACTTGTGGGCATCATCATCGTTTGTGGCTTCACTGAAAGCCCTGAGAGGACTCCACCCCTCCTCCGTTAAACTCCCGTCCAAAGGGACATTTGTCACTGGCTGGCCATCTTCGGCCTGTCGACTCTCCCAATGACCAGTCTTAACCGCGTTGAAGACATCGCCAATCGCCGGCGCTCCCGAAGCCACCTTGAAATCGTACTGGGTAAAGAAAGTGAGAGCAAACGCATCTAAAACGCTTTGGTGCCAGAGCTTAACCCCCTTCATCGTGTGGTGCTTGACAAGAGGAAGCTCCACCAGCACTTGGATCTCACGGCTTCCGGGCTTGAAGCCCGCTTCGAAAAATTCCCCCAGCTTCAGAGTAGAATACATCTCTTCATAGTGCCTGCCGATACAGAGTATGATGAGATGATTTCCCCGTGGAAATTGGAGGAAGTTTTTGGTCTGGACTTCGAGCCCGCGGACGGCGAGATTCAAGTCGTCGTGGAGCTTCCAAAGTAGAAGATCCACCAAGAAGCCACATCAGTACGAGCGAGTGAGCGCGGAGGAGTCTTGTCGGGAGTTCCTGAACGCACTAGCGCAGAAGCTTGCCAGTGTCTACGATTTCGACTACGAGTTTGTGTGTCCGACAATTGCGGATATCTTCCGCGCTGTTGATACAGGCGACTGGAAGCGTCGGATCGTGTATGGCGACTGCGTGACCTCGATCCCCCTGGCCGAGTGGTTCAATGCGGAGGAACTGCAGCTGCTAAAGGAGCTGCACAAGTGCACAAGTGGCTATTGGTATGTTCTTGATGGGTTTATCCCCGTATCAAGTAGAGGGAGCCGCTTCATAGGCCTACCGCACAGCCTCTACCGAGAGGATCGAGTGAGAAAGCTGAAGCAGATTGCCGTGAAAATGAAGATTGTATCGGATCCGGATGATTTTGACGTTCAAGATGGCGCTGAATTCCCCGGTAAAACGCGAAGGAAAAGGGGCGACTCTGTTCGGCTGCTGCGAGATGTCCATCTTAGTGCGTCTTCCTTCACGGATGTAAGCGATGCTGTTGCCAAAATGCGCTTGGGAGAGATTGCAGCGCGAGATGACGAAGTGTTTCAGCAGGGATCCATGACGGCTCTATAAGATTCAGAGTTGAATTGGTTGGCGTGGAGATGTCGAGCAAGCCGGGCCCTCTCTTAGGCAAACAAACAATTGGAGGATAATCAAAACTGAGTAAAATGGGTGAAAACCTAGGCGTCCCGCTTGCCCCGCCATCGTTTCTCAAAAGAGTTCCACAAAGGCGACTCAGTCCAGAATCAACCCCCGTATACTATCAGCATTGCAGCGTTTCCCCAAGTTGGCCCTAACACAAGATGCACCTTACCTGTGTAGTCCTGGTGGTGGGTATTCTCGTCGCAAGCTGCATGGACTTGGTCAACGCCAAATACATCAGCCCAATTTACGCTGCATCAGACACCGAGTCCTTTGACTCGAACACCAAACTTCGGCGTTCCAGAGGGAGCCCTCAACCGGAAGACGAAGAAAGAGCGATCGCACCCCCGAATCCTCCGCATATCGTGGAAGCAATCAACTCGCGACCTGCTACGAATGTGGTGAACGTGGCAGACGGTCACCCGCTACCAAAGTGGGCGAAGGCTCTAGTTGTTCTCGTCGGCCTCGGAATTGTGTCGGGCTCCGTTTTCGGCTCAATCAAGTTATTCGGGATGTAAAAACTCGCGAGGAACATGAACCAGTTGACGTGACAACGATTTGCGCTGCTATGGATTCGCGTCTGAAGAATTTTTTATTAAGCTCGAGTTAAACAAACTTATGCCTTATTCGGGAATGCAACCATCGACTCAGACCAGTATGCGTCATGTGCAGATCGAAGCGGGAGAGCTGGAACTGTAGCGGAGAGATATCCACTTAGTAGATACTCTTGCAGCAACCCCCGCGCATCTGCTGTACGGACCAGACATACCGTCACACAGCTTGATCACGAACTCACAGTCTGCTTTGCCATCTTCGATATGCTTGCAGTTGTCCTCAAACCGGGCGAAAGTTTCATTCAAAAGCACGAGTGGAAACGGAGGCTCGCCGCCCGAGCGTTAGACGCGATGACACTCGATCTGACCGTCGAAATCCGTGAGCCAGCGCACCCGATACCCCTTTTCTCCTTGGCAATTTGCGAACGATAAAGGCGTGGTGTACTCCTTCATTTCGGCCAGGGTTCTCTTCTTGCGCATAACCATGTCCGTGGACTGCTTCAGAGTCACCACCAGCACGTGGACGTGCCCTTCACCTGTTGCAAAGTTGTCTCCTAAGCGCTGCGGATTCTTGATCAATATAGCGTGCGAGAATCTCGCAGCGAGGTACTATGACGGGTTTCAGACAACAGCATCTTTTTTTTTGTTTTTCGCAGTGAGGTACATTGATGTCACTTAACTTCTTTGGCTAACGAACTCCAAAGCCTCCGCGACATCTATTCACATGAGCTTAGAAGGAATCAGTTCTTTATTGGCAAGTGACAGTGCAGAGCTTCGTTGCCCTTGGCTGTATTTTCCCGTATTGTCTTCAGTACCGCGATCTTCGCATTTTGCGCTTCGATGGTACGTTGCTGTGCTTTGACTTTTAACTTCAGGTTGCAGGCGCGCGATCTGCCTCTCCAGGGCAGTGATCTTGCCATCTTGAGCGCTGATCTTGTCGCGAATTGCCTTGATCTCGTCGTTGTGGACCTTGATCCTGTCGTCAAGTGCCTTGATCTTGCCGTCCTGGGCCTTGATCTTGCCGTCCTGGGCCTTGATCTTGCCGTTGAGTGCCTCGATCGTATCGTTTTGTGCCGCGACCAGCTTGGCAGTATCCACATTAAAAGTTTGCAAGAAGAAGAAAATGTTCTTGAGCTGCTCAATTTGAGCCAAACTTGTCGGTACTATCGCGGGTAGCGAAGCTGGAGGTGGCACATTCTCCACCATTACTACCACCAATCCTGGATCTGCTCCTTACTGGACCGTCCACGCGCTGTTGCCTTGACGGGGATTTTTGCCCTCAGAGAAATAATAAAAAGTGACATGAGGCACCTTCATATACCGTAGTGAATCTACCACCATCCATCGTTTGAGTAGGTCGGTCTCTATCTCCGGGAAAACATCAATCGTACAAGCTCCATTTCGCGATGGCACCACAACCTGGTTTCAGCCAACATGAACGTGGAGCCTCAAGTAATCATCCCGGCAAAGCCAGTGACGGAGACAGCAAGGCCTGCGCCGGACGTGGTATAGATGCTCAAGGACCAGGTTCGAAAAACTATGGACATGCAAGCCGCCCTGTCGGTGCTAACACGCAGTATCGAGGACAAGTTCGCACGTTTGAGAGTCGAGACTGAAGAACTTAAAGCCAGGGTTGGATGTTTAGAAGCCAAGACTGAAGAACCAGCGTCGCACTTTTGGAAGCTGACACTAAAGAACTTCAATCCAGGGTCGGACGTTTGGAAACCGAGCGAGAGGACTATAGCAAGCTCAATGAGAAGGTCACGAGTCTGGAGGAGGAGCTGAATGTCAAGGACAGGCACTTCAACGAGAAGTTGAAAGCCTTGGACGAAAAATTTGAGACGCAGGCCAAGACGATCGGGTCGCTGATGATTCACCGCGAGCGGGCCCAAGATGTCTGCCTACACGGTATGCTGGAACGGTGACGGAAGGAACTTGTGACCAAGCTACCGGAGCGCCGCATGCACGAGACCAGAACTGCCTGGCTCAAGCGCGCTACAAAGGACCCATTTGTCGTTTGGGTCTTCGAACAGTACAACATCATCTCCGAACGCATTCACCAATTGCCTACAAAGGACGAAGCGAAGGATGCATTGACTCGTCTTGACCCATCAGACAAGGACCTGGTGGAAAAGTACAACGAGATGTTTGCCCGCCTCTACCCTGAATGACGCAGTCTTCCTGCGTGTCTTCCGGCGTCCCCGGAGAAGCCACTCCCCGCAGCAATTCCTATATTTTCTCTAATACGGTGCGTGTGTTTCTTTGATTTGGTTGTCTGACATAGCAGTGCCCCAGCACATTAACGTGCCCTGTGGCTGAGACTACCAGCGCGCTAGGGACACTTCTGTAGGAACGATAATGCTCATCCGACGAGGAAGGATCTCCTGGCCCGGGTAAATGGTAGCTAACCTATTGGCCTTTCTTGGCGGGTTTATCCCATAACAAAAAAGCAATCTTCTTCATCAATAGCCAAGCTTTAAATCTTGCGATGCATCCCAACGAAGTTTACTTGAGTAAAAGAACGTAAATGCCTCTTTAAGGAGTGTTTTTATTTATTGTGGAAACCGATTAGATTGTCCGAGCGGATTAGCTGATAAAGCAGCGTTCATGAGGGATTTGACTAGTAGTAAATCGAGGATTCCTATGATTTCATATGGCATCGGTAAGGGTATAAATCGGTGTAAGGTTAATAAAATAGGGGTTGCCTCATTACCGCCTGCAATGCGAGGAACGACCACTTACCGCCACGAGCTAATGTTTCGCGCACCTACTAACGAGGAATAGCATCGCGTGCATTAAATACGCTTCTGTGAGCAGTCGATATGTACTGTACTGCTATCTATTTATCAAGTTGTGAAGTCCTGTATTTGCGCTGTCATTTCTCGTCAGCATTAGCGTTTGTCGGTTTTACTTTAAATCGGCCGCCGAATGCCGAGTGGGTGTCGGACATTCGGGCTGATTAGCATGCAAATCAGCCGTCCAAGGCTTTGTAAGTCGTGGAGTAGCTAAATCAGCTTGCCACATGGCGATGTAGGCACAACAGACTGCTCTGTCAAATCAGAGTACAAAGCTTAGGCTGTCGATCTAATTAGGAGGTCGGATTTGCTAAATCCGACTCGATTAAGCTTAATCATCTACTTAATCAACCGATTTATACTCCAATTAGACAATATAATCGGTTTCCACAATATTTCTGTTTCAACGAAAAGTGGTTGGTTGGTTTCTACTCAAAACTCATCTTTTTTAGGGGTTCGGACGAGTAGTACTACCTAATTGCTTTGGTTTGCCTTCACCAATCCAAAAATGGTGCCTGACGCCATCCCGAGGCCAGCGAGAAGAATCATTATCTTCGCCGGCATCGGTATCGGGGGTCGATTCACGTTGTCCACCGAAGACTTCGATTTGAATAATTTATGAAGACGCGGAGGAGACGGCGGTGCGATCACTCGTTCTTCCGTCTTCCAGTTGCGGTCTCCCCCTGAGACGCCTGATCTGGGAGAACCGGTCTGACACCGGTATCCCATAGTTATCATGAACGCGCAGTAAGTCATGCAGTACAGTAAGTCATGCAGTACTTCACGTAGGATGTTATTGACGTGTTGAATTAGTTTGAACTAGAAACTAATTCAACACGTCAATAAGAAATCAAAGTTCAGTCACCATCGGTTTAATTTAGTACGGTAGCTCGAAGCCAGTCTTTGCTCCTGCGGGCCATGCGATGTCTGAGTTCATGAACGACGGATATTAAAATTTAGTACAAAGGACAAATTTTGTCCACCCCATCTTTTCCGGACCAGTCGATGCAACGCATGGCGTTGTTCTCGCGCTGATCGCCGTGGACGAACGACGCATCTTCCAGCGATCTCTTGATTTCAAGCAGTTGTTACGCACCATCGTGTTACTTCCTCACCTGAAAGTCACCATTGCATCATTGGCTCCACGCTCCGAGATCGGCAGCAATGGAAGACGCTTCATGCCGACCAACACCCAGCCACTAGGCAAAACCTCGCAGAATAGAAGAGCCGGGGCGATATCCGCCTTCGAGCAGTACTCGTGGACCACCTCCCCGTAGCGTTTAGCCAGCTTCACAATGAACACCCTTCCATCGGGACACTTTGCCGTGAAAATAAACCGCTGGACGGCTCCAGTATATTGGAACGAGAGTATTGATCCATCCACATGGTCCAAGTCCTTGTACGGAAATCGCAGTCGATTAAGACCAAGTGCACTATGGAACGTCTCTCGTGTGGCACTCTGCCGCTGACATTCCCACCGTTAACTCATATCAGCCACTCGTTGTCAAAGTACAGTTGGGGGAAGCCCATGACTCGCAGATCGCGTCTTCGTCGCTTGTGTTGACGATTCTGCAGTGGGCCGCAAATGTCCCCCAGGACTTGAGCTATAAGATAATCGAAAAACAATCTAGTCGTGAATACCACTCAAAGTGCGTATTCAAAGTGTACATTTGAGGGCCCATGCGAGATACACTCGTCACCACATCGAATTTGTAGGAGGGAATCCCACATGACGTGGTTTTCGGCGTGGACATACCGCTTTGCCAGCACAACTTGTGGGGGGGGACAGTAAGTTTTGCGTACGAACCGATGGTAATGTTACTTTATTTACGCTGACCCAGTTTTTCGCCGTGCGTAGGGGCCCTTCGGTAGTCTCTTCAACCAAGCTCTGGCCAACTCGAGTGATCAACGTTTAGCTCGAGCGTTCATCCCCGGGGCAAGTATCTGATCAATTTTCCTAGGAGCCACCACGAATCGTCAACGAAAAAAAAAAGACGATCTCTTTGTTTCAGCTCACATTCCACGCGATAACGTGATTAACCTGCAGCTTCTGAGTCGCGGAAACGAGTGTAGGTGGTCAGCGTGTGGCCGTGAAGATGCTGTTTGAAGTTGTTGAAAAAGGAGACGGTGGTGGAGCCCGCCGATGCAGAATCTGGCGTTCTACCTCAAGAACTTGCCAATGTGGTTGACCGCCAATTTCCAGATACATTTCCAGTAGGCGGCTATTTTTTTTAAAAACTCGCGCCTGCGCTTCCGTGTTGGAGATCACAATCAAACTACATCGCCTCACATGATGAGGAATCAGTTCCTTGCTTACAACTTGTACTGCAGAGCGTGGGTGTCCTTGGCCGTCATCTCGAGATTGACTTCGAGCTTAGCGATCTTCGCATTGTCCGCTTTGATGGCATGTTGCCGTTTGTCAGCTTGAAGACGGGCGATCTTTGTACCTAGCTTCGCTATCTCGCCATCTTGATCATTGACTGTGTACTTGAGTGCCTTGATGTCGCCGCCATGTGCCTTGATCTTGTGGTCCTGCCCCTGGATCTTGTCATTCTGAGCCTTGATCTCGTGTTTCTGGGCCTGATCTTGTCGTCCTGCGCCGCGACCAAGTTTTGAAGCTCCGCTTTGAGAGCTTGGTACTCACGGGACAAAATGGCCCTGAGCTCTTCAATCATGCCTGCTGGAGGCTGTCGCGAGTTCTGATGCTGGTGGTGCCGCATCCCCCACCATCACTACCGCTGATATTAGACTAGCTCTCCTGGGTTCGCTCTCAGCAAAAAGAAATAATCAAAGTGATATGAGGCGCCCTCGTGAATCTACTACCATCCATTATTTGAGTATTTCAAAAGTTGGTTGGAATCTGTCTGTATAAGTACCCGGTCGGTCTCTATCCTGAGGAAACATCAATCGTATTCACAAGTTCACATTCAACCACCATTTGAGACCTGACAACAAGACATACCAGCCAACATGAACGTGGAGCCTCAAGCCATCAGCCCGGTGAAGCCAGCCACAGCGATTGCAAGCCCACCGCCGGACGCGTTAGCGGCGCTCAACGACCAAGCTGGAATAAACAAGCAACTGAAAAACTCATGTTGGCGCTCCAACGCAGAATGGACGACCAGGAGGACAAGATCGGCGTACTTCCAGACACGAATGGACAGCTTCAAGCCGAGATCGGCGGACTTCGAGACAGGGTCCGGCGCTTGGAAGGCGACAATAAAGAAATTCGAGCCACAAACAAAAAGCTTCAAGCCACGGTCGGACGTTTGGAAGGCGAAAATGAAGAACTTCAAGCCACGGTCGGACGTGTGGAAGGCGAGCTTCAAGCCACGGTCGAGCGTTTGAAAACCGAGCGAAAGGACTACGACAAGATCAATGAGAAGGTCGCGAGTCTGGAGGTGAAGCTGAACGCACAGGCCAGGCTCCACAGCGAGGGGCTGAAAGTCCTGGACGACAAGATCAAGAAGCAGGCCAAGACGATTGAGTCGCTGATGATCCCGGCCCGAGATATCTGCCTACGCGGTATGCTGAAACGATGCCGTGAGAAACTTATGGCCACGCTACCGGAGCGCCGCACGGCTGAGCCCAGAACTGCCTGGCTCCAGCGCGCTACAACGGACCCATTTGTCCTGTGGGTCTTCGATCAGTGCCAAGCCGTCTCCAAGCGCATTCACAAAAACTGTCCTGGAGAGGAAGAAGCGAAGGAAGTACTGAAGTCTCTCAACCAGGACAAGGACAAGGACAAGTACAAGCAGTTGTTTGACCACCTATATCCAGGATGCCGTAAGTGATGCCGTCCTCCTGCGCGTTTTGCAGCGCCCACGCAGAAGCCGCTCCCCTCAGCAAACCCTCGAGTTCCTTAATATGATGCGTCTTTGAAGCGTAGGTGCGTGTTTCGTTGTCTTGATTGTCTTCGTTGACCTCGGCATATTCACGTGTCCTATGGCTCAGACTACCAACCCGCTAGACAATGCTCAGCAACACTCATGAAAACAACACACCCACTTAGTACTTGACATTTTCACTCGACAACTACCCCACCTTTCTCCACATCCTCCGCTAATATCGTATGGAGCTTGTAGAGCGCTTCAGAAGCCGTCGGCCGGGCCTTGGGGTCTAGCGACACACAGGAGTTGCCCAGTTCCACGACCGCTTTGGTCGCTCCTTTGGAGAACTTGACGTGGAGCTTCCCTATTGCCACCATTTGCAGGATCGCAGGCTCGGGCAATTGTCGACTCGAGTCGTTGGGGTCCTTGGCGTGCCAGTACGGCGAGGAATGCGTGTCTAGCTCCGACAACACAACACCAAAGGAGAACATGTCGGCCTTGTCGTCATACTTGTCCCCGATCATCACCTCCGGTGCCATCCACAGGCACGTCCCAACGCCTCCGGTCATGGACTCGTTCACTCGCTCCCGGGACGTCCCAAAGTCCGTGAGCTTAGCGTCCAGCTTCTCGTTCAGCAAGACGTTCTTGGACTTGAGGTCGCGGTGGATTATCGGAGGGTCCAGCGAGTGCATGTACGTCAACGCGTGGGCGATATGCAGCGCGATCTTGAGCTTCTCCCTGCTGAAGCCCATGGGATACTCCTGCTCTTCGTAGTCACTCAGCAGCGCCTTCAAGTCGCCTCCAGCCATAAACTCCGACACGACGCACATGTTCGTCAGCGAGTCCCAAGCCACGCCAATGAACTCGACGATGTGAGGGTGCTCCATGGACGCCATCATCTTCACCTCAGCTAGCAAATCGACAACATGTGAGATACTGCGTCGGGTTTCAGGCAACAACATCTTCACGGCCACGCGCCGGCCTCCATACAGTCCGGAGTACACGACTCCAAAGCCCCCGCGACTCAAAAGCTGCACGACCACCACTTTATCCCTTGGAATGCGCGCTGCCACCACGAAATCGTCTTCCCATGGACGATTCGTCGTGGTTCCTTGGAATATCGAGCTGCTACTTGACCCGGGGATGAACGTCCGCGCTGACCGCTGGTAACTCGAGCTGGAGCTTGATCCAGGCACGAACGTCCGCCCTGAACGTTGATAACTGGAGGTGGCAGTCCGACCTGAACGTTGAAAACTCGAGCTGAAGCTGGAGAGAACGGGGTTGAACGAGCGCGTCATCGTCTGCTCTGGGAAAGTCGAGCACGTGCTGCTGCTCAAACTGCTCAAGGGCAGAATCGTCCGCCCACTCACGGGTTTCGACATATACACCATGTCGTCTGGCTCCAGCATGGCGACACTGTTGTTGTGCTCCGTGTTCCTCGCCAGCATCAGCTTCCGCTTGGTCGATCGCCACTTCCACGCGACGAACGCAACGACGCTCAGGACCAGCACGGCAGCTACCGACAGCGAGCCGATCAACGTCGCAGCGCTGAATCTCTGACCCCCGTCGTCCGCCACAGACTCGATCGTTACCGAAGTACCCGAAGCAGAGCTCGACGCTGCGTCACTACTGGACGAACTAACACCGGTACTCACCCTCACAACGTCGTCGTCCGCGTTGACGTAGAACCTGCTGGAGAGATAGCACTCGTGCTCTGCGACCTGCGTCAGGTTTGTCGACACTATGGAGTCGGGCGTCTTGCTGCAGCGCGCGGCATTGAAGAACTGGATGTTCACTGAGCCGTCCTCGAGGATCAACGCGACGGTGGAGGCGTTGGCAGCCGCCGAGATGGACGAGATGGCGTACGGCATGCAGCGGTTCAAGGCCTGCAGCACGTGGGTCTGCGCGTAGCTGTCGGCGCTGCAGTTGCCTCGACTGAACTGCTCCATCACGATGTAGCTGGATCCTGCGAACGCGGTGGCCGCGAGGTCCGGGACGCTGACAGCGTCGTCGACGCAGGTCGTGTTGTAGTAGTACGTGGCGCCTCCGAACTCAATGGACGTGCAGCTCTGCAGGCTGCAGCTCGAGGCTGGGGCCAGGATCTGCATACTGAAGGGGGTAATCCTGCACTCGGAGTCATTGTACAAGGCCACCGCCTTCAGCATCGCCGCGTCAGCGCTGCTGCTCACTAGCAAGAGGGAGATCGCCACAAGCGGCCAGCAGCACTGCAGCAAGGCCATGGTCGTTCGGGAATGAGCGCGGGACTCGGCGTGGATTGGATTCCATCTTCTTTCTTCTGCCTCGGAGCTTCCGACTCTCTTGGCTCATCCAGAGTCCAGGACCTGCATGGAAGGCATGGAATATTGGTGAGTGGCATGGAGCCCAACATGGATGGGGGCATACAGCGCGTCGTGTTTACCTTCTTCAGCTGGAACGATGGAGCGCTACGCTACGCGTCGTGGCATTGTCCGAGCTGCTGGAAGGCTTCGAGAGGCAGCATCGCCAGCCGCTGGCCACGCTTCCGCGCGCGGTTGAGCTCCGCGCAGCGCTCGCGCGCCTCGTCGTACGTGCAAGTGACCGTCTCACCCTGCTGGGTGAGCTGCTGGCGGTGGCGGAAGTCCGTGTAGCTCGTGTAGAAGACGTACTCGCGCAGCACGAGCGTCGAGGCGAACTTGTCCTTGTCCTTGTCGACTGTGGCAGCCTCCGCGCGCTGCTTCTGCTGGTTGGCTTGCAGCTCGAGCCGCTTGGCCTCCACGGCTTCTTGCTTGGAGACGCCGCCGTACTGCTCCAGCTTGGCCGCGCGGCCGCGCTGCTGGTACTGCTCCTGGATGGAGACCATCCCCTTGAAGGCGTGCAACAGTGCGTCGCGTACACGACGGCCAGAGTCTCCTGGCTCCAGCATGGCCAGGGCCGACGCCACGGCTTCGAGAGTCGACATGCAGCCCTCCATCGGCTCACTACAGATTACGCTCAAGTCAGTTAGATCAGCTCAGCGCCACCTTCGTCCAACTAGAGCAGTTCTTCCTCACCGCCTCAAGTCGCCGTAGATGCTACGCTTGGGCGGAGCTGTAGCTGCGTCCGCCGCGCCTTCCTCGCTGTCCAGGCAGATGTAGTGCAGCCCGGCGCCACGTGCCTCCCAGTCGCGCGCAGCCTTCTCCCAGTGCTCCCGATTGCGCCGCGCGATCTTCTTGGCCTCCTTCCACGTGCCGTCGATGACTACGAGCAGCACGCGCTTCACTGCAGCATCAGCACTCCCCTCTCCTGTCTCTTCGCCACTCGCAACCTGCAGCGGTCGCGCGTGCTCGTCCGGGAACAGCACCATGGCCGCGTCGAAGCTTCCGCCCCCTCCTTCATCGTACAACAAGGCGTCGAGCCGCTCGTCCACGCCGGGGCCGCAGTCGCAGTCGTCGTCCACTGTAACGAGCGTCACGCTCTCCAGCGTCTGAGCCAGCACCGGCACGGACGAGATGGCTGCACGCCGCCGCTTCTCATGCTTGTGCTGCAGCACCAGCACGTGCGTGAGCTCGGTGGCCAGCGGCTGAGCTGGCAGCGACGCGCAGTAGCAGACGCGCGGCGGCCGTCGGCAGCGCGCACAAGCCTCTCGTCGAGAAGAAGCGTCCTCCGCCATCCAGGCGCAAAATTCAAGAGTGACTCAAGAAGGACCACTTGTCCACAAGGACAGGTAACTAGAATCAAAGATGGACAAGAAAGAAATGGGTACAACAAACACTTGCATGGCTGGTTCAGGAAGAGAAGAGGTCTTTTACCGGACGTTCCTTACGAGATAGGATTAATTAAGCTACGCGCTGAGCTTAGGCCGTGGGCTGGTACACGGGGTCCACGGGGGCGGGGGCAGCGGCCGGGGCGGCAGCGGGCACCACCGGGGCCGTGGGCTCCACGTACGGGCGGTAGACCTCCTCCTTGGGCTCGAGGATGGTCACCACGTCGTCCAGAGCGCGCTTGGGGCCCTGCTTGCCCGTGGGGTCGTGCGGCAGCATGATGGACACCTTGACGCCGAGCACACCCTGGCGCATGAGCACGTGGCGCACAGCCGTGTCCACGTACTCCTGCGAGGCGTTACCGGTCTTGACCATGTAGCCCTCGTTGAACTTCATGGCCTTGGCACGCTGCGCGCGCAGCTTGCCCGACACGATGACCTGCACGCCCTTGGCGCCGGCCTCCATGACGAAGCGCACCACCGAGTAGCAGGCGCGGCGCACGGCCAGGCCGCCGAGAAGACGGTACTTGAGCGACTCGGCCTGGGCCTGCGAGCACAGGCCGCGGTTGGCCACGCGCTCGGCGTAGAGCTCCACGGCTCCGTCCGGGAAGTTGAAACGCTTCTGCACCACCGAGGTCAGGGCGCGGATGCGCTGGCCCTTCTCGCCGAGCACCTCCTGCGTGCGCGTGGCACGGATGATGATCTCCGTGCGCATGGGGGTCACGCGCACCTCGACTCCCGAGTAGCCGTCGCCGTACAGCTCGCGCTGCAGCAGCTCGTTCAGCTCGGCGTAGAACACACCGTCGGCCACGAACTTGCGCTTCTTGGAGATGTTGGCAGCCATCTTGTCTTCTTCTCTTGGAGATTCCTGAGTGAGCTGCACGGAGGCCAAAGCGGCGGCGGGCTACGAGTACGCGCTCAAAGCTCGGCCGCAGCCAATCAATTTGCGATGGGCACCATGTACCACTGGCTATCAAATATTGCGATCTCTCTGTCATACCTAATCGAACGTTAGTTCTCTCAAATATGTTTGAACGTCCGATTGGCGTTGCGCCCGACTTGCGCGCTCGAGCCATTTTCTAATCCAAAAGTCGGGCCGCAACGCCAATCGGACGCCGCAGTCGGACGCCAAAAGCGCCAATTATACAGGGGTAGGGGCTAGGAGGAAGGCGTAGTTTATTGTCTTGGGCGTTACGATGCGTCAGCACGAAATCGACATTTTGACGCATGCTGCAATCATTAAAGTACGATGACAGCGGAGACTGCGACCGCATTGGAGAGAGAAGCAGGCACGAAGCGGCAACGCATCGAGCGTCTGATCCAGCGCGGAGACCTCCTCGCCAACGCGCAGCAACAACGACACAATGGTACGCCCTGTAGGCTACGTAAGAGCTCGTCGCGCAAGGTGTCCTCTTCGCAGGTTTTCGTCGCCAAACGGTCCTCCTGGACGCCGCAGGAGGACGCGAAGCTGTGCAAACTCGTGCAACAGCTCGGCACCAGCAGCTGGAGCGAGATCGCGACGCATTTCCCCGCGCGCGACCGCAAGCGCTGCCGAGAGCGGTTCGTGAACCACCTGGCGCCGTCGCTCGCAGCGCCGCGGGACTGGAGCGCCGCGGAGGACGAAAAGCTGCTGCAATTACAGGCTTCAATGCGCTCTCAGTGGGCCAAGATGGCTCGACAATTGGCTGGTCGGAGCGCTGAGAGCGTCAAGAACCGCTGCCTGCTGCTGGCCAGGCGCGCGGAGGACCAAGCCGATGGCAGGAACAGGGCGCCGGCGCAGCGCTGGACGGCGGCGGAGAAGAGCAAGCTGCGGTCGCTGGTCGAGACTCATGGGGCCAAAAGCTGGCTGTTTATTGCGTCACAACTGCCTGGACGAACGGATCTGCAGTGTCTTCACCAGTGGCATCGGACGCTGGACGATAAAGTGGTGAAAGGTAAAGGCACGTGGACGGAGAGCGAGGACCGACTGCTGCTGGAGAAGGTGGAGGAGATCGGACGCAAATGGACGCAGGTAATTGCTGTCTGAGTAGGGGCTGCGTTGAGCTCGTGGATGGGAGGGCTGATGCTGGTGTAGGTTGCTGCGTTCTTGCCGGGCAGGGTGGGGAACCAGTGTCGAGAACGGTTCTTGAATCACTTGGACCCTTCGATCAACAAGGTGAGTGCCTAGGTCTATGCTGCTGCTTGAGTGAGCTCGAGTTTGACGGTTAGCTGCAATCGTGACAGGCTCCGTGGACTGCAGAGGAAGAGGCCGCTTTGACTGAGGCTGTCGAAAAGTATTCGACGCAGTGGGGTTTGATTGCTGAAAAACTGCCGGGAAGGAGTGGCAATGCCGTCAAGAACCACTGGTACTCACGCGAACGGCGGCGTATGCTAGATGCATGCTAGATGCAGCTTCTTCCAGCGTGCAGTCGTGAACACCTATGGTACGTGCCGCTGGGCTTCCACCGCGCGCGTGTGTGAGTTAGCATCTTGCGGGACTTTGCTTGTCTACGAGAAGGTCACTGAGCGGCGCTTATCCAACCGCGGGATCTGCTTTGAAATGCATCGCTCGTATGCAACATCAAGCATGTATGCGGCTTCTCCTTCGGCCGCTAACTTCCTGATTCGGTCACTCACGGTGACAACCGAGGGTGTATTTATGACAGCATACCATTCGCTGCTTGCAGTCTCAAGCGACGGTGGTAATAACTTCACTAGTGCGTCAGTGTTTACTCATGTCGTCGGGAACACCCAACGGAGGCGAGTACTGTAAAGAGTATCGAATCGAGGACTTCAACAAGCAGCAGGTGCTGCCTATAAGCACGAATCTGCAGAGGGATTGATCGCCACGATCCTGCGACAGAAGGCCACGGGGCTGGATAGAGATTTGACCGCGTCGGTGTGGAGGTGTATTGCAGTTCAAGTTAGAGGCGATGTGTGATCTGGCTTTAAAATCCCTGCTCATTCGGTGCGAGTTGCATCGATGCTGGGGCGCTTTACATGCTTCGCTCGTGGGGTGCAGCCTACAGTAGGTACCTTGGGCAAGTTCGTGATACCGGGAAGGCAAGGTACTCATCGGAGTAATGCGATTGTCTGAGAATCTGTACTTCCATGATGTTTGGATCGGTGTGCTGGCGCCAGCAAGATATTCCGCATAAGCTTCACGTTGTGTGACAGCTACGATGAGGTGACAATAACGTCGGTGAGCAGTATGGTAGATAATCACGACGTCACCCTGAGTAAGTGCAATAGCAGATCCGACGTGGTATCACCACATGGACCTGCCGGGTTGCGGTCAGCGTCTATTACGGATGTCGTCTGTCCCCAGTTCCCGTTTCCAACACCAGGTTTACTCAACTCGATCGCCATCCACCCCGCTTCCCACTTTCGATTCTGCTCAGTCACGATGACGACCGAAAACCTGCTCGTCGAGGTGGAAGACTTCCTGAACTCTTACGACCTCGGGTTACTCCCGCTGCCCCGAGACTCTGGTGACGATACGAATGAGTTATCGGTAGCTCCTGCGCCTCCCACTGAGCCTCGAAAGCGCGGCCGCAAGAAGAGCACCCTCGACCCCGCAATCAAGCTCGAGCTCGACAGAATAGAAGTTCCGTATCATCAACCGCTTAGCCACCGGCGGAGTCGTGTCAGCAGTGCAGCGTGTGGTTACCCGGCGGTACCAAGACAACGGCCGCATGGTGCTTGTGTGGCAGTCTCTCATGGAGGGCGAAGGCATGTTCACGGGTATACGAGCTGGTGAGACTGGGTGGGACGTGCTCACCCCGTCGAAGGACGGCACTCTGATACAAACGTGCATTTCCCACACGCCGATGAATTTCGATGCCATAGAGCTGCAGAAGCCACGGTTGAAGCAGTTTACCGGCATGGTGTTGGAATCGGTGGCTGGTGATGGCATTGAGATCATGAAGGACTTTGAAAAACTGCAGATTGCACAAGTGTAACAACAATTGATATCGCACCTGGAGTTGATCTGTAGCGGGTGATGATGTTGACAAATGCATGTTTCTGGTTTCAAGCTGCAAGGAGTCACGGAAGTGTTACCTCCTTTTGGTCCTAGGCAAGTGGCAATGGTAAGTCTCTGCAATAACTCGACAAGACTGTTAGAAGTCTTTGGCGGTTGTTCCAACTTGGTGGTTAGGTCGATTGGAACTGATCCGCCACTTTCTCATATTCCAAGTTGAATCGTTCGTGCATCATTTGTGAACAAGCAAAGAGACCCACAGATCCTCGTCAATGAGCAATCCTCCGCGCTACAGCCAGCGGCACTTCAACTGGGGTGAGCCTGTCGCCGCCGACGGCTCCACCCCACTGGACATTCTGATGAAGTGGCTTCGTGACAACCGAGATTCAGTTCGGGATACGTCCAACTTGTTCGAGGCGGTGAAAAATCTCTGTTTGCAGCTAAACCACTGCGGTTTCCGGTGCACCGTGGACAACATTATACGCTGCCTGACCATGACAGCTTGGATGCACCGAGAGGAAGGTACGGGGGTCCTCCTGTTCGACGATGACCTGTATGATCAGTATTTCGATGGACAGCACGCGAATCGTGAGCGCAGTCATCGCGAGAAGCACATGCGCACGCGCCTTGAATAGCACGCCCCAGCAGCAGAGGAAAGCTCGACACCGAACACTCCTTCTCGACGTTGCTTAACCCCTCTAACCCCGTATTCTGTATCCTACAGAATAAGTATTGTCACAGGACATAATATCCTGCAAACTTGTCCTCTCTTTCGAACTTCGCATATGGATGTTTGTATAGCCGGTATTGTGCACATCTTCCTGTTAGATTAGCGATGGGTAGATAAACGGGGTTTATTCCGCGGTAATAGACGGACGAGTATATACCACCAACAGGTTTGAACTCGTACTTTCCTTCATTCCGAAACTGCGCTGTTCAAGACGTCGCAATGCAAGCTTTGTTGGGGCCCGTCGAGCGCGCCCAAGTGGCCAAGGACCATGGCCGAAGACGATCATGATGAGCGCCATTGTGATCTACAGGTAAGCGAGAGCGTGTACTTTGCTCTGTAACATTGTACTAGTGGTATATTGATTCTACATTGCGATGTTGATTACCAGACCTGGTGATCCGACCCAGACGACGCTATGAGCTCTCGCGTGTGGCCCGATTGGCAGATCGTTTGCGGAGTCAGCGCACAACCTCATCGGTTCCTACGAAGCCGGCTACAGCCGGGTCTACCGCTATATTGTAGCTGATGTAGTGGCTACTCAAGAGGCTACAGAAGAAGCACTCCTCATGGTGTGGCTACACCCGAGCCTACAGAAGAAGCGGTAGATGCTACGACGGATGCTACAGAAGAAGCTCTCCGCGTGATGAGGTTACATCGGAGATTACAGAAGAAGGGACAGAGGCTACGACGGAGGCTACCGATGAAAGCGGCAGGAATGGAGCGGCAGTGCCGGAGGCTACAGAGCAAAGCGGAGGCTGCCAAAATGGCGAAGATGACCCACGGCTGGCGCGAACATTGAAGAGCGTGCGCATGTAAAGGAAGAAGTAGACGTTGGCATGAATATCATATATTGTCCTGTTTCGTACAAGAGGAACCGTGTGTAGTGCGTGTCATTACGGGCTATTGAGCATGCAAGCTCCCCTGGTGTTGTTAGAGAGACAATCGTAACAAGCTTGTTAGGTGGGCTAAAGAAATCTAATGATGCGCTAATGTCAAGCACAAGGAAGAATTCGCCCAGTTCCTCCTCACTACGTCAGTTAGGAACAGGGCGATTTCAGTGCTTTCGGGGATGGCATCCCAAGCAGCAATCTTACCCGAACGGCACGGAGCCGCTTTTCCTTAGCACTGCCACCCGTGATGCCAGACCAGTTCGAGCGCAACTTTGCCTTTAGTGGCCCCATTACACCGACATCCAGCGGCTGGCAAGCAGCCGTGCTGTTTGCGGGTAGAGGGACCACAGTAGCATTAGCAATTTCGGCAACGACCTGCTGCCCCTCTTCCGACACATGACACCTCAAAACTGTCAAGAAGGAGGACAGAGGGTCCATCAACTTCATATTTTAACAACTTTTCTACGTAAAAACGCCACGTAACAGCGTCCATCCAAGCGTTCTCTTGGACGGTGTAGAAGTGTCCTTCCGGATACTCTTCGAACTTGCTTGTGTCGATTCGACCGCCCAGCTTGTCACGCAGAACAAACAGAATCGGCAGCTTTTTCCCTAAAAATAGTATAACAAATACAAATTATCCTTAAAAAATATAAATTAAGAGAACGACAAAAAGGAAAACTTACCGTCAGCTCGAATCGTGAGCACAGCCGTCATGCGGCCGGTGTGCTTGGACGTGTTCGCAATCCTCGCAGCGTCCCGCCGACCTCTACCCGCCCACATCCGAGCCGGAGGCATGTCAAAATTGATGGCAGTCTCGTCCACGTTGTACATGCCCTCCGGCCCGTACGCGGCGTGCGTCTTCCAGAAGTCCAGCGCGAACTCGGCGCGCGTTTGCTCGAGCTCCTCGGTGCTATTCTTTGCCGTTTGTGGCTTCTGGGAGGTAAAACCATGCCTAAACACGCAAATAAAGGTAAATGTTAGGAAACTGATGGAGGTTTAGCAAAACCAAAATTATTTACCGAATTGCGAGTCTCTCGACCATGCGCTCAAGCGCCAGGATGCCCCTTCGCTTCCTTTGCAGGTAGTCCTCGACCCACTCCGTCTCGATTGGGGCCTGTACATTATAGCATAAAGTTTAACGGTTAAACGCTACAAATTATGAGATTCTAAAGAAACAAACTTACCTTCTCTTCGCGCCGCACGTCCTTCATGAAGGTGACGACCGCAAGAATGTCGGGAAATACTTCCCTGCGGCCCTGGCCCTTCCGGGACTTAGAGGTGGAGTGGCCAGTGAAGCTAAAAAGCTTTTCAGCTTGCTTCCACCAGCCATGGACAGTGCCCCGAGCAAGTTGGAGCTCGCGGGCTGCCTCCTCCACCCCTACATCTTCGACGAGGCGGACCGCTTCGCGCTTCTCGCGGACGGTGTAGCTCTTCTGCTTCTTCTTGGGCGGCGGCGTGTCCTCCATGGCTCGAAAAACAGTTTGAGCGGCTCAGTCGACCAGCTCCAAATTAGGCAATGGCACACGGGGATTTACCAGAGCCATTCAAAAATTAAATCGCGGTGATTGGCTTATTTTTATGAATAAAATAAATTTGATTGGACAAAATCATCGCTTGTTTTGTATGGACATGTCTATGGAATGCCGGGTTTTGCGTTGCCGGATTTTTCCGTCGTTGTCTGTATACTGCCTTAGCAGCCTTGCAAGGTATTACCAGGTAGCAGGTTTTGAGCGTGCTCTACGCTCGCCACGACCAATAGAAGCTCGCCATTTCGGCATATGGTGGATATATTGAGCATGTTTTGTTCACTTTCGTAGCTGTTCTGTGCACAATGTACCTAGCGCTTGACCGCAAGATGCGAAAGGGCTTCCAACAGCAAATCTTTGACAGGTTTTGAAGTATACTTTAATCAAGTCTAATGCTTATTCTGTAGGATACAGAATAAGGTCTGGGGCAAGAAGGTTTAATGAAACTTCATTTGACCCCCAATGTAGTGGAAATGCACATGTAATATCAGACCTGAGATTGCCAAGGCCAGCTCTCCGGCGACAAAGCCCTCGTCAAGGGATCTCGCTTGGGCTGATCGCGAAGCAAGCACTCTCCGATGGTGAGCGTGCAGTTCAACCACAGCCTTGTCATGGACTCGTTAGCATCTGACCCCCTCGGCTGCTGCACTACGGTACGATAACTCCACCGTAACAGGCATTGGTCGTGGACATCGAGCTCCATTCCATTCCTGTTGCCACCCAACGCGCGACCAGCGATATGCAGCGGTGAGTCTCGACGGTATCCAACCGCTTCAACATCCGCCGTGCTCCCACATATCACTGCACCGTCTCTTCCTTCCCGACCCTCATCCTCCGCTGCCCGCCATTCTATGGTCTAGTTGACCTGGACCTCATTTGTCCTTTTTGTCCGCCGCGAAGAGCTCAGCGTCCGCCGCGATGCGGCTGCTGTTGTTGGCGTCCGCCATGGCCCACTTGGTCTCAGCAGCCAACTCCACCACCACTTCTTACATGATGCAAACCACGTCCATCTACGCGGACTCGACCTGCAGCGGGCCGGCAGTCAACGTGCTGGTGATCGAGAACAACAACTGCTCGGCGGTGGCCTGCTCCCCGCGAGCTTTCGGCAACAACACAGACTACTACAAGGCCGCGACGTGCTACTCGGCCGACAGCAACTTCTACGACCCGATGGAGGATCTGTTCGATGGCCACGCGTTCGTGGAGGGCCAAGTCTACAGCAAAGCGAACTGCACCGACGACTCGTTCTTGTATCGCCTGGGGCTCGTGGTGGGCGGCTGCGAGCCCTTCACCACGCTGGACAACAACAGCGTCAGCGTCACGCTCGGCAGCGACGGATCGGCAGCCTTGATCCTCTACGACAACACGGAGTGCACCGACCCGCCTATTACCAAGTACGCGCTGGGCAACGACACGCTGGCCAACCACCTCTGTTACGAAGGGATCAGCAACACGGGGCTGGTGCAGTACATCGCCAAGTACTACATCCACGAGAACTACGACTCATCCAGTAGCAGCAGCGGAGGCTCCGATACAGTCACCAAGGGCACTGCAGACTCGAACAGTTCCAGTCACACTGCTGCGATAGTCGGCGGTATCATCGCTGGAGTTGTCGTCGTCGTGGCATTAATCATTGCCGGGCTTATCATCCGTCGCAAGCAGAGGAGTACAAGGCGCTTTGAGACGTTGGCGGTGATGGGGGAGCCCGACATGCCGTACCATCGGCCTATTAGCAGCAAATTCGACCACAACTCCAGCAGTCGGACCACGATGCAGGCGCAGACATCGGACCGAGCTTGGGACGATGATACAATTGTAGCAGCTCGGATTCCGCGTGACAAGGTCTTCATAGGGGCGCTCGTGAATCGTGGAGCGTTCGGTGAGGTGTACAAGGGCAGCTACAACGGCCAGTCGGTCGCTGTCAAGATGCTGCTGCCCGACACGAGACGCAGTATCCCCCACGTGAACGCGTTCATGGCGGAGGTCAAGATGGCGGCGGTTATGGACCATCCGCACATCGCCAAGTTCGTCGGAGTAGCTTGGGACTCGCTCACGGACCTCTGCTCGTTGACGGAGTTCATGGATGGAGGCGACTTGAAGACTCTACTGGTCCGGTACCAAGAGGAGAACCACCCCGTGGGTTTCGACTACGCTAAGGTCAAGATCGCGCTGCACGTGGCTCATGCTCTCACGTACTTGCACTCATTAGACCCGCCCGTGATCCACCGCGACCTCAAGTCCAAGAACATTTTACTGAGCGAAGAACTAGACGCCAAGCTCACGGACTTCGGCATTTCCCGAGAACGAATCGACGAGACCATGACGGCGGGTGTCGGCACGTCCATGTGGATGGCTCCAGAGATCATGCTGGGCAACCCGTACGACGAGATGGCCGACATGTTCTCGTTCGGCGTTATGCTGTCCGAGCTGTCGACGCACCTGACCCCGTACGCGAACGCCAGACTTTCGGTAGGCTCCAATCAGCCCATGCCTCGCACTGTCGTGCTCCAGCACGTGGCTGCTGGGAGACTTAGCGTTGAATTTGCAGAGGAAGGACCCGAGTCGATGGCGGAGCTCGGTCGCGCGTGTATTTCTATGGACCCGAAGATCAGACCCACAGCGGCGGGAGCTCTGTACAAACTCCACAAGGTTTTGACACTGGAACTTCGAGAGCAGGGGGATTAATTGGTCTTAGTGAATTGTTTTAGCATGAAGTATTGTTAGCCTAGTCATCTCCACCGAAATTTTTGTCGATACATGTACATCACCTTCGTCTTCCCGCAGTGTATCAGGCGTTAGTCGCCACTTCAACGTGGTCGGGTACAGGCGATCATTCGATGATCGTGGCGATGAGCTTGTGGGACTGGCGAAAGCTTTCCCGATTTCTTCACTTCATTCTCGATTCCACTCCCCAAGATGCAGTCGGTGAACATTTTCTCGGACGCGTACTGCGCGTCGCCAGTGTTTGTGGAGGTCACGTCGACGTCGAGTTGTTCGAGTTCCGCCTGCACGTCTGCCATCACCGGGACGGGGTCGTACTACACCACGACGACCTGTCCGTCCGATGGGTTCTCGAGCGCCGCGGAGGTGTTCGGCGACACGGGATATCTGCTGGTCGACGTCTACCTCGAGGCGAACTGCGAGACTTCGTACGGCCAAGACGCGTTCCTCGCCTCGGGCGAGTGTGAAATGTCGGGGGACGGCAGCTCCGTCATCGCGACGCTCTTCTCCAACGGATCGGCCAAGCTGCAGTACTTTGTGGACTCGGCCTGCACGATCTCCATCATCGATACCATCTACGTCTCGGAGGACCTACTCACGAGCCACACGTGCTACAGCGGCAGCAAATACTACTCCAACTCGGGCGGGTCGGCGACGAATGGAGTCGACGGCAGTGCGTCAATTGGTAGTGCGGCTACTGGTAGGGCGAGTTCTGGTAGTACGACTTCTGATGGTACTACAACTGGAGGAGGAAGTGGTAGTTCGTCGGACTCTTCCGGTGTCAGCGTCGGTGTCATTGCTGGAATCGCGGTCGGGTGCATTCTACTGCTGCTACTTGCGGTTGGTTGCTGCTGCTGGCGTCGTCGTCGCAATCGCAGCAAGCAGCAGCAAGTGGAGATGAACATTCCGAGTCCAGTGGCATGTGAACAAGTCGTCACCTCCTCAGCCCAGTTTCACGAAATGGCTCCCAGTTCGGCGAAGCAAAGCACAGCTTCCACGACGCTGGTTAGCTCGGACGGCACAATACCGAGCAAGCTCTGGGATGATGAAGCCATCGTCGCTGCTCGGATTCCAAGAGAGAAAGTCGTGGCGGAACGGCTGATCAACAGAGGCGGCTTTGGAGAAGTATACGCTGGATCATACAACGGACAACGCGTCGCCATCAAGATGCTGTTGCCCGAACGCAAGAAGAGTCTGGCTCAAGTCAACGCCTTCCTGTCCGAAGTGAAGCTCATGACCACGCTCGATCACCCTCACATCGTCGAGTTCATTGGCGTCGCCTGGGATTCACTCACCGACCTCTGCGTCGTGACCGAGTACATGACCATCGACCTGAAGGCGCTGCTCACCAAGTTCTTCGAGCAGCAAGTGCCCGTCGGCTTCGACCACGACAAGGTCAAGGTCGCGCTCCACGTTGCCCACGCCTTGACCTACCTGCACTCGTGCGCGCCGCCAGTCATCCACCGCGACCTCAAGTCCAGCAACATCCTCCTGAACGAGGCCATGGACGCCAAGGTGACGGACTTTGGCATCTCTCGAGAGCGCATCGACGCGACCATGACGGCGGGGGTCGGTACGTCGCTGTGGATGGCTCCGGAGGTGATGCTGGGCGAGCGGTACGATGACAAGGCGGACATGTTCTCGTTCGGCGTGGTGCTGTCCGAGTTCGACCTGCACACGCTGCCGTACACACACGCGAAACACAACTCGAACTCGGGCCAGAAACTCCCCGACGCCGCCATCTTGCAAATGGTGGCCATGGGCAAACTCCGCGTCCAGTTCTCGGGCAATGGTCCTCGGTCTATGGTCGAGTTGGGCTTGGAATGTGTGTCAGTGGACCCGAAGCAGCGGCCAACGGCGGCCGAAGCGCTCTACAGACTTCAGAAAATCCTGGCCAACGAGGTCTAGTCAAATGCGTAACAAATAATGCACGTCGTGCAGCCCCAGAACCTCATGGTGGTGCTTGGCTGGACAGCTTCTATCGTCAGTTAGACTATAGAGTCCGGACCGTTTCAACGCCCACACGTGCCTCCGTCCAGCGACTCTCCGGCCTCGAGATGCGTTGAAAGCTTTATGGGTACACGTGCACCCAAACTTTGCTGTTCGTGACCGACATATGCACTTCATTCCACGATTTCCGCTCTTGCAGCAAAGGCTCAAAGTCTCTCGTAGGGCAGTAGTATCAAAGCTCTCTCCATACTATGGAGTCGGAGAACGTCTTCTCGGATTCCTCGTGCAGCTCGGTGCCGATCTCCATGTCGATCGTGGAGGCGTCGAGCTGTGTGAGCTCCTCGTGCACTTCCACGTACATCAGCTCGGAGCTGTACTACACCACGACGACCTGTCCGTCGGACGCCAAAGACTATGCGGCCAGCACGTACGGCAGCACCAAGTACCTCCTAGTCGACGTCTTCACCGACACCGAGTGTACGACCTACTCCGGGACGGCGGTGGTGGCGGCTACGGGCAGCTGCGAGATCCTGGGCAGCACTGGCCAGGGCGTGATCACCACGGTCTTCTCCAATGGCTCGGCCCAGCTCGAGTACTTCATGGACGCTTCGTGCATCTACACCACCAGCTCGCCCTACATCATCAGCAAGGACTTGTTGACGAGCCACGCGTGCTTCCAGGGCTTCAAGCTCTACTCCAACTCGGCCGGTTCGTCGTCGAGCGGGACTATCGGAACTACTGGTAGCAGTGGCGGCGGCTCGGGCTTGAGTGCCGGCGTCATTGCCGGAATCATCGGTGGTGTCGTCGTCCTTCTCCTGATCATTGCGGGCATTTTGTACTGTCGATGCCGTCGTGGAAGCACCTCCAAGCAGGAGCAAGAGCAGGTGGTTCAGACTCCTAGACGCTTTGAGGAGCCGTCCGCGCCGTCCGAGGACTTCTACCGAGTGCCGATAACCCCACAGAAGACGGGCACAGCTTCCACGACGCTGGTTAGCTCGGACGGCACAATACCGAGCAAGCTCTGGGATGATGAAGCCATCGTCGCTGCTCGGATTCCAAGAGAGAAAGTCGTGGCGGAACGGCTGATCAACAGAGGCGGCTTTGGAGAAGTATACGCTGGATCATACAACGGACAACGCGTCGCCATCAAGATGCTGTTGCCCGAACGCAAGAAGAGTCTGGCTCAAGTCAACGCCTTCCTGTCCGAAGTGAAGCTCATGACCACGCTCGATCACCCTCACATCGTCGAGTTCATTGGCGTCGCCTGGGATTCACTCACCGACCTCTGCGTCGTGACCGAGTACATGACCATCGACCTGAAGGCGCTGCTCACCAAGTTCTTCGAGCAGCAAGTGCCCGTCGGCTTCGACCACGACAAGGTCAAGGTCGCGCTCCACGTTGCCCACGCCTTGACCTACCTGCACTCGTGCGCGCCGCCAGTCATCCACCGCGACCTCAAGTCCAGCAACATCCTCCTGAACGAGGCCATGGACGCCAAGGTGACGGACTTTGGCATCTCTCGAGAGCGCATCGACGCGACCATGACGGCGGGGGTCGGTACGTCGCTGTGGATGGCTCCGGAGGTGATGCTGGGCGAGCGGTACGATGACAAGGCGGACATGTTCTCGTTCGGCGTGGTGCTGTCCGAGCTCGACCTGCACACGCTGCCGTACACGCACGCGAAACACAACACGCACTCGGGCCAGAAACTCACAGACGCAGCAATTCTCCAAATGGTGGCGGCTGGGAAGCTCCGCGTGCAGTTCTCAGAGGCCGCACCGGAGTCGATGGTGGAGTTGGGACTTGCGTGTGTGTCCACAGACCCGAAGCAGCGACCAACGGCAGCTGAAGCGCTGTACCGCCTGCAGACGATATTGACCCGCGAGATGTGAAGAAGACAGTGTTTCTCTCAGTGTACGTACAGCCCGTTGTTGCAGTTGGGCATCATCTCCGTCGTTTGATCAGCTTGAGCCCATCGAGGAGTGCATCCTGTGAACCTATTTGCCACCATTCAATACACAAGTTAGCATACTTTGCATTGGCAAATCGCTCCTTGGTGGATAGTTTGTCTGCCAGCGCGATTTGAGTTTGCGCTCTTCTTGCGGTTCGCCGCAGTCTTCACTATGCAACCCATGCGACGTTTTTCATGTTCGAGATCACGCTCGAGTCAACGTTGAGCGAGTCATGGCAATCGTCGGACACTGCTTGCTCGATGGACTTTACATAAGCTTCCCCGCTTTGAAAAGCGGGTTGGTCATTTCCGAATTCGAGCCTGGAACACGCATATCACTAGGTAACCCCCGTTCACAGCAGTGTGAGGACAGCACCGCAGTATCCCGATGCAGTCGACGGAGGTCTACTCGGACTCGTCGTGTGAGTCTCCGCAGTCGCTGACGATCATCTCCAGCGGGTCGTGTACGAGTTCGAGCTGTACTGCGACCACCATCCAGAGCAGCACGTACTACACCGCGACGACCTGCCCGTCCAACATCTACGAGCACGCGCTCGATGTATACGGCGACGACGACTACTTGCTCATGGACATCTACAGCGGCCCGGACTGCACCACGTACATCGAGGCAGCGGGCTTTGCTGCCTCGGGCGACTGCGAAGTTGCTAGTACAGACGGCCAGAGCGTGATCGCCACGCTGCACTCGAACGGGTCGGCGCAGCTGACGTATTATCTCGACGCGTCTTGTGTCTATCCAGCTTCGACGTCGTACTCCATCACGGAGGACGACCTCACGGATCACACGTGCTCGCAGGGCAGGAAGTTCTACTCGAGCTCTGGAGGTTCAGCCACGAACGGTGTCGGAAGCAGCTCAGCGAGCAACACGGACAGTAGCTCTCCTTCAGGTGCGAGTGAAGACAGCTCCGGTATTAGCAGCGGGGCGCTTGCCGGGATCATCGTGGGCGCGTTGCTCGTCTTCGTGCTGGTTGGTATGCTCGTGTTCAAGCGGTGCAAGGCACGACGAAGCTCCAATCGAGCGCAAGCGACCCCGAACTTCAGCCACACGAACGTCTTACAAGACGCGTACTACCAGTCGCAGTCGAGTCCCGTGAAGTTTCACAGCGAAGCAACCACGACTTTCTCCGACTTTGATCAGCGACCCAACCCCACGAAGCTCTGGGAGGACGACGACATCGTTGCGTCTCGCCTCCCGCGTGAGAAGGTGATCCTGCAAAAGCTCATCAACCGAGGGGGATACGGCGAGGTGTACGTCGGCAGCTACAACGGCAAGACCGTCGCGGTCAAGATGCTGCTCCCCGAGACCAAGAAGACCATGTCCCAAGTGAACGCGTTCCTGTCTGAAGTTAAGCTCATGGCGAGCCTGGACCACCCTCGCATCGTCTCGTTCATCGGCGTGGCCTGGGACCAGCTCATCGACATTTGCGTCGTGTCCGAGTACATGGCCGGCGGCGACCTCAAGGCTCTGCTGACTGACTTTGAGAACCAGGGACGTCCTGTGGGCTTCAACCGCGACAAGGTCAGGATCGCACTCCACGTTTCCATCGCATTGACGTACTTGCACTCGTGCGCTCCACCCGTGATCCACCGCGACTTGAAGTCCAAGAACATTCTGCTGGATGAATCGATGGAGGCCAAGGTGACGGACTTTGGCATTTCCCGGGAACGCATTGACGCGACGATGACTGGAGGCATCGGCACGTCCTTCTGGATGGCGCCGGAGGTTATGATGGGCGAGCGATACGATGACAAGGCGGATATGTTCTCGTTTGGTGTGGTGCTGTCCGAGCTGGACTCGCATGTGACGCCGTACTCGCAAGCGAAGAGCGTCAGTACTAACACCACTGAAAGTTCATCGTCCGATCTGAGCAAACTGCCGAGTGCTGCTATCCTGCAGATGGTGGCGGCTGGTAGACTGCGCGTTCAGTTTTCCGAGGCGGGTCCTAAGTCGATGGTTGATCTGGGGCTCGCATGCGTCTCACTAGACCCGAAGGAGCGACCCACGGCAGCTGAAGCGCTGTATAAGCTTCAGAAAATCCTAGCCAACGAAGTGTAGATACTGTAGCGATCCAAACTAATGTTTGTGAAGTTTTTTCTTATTGTGCCTTTCACCTATTTTGGCGGGTGAGCTGTTAAATCAGGCGGAATTAGATCCATAAAAGGACGAGCAACGCTTATTTAGTGTTAATTCCGCTTATGATTGTGAGTGCTTCCCCTAACCCACGCGATCAGCATTTGCGAGCTAATCGACGGAGATACGAGCAGAATGGCATGGATTGGCGGGTAGCAAACCGCCAATCGCTCTGTTTCCGTCTAACTCAGGCTGGGTTAGCTTAACGTAAATTCACGTTAACTTTACGTAAAAAACATGCGCCTCTTTATCCTTACGGGAAGTTCCCGTCGTTTACGTCCCCATCACTAATAATTAGAGCCGAGAAGGGATTAGAGTTATGCCAGAATTATCATGGCAGAATAAGTGAAAGGCACAATTACTACTTCCTTTTTCTCGCATGCTCTGCTTTGACTGCGTCCTCTATGACGACGCCACTGCTGTGCTGTAGAGTAGCTGTACATGTACAACTTCACAGAGCAGGTAGAAGCTGCCGCACCGAGCTTTACGAGCTGGCGACATCAAGTTCGAATCAGCGACTAGCGAATAATGAATCATTATCGAATTCGCTCGCCCGAGGACAAGCAATCGGATCCAGCCGACGCAATGGACAGCTTCGGCCAAGAAGTCCGCACTGTGCGTGTGGACGGGATTCTGAAGGACGACCTCGCGCAGGATTCGCGTGAGATTCTCCAGGAGAGCGGCCTCTTCGGCATCACGTGGGGGCCTCTGACCACGGGCTCGTCGGCCAAGGGCACGCTAAGAGTCACCGACACTGGCAGGTGGTTCGGTGTCCAGGAGGAGGCTAAGGGCGAGTGGGAGGACACGTGGGCCAGCATGTCTGGCTACGCCCACACGACATTCAAGCAGAAGTTCCAGCACCTCAAGGCCGAGCTGCGCAATGTCGGCTTCCCCGTGGACGACCACCGCCTGCTCTTCGACCACTGCATCGTCGGCCTGCCCCGGGACGAGCTGGAGCTCAAGATGCACCTCAACGGGCTGATCAACGTGTTGCGGTGTGCCGACCACTGCATGAGCAGCCACACCCGCGGCCGGTCGGAGGCCGGCATCTGGCGCGCCAACAAGTACCCGTTCATCCTTGTCCGCGGCAAGATCCAGCTCCTGGTCTGAAACTGCGAGCCTAGCAGTATAATGCAGTGCTGGCTGGGGTAAAGATCATCAACGAGGCTGGGGCAACTTCAACTTTCCGTACCCTAAAGTTGTATCCATTTGGACCTATTTTCCTGATTCGCAATCACACTTCAACTAATCAGTCAGGATCTTGTTTTTTGGTCCAAAAGTGAGCTTCGTCTCATCTTATTCTTCACTTCCCCTCGTCGAGCACAAGTGCGCAATTTCCACGCAGCCATGGCGTCTCCAGCATGGCGCAACTACGCCACCTTCGATGGCGGCAGCTCCAGCACCTCCACCACTCCTCGTAGTGCAGCTCCCACCGCGCAAGAGTCCGCCGGCTGCGTGTCCCGCATCCTCCTGTCCTGGGTTCGACCTCTGATGTCCCAAGCGCACAGACGGCAGCTCTGCGCCAGCGACGTGTGGCCTCTGCGCGCCCACATCCGAGCCGACGCCATCGCCCAGCGCTTCAATGAACCCCTGAAGCAGCACAAGCAGTCGCTGCCTCGAGCGTTCGCCCACGTGTTCGGCTTCCAGTTCCTCCTCACGGGGCTGGCCATGCTCATCTCCATGCTCTGCAACTTGGTGGGGCCCATGGCGCTCAACCGGGTGGTCACAGCTCTATCAGACACTAAAGAAGACGAAGAGACCAAGGTGGCAACTGCTGCCACGTGGGTGGGGCTGGTGTTCGTGGCTCAGGTGATTCAGGCGCTGGCGGACTGCTACACGGGGCTGCAGAACGAGGTCGTGGCCATCCAGTGCATCAGCCTCTTGAAGACGCTACTGTACCGGAAGATGATGAAGTTGAACTCCAGTTCGCGCAAGAAGAAGTCCACGGGGGAGTTGACCAACATGTACACGGCGGACAGTGAGTCATTGGTGCGTACGGCGCTGGTGGTGCACCAGATGTGGCTGATCCCCCTGCAGATCGTCGTGGTCAGCTACATGCTCGTGCGGGTGCTGAGCGTCGCGGCGTTTGCTGGGATTGCAGTCATTGTGTTGATGTTGTGGCTGAACCAATTGGTGTCCAAGAGGATGCACACGCTGCAACGAGAAGTTCGAAGGAAGAAGGACCTGAGGATGAAGAAGGTGACGGAGGCGTTCAAGGCTGTCAGCATCATCAAGCTCAACGCCTGGGAAGACCCTATCACGGCGAGGATCAATGCTGCGAGGGAGTCGGAGCTGCACTCGCTGCTCAAGATGAGGATCATGACGTCGCTGAGCATCGTGCTGCTGTGGGGGATGCCCGTGTTCATCAGCATTGCTGCGTTCGGCACGTACTCAGTTGTGCTACACCGTGATCTCACACCAGCGATCGTGTTTACGAGCCTGGCGCTGTTTTTACTGATCCAGGCACCACTACGCAGAATCACGTCGATCGTTTCCATGGCGATTCAGTGCAGTGTAGCGCTGGAACGGGTGTCGTCGTTCTTGCGCATGCCCGAGCTGGACGAGAAGAGCGTTGTTTCAACTGAGGTCCCATTGGCAGCCCCGTATATTGTGAAGGGCGTGATGGTTGCCGTGGAAGACGGGGAATTCGCGTGGGATCAAAATGGGTCGTCGTTATTGAGGAACGTGAATTTTGAGGTGAAGACTGGAGCTTTCGTGGTGGTTCAAGGCACTGTCGGCTGCGGTAAATCGTCGCTGTGTTCTGCATTGCTTGGTGAAATGGAGAAGCGTAGTGGAACCGTGTTCGTGGGTGGAACCGTGGCGTATTGCTCTCAGCAACCGTGGATTCAAAACATGACGGTGAGGGACAACATTTTGTTTGGGCATCACTTTCAACGGAAGAAATACGAGAAGGTGTTGGATGCTTGCGCGTTGACGAGTGATCTTCAGTCATTACCTGCTGGAGATCTCACTGAAATTGGTGAACGTGGCGTCAATTTGTCTGGAGGCCAACAGGCTCGTATTGCACTGGCGCGGGCGTGCTACAGCAATGCAGATGTTTACATTTTGGATTCGCCCCTTTCAGCAGTGGACACAATCGTGCAGAACGAAGTTTTCCAGAAGTGTTTGCTCGGACTTCTCAAGCAAAAGACGATCATCCTGGTCACTCATAACCCTGAGATTATCACGTCGAGTCACATCACGCGCGCTGTCACTCTTAATGACGTCGGCACAGTGATGGAGACGTATTGTGCAGAGAATCAATCCGAATATGAACCACTTGTTTCTCCGATGTCGAGGGATTCGTATTCCTTTTCAGCCTTCGGAGATAGCGACGCGACTACGCTTATAAGCAGTTTGAGCGATGGAACGGGGTCGGAAGACGCGGCCAATGAGTTGAGTGATGAGATCGCGCTTGCTTCCCCATGCAACGACAGCTTGCACTCTCTCAGAAAGAAGTCCTTGAGCTTTTCTGGCGCCAGTGACAGCGAGCGGGGGAGGCTGATTCACGACGAAGGGCGATCCGATGGTCGCGTTTCTCGCCATGTTTTTCAGGCCTACTACCACGCAGTGGGCGGACAACCCATCGTGTCCGCCATTCTTCTTTCGCAAATGCTGTGGCAAGCTCTCCAGATCCGCAGTGATTTTTGGTTGAGCAGCTGGTCAAATGATGCCGGTCGAGCTGGAAACACTGCCGCCAATGCTGATGCGAGCACTGTTTATCGACTGGGTGTGTACGCAACGCTCGGACTATTGGCAGCGCTCATGGTATTCGGCAGGACTGTGATCGTCACGATCTATGGCATTCGTGCTGCAAGGAATTTGTTCGATCGGATGACCCACTCGCTCATGCACGCGCCCATGCGCTTTTTCGACGCGAATCCTATCGGCCGTGTTTTGACTCGGTATGGCGGTGATGTGGCTGCGGTTGACGTTCAGATCCCCTTCTTGTTCGGAACGCTGGCTGCAAATGTCTTCTCGGTCGGTTGTAGTTTGGCCACTGCTGCGTTTTTGATCCGTTGGAAAGGGTTTCTACTTATTCCTGTTATCGCCGTCTATGCTGCTGTCGGCAGCTTTTACATATCGCCTGCCCGAGAGCTGCAGCGCATATCGAAGACTACGCTTGCCCCCGTTCTGAATCATATGTCCGAGTCCGTTGATGGGGTGTCGGTGGTTCGCGCTTTCGGCCAAGTGCAACGATTCTTTCAAACAAGCAGCGCTAAACTTGACGCGAATCACAAGATCTGGTACGCGCAGGTGTACGTGTCGCAATGGTTTTCCCTACGCATCCAGCTCGTGGGAAGTCTTTTGCTGCTGGTGGTCACGTCTTCCCTGCTGCTTCTGCACCGACAGCTCAATGTCGCGCTTATTGGCTTGGCGTTTTCGTATTCACTAAAAATCGCCGCCAATTTGGAGGGAATTATCCTATCCCTGACTCGCATCGAGACGATAATGGTGAGTCCTGAGCGGATGCAGGAATACATCGACATCGACCAAGAAGCTCCTGACAGGATTACTATGATGGATCCACCGGCCCAGCTGGACTGGCCGTCAACAGGAGCTATCGTCTTCGATAAGGTCTCATTCCGATACAAAGACGGAGGAGACCTCGTACTACGTAACCTAAGTTTTGCAGTCCAAGGAGGCCAGAAGATTGGCATCGTTGGACGAACAGGCGCTGGCAAATCGAGCCTCACAATGGCTCTGTTTCGAATCAGCGAGCTGGCATCAGGTAGAGTGCTGATTGACGGCGTGGACGCGGGCAAAATTGGCCTGAAGTCTCTGCGTGAGAAGTTGTCGATCATCCCACAAACCCCAGTGTTATTCAAGGGCCCGTTGCGTGAGTACCTGGATCCATTTGACGAGTTTCAAGATGAGCAGCTGTGGGAATCGATTCGGGAAGTTGGGTTATGCGAGCGGGTTGCGGAAGATGCGAGTAAATTGATGATGATCGTCGAGGAGAACGGCGAGAACTTCAGCGTCGGCGAGCGGCAGATGCTGTGCATGGCTCGAGCTCTCCGTATCGTGATCTTCGACGAGGCGACAGCTGCCATTGACCACGAGACGGACCAGAAGCTTCAGCGCGTGATTCGCACAGCGTTCGCGAAGTCAACGGTGCTGACCATCGCCCATCGCCTCGACACCATCCTGGACTCAGACCGCATCCTAGTGCTCGATGACGGTCGCTTGGTCGAGTTCGCTTCTCCTCCAGAGTTGGTAAGCAAAGGCAAGGGCCACTTCTTCGAGCTCATGCGTGAGGGCGGTTATTTGGACAGGTTCAAGCACCAAGAAGACGTTAGAGCAGCTAGCGTCGCTTAGAACACTCATGATGTTCTCCTTGCAGCGGATTTTTGAAGGTAGGTGCCGTGACTTGAGTTGAACACGATTTATTTCGTCCACCGTTTGTGTCTACTTATGACTTTCAGTACACGATGAAGCCTCGTCGACAACCTGTGGTGGCCAATGGCCACCTCTCGCCATGGCGATCCACCATCGCGATCCTGGCCATCAAGACGAACGACCCTTTCTGGGTCAGACTTGCCGCCTTCACATGCACAGGCGTCTCGAACGGGAGGTAGAGCATGCTTTGACCATCGCTGTCCTCTTCAACCGTTGCCTTCATCACTTGATCCCACGCAATAGGCAGACTCACGCGTACTCGGTACTGCACAAGCTTGTCTTCTGGTGACGAGTCCGCGATATCGTAGATCGACGAGGTCGAGTTCACACTTCCAGCACCAGCCAAACACACGAGAACTTCAGCCTCGATCGCCTCCACCCGGTCACGCCAGTACGAATTGGAGCGACACGACAACGCGACCACGCCCTTCAACACACTCGTGAAATCAGTGCCGAGAGAGACGCCCAGTTGTGAGCGCGAGCGTGGTTTAGCTGTGAAGGCAGTATTCTCCGCGTAGGTGATGAACTGCGCGCTCGAAAGCAATCGCTGGGCAGAACGCAACCGAGAGCAGAAAAATAGTTTCGGCAGCACGGGAGGAATCGCACATAATGCAGATAGGAGCTGCTGCAGTACGCGAGCCCCGACGCCAGGCTGACGAGAAGGAGTTAGCTTAGCAACACGCTCCAACTTCCTGCGGGTGTCGTTGCTCAGCACCTTCAAGACTTGGAGATTCCATTGAGAAATACTGGAAGAAGCTCCTTCGTCCGCCGGGAAGTCGATGGAATTCGGCGAGCGAAGCAGGAGAAAGCCTTCTACAGCCGCAGCCAGCAAACAACATGCGTCTGCATGAGCTTGAAGCACGTCCAGATCCCTTTTGTGGGCGCCGAGTAGTAAGCCACGCAGCACGTTAAACTTGTGCGCAAGGGTACGCAGTTGTTTGTTGAGCTGTCCTTCTCGGCCAACAGGATTTCCCGCTGTGTTGGTGAACGCCGCCTCACCTGCAAGCTGTTGGGCACTCTGCATGTGCTGTATCCACTCCAGTCTCAGTGCTACCAGATGAAGCTGAAGATCAAAGCGAAAGCTGGAAGTGCGCGCAGCTTGCAAGTACGTACTCGCGCGCGTCAGCAAGTGAATACTGTCCAGGTGGACCGATTGGTCCGTTGCAACACGTGACTCCGCCTTACACAGAGTGTGCAACGCGTGAAGCCACCCGCCAAAGCACTCACTGTCAGCTTTTGCCGCGATGGCCTCCATTAGCTGCGCAGCAAGAGAGAACCGTCCACGCAGCATCGCCAGCTTCACCATCTCGTAACGCTCCGCGTGAGACTCGTAGTGCTCGGGATTCAGCAGTTCCTCCTCGAATCCTGAAATCATATTGCCTGTAGCTTGATCAGCGGCACCAATCAACAGCTCCTGGGTCCAGAGAAAGAATGTGGCAGCAATAGCTCGCAAATGCAGTGCGTCGTCTCGCCCCACCGTCGACAGCTCCTCCACCAGCATTGGAAGCTGCTCCTTAATCACGCTAGCAGGCGGTGGTCGCAGCTGGGCACCTAAAACCTTGAAGACCGATGTCCTTCTGGATCTTGAAGTTGCAGGGTCCATATTCTTGTCCGCTGGAATTGAAAGTAGTTCGACTAACCGAGAAGCGACGTTCGCAGCGAGGGCTTCAGGGAACTCGTGACACAGCTGAGCGACCGCACCTAATGCATGGTTCCAGGTGCTCTTGGAAGCAACAGCAGCTCGAGGGTGTAGCAAAGCCAACAACTCGTCCACACTACGCTTTGGCGCTATCGCATCAGTCCGTGAAAGCTTCCGACGGGCCATGTGCGCGATAATTGACGTGTAAGCTTTACCAAAACGCTCATCAGTAGCAGTAGCGAGCCAACTCTTGGCATCCTGAAGCAGTGCCAGCGCCGATTCACCCAGTTCTTGGCTAGTTGCTGACCACTTTTCAAGCAGGAGCAAGGCCGACAACTTGAGGCGCGACTGCGTTTTACCCTGCGTTGCACGCAGCTGTCGAACCCGCGAAAATACGCCATCCAGAGCCATCGCAAGTTGTTGATCCTCATCACTGCCTGCCGCTGCAACAAGCTGCTGCGCAGCCAGAAGAGCAAAATTCCGTACAAACGCACGCGGTTCGGTATCAAGCACGTGGTGCAGCAACTGTCCGTGCATCACCAGCAATACACCCGCGTACGCCGCCGTCAGCGTCGTCATCGTACGCAAACTCGCGACCGCACTCTTGTCGTCCACAAGGCGTTCGTATAACCCGGCGCAGTGAGTCCACGCCTGTTGAGCCTCCACAGAGTTCGAAACAGCATCAGCCAGCAATCCACAAAGCGCCGTCGAACGTTCCTCCAAAGCCAACGCCAACACATCCGTCCGAAACGAAGCAGACAGCGGCAAGAACGCGCGCGCTGCCTCAATCGCAGCCGAACGTTCGTCCCGATCCTCAGCGTTAATTCCCTTGAGAATCTGCTGCTGCACCGCCGCATCATGATGAAGGAGCGACGGCATCGTCGCCAGCAACTGCAGCGTCAGCGTCCGAGCCGTGACACTAGTCGGATGCGTCAAAGGCGCCGATAAATGACCCAGCAGCTACAACAACAACAATAATAATTATAACAACAATAAGTATCACAAGGTTAATACTCCCTCCAGTAATATCATTCTCGCGACTGCAGTCTGCTTACCTTGGCGGGGTCATTCACCTGCGCCACGTGCGCCTTGGTCCGCTGGAAGACCCGCAGAATAGCACTCCGGACGATCTCGTTATCACTGCACCCAACCGATAATAAAATATTAGTACTAATCTACCACCTCCAATTACTATTTTGCTCCGTTCTACCGCCGTTCTACCCCACCTGGATGCGAAATGCTCGGCCATCTTCGTGAACACGGCGGCCAGGAAGTCCGGCCAGGGGAACGATTCTACCGTGAACAGCCTCGAGTAGAACAGGAAGCACTCGGCCAGCGCCCCAGCCACCGCGGCCCCCATGGCGCCCGGGGCCGAGTGCTGCGCCGCCTGCAGCTGCAGCGCCTTGACCTGCACCTCGAGCTGCGCGAACTCGCGCAGGTGGAGGTCGGTAGGGGCGTTCTCCACGCGGCGCGGGCTCAGCGCCAGGGGGAACTGGTCGTTGGGCGCCGCATGCTGCGAGTCGGCCGCCGGGTTCCCGTGGAACACGCGGTAGTGCGCGTGGGGCACGACGCAGCCCGCCAGCATGGTCAGGTAGAGTAGAGCTCAGGAAGCGCTGTTGGGGCGATTAGTATGGGGAAAAGTATGGGTGGGATTGGGACCAATTAGAAGCGTTATTGTACTTCGATATTGCGGATTGGATGAAAAAAGACGAATATTATTTTTGAGTTTGAACCAATACGGCCTTGAAAAGGATCGTTGATGTTGAGTTTACAAGGTAGCTAGCGTGGCATACTGAGGTTTCTGGATTCCACCTCGATGGGACCATGTATGGTACCTACCCGCAAACTCTCTAGCTTTGTCGTCCGTTAGTCCAAAGTCCTTGAAGATTTATTCAACGGCTTGCCGCCCTCTCCCCTTCGCGTATAGCGCCTTGAAGTAATTGAGCAGGTTGTCCTCACTCTGCATCAACCAACGAAATAACGTCGGCAAGTACCAAGAAGACGAAGTGCGCATCATCTTCGGCAGTGTTTTACCACAACTTGGAGTAGACGCATATCTAGCTGGCTTGAAGAAAGCGAAAGCGTGCGCAGTTGACGATGTGTGAATGCAGGAAATTTGCAAATGAACTCTGGGCCTCACGGCGGAAGCGAAGAGCGCTCCCTCTAGTCAGCTGAGAAGAAATATACGGTACGAGTTGCCAATGCTGCGTATACAAACTCCAATACTGTGTACCTGATAGACTTGTGGCTCACATCACCGTCATCTTAGTTGGCGAAAGAAATGCTGTGTCGACATGATGATGACAATTTCCCTGGTCTAACTAAGAAGACATAATAGCGTGGATATGTATTTTTAAAATACAGCACGAGAAGTGTGCATGCTACATTGTATTAAATTCGGAGTAGGGCAGTAGAATGCAGACGGTCCCAGCGGTAGTAATCCCCAGGTAAGGAATGCCCGTTCATCAAGCATATAAATGTGGGTCCCAACGATTTCTGATCGACCGTCCTAGACAAAGCCAAGTAATTATTGCCCCTCGCCCCTCAATCGTAATAAGAAATACAAAATTACAGGATACTTAGTATGAATGTTCTGGGGTGCTTAGCTGGTTTTGCCCTCTAAAATAGACCACGCCTGTCTCTTAATATGAGTGGGCACGAGATAGGCGAGGGCTGATTTAGCTTTATGCTTTGCTGGGGGCCGCTTTTAGGCCCAGAAACTCGGTTTGGCCCGTCTAAATGGCATTTCTGCGTTTCCAAGTCGTAGAAAAGCGCCTTGGTCGAGAAAACAGAGCCCCAAGCTCGGATCTTAGACCGTACTGGCGAGATATATAAATCAGACCTAGGTCTTAATTAAGAGCTGGCTGGATTAAAATCGAGATTATTAACGAGATAATAAGCATGTGTTGGCCAAAATATCTGCAAACGGCAATAAAAGTACGTCTGAAATAGTTGAGCCAGGACACTAGCTCCTCTTGTCTTTATTTCCTTGCCAATTCATGTTTTAATGTTTGCATGATCTTTCGAAACCGCCACCCATACCTGCTACAATCCGGGCTAGTTACATCTCTTTTCGAATTCAAAGTGTCGTGCCAAGATAGTGGATGGACTCAACATTATCACGGCGTAGCTCGAGTAATCTGGTATTAGGATATCATTGTTGATGTTAGGAATAAAGGGTTTCTCGTATTAAATACCAGTCAGCTTCAGCAACTTCAAGATGAAGGGTTAAAAATCGTCTTACTCCACAAACATGTTAGTCAGACTCACAATACTAACAACCAGTTTGCAACCACTACGGTAGCTATACTGTTACATGTTGTGTGTGTGCGAATACTATAAAGCGTAGGCGAAGCTGCAGCTGTGCGCAGTATCGGGAGTAGGTAGCCGTCTAAACAGAATACAGACTCTTCTTGCAGCAATGGCGATGGCATTCCGCACGTGACAAGCGAATTTGAGCGTTACTATATAACCCCAACAAAATTGGTTGTAGTGTAGTACGTTGCGCGGGGGGAATGTTGGTATTGTACAATGCAGAGCGTGGTGCCCGCCAATCGGATCGGTGCTACTACGTAACAGCTTCGAGTCACATCTTGCGGGTGAGCGTAGGTACATGTACAGTCAGCACGAACCAGGCACTGCTGTGCAGAGTCATCTGAGACCATCCCGTGCGTGGGCTGTAATCACGCATCACCCGTTGTTGACACTCCATCGGACAAGATATAATACTGCAGCCCGCCTCACGCCTTTCACCGCTCCACTCAACACTGTGGCTCCCAATCCACCATCACTCCTGTATCTTGCTCGCTCATCACTTGTCACTTCAGCTCATTCCGCAAGAGACCCTCTCTCTCGGACCGCCATGGCCGCGTCGGAGCTGCTGCCCCTCAAGTCCTACCCATACGACACCTTCGACCCCCCGCTCTCCAAGCGCGGGGCGAGCCCGCACCCTCAGGACGCAGCGGGCTGCTGGTCGCGTGTGCTTCTGGACTGGGTGCGGCCGCTCATGCGCCTCGGCCAGCGCCGACAGCTGCACGCCGACGACGTGTGGCCGCTGCGCTGGGAGCTGCAGGCCGACCCGGCGTCCCAGCGGTTCTCGGGCGCCTACGAGGCCTCGCAGTCCATGTACCGAGCCGCGTTCGTCTGCTTTGGACGTCGCATCGCCCTCACGGGGCTCGCGTTCCTCGTCTCCATGCTCTGCAACCTTCTAGGCCCTGTCGTGCTGCGTGAGGTGGTGTCCAGCCTCTCCGCTCTGTCAGACCACGACCCACAGGACGAGACGCCCATCCTGCAGACCATTAGCGTCTGGGTCGGCACGCTCTTCGCTGCCAAGGTGCTGCAAGCCCTGGCTGACAATTACGCCAGGTTTTACTCCGAGGTCATCGCTATTAAGCTCGTGGCGTCGGTCAAGACGCTCATGTTCCGGAAGACGCTGAAGCTGAGCGCCGAGGCCAGGAGGGGCAAGTCCACGGGCGCCATCACCAACATGTACACGGCGGACAGCGACGCCATCCTGGACACGGCCTTCCTGATCCACCAGCTGTGGCTCATCCCGCTGCAGATTGCCATAGTCAGCTACATGCTGTACGACGTGCTCGGCGTCGCGGCGTTTGCTGGCGTGGGCGTGATCGTGGCCATGTTGGGGGTAAACCACCTCATCTCGCGCTGCATGTTCGCGTGCCAGCGCGTGTACCGACGCAGCAAGGACGTGAGGATGAAGAAGGTGACGGAGGTGTTCAAGGCCGTCGAGATCGTCAAGTTCAGCGCGTGGGAGGACCAGCTCATGGCGCAAATCAAGGAGACCCGCGCGCAGGAGATGAAGCATCTGTTCAAGCGGCGGCTACTGGCGTGCCTGAGTGTGGTTATGCTTTGGGGGATGCCGGTCTTCATCAGCGTTGCGTCTTTCGGCGTGTACACGGGTGTACTGCATCGCACGCTGACGCCGGCTATTGTTTTCACGAGTATCGCGCTGTTTCAGCTGATCCAGGGCCCACTGCGCATGATCACGAATATTTTACCAATGCTCGTGCAGTCGAAAGTTGCGTTGGAAAGGATCTCCGCGTTCCTCAAGATGCCTGAACTGGATTCCGACAATGTCTTGCCTCCTGACCATCCAGAAGGGGAGAAATACGTCGCCAAGAAGGTGATTGTTGCTGTTGAAGACGGTGACTTCGGCTGGGACCATGAGACGACGCTGCTGAGGAACATAAATCTCCAAGTGAAGTCTGGGGATTTCGTGGTTCTGCACGGATCCGTTGGCTGTGGCAAGTCTTCGCTGTGTTCGGCTCTGCTTGGAGAAATGGTGAAGCATAGCGGAACTGTCTTCGTAGGGGGAGATGTGGCGTACTGCTCTCAGCAGCCGTGGATTCAGAATATGACGGTCCGAAACAATATTCTCTTTGGCCATCTCTATGACCGCAAAAAGTATGAAAAGGTGGTGGACGCATGTGCCTTGACGACGGATCTGCAGTCGCTACCAGCGGGTGATGCAACGGAAATCGGTGAGCGCGGTATTAATATTTCTGGTGGACAAAAGGCGCGAATTGCCTTGGCTCGGGCATGCTACAGCGATGCAAGTGTGTATCTCCTTGACTCGCCGTTGTCCGCTGTGGACGCGATCGTTCAGAACGAGATTTTTCAGAAGTGTATGCTGGGGCTGCTCAAGAACAAGACGATCATTCTCGTGACGCACAACCCCGAGATTATCGAGTCGCCGCATATCACACGTGCAGTGACGATCAATGACCTGGGAGCGCTTGTGAAGACTCACCACGTGGAGAAACCGCTGGAGCCTGAAATGCCACTCATTTCACCTTTTGCGGCTCATCCGTACGGATCTTTAAACTTCAGGGGCGAAAAGGACCATGGCGATCTTGAGACTGACGTCCTCCTCAGCAAAGAATCCCGTACTGATGACGATAGCGATCGGGCTAATATTCTGGACATAGAGGACGAAAAGAACGAATGTGATGACGAGATGGCTTTGATATCACCGTGCACCCCGTGCGCTGGAGCAAAACCGAGGACTGTGTCTTCCGTGGCTGGCGATAACACCGCCGACCGCGAAAAGCTGGGAAAACTCGTGGAGGAAGAGGAGCGAGTAGACGGGAACGTGAGCAACCACGTCTTCAGCGCGTACTATCGCGCAGTTGGAGGGTTTCCCGTTGTGTTTGTCTTCCTAATGACCTCTGCTTGTTGGCAAGCTCTGCAAATTTCGAGTGATTTTTGGTTGGGAGCATGGTCGAGCGACGGCGTGAACAGCGGTGAATCGATCTCTTATCGTCTCAGCATCTACACAATCCTTGGCATTGCCTCAGCCTCGATGGTGTTCGCGCGGATGTTCATGACGGCCATTTACGGTCTGCGAGCAGCGCGCCGGATGTTTGACGCTATGACGAACGCTCTAATGCACGCGCCGATGCGCTTTTTCGATGCTAACCCGATCGGTCGAATTCTGACACGCTATGGCAGTGACGTATCGGTTGTGGACTCGAACATTCCTCCGCTTTTTAGCCGAATGTCATCAACGATATTTTCTGTTGGATGCAGGGCCGCCACTGCGGCAATCGTGATCCGCTGGAAGGGATTTTTTCTTCTGCCGGTGGTGTATCTGTACTATCGCATTGGGTCATTTTACATTCGTCCGGCTCGGGAACTCCAGCGGCTATCGAAGACAACACAAACACCAGTTCTGAACCATTTGTCTGAAGCTGTGGATGGTGGAGCGGTAATTCGTGCTTTCGGTCGTGGTCAAGTTGATCGCTTTCAGCACACGAACAGCGTCAGGCTTGACGAAAACAACAAGATTTGGTACGGGCAGCTCTGTGTGTCCCAGTGGTTCTCCCTCCACATCCAGCTCGTCGGAAGCCTGCTGGTGCTCGTAGTGACGGTGTCTCTGGTATTGCTGCGTCACCAGCTGGGAGCTGCTGTCGTCGGTCTTGCCTTCTCGTACGCCCTGAAGGTGTCTCAAAACCTAGAGAGGCTGGTGCAAGCTTTGTCACAAGTGGAGCCGATGATGGTGAGCCCAGAGCGGCTTCAGGAGTACGCAGATATCATCCAGGAGGCTCCATCGCGCCTCCCCCTTGACCCTCCGAGTATAACTCACCCTGAAGCATGGCCATCAAACGGAACCATTGACTTTAAGCACGTGAGCTTCCGATACAAGGATGAAGGGCAGTTGGTGCTACGTGATTTGGACTTCTCTGTCCGTGGCGGCGAGAAACTTGGTATTGTCGGTCGCACAGGTGCCGGCAAGTCAAGTTTGACTATGGCCCTCTTCCGTATCAACGAGTTGGCGGGCGGATCGATTGTGATTGATGGCGTAGATGCCAGTGCAATTGGATTGACAACGCTGCGCGAGAAGCTCTCCATTATTCCGCAGAACCCTGTGCTGTTCAAAGGCACGTTGCGCAATTACTTGGATCCGTTCGGTGACTTCACCGACGATCAACTATGGACATGTCTGCGTCAGGTGGGACTTGGTCCACGCATTGAAGCCGAGGACGGCAAGCTTGATGCTCTGGTGGAGGAGAATGGCGAGAACTTTAGCGTGGGCGAGCGGCAGATGCTGTGCATGGTCTGCTCGTTGCTGCGGAAGTCGCGTATCGTGATTTTCGACGAAGCCACCGCCGCTGTAGACCACGCGACAGACCAAGCATTGCAGCGCGTTATCCGAGAGGTCTTCAAGGAGTCGACGGTGCTTACGATTGCACACCGTCTAACACGATTCTTGACTCGGACCGTATTCTCGTCATGGATGACGGCTGCGTCAAGGAGCTTGCGAGTCCTGCTGCCCTCGTCCAGAAAGGCAAGGGCCACTTTTTCGATCTCATGGAGGAAGGTGGATATCTGGACCGTTTCCAGGAGAACACCAGTGAAATACGCAACAACGCGTTGTAGTGCATAACTAACGCAGTCAACAATAACCTATGCTGGACAACCTTCGTAACTTAGTGTTGATGTTCGTTTCGAGGGGTTTTGCATTGTCATTTCGGTGCACCCGAACTAAAGAACCGTGATAAGGTACATGTTCACACCACCGGGAGACTTGATGAGAAATAGCGGCCGCGTTGTTGGCCCTATTCAAGTTCCAGCGTCGACGCCGAACTTTTGGCTCCTGGGTGTGGCAAGCTACGAAAAGTTGCTATGATACGGCTTACCGCACTCCCAAACTTGTGTCTACGGTATATCGGCAGCCTGCCGTCGGTAGGAAACATACATGTTGAAGCGACAGCGGCTGTCCATATCGGTGAACGCTGCGAAAGATGGTGAGGTGACGTTGCGAAGCATCACCACGGGCATTACGGTAATCACTGTGGAAAGCCATGGTGTGGTCGCCTCGTAGCGAAAGTGACCAAGGAGTGGCGTGCTGCTTCAAAAAATTTCCCCGGGAGTGTCCGAGCGATCGACAACCACTTCGACAAGACTACGGACCGCGTTGTCGTCATGTCACGGCGGACTCGACATGCAACGGGGGAGGACCACTCTAGTGTACCGCAGTTTGCGGCGATCGCGGCTCGAGCACCACCAACGAAGTGCTGGCTCGTACCGATGCCGGCCAGGTGCTGCAATGTACACATGAATCAAACTACTGCAGCAGAGTATCGAAGGTGATATTGGTGCCTGCTGCGAGGTGGCGAGCGATTGACTGTGAGCAGCTCGAAAGAAACGTCGAAGAGGACGGGCGGACTGAGTCGGAGCTGCGGGGCACCCCGGGGAGGAAAATAGAGAGCTGCACCGAGTGCACGGAACGGGCCCCCGCTCGACGACGCGACCACGGAGGCGTCCATGCGCAGCTCCTTGACTTCCGACGTCGCCCAGTTGGACAGTGTCCGATTGAAGCGACATCGTCAATCGCTACACTACGCCGCGCGGAGAACTCTGCATCGAGTGCGACCGTGGCATGGAGCGCAATGGATGGATAATTTGTATCACCATGTTCATGCCGAGAGGATTCCTCCCGCTGCTCCAATTGAGCAGCTCAATGCTTGTCGTCCTGTATCATATCTGCTCGTCTTTGGCAGGTTACACACTTGACGGCACCACAACCCCCGCGTCTTTTTCGCCATGCTGATCAAAAAGGGGCTGGCTGGATGCACCCCAACCAGCCAGCCAGCAGCAATTGTCACCAGCATGACATCTCGCCGGTCAGATAAAAGTATCTTTGGCCCGCACACTACCGTACCATCAAGCGTTCCTATTATCTGACTAGGAACCAGAACTCAAAATCTCTGTCCCGTGTATTGTGCCCAAAACCCCGGCTCTATGCACCTTACACATATGACGTTGCGTTCGTGAAGTGCCCCCCTTTCTTTATCGGCGACACTTGTCGCCGGACGGATAGGAGTCAGAACCAGCGTGCGTGTCCGCTCTCCCTCACTCTCCAATACGACGCGACGCCGCCGCACAAGGTAGAACGCCAAGGTAGATCGCCTCGACATGGCGCGGGGCTTCGGCGCGTCCTCCTCGCGCGTGGGCGGCCCGTCCGCCTCCTCGGTCTCCAACGGCAGCGAGTCGCTGGGCGCCTCGCGCGTGTGGACGCCTCTGCGCGAGAACCACTTCGAGCCGCCGCTGCTCTCCTCGAGGGAACGCGCCTACCTGGTGCGCAAGGCGTGCGAGGCGGCGCAGGAGCTGGTAGAACGCGCGCGCAGCGCCGGCGGACCCATCGCCTGGCGCCACGTGGAGAAGAACAACGGCGTGCAGATCTACGCGGGCTCCCCGCGCGCGTCGGCGTCGGGGTCCGCCGCGAGCGCCGCCAGCATGTGCGGCGTGACGAGCGTCCCGGGTACAGTGAAGGAGGTGGCGTCGCTCTTCCAGCTCGGTTCTACCCGCCAGATGAAGGAGTTCGCGCGCGCGCACCGCGAGTGGTTCTACGATGGCGTCGTGCTACACACGCTGGCTCCGCGCACCAAGGAGAAGCCCCTACACCAGGTCACGGCCAAGTGGATGGTGGTGCAGATGCCCAGCGGCGTCCCGCACCGCGACTTCTGCTACCTCGAGTGCCAGGACAAGTTCATCGACGCGCGCGGGCGCAAGGGCTGGGTGCTGGGGCAGCATTCCATCAAGTTGCCAGGCTGCGACGACCTCAAGAGGGAGTTCGGACTGGTGCGAGGCAGTCTGTACCACTCGGGCTTCGTGGTGGTTGAGAGCGCGGAGCGCGCGGGCCATGTGGACGTCATTCACCTGGTGCAACTTAACCTTAAGGAGCACACGCAGGTGCCGATGAATCTGCTGCGCGCGCGCGTGCTGTTTGTGGCGCAGGTGCGCAACATGCTGCGCAGCAAGAGGCTCAACGAGCAGCGCTACTTGAGCGACCTGGAGCTGGTGCCCAGGAAGTACCGCGCCAGGTGCGCAGTGTGTCAGGACTCGTTCTCGCTGTTGCTGCTGAGGAAGCTCAACTGCCGGAAGTGTGGAGAGGTTGTGTGTGCCGCCTGCAGCAAGGAGTTCCCCATTGAGAACCGCAACTTTGCTGCTACGAACGGAGGAGACGAGGTGCGCAAGCTGCGGATCTGTATGCACTGCTTCCAGACGATCACGAACGCGCCCAAGCCGACGACGGCGTTGGTGGAGCCGCCGCACTCGTCGACGATGTCCATGAGCTTCTTGGGGTACCATGACGACGACCGGCGCGCGTCCTACATGACGTCACGCGTGGGTCACCACGGACCTCGGGAAGGGGAGAACGAAGCGCCCAAGATCTTCTTGCAGTCCATGCGGCGTGAGAAACCCTCACGTCGGCGCATGTCCAGCACCTCGCCGATTCCTGGATTCGGCGCGGATATGCCGCCGTCGACCTCTCGGCATCGCACGCGTGGAGAACAAGATTCGGACCTGTACGAGCGCTCGCAACGTTACCAGCAGCAGCAACATGACCACGGACGCTCCCACAATCACCGGACCAGCCAGCGGATGCGTCCGTCGGACTTCCGTCCAAGTCAGAGTCTGTCGCTGGATGACCCTATTGCTCGAGGTGAAGGACGCTACACGCTGCAGATGCCGGGACCGCCGCCGGTGCAGTCTCCTGCATCCATCTTTGACCGGCCTGCCCCGTCGTCCTCGCGGCGCCAGCCCAGCGGTCTTCCACGCAGCAACAGTAGTGACATGCTACTGGGAACCGGGAGTCGCAATATGAGCAACTTCAGTCGACTGCAGGAGTTGAGCAGCCGGGAGCGATTGGAGCAGCTACAGCGCCAAGGAAACTACATGTCGCGCTCGAGCATGGACTACCGCGCCCCTGACGCCTACATGTCCGCGTTGCAGCAAGCGAGCCGCGACAAGCGCGACTTCGACGCGGCTCCTCCGATGTGTGCGGCGCCGCCGAGCGATTTTGGCGCGTATGGCGCGCATCTGCAGGTCACCCCTCCTGACTTTGGTGCGTATGAATCGTCGTCATTGGATGAGCCTGACGTGGCACCTCCGCTCGACATGAGCGCCCTTACAACGTCCATGTCAGCTGTTCCGATTGAGCTCAACAGCAGTACCGGTATTAAAAAGCCCGTCGAGCCTGCGTCATCATCACGGGATGGTGGACGCGAGCGCGAGCTCTTACGTCGACGCGAACGCGAGGTCGAACAGCGCCGCGAGTCTACGAGCTCGGATTCCTCTGCGAGCTCAATCGATATCGATACGTACGATGATACCACGAATCTTGCCGTGGTCCCGCCAATTGCCGAGCAGAAGCAGGATGCGAGATCAGCGCAACACAGCGTGAAGGCTCATGTCCACGACACCGATGAAGACTCGGAGGCATCCATGGGCGCCTCAGACGATGAAGAGGGGCCTCGGGTGAGTGCCAAAATTGCGGCATCGCCTAGCAGGCTCCCGCCTCGAAGACCGCTTGACGATAGCGCAGAGGAGACGAAGGCCCACGAATTTGCAGGAACCCCAGCGCTGCCACCCCCCTCTCCGTCTGCGCACACCGTGACACGGCAGATTCTAGAGCGTCCATCCATTGCGAACTCGACGGCAGGCTCGCTACCAGGGGACGCAGTGCCGACTGAAACTGAGGGTAAGACTGGCGTAGAAATTATAGCGCCCAAGGAGTCCGAGGCCGTTGAGGAAGACCTTATTGATCATGACCCTCAGCTACAGCGCTCGAAGGTGGAAGACTTGGTCGACCATGAACTGCAGCGCTCAAAGGTGGAGGACCTGATTGATCACGAGCTGCAGCGATCGAAAGTCGAGGACTTGATCGACCACGAGTATCAGCAGACGCAGTCGTCGGATGATGGCGTTACTAGCGCTGAACAGCGAGTATCGGAGGTTGGTAAGAATTCGAAGAATTACTCATTCCAAGAGCGCTACGGCCACCTGGAGACCGACGCGGACCTGCTCAACACTGCCGGCTGTGATATGAACTACCTCGATGCCGACATGCGCCAGTTCCATGATCAGTCACTGTTCATTCGTCAAAGCCGTGATGGAAGTGCACCGAGTTTGCGGAGTTCATCGTCCCAAGTGAAGACCTGTATGTCTGCTCTGTCGACGCTTAGTGAGACCCCGTCGACTAGGTCAAGCCTTACAGGCGATGTCAATGGAGTGACGCCTCCTTATGAGCGGATGCCCACGTCGCCAAAGGGAGAGAACTCCAACGTCGTGGATTTGGTCAAGCCCTCGCAGCCCACCATCGACCGCGAAGGTACATTTGCCCTTGATCTTAGGAGCACGGATGGCAGCATGCAATCGTGGAACTCCCGTAACAGTTCTGCGAACCACGTAGCACTGGATGCCCGAACGACAGGAAACGAGGTGAGCTCACCAACTGCTGCTTCGTCAACGCGTACGGAAGACCGTTTTGCTACCAACTCCGATCTTGTTTCGGGTCCTGTGAATAGTGTTGCCGAGGACCTGGTCTTCCATCGTGAGAGCGAAGTCCCTCGACCGAGCGACGTTGATGCTGCCGAAGAACAAGACGCGGTAGTGCCCCCTCCTGTTATTCCGGTGGCGTTGGCTGGCAGCCAAGACGATGGAATTGTGCAGACAAGCGGCGACGACGTCTCGGAAAGCAGATCGCGCGCTTCGAGCAGAGCGTCGTACTCGTCTCTCATTAGCAGCGACGGTCGCAGAAGCAGCACGTGCAGCATGGGGCTGGACGCCGTGACACCGCCTGCGACTCCGCCAGCAGTCTCACCGGTTGCAATCGGTCGCCTGTCGGCTACATCAGCATCATCTCCGGTGGCGCCGACTTTGGATCCCGCGCGTTCCAGTGAAGCGCCCAGCTCTAGCGGTGCACCGCCAGCATACGTTCCCGATCGGTTCCGGACGATGGAACAGCTCCAGCAATCGCAACAGCAAGAGCAACAAAAGGTGGACCCTGCGGCGTCAACCACCCCACGTCAGAGCACCGACAGCAACGGGACCCTGGACAATTTCCAGCTAAACTTCTCGGCATCCTTCAACGCCCATCAGGAGCAGAAGCCACACCCCAGTGAAAGCGGTGTCGTCGATGGCCTCTCGCATCTGCCGCCTCCTCCTACCGATGATCGGAACCGCGCGAGCAGCACCGGCAGCAACGATGTGCAAGTGCTGCGCTATCAGTCCGTTGGCTCGTCAGTGCTGGACACCGTCCCTGATACGGCCAGGCTTTCAATCTCGGATGATGACGACAGCGAGAACGAGAACGTGCTGCTGTCTGCGCGTAAGCTGTACGGCAAGTTCGGCAACACGAAGCAGTTGTCGCGGCTCGGTGGCAACCGCCCCGGATTCCAGCACACGCTCAGCCAAATCCAGCAGAGCTTCGACCAGTTGAGCGACAGTGAAGACGACGATGATGAGGACACTCCAGCGGCTCCTCGACGGTAGGCGGCCGATGCAAGGGGTGCTATAACTATCAGTCTGGTTCGTGTAAATGAACGTGTAGATGTCCGTACCAAGGGGCGACGAAAGTAGTATCCACCTTATACAGAGCAATATAGCGGATTTTGCGCCCGAACACCAAGGGTTATTATGAGGTGAAGTCGATTGAAAAAAAATGCAGAGCTGCGAGGCTAGCCTACTTCTGGAAATTCAGGAAGCGCATGGCCAGAACCGTCAAAATACGAACAAGGACGATGAAAGCCACCAGGATGCCGAAATTCCTCCAAATCTCGCTGTGCTTCATGCCAAAGTTGATCTCTAGATATGCCTTGACGGTGATGTCGTCCGGTAGCGACGGTGGCACGTTCGCCACGTGGTTGCACCCGATAGCGCTGCTGTCACCAGCAGCAGGGCAGTCTCCGAACACAACCGCGGAGAGTGCAGCAAGCGTGTACGTCAGCGGGTTGATGTAGTAAATCCACTTGACGCCCACAGGCAGTGCAGCAGCCGGAGGACTGAACCCCGAGAAGAGGAAGGTAATGAGGTTCACCACCATGCCCAAAATCTCGGCCATCTCCGCGTTGGGGGATACGAGGACCACCAACTCAGCGAGGTACTCTTGGAAGTGGGTGTAGAACGTCAGGATGAGGTAGAACGTGAAGAAAACTTGTGCACCGGTGAAGCCGACGATGGGGTAAAAGACAGCCATGGCCAGCAGTACTGCTGCAAAGTGTACGGTATCTCTACCACGCTCCAGCCGAAGAAGTACCAGAGCGCTGAGTAGGTCTGCGATGCGCGCTCGCGGTAGAACACAGCGCGTTCCTCGGCTACGACGGGGATCAAACCATTGAACGAGGTGACTCCAAGAAATGCCATCACGGTGAACACAATTCCCATGCCGGAGTTGATGCCCGCGTAGGTGCCGTAGTTCGTCGACATGTACGTGATACCGGTGAGCAGACCCATGACCTGAGCAACGCCGAAGCGAGTCAAGTTGTAGGACGCCGTTCTCCAGTACAATTTCCAGAAACGCTGCAGCAGGAGCTTCATCTGGGTCAGTTCCGTCGCAGCACGTTTGTCGGCGTACTCCAGGGCAGGAATGGACGCTGACGGTCGTGATACACCATCGCCATCCAGGTTCTCCTGTAAGACTTCGAACTCGGCGCAGACTTGAATAGCGCGACGAAGTCCGTCGAGTTTGAGTCGGTCTTACTGACACCAGCGCCGATCACATCCAGCATCCACGATGCTGGGTTGTAGTTCTCCCTCAGCTTCTCCACACCGTCGATCGCCTCGAAGTAGTCGATCATCTTCTGCGCGTTCTCGCCCAACTCACCAGCGAGCACTGTCTCCCCACCACGCTTGAGCAGAAGCATACTGTCGAATACCTGGAAAACCTCGGCCGAAGGCTGGTGGATCGTACAAATGATGGTGCGGCCGGTGTTGGCCACCTTGCGAACGCCGTCCATGATCAACTTGGCCGAGCGAGCGTCCAATCCACTCGTGGGTCCGTCCAGGAAGAGAACACTCGGCTGTGCTGCCAGCTCCACGCCAATGGTCAACCGCTTCATCTGCTCCACGGAACTGCCGCGGATGATCTGGTCGGCAATCGGAGTCAGGTCCAGCAGCTCCAACGTGTTCTCAACCGACTCATACTTGTAGCTGCCGGGCACGCCCGCACCCTGGCGTAGGAACGCACTGAAAGTCAGCGCCTCACGAATCGTAGACGACTGCGAGTGGACATCCATCTGCTCGCAGTAGCCCGTGGAGCGACGGATAGCCAAGTCAGTAGCGGTGTAGCCGTTCAACAGAATCTGTCCCTGTACTTTGCCTCCCGTCTTGCGTCCAGCAATCACGTCCATCAGCGTTGTCTTACCAGCACCCGAGGAGCCCATGAGCGCCGTGATCGTGCCCGGGAGCGCATACCCGGAGATCCCCTTGAGCAGGTCGATCGACTTCTTCGAGTCAGTCGGGTCTGGGACAGTATACCACAGGTCTTTGAAAGCCACCGTGACAGGTACTGGAACAAACTTCTTGTCATCGTCAGGCGCCACCGAGACGGCAGTATCCATTCCGACAGGCAGGTTGCGTGGGGTTTCTGCTACAGCGTACCCATCCTGCTTCGAAGTGTACATCTTGTTGGTGGCATCAGTAGCTGTGTCTTCATTGTCGAGCGCGACGTGCTCCGGGCTCTCGTAGCGGTGGTACTCCAACGCAATAAACGAGCAAAACATGAACACGTACGAGACGACCGTGTACAGCATGCCATACCACAACCAGTACCTCTCGGACGGAACTTCGTAGGTGCTGAGCGCGTACTCCCCCATCTTCATGCCATATCGGTCACAGTAGTCGACGCCTTCGTACACACACGTATCGAAGCGTGACTCGGTGTACTGGTTGACGGCGAGAGCACGAACGCTCCAGCTGACTGGATTAATCCAGTATAACCACACGAGATAGCTCGGAATTTGGTCCTTCGTGATCGTGAAGCCAGCGAACAGGATAAAGAGTTCAACTGCGACGCCGGCGATTGGGTTCACCACGTTAACGTTGGGCGACGCGGACGCCAGAAAGAAAAAGAACGCGGATGACCAGATGTTGATGAGGCACAGGATCGCCACAAAGGGCAGGAAGCTCCAGACCGAGCTCACGAAGCCGCACATCCAGTAGACGATGGCGCTGAAGACCATCGTCTCCACCATGATCGGGGGGATCTGGCTGACAAGAGAAACTCAGCACATAAGACGCCGTCCGGAAGAAATTGCCACGACGCTGCTTGTAGAAGACCTCACGAGCTGCAAAGATGCTGGGAACTTGAGCCAGTAGAGCCATGGACAAGCAAAGCGCCACTTCAAAGATGATCCCCATCACCAAGGGCGGGTCAGTCGGGTCGACTTGGAAGAAGACGCACCCGTACAGCAACGCCATGACCGTGTTCATCGCCAACCGACCAATCAGGCTCGATAGCTCCCGCTTCATCATAATGAGCTGGCGCTTAACGAGCGACGCGGTGCTGGACCAAAAGCCCTGGTAGAATTCAGGTTGACGAATATCGGTACTCGTCTGAAAACCGTCGGATTCGTCGAGATGGCTCCGCATCCGAGTGTACGCCGAAGAGGCCTCGAATACATCGGCGAATTCTCTCGGGGTGCGAGGAATTCCGTCTGCATGGACTTCGTACTGGAGCTGCTTGTCGGTGCCGAGATCCAAGAGAAAGTCAGCGACGTCGCGGTGAGGAGGACGCTGGAACCCCAGGCTCTCAAAGTAACCCTGGGCCTCTTCACGCGGCCCGTTGTACACGATATGACCGTCGTTCAGCATCACGACGTTGTCGAAGAGCGCAAACACCTCTGGGGACGGCTGCAGCAGTGAAATGACCACTGTCTTGTGAAACTTCTTGGCAATGCTGCGCTGCATCGAAATGATGTCGAACGTCGCAGCACTGTCGAGGCCCGTGCTGATCTCGTCCATCATCTTGACGTACACGTTGCCGAACTCCATCTCGCCAGTCGTGACGCGCTTCCGCTCGCCTCCTGAGACGCCACGCAGCATCGCGTCTCCGACGACGGTGTTCTGGCAGTTCTCGAGACCGAGCTGCTGGACCACCAGGTCGGGGTAGTGATGGTACATGGCTCGCACCACCTTGAGCGCCTCTATATTCTCGTAGGAGTTGCCGTGAACCAGCCCTCCTTCCCAGAACTTGGTCATATCCCCACCGCAGCAGGCGTGCGCGAACTCCAGCGTCTCCTTCACCGTCAGCGTCGGGTAGTGCCCATCCCGCTGCGACGCACACGACACGAGCTGCGGCAAGACCTTGCGAAGCTCAGCGCCAGGCGTTCCGTTGTACGTCACTTCTCCTTCGATCGACCGTTCTTGTCCTCAGGGAATCGCCCACTCAGTAGCTTCATGAGCGACGACTTGCCCGAGCCAGGCTGACCCAGCACGAGCGTCATGGAGCCCGGTTCGAACACGCCGCTCACGTTCTTGAGGATCTGCTTCCGCACTGTGTGCTTCTTGGCTACCAGCCCTCGGACAGCTTTGACCACCACGTTGGGGAGTGTTGGGAGCTCCGTCTTGGCGTCGTTCTTGTCGCTGACAGCGATGTCGGCCGAGATGGATACGTTCTTGAAGCGCACCTCCATTTGCGGTAGAACGCCCCCATAGCCCTTGGTCATGCGAGTAGCGACGTGGTCGTGAAGCTCGAGAGGCCCTTGAGCCAGCAGCGTCTTGGCGTTGTCGTACCCGAATACCGGTTGATCCTTCTCCTGCGCTTTCATGACGAGTCAACGAACTCTGTCCAGGACGTTCGTGGGACCACCGAACTTAAGTCTTTGCTCCAAATGGAAAGTGAGCTTGACTTGCTGATCTCATGGCCACGCTATCCGGGGTACGAACTGATGAGCGTTGCGATTGCTCGACTCTCGTCTGCAGCGCTTCGAGGCGTTCATAATCACCGGACCCTGTTTCACGACTGGACTAGCGTTTAGTCGACCAATCCGCTTCGCGGCGGGGTGTGCTTGCGAACGCTGAGTGCAGCGATACCAGCGTCGCATAAGCACAACTTCCATGCTGAAAAACCACTCGGTACATGTACAGTACCTGCTCGCAATTCTTGTTGACGGACGCGATCCCTCCACACATGCACGTACACCATGCCAACGCACCGGATACGGCACGACCACCAACTGTACAGTAGCTCCTCAAGGAGAAGACCAACACCTTGTTACTGCCCCACCAACGGCGAGTGACCTTCGCTATGTATAATAGCGCTTCACTTGGCTTCCCCTTCTTGCATTTTCTACACAGTATGATACACTCCTCCAAGTTAGCACTAGACCGTCTCAAATAGAGGGTATCTATCTATCTATCCATCTGTAGCTAGGAGTACCTGTCGAAGAGCAAGGACAAGGTGCTGTCTCTGGGCCAGGATCTTCCTCTTTTTATTGAATTTTGCGCCAGACTCCACCACCGCCTTCTCCCACTGATCCTGGACGCGTTGCCGTTGCTCCTCGTTGCGCATGAGCTCGAGCTCCTGTCGTTCCGGTGTCCACTGAGCCTCCTCCTGCGAGAGATGCATTCAACCGTGAATATATCTCCATGTACAACGAATTGAGCGGAGAAAATCCCACCACCATGAAGAGCATTCCATGGTGGTCACGCCGAGCACTCACACTCGCCTGGATCTCCGCTGCCAGCGTCGCAAACAGCCGCCGCTTGCGACGCTTCTGCAGGTTCTTGCGCTTCGTGCGAGCTGAGCCCATGGCTATTCCGACCTGAGATGCGGCATAACTATTTTTAGCAGACTATTTTATGACGGAAGATGGGTTTCGAGCCGTTACCAACCGCCAAGGCGCCAAGTTGAAGTGAAGTGGCTCATTCCGCAGAGAGTCGAGAGTCCGATCAAGCGGCTTCTCCTCTTAAAGGCTTATAGGTCGGTTTCCCCTACTTTATCTATCTATTTGATGGCGTTATGATATTCTCCATTCAATTCTGCAGCCACCCGTGCTCTTCTCGGGTCTAAACGCCCCCTACAACTCAAGTAACGACTGCTAAAAGCCCTTGTCTGTTGGTTATTTACACCCCCTTGTAGTGCGTGGAGAGGGACGCTGGCTTCGTCTTGGTCATGTTCGAGAAGGTGGTGGAGTCGGTGCTGGAGGAGTATGTGAGCGAGTGGGTGGAGGGCCTCGACTCGGAGAAGATGAAGGTGGCGCTGTTCGCGGGTAAAGTGGAGTTCCGCGACCTGCGGATGCGCGGCGCGGCGCTGGACAAGTTCCAGCTACCCATGAAGATGAAGTCGGGCAGCGTCGGACGGCTGAGCATCAAGGTGCCGTGGAAGCGGCTCACGTCGCAGGCCGTCAAGATCAAGGTGGAGGACGTCTTCCTGGTGGTGGAGCCCACGGACCAGGACGAAGCTCGGCGGAGCGAGGAGGACGACGATTCGTACGCGCTGCGGACACGCTGGGCCAAGCAGCAGGAAGTGCGGATGCTCGAGTTGCTGGAGACGGTGAAGAACGACGGCAGTACGACGAGTGAGAGTGAAGGAGCTGGAGCTGGAGCTGGAGCTGGGGCGGGGGACTCGGACCCCACGGCGTCTTGGGGCTACCGCAAGAAGATCCTCAACACGATCCTAGACAACGTCTCGTTCGAGTTCTCCAACATCCACATCCGATACGAGGACTCGAAGCACCTGGCGTCGTCGATTCCGTTGGCTCTGGGGCTCACGATCGACTCGATTGTGATCTCCACCACGAACGCGAACGGACAAGAAGAGTTCGTGGATCGCGCGCAGGCTCGCACTGCGTTTGTACACAGACGGCTCGAGATGGTGCAGGCCAGTGTCTATAGCGACCACATCGAGGCTAAAGGCGCGCAGTCTCGAAAAGGTCCGTCGACGTCGGGCTCGAATGTTATTCATCCTTTCAGCACTCGCATCAACTTGGCTCGAAACCACGACGAGCGGACAGCGTCCACCATCCCGAAGCTGCGATGTTCCGCCGAGATCAGCGCTATCCGGGCGTGTTTGACTCCTCAGCAGAGTACGTTCCTCATCAGCATCGCAGACTTTGTATCCGCCCATGAGATGTACCTCAAGCGTCTCCACTTCCAACGCAAGCGACCACTAGTCCCAGTGCGTTCGAACGCCAGATTATGGTGGCAGTACGCCCTGCACGGCGTTCTGGAACTGCACCGTCATTCATTATCGAGTCAAAAGACCGCAACAGCGTCAACGACAGCGACTCCGGCCCGCAGGTCGAGTGTTGTTCATCGTCGGTGCAGCTGGAAGCTCTTCGTGACGCTCTGGTTCGCTCGGAAGGAGTACATCCACCTGCACAAGAACATGCTGCGGGCCGCCAAGAAGAAGAAACTCGATATCGAGAGCGTCATGGCCGATCGCTCTCGACTAAATGCTCTCGAGGACGTCTTAGAGGTGCCGACTATTGTCTTCTTCCGGCTTTGCGCCGCCCGAGAACTGGAACTCGAAGGTCAGGGCCATGACTCCCCACGGAAATTATCCCAATGGAAGTCCCGGTTTTCCTCCGGACGAACGTCAAGCGGCAGTTCGAATGGATCTGCGTCCACACGTGATAGTTTTATCGACAAGCTGGAGATTTACTTGGCGGTGAACGACCGAATGCACGCGTCGTCGGAGGCTCGAACCGCGAGTTTTTGCGAGGAACGGAACGTGGAGGCGCTGCTCATGGCGTTGGACTTAGTGGTCATTAGCTTCGAGGTTGTTCTCGTTGAGGAGTACAAGGTCGGGGACAAGTCGGACACGAGGGACTTCTTACGATTTGAGCTCAACGAGTTTGTGGTGACGGTGCTGCAGCGGACCAGTTCCTCCACCGTGTCGTCACGGATCACGTCCGTCCAGATCCTCGACTTCCGCCAGACGTATGAGGCCGCGACGCTGGAGAAGAAGGAGCCACACGCTCTTTTGTCCATGATTGACACTATCTCGCCTAATGGGCAGGTGGTGTCTCGCAAGAACCCGTTCGTGGAGCTGAACATCGAGTGTTCCGAGAGCAAATTCCAACTCGACTGCGTGTTCGAGCGGTTCCGCTACATCCACAACTTGTACGCGACGTCAAAGCTCCGTGCGTATTTCATAGCGCGCGTGGATGAACCCGATGAACCTGTTGCAGCGATCAAAGCTGCCACGCCGACAAAAACTGCTGGAAAAGTATCTAAACTTCCCGTTGAATTGCAACGCAAAGCGTCCATTGAGAACGCCTTTGGAACTGCCAAAGCGCGGCGAAAGAGCGACACGGCCGCAGTTCATACACGAGAAGTGGTGTTTTCTGTCAAACTTCCCGAGATCGACGTGTTTGTCCATACTACTGACGCCTCAGCAGAGGTGGAGGCTAGACTGGTGGGCACGCACTTCCAGAATGGGGCAGCTCACAACACGTTTGAGCTGTCGATTGAAGGCGCTGAGACCTACTTCTTAGAGCCCGAAGTGTGTGCAAGCACGGAAGAGGAGAAATACGAGGGTGAAGCGGACAAAACGGATACTGTCCAGCGTAAGCGCTCTACGTTGATGCAGAGTACACGCCTGGTATTTTATGGAGAGAAACTGGTGGAAGGCTACCTCGTCCCCAAGTGGCAAATGAAGTGCACGGCGCCTCCCATTCAGTTCTCCATGTCAAGTAAGCAGTACCAGCAGCTTCTGCAAGCGTCAGCCGAGTGGCAGTCGCCGAAACAGGGGCAAGAAGCTGCCAAGGCTGGGTCGATTGCGTCGTTCATACCGGAAGACGAGCGGTTCAACGTTTGCTTCTCCATCCCTCAAATCCTGATCGACTTCAACGGCGAAGGCCCGATCCAAACCGCATTGAGCGCGGCTTCTAGTGCGTCGGAAGAGATCACGGGCTTTGAGCTGGACATCCGAGACCTGAATGTGATGGCGAGGTTTTCCTCCGCCGCCCAGGCTGCCGCTGTGGATATGGGCTTGCTGTCACTTGTAAAATGCGTGAAGTACAGCACTGTACCAGATAATACGGTGGACGGATCGTCCGCGGACGACGCTAGTGCACAGAACGCTGATGGCCCAACGCCCTCATCAATCCCTCCACCATTACCCGTGGCGAAAACCACAGCAGACCCAGTCTTCCATCGATGTACGGGATATCGCACTTGCAAGCTCCTTGAACTAAGCGGAAAGACAAGCGTCATGATATCCAGCTCGGAGCCGCTTATGGGTGAAATCAACGTCGAGCAAGCCGCTCTGTATTGGGATCATGAGCTGCTGGTTGCTCTTGTTCGATATCACTCAAAAGCGCCAAGTGCAGAATCGTCAGCCTCGGGTCCGAGTGTAATAACCCAAAGTGATGCACTCGAACCGCTGGCTTGTTTCGCGCTTCAAGTGAAAGTCCAGCGATATTTTGCATTTTTCATGCCGAAAGCGTGCTGGCAGGAGCGTGTTTCGTTTGGACTTTGTGGCTCAGACTTGCGCTGTGATGTCTCGACGCTGCAGACGCAGTACGTCTGTGCCACTCTGGAGGGTATCGGTGAGATCCAATTGACAGCGTCTCGGCTGAACCAGATCAAATCGGAGAACGATTCCGCTGATAATGAAGCTCAGAGTCCGGAATTTTCGGAGGAAACGAGTGTACTACTTCAAGCCCGGACGCCAGTGCGAGTTGTGCTCGAGTCGGCAGGTTTCAGTTCGTTGGAGCATCGTGGAGGAGCCGCTTCGTACTACCGAATCGAGAGCGAAGACGTGGAGATGAACTACTTGCGCGCGTACTGGTCTCCATTCCTGGATCATCTTGCGATAGAGATCGGTGGGTTTTCTCGGTGGACGGACCTGCTGCGAATGCCACCCGGGATGAAGGCACTAAACGACCGGGTAAGCGTCGAGCTCGACATTTCTCACGTGACCTTGAAGCTGCCGACCTGCGAGGCCGAGGGCAAGCACAAATCGCCATCCGATCACATCGAAATTGACGTTCGGAACGTATCCGCAGCGTCTCGAGCTTACCCGGAGGACACGACGCAGGAGCAGAGTGGAATCCAAGCTGGCAGCGTTCAACTTTTCACCGTTATGACCAAACCTCAACGCCCTAACCAAGCTGCCACTAATGAGGAATCCAAGACCGATGAACAGGACGAGCTTCCGGTGTGCCGCTACTCTGTGGGGAAGTTTAGTGACTTGTTTATCGAGTACGTGGCCCTCCCACTGGCACTCACAAATGTTAAAGGGGGAGAACAAGAGGAAATGAAACCCTCAGCGCTGGATCTTGCCGTGGTTATTGCCGAGATGGAGAGAATGTGCAGCCGCATCAAAGTGGAATTGTGGTCGACAAACAACTGGATGAAGTCTGGCACAAAAGACCAAGAGGAAACTGATGCAACCCCTGCAGATAATTCTCCAGTCACACAATCTACAACAACGTTAGCGTTTAATCCGTACCAGCTTGAGCTTCTCTCTCGCGTTCTGGACAACAACTTCGTCGGGTCACCACCGGCTCCAGTTTGCAGCTTCGTCAACGCCGACGAGACGAAAGTTTCAGATATGGAGTTTGACTTTGGAGATCTCGCCCTGGATCTCCTAGACCCGCTGGATCCCTCCGTGGACGACGCCAGCTCTGGAAACCCCTCAAGCGGCGCTGTGATAGCTCGCGCGTGTCTCGAGCGATTTCAACTCGCTGCCGACGGGTTCGCGTCACTGCGGTCTCAATACCGCGCGTCGTCTTCCAAAGGCTCCTTGTGGAAGATTGATTGGAGTGAAGACGAAGCTCAAGAAGACGTTCCAAAGTCTGAAGTGAGGGCGCTTTGTGGCAGTATTTTCTCTCTATCGGAAGACGTATCCAAGCAAGGTATCGACATCATCCTGGATCGACGAGCTCCATCACCCGAAGTTGCGATTCCTCCCACAGAGGTCCGAATCCACTTGGACAACTGCGAGCTGCTCCCGTTAATCGTCGAGTTCGGCCAGCGACTTCGGTATTTCGCCTCCATTGAATCGGATCTCTCGGAGCAAATCGAACGCGCGGAAACTTCATTGGACGTGTCGATTACAACGGGTTTCGTGCATTACCTCGCTGCTGAATGCGTTCCGAACAGCGTTGATGAACTCGGAAGTGAAGACGAGGACTCCCAACGCCTTCACTCTGATGCTACCACATTGAAGATGATAGCGAGTGGGTGCATTGTTGGTCGGTATCACAGCGACGAGCCTGAGAACTCGCGAACTCAACTGTACGGGAGGAATATGTGCGTGAAAGTGAGCTCGCAATGGCCACCACAGCCTGCAGTTTTAACAGTGCCAGCCTCGCCTTCCTCCCAGTCCGAGTCGCCCACCAAGGCGGACATGTCTGGAGCGTTAGATCTTTCAAGATACGAGCGCACTGTATGCGATGATTTCACCATCGATCTCGAGTTGGTCACTGCTGAAGACGCTGAAGCCACGATGGCAGTCACACTCACGCATTTCCACGCTGTTGTGTGTACTCTCGACCTCTTCCTCTTCTCTCAAGCTCAAAAGGTGTTCGGAACGGATAATGAAGCCAGCGACAGTAGTTCCGAGAAGGAAAAGACCGAAGAAACCGAAACTTCTGAAGGTGAAGACGGCGACTCTAAGCCTGCGGACGCTCCATCAAGGCCTCTAGCACCACCAGAGATCGAGTTCCGAGAGGACAGCATCAGTATGGTCGAATTCTTGCTGGAAGATACGAGCATCACGCTTCTTCGGCAAAGTGGGCCTCACTTATCCCCGATAGCGCGCTTGTACACCTTCCGCGCCATGTGCAAGGCCACGTACGAGGTTGGAGAGCGGATTGACGGCGTCGTTCCCACCTTGACCGAGGTGGCAGTAGAATTCCCGGACGAAAGTCTGAACGAACCGTGTGCTGACGATGGAGTCAGCATCTGGGGGTTCAATACGGCGTTAGGCTCGTGGGAGCCCATAGTGGAGCCCTGGATGTTCGACCTGAAAGGCTCCTTGATCCGCGACGAGACGGGGGAGATGACAGCCAATCTCGACTTTACTGGGAAGGAGGGCCACCCACTCAACATCAACATCTCACCTGCTATGATCAACTCCTTCTGCTTGACGGCGAAAGCTTACGAGGGGGCTTTGAACTGTGCCCGCGCGCCTTACGTGTCCCCAACGAACGTCATATCATCTGACTGCTACTTGGTAAATGACACGGGAGCGCCAATCACTTACTGGGTCACACACGATATCGGAACTGCGTCTCGAGGGTTCACGTACGCGTCTAGACGGAAACCAAAGCGTGAAATACTGGCAAACCGAGCCAAAGTGCCTCTCGAGCTACTGACGTCCATCTCTCCATCTCTTCGAGCAGAGCAGACCGTGTCGTTTTGCTGGGATGACAATGAATGGCACCCACTGACGGACATTCCCATTCGTAACACAGGCAAGTACATCTACGCAGTTCGACCACGCAATGCGAATGCCGAGGGGGATCCGGAAAATATGAAGGAGAACGGAGAGGCTCGTCCTGCCACACCACCGAGTATCCCGAGGCCACAGCTACTGCACGCGTTGCTTGATATCTCTGCTGGCACCGGCTACAGAACGTTCACGATCTCCTCTTTGGTTCGGCTGTTCAACGAGACGAGTATTGCGGTGGATTGTGGCGTCCTGGAAGCTGACGGAAAGACCATCACGGAGATCGGAACCATTGAGCCCAAGGGCGCGTGCAGTGTGCCGTTCCGCTTCGTTCCTCAGATCTGGTCGGTGCGGGTCTTCATGAAGCCGCATCTGTATCAATCGCCTGCCCCGGTTTCCAGCAGCTCGAAGCTTTCAGCGCTACCGCCATCGGCTGACAGGGAACATCGGTGGAGTAACGAGTTATTCATCAGCGAGAAGGAAGACAGCACGCTGCACACTGCGTCCTGCTCGCTTGTGCTTGACGATTACGCGTGCAAGTGCCAGAAGATGATCGACGGGACGATCCCCTTCCACCCGAGCCAGATCTGCAACGCCAACGGAAGTTTCTTCCACGCTCACAGCCGCGTCTTCACGTCTTCCAACGCCAGCAGTCTGCAGTACGCGCAACTCAAGCTGATGTCTCCACTGACACTGGTCAACAACTGCGGCGTGCCGATCATCGCAGTGTTGTTCGCACTGAAAAAGGTGCGGCGCACTACCGGAGCCGCTGCCGACAGTGAAGACGCGCATGTCGTCTCCTCCCAAGTGATTCCTCCCCACGGTCGGGTTGACACGCTTTCGTCCGCTCTCCAAGATGAGACGTACTGCTCGATATCCATGACGGGCGCCAGTTGGAGTCGGCTCTTCCGAATCCCCAGTGTCTTGGATGCAGCGGAGGAGGCTGTAAAGCCCACGATCCCCGCCTCTGCCTTGAAAGCCATCTCGTCATTGCCACTGAAGCCGGGAACTAACAGCAACAACGTCGTACTGTCGCTCTTGGATTTCCAGTCAAGGACAGCGACGTTGAACGTATCGTTCGACAGCAAGGAGACGCGAGAGAAGAACGCGGGCCACTTCATGGTAGTGCAGCCGCGCTTCCTCCTTCGGAACGCAACGTCCCTCCCTCTGGTGTTCTCGCCGCAGCCCAAATTGATCGAGAAGATCCCTGGTACAAAGTCCATGATGGCTCGGTTCGCCAAGTCTCCGTTCTCTCCGTCCAGGAAGAAGCAGACGGAGGAATGCTGCGGCTCGCCGGAGATGGAGAAAATCCACGCAAAGTTAAACGCGCTTCAGGACCAGGCGGTGTCTGAAGACGCGATCGATGAGGACGAGCTGCAGGCGCATTACTACTCGGAAGTGAGTGCGATCATGGTGCAGCTGGAGGGCAACACGCAGCAGTCGTCCAGCGCCCAGGACATCAGTCTGGAAGTAGGGGCCAACACCTTACTCCGCGTGTACAACGAAGCCACCAAACGCTACCACGATATCGTCGCGCTGTTCAAACAAGTGGGCGGCTCCAGCTCGACGGTCGTCACGTTCGTGGAGCGATACTTACTACTGAACCAGACCGATCACGAGCTATTGGCCTCGGCAGTGTACGACATCTCGGCTGCTAAGAAGGGTCCAGCAGACGACAAGAAGATCCTCGTTGCGCCACCTCGCTCCACGTCCGAGTTCAGCTGGTGGGCGCACTCGTCCATTCCTTCGGACACGTGCATCCGACTGAAAGTCCGGAGTCCCCCAAGTGGAACTCCCCAAGCTGAAGACTATCAGTGGAGTGGCAAGTTCTCGCTGCATGACGTCAGCGAGACGGCGTTGAAAGTCAGCACCCCCGACGCCTCTCGCATTTGTGTCTTGCGCGTGCAAGTTCGCGTCGAAGCAGCGGTTCAAGTCTGCGTCGTGGTCACCAGCGAAAATGTGGCGGAGTTCCCACTGTACCGGATCATCAACTCGTGCGCGCGCGAGACGATCTGGTTCAAGCAGATCTTCGACGGCGTCAAGAAGGACGCGTCGGCCTTCCAGCGTGGAGTCATGCAGTGCTTGGCACCGGGTGAGAGCGTCTGCTTTGGCTGGGACGAAGCCTATTTCCTGGGTACTCCCAACCGTGAGATCAGTGTCTGGTACGCACCGAAAGACGGCACGACCTCGTCCGACTACCACAGCTCCATCTTGCTGGACCAGCCAGGAGAGTCGCAGCAGGTCGAGATCCCGTCAAAGGCCGCCTTACCCAAAGCTCCGAGCCGAGTGTACGTGCGTTGGCACCTGCAGGGGCTCACCAAGACTATGGTGGCTCAAGATGAGCCTCTTAACCGGAAGGAAAGGGCGGGGAAGCAGACTCGACAGCTCGTAGCAGCACACGGAGAGACCGAGAGGTCCACGACGCCAGGATTCACGTCGGAGGTGGTGGCGCACTTCCGCTTGCCGCACTTTGGGGTTTCATTCGTGACGAGTACACCGGACGAGCTGCTTCTCTTCTCGGGACAGGATGTGGACATCGCGTACGCCAACATCAACAACGACCACGACCAGTGCGAGGTCAAGATCGGGTGCTTCCAGCTCGATAACCAACTCACTGGAGCCATTTACCCCGTCGTGGTCGCGCCCATCTTGAAGAAAGGCAGCGGGTGCGTTGGCTTCCGTAATGAGGCGTCGGCACCTTCGCCTGAGAAGTCGAAGAGCGCTGAAGTCCGATCCGCACAGGGGACTGAGAACGGAGACGAAGCTGACAACGGGGAGAAGAGCGACGCGAAGTCTGGAGCGCGGTCGAACAGGCCCCACTTCTTCCACTTGTCCATCCTCCGCTTGAGTTACGACGAGAACACGGACTACATCAAGTACTTCTCGGCCATGATGCAACCCGCCCGGATCCAGATCGATGAGGCCTTCTTGCTCGCCATCGCTGCGTTCGTCACGGACTGCTCCAAAGCCTTGGAGAGGAATTATCCTCCAGAGCGACGACGTCTCACGAGTGAAGCGTCGAAGGTGCAGTCCAGAGGCTCGCCGGAGAAAAGGTTCACCGCGAACTCTGAGCGGAGGATCTACATTGAGACGCTGCAGCTCCATCCGGTTAAGGTCCAGCTCAGCATCACGATCCTCAACCACTACGGGGAGGCGGATGAGTCGGCAACGGGGTTGGCGTCGCTCGTTAAGCTCCCGATAGCGGTTACGAAGGCGCTGCTGAGCTCAACGTTCTCGCAGATCGACAGCGCGACGCTATACTTGAACGCGCTGCATCTGAACCACGCGTTCGCCTCCGGTGCCTTCTTGATGTCGACCGTGCAGCAGCACTACATGCTGCAAGGAATGCGTCAGATCTACTCGTTGGTAGGAGCTGCCGACATCCTGGGCAATCCTGTGGGTCTCGTGACCAACCTTGGCGTGGGCGTGAAGGACTTCTTCTACGAACCCGCCGCGGGACTCGTGACATCTCCACAAGAGTTTGTGCTTGGACTCTCGCGCGGAACTACCAGCCTCTTCACCCACTCACTGTATGGTGCGTTCAATGCTGCGAGTAAGGTGACGGGGACGCTGTCCGAGGGCATCGCGACGCTGTCACTGGATCACAAATACTTGGCTGAACGCCGCGCGCAGGGTCCGCGGAAGCAGGTTGCCACGCACATTGGAACGGGGTTAATTCATGGTACGAAGCAGCTTGGAAAGGGAATCTTCGCTGGCGTTACGGGTGTCATTACAGCTCCTACACAAGGCGCAATCCACGGTGGGCTCCCAGGATTCATCGAGGGAGTCGGCAAGGGGCTCATCGGGGTCGCAGTCAAACCTGCAGCCGGAGTACTAGACCTAGCAGCCACCACAGCAGCGGGGATCACCGCAACAACCTCAGCGTTAGACCGTCGTACAGGACTGGGGAAAGAAGTTTACCGCCGTCGTGAGCCACGACTGCTTCGAGTGACCAGCGACCAGCGAGTCCGAGTGTACACGCCCGCGGACGCGCTGGTGTCTCGACTGCTGCTGACTTTGCCGCTGAAGTTCAAGCTGCAGCTTCCCAACGAGCTGTACGACGCGCACATTTTCCTGCCAAATGCCCGCATCCTGGTGGCGACTTCACTGCGTCTTCTTCTGCTCGAGTTCGCGTCGGAAGGAACGCTTGCAACGCTAACAACCGCCCTCATGTCGTCAACGTCGATTCCGCCGCCGCTGGTGCTCTGGAGTCACCCCTTATCAAAACTGATAGGAGCCCAGCGCACGCCCAATGGAGCAGCCGTGCACATGGGCTCGAGCGCAACCGATGCAGAGCTGATGGAGGCAGGAGCTGAGAAGTCGAATGGCGACGTCAGCACCTTCGCAGTTCCAGACCTAGAAGAGTTGAGCAGCTCAGGTTGTGACCGCGTGCTGTCGTTCCTGACGGAGCTGGTGGTTCGACACCAACGAGCCACAGCGACCTGCTTCGGCACTGGAGCAGACACACAACCCGGATTAGAAAACTAGATGAATTATATAAGCATAACCGCATGAGCGTCGATAACTGCAACGGTGGCCGATACGATTTACAAAGCCGTATTGGTTGATTCATCGCGCAGACGCGACGCTTTTCAGCGCGTGGTTAATTCGTAAGATGGACAAATACATAGGAAAAAGGAGGTTTGAACCACGCGAGCTCACGGCTTGATCGCTACTTCTGCGCGGGGGGCACGTATCCGTGCTTGGAGGCGTACGACTGAGCCATCTACGCACCGCAACGAGATATAAACAACAGTTGTCCAATATGAGCAACAATATGACCATTGTCAATATGATATATGATATGATATGATACCTTGGCCATGAACTCCGGGTGCTCCTCCGCCTCATGCAGCACGAATGCCCCCGCCTTGGACGCAAGTCCGTCGTGTTGACGCAGCAGCGTCTCCGTCTCCTCGGCAGCGGGGCGGTACGTCACCGTGGGGTCCATGTCCATGTCCAGCGTTCCCTCGCGGAACTGCGGGTGGAAGAGCATGATGAGCAGGCTCAGGATGGCGTTACCGCACATGAGGATGCCCACAAAATAGGGCAGCGAGCCCTCCATGCCGAAGTCCATGAAGCCCACGATAAAGATGAAGGCCGTGCGGCCGCGATACGTGAACAGGAAGCCGAACTGCTGGCGGATCCACGGCTCCATGTGCTTGAAGCGGCACTCGAACGCCAGCAGCAGCAGCGCGAAGATGCTATGACGGATATTTTGTCATATTAGCATGCAAATTTCATATCGATATGAGGAATCACAACGACTCACATGGCGTAGACCGAGATGAGGAAGCACGTGATGTCCAGCACCACGAGGTTGAAGAGCCCCAGGAAGCCCGCGAGCGCCTGCAGCACCGCCAGCACCACGTTCGCGTAGCGCAGGTAGCGCATGAGCGTCGCCGCCTCCATCATCTTCATCCTGCGTCATATCATATTATGTCGTCGCAAGAATGTGAATGATTAGCAATCCGTTTAGAGAATCTCTCTAAATTCTCTAGCCGCACTTTTGCCAATATGTGGCGGGCGCCGAGAGGTTCGAGAGCGACGTGAAGCCGCTGACGTCGCCGATCTCCTGCTGCCGGATGCCGCCAGGGTTGCCGGCGTTGCTCGCGGCCGCTTGCTGCGGGTTCAGCGGCGCACGGAGCAGCCGCTCTTGGGCGTCGGGGTCGCTGGAGCCGAACATGGGGGCGTCTGAGACCTGGATTCGATAAAGTGAAGAAACGGACATTATACAATGTCGACATGGCCTTTATTTTATGTCCATAGAAAGGTGGGCTTTGTTTTGCGTCGAAGACAGCCAAACTACCAAGGGCTCATTTCATTCACAACCGACACTACTTGCGAGTGTTCAATTCAAAAGGATACACGCACTCTCGAACCCCAAGGTCTGCTACTCTTTTGCTGCTCTACATGCAGTCCTCTGCTTTCTTGGTCCTGCCTTAATGAACGACGTCAAACCCATCCCTCCCCACCTCCTTTTACTTACTTGATAAGCTTTGCCTCTTGTGCACTCCCCTCTCACTTCTGGATGACTCGGGTGGCGCGATACGTGAAGTCATCGAAGTACTCCCGCTCGCGGTCCACCGAGTCCAGCATGCGCCACTCGGGCGTGTCCACCGGCACCTGGTTGATGAACTCGTTGTCCACGTACTTGGCGTCGGCGTCGTCGATCACGTCGGGCACCCACTCAGGCTGCACCTTCTTCTGCTGCAACTCCTCCCAGTCGATGCCATCGAAGTACGGGTGTTTCATAATAGAGAAGGGCACGGCCTCGTTGGCCCCAAGACGCTTGGACGGGTCGCGCTCAATCAAACCAGCGAGCAGCGACTGCACGTCCTCCGGCAGCTCAGGCGGAATGTACAGGAAGCCCTCGGCGATGTTGCGGTACATGATAGCCTTGTTGTCGTCCTTGAACGGCGTGCGTCCGATGTACATCTCGAAGATGAGGATACCCAAGCTCCACCAGTCGCACGTCTTGTCGTAAATTGCAGGGGGTTCGCCCTTCTTGGGGTTCGCAGCAGCGAGGACTTCAGGCGAGATATATTCCGGTGAGCCCGCGAGCGAGTGGGCCTTCTTACCCGTCTCATCACGCGCGTAGGTTGAGAGACCAAAGTCAACGAGAACCACGTGACCATCCTTCTGAATCAGAATGTTCTCAGGCTTGAGGTCGCGGTAGATAATATCAAGACTGTGCAAGTGCGCCAAACCAGCGACCAGCTCAGCCGCGTACAGTTTAATGCGTCCTGGAGTCAGCTTCAGCTCGTTGTTCTGGTTCATCGTCAAGTGGTGACGCAGATCTCCACCATTATAAAACTCCATGCCCATGTACACCTTATCTTCATTCTGGAAAGCAAACAGCAGCGAGGCCACGAACGGGTGCCTCACCTCACGCAGCATATCGCGCTCGATCTTGGCGTTTCTCCGCATGTTTTCATCCATGCCGATCTTGGTGATGATCTTGATGGCGTAGACCTTCCCATCCGGGCCGCGGGCGGACAACACACGACCGTACGTACCGGTGCCGAGAACCTTGAGCAGCTCGAAGTCCTCAATCTTTAGCGTCGACTTGGACTTGCCTCTGTTCGAGTCTCCCGCCGGTTCATTGGCACCCGATCCTCCAGCAACACAACCGCGCACCTGGGTAGAGCCCAATCCGTTCTCCTCCTCGTTGCTGACGGATGAAGCCATCATGGTGCGCGTAAGCACTTCCTCCTCCGTGTCCTCCACTTCCTCAGCCTCGCCCGACAGAATCATATCGCGCTGTCGAATCGCCTCCTTCTGCACCGTCGAGTCCAAATGGTTCACCATAAAGCGGTAGTACTTCCACGTGCTGTTAGTGAATCTGCGATCTCCCGACACGTGCATCATGACGCCATTGCGGATTAGCGCCGTGCCCAGCAGAAGCGCCTCTTCCGCCGTAGAACACGTCACTCCTCCTTGCATCGGGCGATTCAGTCCGTGGCACAGCATCCACTCCACCGCCTCCTTGCCCGTGATGACGTTGGGATGCGGCTTCAGGTACAAACTGCGGTCCTTGCCGGGCAGCTCCTGGCGCATTTGCTCCGCGCACGTCCACAGCTGCCACAGACTGGGCTCCCGCATGATGCGGCTGGAGATGCGCACCTTGCCCTGCACGCGTTTCATCTTGCCGCCGGGGCGCAGCTGCAGGTCGTACCAGGCCACGCGCTCCTCGCCGCTCGTGTTCATGTCCTCGAGGCTGAGCAGCAGCCGTCCCAGGTCCTCGTTCTCCACGCGGCCCTTGTCCTTGCACTTGACCAGCACGTATTTGGCGTTCATGAGGCTCGTCTGGATGCCGAACGTGTACTCTTCCGAGGCGGCGGCGGCGCCAATGCCCAGCGGCTGGTGCGACTCGACGTTGCTCTCCAGCGAGCGCAGCACCGCGGCCTTGAGCGGGCTCCACACGGGGTTTGTCTGGCGCATGGGCGGCGTGCGCTGCTTCTCGCCCTTGATCTCGCGCTTGTTCTCGTCCAGCAGCACCATGGTGCAGTAGGCGTTGCGCGCTCGGCCGGACTCGGCGGGCAGCAGGTCCCAGGCCTCGATGGGCGTCACCTTCAGCAGGTATCGCCGCTTGGCCTTGATGCGCGTCTTGCCATTGGTGCTCTGGCTTTGACTCGCGGCGCCTAGACGAACAGGTAGAATAAATAAGGGTTAGTGTGGGCGGTAGGGCGCTAGGGGGCTCAAGAGTGGTCGCTGACGTACGCGACGACGGCCTCCGACTGGACATGGGTGAGTGGACTGACTGAGTGCCTGCCTGCCTGCCTGCCTTGGGTGGGGCTGGCCTTGCTGTCTGTCTGTCTGGCTCGGGACTGGGGCAACGACACTAAGAGACGAGTCTAGCTCGCGGGGTCGTGCGGTTGTGCTAGCCTCCAGCGCAAGGCCAAGTCTGAAATGGGGAAAATGTGGGAGGGGAGGCCACGCCGGAGAAAACCTTTCATAACTTATGGTTAGGGATAGTGTACACCACATGGAATCCATATAGCTAGGAGTTCGCTTGAAAAACAGTTGTGATAATAAATAACCTGCCATTGGGAAGGATGGCTACCCTTACTCGATTTGCGAAATCGCTGTGATTGACACCGTGATGGGGTCGCACTCCGTACCGCAACAACACCGCCGGCATCCTGACTGGGAGCCATTTTCAAGACAGCTTGGTATCTCTTCATATATTTTCACGCCGTGTATCCAGAACTGATTTTTCTTCTGATACAGACATTGTACTCACGGTCCTGGTGTGAAGTGAAGACTTGTGCACGTGTGCGCACGGCCAACCACCGCGAAAGAGTCAGGCAAAATTACGGTGGGGTAGGGCAATATTTGCATCTTGGCGTTCACTCGCTCCGAAACGTCCCCTGGCAAGCTGAGGCAAGAACGGGAGGTGTCTACTTCGCCACGGGTTCAAAGTGTAGAAGTAATCACTGGCAATGCGCTTTAGTTTTAGAAACAAACTTTCAATTTTGAAATGTATACAGTAATGCGGATTTGACCGCTTGTATTATTACCAAGAAGAAAAACGTATGGAAGATTTTTTCCCTTCTTTGTCAAGCTACCCTTTTAGAAAAGAGCTTATTAGCTGTATTTACGTTTACAAGTTGCAATACAAAATTTGCAATCGATATAATGACCGAAAATACGCAATTGTACGGCGTTATTCGTATAGACAGAGCAGAAAATGTGCTCAGATCCGTTGATCATCGAATTATGTGTGGACTGCTGAATTGCACCGACGAAGGTTGTTTCGCTAATATGCATTTTCAACCGCTTATGTGTTTTGAAACCATATATTTGATGGATAAAGAAGGAACATTTAATATATGGTTTCACCAAATACATTTGGAAAAGTAGTATTTAAGGCAAAATTACGAAAATTATATGTAAATTAAAATTTATTACATATTATAGTATGCAATAATTGCGGCTACCAATTAGCAAACTGTCGCGACAGAACGTTAGCACTGTTTATGCTAGAAGTTCATTCTCAAATGTCTGAGTGAAAACCATACTTCGTACTTTTAAGTAAAAAGCAAAAAGTCATGACTCGGTCATGACGCAGTGACCTGATATCCGGGGATAACAGCCGCTTTTTGGCGTGTTACCTCGAGATACCAGTTGGCGGGTCATGATCCAAATACTACGATTTGATTGGCAGTATTAATTACCTGGTACAAATTTGGGGCGAACCTCCATTAACACATCTCAAGGTTGCCATTGCCCGTCGCTCGTACCCCGTGCCGTCGGGCATCTTGGCGCTCGAGTGCCCGCGTCTGCCCACCCTGCCTGCCGAGCACGCTGCCCGCTGAGCACGCTGCCTGCCGAGCACGCGTCGGTACGAACTGTTGGTCGTCGTGTACATGGCCATCGTACACACGACGCCGCAAATTGTGACTCTGTGGTGGTGGCTCTAGTAGCAGGTCATGCACATCTAGGGCAGCTACTACGATGTCCTGGAGCACTACAACGCCTACAGGGTGACGCTGAGCCTCGTCGTCAGCATGACGGTACCTTTGTGAGGATCCCCTTCTTCCTGTTGCTCAAGACGTGCTGTGCGCAGCGGCACGAACTGGGTATGGCCATTGAGCTCTGCAGCTCTGTTGGCATCTTCATATCCGACCAGTCGAGCAACCGCACTAAGAGCTACAAGACGCGTGTTGAAGGCAGCGCTATGTGCGCGCTCATCAACGCTTCCTCCTACGCTACGTCCAACACCACCGCCCCGACCGTCGTCGAGACGTACGACGAGAACGCGAACGGGCCGTACCTGCGCTTCCTGGAATCGCCATCGTGACCATCATTCAGGAGCTAGTGCGCAGCCCCATCGAGGCCGTAGTCACTGGCCTTGTTAGGTAAGCGTGCTTTCATATCGGGAGTGAAACGAGTTATGGCAACTAATTTAATGATGTAAATGTTGGTATTGCAGTTCAGATAATGATGTCAATTAGACTGTCGAATGGATTACGCTGCTAATGTAAGTCATCGTGCTGTTTGCTGCGAAGCCATTTTGAATAACTGTCGATGCTCTTGTTCCCCCTCTCAGTATCAGCTCTTTCAATCGCATCGTCGATAGAGAGACCGCCATTCACGAAGCTACGTACCGGTACGTGATTGATGACACATCGGCGCCTGGAAAAGAATTTCGCTTCTTTTGATGACGCTCTCCATTTTGTGCCAAATGTTTCCTCCAGGTACTCGATCGAAGGCTGACTAGCCAGGCCATGGTGCCACTCTGTCCAAAGCTCTCGTACGGTTGAAACTCGTCGGCTCATGTTGTACTGGGGAACTGTGACTGGTTCTAACTGAGGTGAATGTTGCTGTAGCGTTGCGCTTACCGAGGTTGACACAGGAGTGCTGTCACGTAGAGGAAGCTGGCTTGGATCAGCTCCAGCTGCGTTGTTAGATAAGGGAAGAAGTCGGTAAAGGACGTCACCGTGGAGAAATGAAGCAAGCTGATATTGGGATTGCTTCACCATGTCAACGAGATCCAAGTGCTGAGATTCTAACCGCAGCATAGTTGCTGCGTGCTAATTTGTTGCGACAGGACTGGCATGGCAAGCTGAAGCTGCATTTCCACCGGGTGCTGCGTCGTCTGAGTGCTAGCAAGTGCTTGAGCGCGGAATTGTTGAAATGGTCCACCGAAGATCGGATGGCAGCGAAGTCGAGCAGGAAGGACGTCAAATAAAAATGCAGCGTCTTGAAGCAACACGGTGCGTAAGAATTCCAACAATTCAATGAACCCTCGAGCGGCGAGGTTGCATTCCCACTCACCATCTAATAGCTTCTGTTTGTAACTTTCAAGCCCAGGGAAAATCTGTTGCTTGAGGTCATTGGGTGGGTCCACAATGTCGCGTTCCAAATAATAAAGATGTGCGCGTGGGGGGGGGGGGGTGTCCTGACAGAGACCGAATCGCTTCTCGCGCCAGAGGAGCGGAATATACTGCTTCCATGGTGTCAAGGCCCCATCGGTCATGTCGGCGAGTTTAAGTGATGTCGACATCAGCGCATTCCAGTTGTCGTACGCCCTGTTGGCGGTTGATATGAGTCTTTTTATTGAACGTAAGCCCGAGATGATCAAAAACAGCCTCGTAGCTTTTCTTGTGAGTGTTGTAGGATATAGCTTTATTTCGATCTCGGCCACTTAGGAACTTGATGTCATACCAGTCCTCCGATCTCCGAACGGAGGGAAATGGTCCACTATTGAGATGAAAGCGCTCAAACAAGTAGAAAGCAACCGCTCCAACAGGGCATAAATGAACAGCCTTATTGCGCATGAAGCCGACATGCTGAAGTTTTCCAAACGTATTCGTTTTCCCATGTTGGATTAGCAGGACCAACGCAATGCACGACTGAAACCCTCCTTGTCAAGTTCCTGGGAAAACATATCAGCCAGCTCCAGATCACGAATGTTTTCGCCTCGTAGTAAGACAAAATGCGATACCAAATACGCAGCCCTCCCCATGAGATCATCCAAAACGAAAAAAGTATCACAAATCTGAGTGAATTGAGCCTCGGACTGATAGCCGTCCAGCAGCGATCCCACGCCGCGATCTGTGTAGTTTTTCTTTCGTGTCGACGTAGTTTCTGCCTGGACAGTCGACAACAGTTGCTTCACCTTATACATGCGAGGATGATCGTTAGTGTTCATCTTGTTGGCGACCTGCTGATTGTATAGGTCTACAATAGCGTTGACGTAGCCGTACACCGTTGAGGCGCCAATGACTTTCCCCTTCTTCTTCTTCGACTCTCTGCCTACGACTTGGGTGTCCAAAAAGAGATGAAGCTTGTTACCAGTGACCGTAACACCATCGCTAAACCCCATCGATTGGCTCCACTCTGCAAACTCCTTTTGGTAGCCCTCGTACTTCCGTTTTGTATTAATTGGTCGACTGTCGATAGCCTTCTGAAGGGTGGCTTGCTCTCGCTCTTCCTTGAGCATTTGAAGTGCATTATCATTTTGACGTGAAGGCGTGCTTCCTGCCGAACAGGGGTCTGTGTCTCGCGCCGTGCTGTCACTGAAGATGCTGCAGCATAAGCGCGGATGGAGATACCAGCCTTCTTCTTCTTCGCCATGGTGCTCTTGTGAAAATGTGGTTTCGATACCAAAAATAAATATTGCGTTTAGGTCACAAGTGTGATAATGACTCGGGTCCGGACCCATATAATCAAGCAGATGATACAGTAGGAGTTTACCGGGAGGATACAGTTGACTCCCGAACTCTTTGTTAAACTTCGGACATAAACGGACTTGAAAAATTAAAATAACTTTATATAGCGTCTAAATACTCTAAGTAGATTTCTTTTAGCCTTAAGTTTCCCATAATATACAATAGCGTTGTAGGAAAATGCTCTATCGACCTATGCGGGATTGGTAGTTTGTATCTTAATTCAATACTGTATGATCGTTAAAACATTACGTGCCCGCTTTTTATCCGATGACGTACGCACCTGCTCAATCAATAACCGCCCGCCGTTCTCCTTCCTGCCTGCCTGCCTGCCCCATGGCGTCTGTCGTGACCCTCAACGGCATGGATGTGTCTGCTCTGGACGAGCGCGAGTACGAGACCTTCACGCTGTCCAACTCGCTGCAGGTGCTGCTCATCTCGGACTCCAAGACGGAGAAGGCGGCCGCCGCCATGGACGTGCACGTGGGGCACCAGAGCGACCCGGAGGAGCTGTCGGGCCTCGCGCACTTCCTGGAGCACATGCTGTTCCTGGGCACCGCCAAGTACCCGGACGAGAACAGCTACAAGAAGTTCCTGAGCGCGCACAGCGGGCGCAGCAACGCGTCCACGTCTCAGATGCACACCAACTTCTACTTCGACGTGCTGAGCGACCACCTGCACGAGGCGCTGGACCGGTTCTCGCAGTTCTTCATCGCCCCGCTGTTCACGCCAGGGGCCACGCAGCGAGAGATGAACGCCGTCAACTCGGAGAACGCCAAGAACCTGCAGAACGACCACCGACGACTGTATCAGCTGCAGAAGTCGCTGTCGAACCCGGATCACCCGTTCCACAAGTTCGGCACGGGGAATTTAGAGACGTTGGGCACGATCCCGAGTGAGAAGGGCGTGGATGTGAGAGCGGCGTTGTTAGACTTCCACGCCACGTACTACTCCGCGAGCATCATGAAGCTTGTGATCTGTGGCAAGGAGAGCTTGGCGACACTGAAGAGCTGGGCGGTGGAGCTGTTTTCCGAGATTAAGAACACGGGTCGCAGCTTCCCGACGTTCGGAGATGCGGTGCCTTTTGATGAGTCGAGGTTGAAGCGCGTGGTGCATGTGTCGCCCGTGAAGGACCTCCGTGTTATTGATATTTCGTGGCCCCTGCCCTCGTTGCACTGGGATTTCCTGACGAAGCCTACGAAGATTTTGTCGCATTTGATGGGGCACGAAGGTCCTGGATCGATCCTGAGCTACTTGAAGGCGCAGAAGTGGGCAAATGGCCTGTCGGCTGGACTTTTCCGTGATAATGAGGACTGGGGGTTGTTCTGCGTGAAGGTCGACGTTACGGATGCAGGCATTGAGAAGGTGAACGACGTCGTGGAAGCAGTGTACCAGTACGTGCAGACTCTGCAGCGCGAAGCTCCGTTCGAGCCGTGGATTTTCCGTGAGACGCAGGATCTGGCGCTGCAGGACTTCCGCTTCAAGAGCAAGGAGAGTCCCATCCACTACACCAGCCACTTGGCGAACGTCATGCACCGCTACCCGCCCAAGTACATTCTGTCCGGTGGCTATGTTCTCTACGAGTACGATGCGGACAAGGTCCAGCAGGTGCTGGATCTGCTGACTCCGCAGCGTATGCGCCTCACTTTGGTAAGCAAGACGTTTGAAGGCAAGACGCAGAGCGTTGAAAAGTGGTACCAGACGCCGTACTCCGAAGGACCTCTTGGCCGTGAGCTGATTCAGCGATGGACGTCTCCTCCCCCGAACGCAGCGTTGAAGCTTCCACACCGCAATGAGTTCATCTGCAGCGACTTCCGTATCGTGACACCACCTCGCTCAGACTCCTCGTCACTGGGAGCCAGCGCTGAGGGTGCAGCAGTATCCCCGCCAGTTTTACTCCAGCAGGATGAACAATGTCGCCTATGGTACAAGCCGGACGTGCAGTTTCGCAAGCCGAAGTTGATGCTGCATTTCTTGCTGTACTCGCCGTCGCTGTCCACGACCCCGTACCACGCAGTGCTCACTAGCCTCTTCGTGCGTTACTTGAAGGACAAGCTCACGGAGGTTTCCTATGACGCGGAACTTGCAGGCATGGAGTACGAGATCGGCTTCAACTCCCGTGCTCTGGAACTGCACGTGGGGGGCTACTCGCACAAGCTCCCCATTTTGCTCTGTAAGGTTTTAGAGCAGATGCTGGAGATGACTAAGCCCGAGTACAAGTACGAAGACGCTGTCTTCGAGCGCGTAAAGGACCGTACGAAGCGCATGTACGAGAACTTCTTCCTCGAGGAACCGTACCAGCACGCCGTGCACGTTTGTACCCAACTGCTGGAGATCTCGAAGTGGAGCGTGGACGACAAGATCCGCGCGATCGAGTACCTCACTCTGAGCGACCTGGCATCGCACAGCCAGTTCATCTTCCAGCAGGTGTTCGTGGAGGGATTCTTCTATGGCAACCTTCAGCAGAGCGCGGCACCGCCTTTGATGCAGCAAGTCCTGCAACATTTCGGCTTTGGCAAAAACGGCACCACCGGTGGCGGCAGCTTCCCGCTTTTTCCAAGCCAGATCACCAAGCCGCGCATCGTGCAACTCGCCGATGCAAGCGAGTACCGTTTCCAGCGGCGTGAATGGAACGAAGCCAACCTCAACTCGGCGATCTGCACACTGTACCAGCTGGACTGCGAGACGGAAGGCAGCACCATGGCTCTCCGCGCGCGTCTCGAGCTGTTTGCGCACATTTTCAAGGAGCCGTGCTTCAACCAGCTCCGCACGCAGGAGCAGCTCGGGTACCTGGTGTTCTCCGGTATGATGCGTACTGAAGGCGTCGACTACTTCCGCATCCTGATCCAGTCGGACGTGGCGTCGCCGCTGCTTCTGGACCAGCGCATTGAGCTCTTCGTGGCTCGCTTCCGCTCGCTCATCGCGGAGATGCCCGCAGCGACGTGGCAGAAGCAGGTGAACGCAGTCGTGAAGGCGTTGCTGGAGAAGCCCAAGCACGAGATGGAGGAGTCCATGCGCGCGTGGCGCGAGATTGCGAACCAGGCGTTCGTGTTCGACCGGCGCCAGCGCGTAGCCGCCGTGGTGTCGACTCTGCAGCCGCGCGACCTGCTGGCGTTCTTCGACTCGTTCATCGGCGTGGGCGGCGAGCGGCGCAGCAAGCTCAGCATCTGTCTGTACGGCGCGAAGCACCCGTTCCCGGAGCTCGCCGTGGACGAGGTCTCTAGCTCCAGCGCGTCGACCGTCGCGTCCACGGGCTTGACCGCTGCGATGCTATTGCAGCAGCAGTTCCAAGACGCTGGGATCTCGGCTAGCAGCGCTACCAGTGGCCGCGTCGAGTTGATCGGCGACGTCGCTGCCTTCAAGCACAAGATGCCACTCTTCCCAGAGCGCGCGACCAACAGCCCCGGCAAGGCCGCACGCCTGTAGACGCCCATAGAGAGACCATGGTATCATGGCCCTAACTAACGACTAATGCAGAGTGCATGTAACAAAGTTGAAGTTGAAGTGGTCTCTAAAGTTTCAAACGTGTACTCGAGGTTACTGCCATTTTGGCGGTTCCTGGTGATATAGCCGACGGAATACCTCGTCGTAGTTGGCTGATCGCTCAGAGGTGGCTGCAACTCGCGCCGCGTCGATACTTGGAAGACCGCTGGAGACCGAACGGTACTCGTCCAACATCAGCATGTCGAAGGGAGCGAGCTCGGGCACGCGATCCGCATCGCCCTCGTCTTGAGCACGCGGGAGATGGCCCATCAGTGTCGCCAGCATTTTGTCGTATTTTTCGAGCATCTCTTGATTTTCCTTGCACATCCCTTTCAGCGTCTGTAGTTGCGCCTTGTTTTGTGTGCGGTTTTCTTCTCAAAAGCTGCAAGTGATCTGCAAGTCATTGGTTGTGCTGTTCTTCATCATCTGATACACTCCGCGCCAAGTGCAATCACGCACCCGAGTTTGTAGCTATATCTCAGTCAATATTTAGAGTTAGGAGCTGCGCTTTAGATATGTTGCTGCTACTACCGTTACCAACCCCGCTCTTGTGTTAACGATCGGCATTTCCATGGCTGTGGTGGGGCTCACCTACAAGCAGACAAATATGGCTTAGTGACACAATTATCACGCAGATTGGACCATACAAAAATTCATATATTAAGATTAGTGGTGGGACCGTAAAATCCCAACCAGTACGGCATTCGCAAAGATGCCGCCCAAGCCACGCGTCAGCGACAAAGAACGCGGGAGAATCCAAGGCCTGCACGAGGCCGGGTGGTCTAACCGTGCTATTGCACGCCGTGTCGGTCGCAGCGACCAAACGGTGGCTCGCATCGTCGCTCCGAAGGCGCCAACGGAGCCGAAGAAGCTCGGCCCCCCGCCCGTCATGTCGGACCGCGAGGTGCGGCTAGTCGTACGGAAGGCAGCAACCGGTGACTTTTCCGCCTCCCAGATCAAGGAGCTCGTCAGCAGTGCTGCCTCTCTACGCACCGTCCAGCGCGTTCTTGCGAGCGTGGATTGATTGCAGTACGCGAAGATGGACAACACGCTGGAGCTCACGGCTGAGCACAAGCTCGCTCGCCGTGAGTTCGCGAAGGAATGGGTACTCTACTCCAAGGATGTCTGGCCGCGCGGCGTCTTTTCCGACGAAAAGAAATGGAACCTGGATGGTCCAGACGGGTATCAGCGCTACTGGCAGGACCTGCGGGTCCCGAGGCGTCAAACCGTCCGGCGCCAAAACGGCGGTGGTTCGCTTATGGTCTGGGGTGGCTTTAGCTGCGGTGGTAAGACGGAGCTAGCCATTCTTGTGGGTAAGCAAAACTCAGATGACTATGTGTATACTCTCTCTGAATACATGCTTCCTTACGCTCACAAGCACTTTGGGCTGGAGTCTATCTTTCAACAAGATAATGCTTCTATCCATACGTCGAAGCGCACGGCCGAATGTTTTGAAGAGCAAGAGGTGATGGTGATGAAGTGGCCCCCTCGTTCTTCGGACCTTAATCCGATAGAGAACTTGTGGGCCATTTTGTCGCGCACGGTGTACGACAACGGCAAGAAGCAGTACTCCAGTGTGTCCGAGTTGCGCGAAGCGGTTCTGGCGGCGTGGGAATCTGTCGACCAAGCGACCCTGGCAACCCTGGTGGACTCCATGCCCAAGCGGCTCGTCGAAGTACTGGAAAAGAAAGGAGGAAAGACACACTACTAGTTGACCCACATGTTACAATCATTCATAATATATGAATTTTTGTATGGTCCAATCTGCGTGATAATTGTGTCACTAAGCCATATTTGTCTGCTTGTAGGTGAGCCCCACCACAGCCATGGAAATGCCGATCGTTAACACAAGAGCGGGGTCGGTAACGGTAGTAGCAGCAACATATCTAAAGCGCAACTCCTAACTCTAAATATTGACGGAGATATAGCTACAAACTCGGGTGCGTGATTGCACTTGGCGCGGAGTGTAGCTTTTTGAAAGCCATGAGTCGCTCGTTCAGCGCTGACAAGAAGTGCCTTTCCGACCTGTCCACTCCCCACTCGAGTACAGACATCGTAGCGGGGCCACACCCATGAATATCGCGCGTGCCGCAGCTCACTTTCTGAAGCTGGTGCATGGGGCTGTTGATGTCGATGTGCATTTCCTGCCTCAGTCTGAAAGTTGCGCTCAGTCGACATCCTTCTGGCTCGTGTAGCACGAAGGTTGCGCAGTTACGGTCACGCAATTAATCAGCTGTCCACCCCCTCATTCTTCGGGTGTTCCCAGTAAAATCTAGTGTGAAAAGGCTGAAGTCCTTGTGCGGGCTTTCAAACGGTGGACTTCCGTGTGTCTTTTATGAAGAGGGATGGCTTGCTTAGGCCGTGTTCGACTTGCACACCCCATTCGAGCTCGATTCAAAAAGGACTGGTTTCGGACAAATTGTTGGTTTGGAAGGCACATAGAAAAGGCAGGCTTATCCAGCCCGATTCATAATTTTGCCTAGACCTGAATTTCAAATCCAGCTCTTTTGAGCTTATCGAGCTGGATTGCTTTTTGGGTGTTTCAGGTCGCAAACGAGCTGGATGAAGCAAATCCGGCTGCATTTGGCCTAAAACAACTGGGCGCGAAATGCAAGCGAGTGTCATGGCATTTTCTTCTGATAAGCCCATTTCCTTCTCTGGAGAGCTGATAGCCTTTTCCTCTAGCTGGTTCTAGCGTTTAGCTCGATAATTACGTCCTACGAAATTCCATAGGTGAAAGCCTCGTAGGGAGGCCACCACCGTGATAAATGGGTTCGGTGGAGCCCCTGCGAGTCACAACGAAGTCTTACACAAGGGGCGAGCGTAATATCACTCAAAGCGTTCGTAGCTAAATGCTTCAGTGAGCGCAGCTTGCATTGTAGTGGGCCCACACGAGGCATTCATCCTTCGCTTGATTTGCACTAGGCTCCCATCCGTTTTTGTATCATACACGGTCGTCATCCCTTTTACACTAGCTTTTAAAATTAATCTTTTCTCGAATCAACCCACCGCGCTGGTTCACAGCCTTCTTTGCGTTTTGCCGCTTGTTCTTCGCCAAGCTAGTCACTTCATCACTTCGTAATACAAAATTCCATCAGTCTAAGGATAAGCTTACGACACGGGTCAGTTACATCAACCACCAGAAGAGATGATACATTTTTTTTTCTAATTACTGTAGTAACTGAGCAATGCTCACTGAACATTGCTCAGTTGATTTGCTTAGGGGAGTCTCCACATAGGCCGACGTCTCGTCATAGAGCGATTGATTTTTCTTAAATCGCTATTGCATTTGCTCTTCGTTATTCTTGCAAACACAGCCTCTCACTAAAACGCTGACACTTTATAAGTGTTTAGCAGCTACTGGTAGCTACTTCAGCTTACTTTGGTCGCTGTAGTGCTTGCCTTGGAAGAGAAAGCCAAGAACACGAGGGACTCGACATAGCATCACTGCCATTTTGGCGGCTCTTGTTTATAAAGCCGACGAAAGAGCTCGTCGTAGTTGGCCGATCGCGCAGAGGCTACGGCTTCTCGCGCCGATTCAATACTCGGGAGGCCGTCGGAGAGCGAGCAGTAGTCGTTCAAGCTCCGCGCGTCTTCGATAGCATCGTTATCAAGCTCGGTGGTGTGAAGGCCCTTCAACCGTTGCGCCACCGTCTCGTCATCATCGGCAGACGCTGCCTCGAGAAGAAAGTTGCGATAGTGCGATAACATCTTAAACCGAACCTCGTCATGAGAGCGCTCCGCCAGCATCCAGCCGAGTTTCTTCAGCGCCTGCTGCGTCATCTTGCTCTTTCTTCAAGCGCTTGAAGCCGAGGCATCGAATCTTCGTGGGCTGCGGCCTGCTCTTGGTGCGCCAGCAAGAGCTCCTCGAGCCTGGCCAATCTCGCCTCCAGCACAGACGTTGTATCAGCTTCAGCGCGCTGGTTCACCGCCTTCGCTGCGTGTTGCCGATTGCTTTTCGCCATGCTCGTGGACCGGGTGAAAAAGGAAAAGTGAGCGAGCGTTGGGGGCAGCAACCACAGCATTTAGTCACTTCAGATCAATCGCGGTTGAGTTGACCATCGCCCGCATGTAGCAAAGTTGAAGTGACTTTGGTTGAAGTGGTCTGACCGCAATCCGCCGGTTTTGATGATGTCACGAGTGCCATATGCCCATTTTGTCTCACAGCGTAATGTATCCTCACGTCGACGAGGCGCCGCCGCGTCGAATATGCAGCACTTGAATCCCATTCGTTTCTACAAGTTCTCGTCCATCAGCTAGGTTCATTCAATACAAATACATCTATCCCATTAAACAGGTAAATCAACTCTCATTTCCGCTCTCACTTTTCGTCGCCATTGACGCTCGCGGGCATCAGTCAGCACACGAAGCGCCCGACCGACATGGAGCTCCCCGAGGACTCGGCCCGCCGCCGCCCTGCGCAGTCCGCGTCGGCCTCGTCCTCCCCTCGCTCCACTCCCACCGTGCCCGCGCCTCCCGCGCTCAAGTCGGCCGTGTCCGCGCCCGAGCCGCCCGACGCCATGCGCTCCTTGTCCTCCCTCACGTCCACGCAGACCGCAACGGAGCCGCGCGCCACGAGCGCGACGCTGCTGCCCCCGGGGGGCGGCCGACCAGTGCTACACCCTCAACGCGCGTCCGCCCCGATCCTGCGCGCGGACTTTGGCGGCCAGCCGGCGTCCTCCGACGTCCCCAGCACCGTCAAGCTGCTGAGCGAGCTGGAGCGGTCCTGGGCCATGTTCGCCGCCTCGTGGAAGGTCGTGGACCTGTTCGCGGGCATGCAGATCTGGCAGGAGCAAGGCGGCGACGCGGGGGCTTCTTCGCCCTCCTCGTCCTCCGAGCCGCTCAACAACGTGCTGCTGTCCACGGCGTCCGCGGGGCTCGTGACGTTCCTGGCGGGCCACATCGGCGGCGGCGGCTTCGTCGTGTCCGTGCTGCTCACGCTGCTGGTGGTGGCCGCCGCGCTCTGGACGCTGTCCAACGCGCGCGCCAAGAGCGCCGTGCCGTGCTTCAAGACGCTGCAGGTGGTGGACGGCTCGCCGTCCGAGATCTTCCTCTACCTCATGGGCATCAAGAACTACCCGGTCTGGGACGCGTCCGTCGAGAGGGCCGAGGTCGTGCACACGATCGACGACCACTCGGACATCATCCACATCGTCTACAGACCCGTGTGGATGTGGCCCATGTAAGCTGCAAAGAGTTTTTATTATGGTTGGTATTGTATTCACTGACGATGGTTGTGTTGTTTGCTGCTGGTAGTTGGCTGGCGCCGAGGGACCTGTGCTTGCTGCGGTATTGGCGGCGCGCCGAGGACGGCTCGTACGTCATCTGCATGCAGAGCGCGCTGCACCCGGAGTGTCCGCCGACGCACGGCGTGGTGCGCGCGACGTGTAAGGGCGGCGGCTTCATCATTTCTCCGCGCGCGCTGAGCGTGACCCAAGGCGACGAGCTCACGTCGATGGTGACCAATGTAGTGCACTTGGACCCGCAGGGGTGGGAGGGCCAGCTGCTGCAGCGCCTGAACGTCATGCACTTGTACGTGCGGCAGCAGGTGCTGTCACTCACGGGACTGAGAGACGTGATGGAGGCGCGCAAGTACGTGTGCCCCAATGTTCCGGAGGAGTTCTCGGCTGCGCTCGCGGCGTCTACGGAGGAGCAGCAGGCGATCGCGACGGCACAGGAGGGAGAAGGTGCTGCTGGTGCTGCGGGAGATGCTGAAGCGCCGGTGTCGCAGCTCGAGGAGTTCCCGAGCAACGTCCCGCGGTCGATGTGGGCCGAGCCGGATGGTGGAGCGATGATGGTTCGTGGCCCCGACTACCTGACTGACCGCCGGAAGATCCCGTCTCAGTCGCCGTACTTCCGGCTCGTCGGCATGGACCTGTACGAGTCGTCGGAAGCTGTTGAACACATTGCCTCGCGCGCGGACAACCCTGTGCAGCGCGAGCTGAAACGTCACGAGGAGCAGGGAACGGAGATGCCGTTCACGTTCGTGATTAACTTCGTGGTGCCCGGCAACCCACGCATCAACCTGGTGTTGTACTACCAGGTGCCACACCCTTCCGTGCTGACGGACGGCTCGCCGGCCACCGAGCTGATGGCCGACTTCTTGGAAGGCTCGGACGAGTTCCGCAACGAGCGCTTCAAGCTCATTCCCTGCATCGTGGAGGGAAGCTTCATCGTGCGCCAGGCCGTGGGCTCCACCCCAGCATTGATCGGCAAGAAGCTGCGCCAGCCCTACTTCCGCGGCAAGCAGTACTTCGAGCTGGACGTCGACATTGGCTCGTCGGCAGTCGCAAACCGCGTGGTCGGGCTCGTCTCGGGCTACACGAAGAAGCTGGTGATCGACATGGGCTTTGTGCTGGAGGGCCAGAACCCGGAGGAGCTCCCCGAGAGACTCTTCGGCAGTGTGCGCCTGGTGCATATTGACTTGGGCGTCGCCAAGAAGCTCACTTAACTCCTGCCATTCATGTTGAAGCAGATCATAGACAGTCACACAGAAGGAGGTTTCAATCCCCCACAAACCCCGTTAGATGCAACGGTATCGTAATGCATGATGAACTCACAACCATATGCTCCTGCTTATTGTGCAAACCAGTTGCTAGGTCAAGGCGTCGGCTGTTGAGCGACAAGCTTCCAATGCTGAGAACCTGGTGGATGCGACAAATGCTCGAGTCTCGTGGCTCGAGAGCTTCTTGGAGCCCATCACTCCCTTCCGGCGCGGAGAGGCACTGCCAAATTCTTCGGGAGATGCCGTCGACCCGGTATATTTACGCAGACCTCGATGCGTTGAACCAGGACGTGTGCGCCTACATGCGCTCGCACTCGAAGGACTTTTCGTCTGCAGAGCTGTCGAAGCATTCCCCCATTAGTGCGTACAAGCTGACAGAGCTGCTGTCGCATCCTGCCGGAGCGACCAAGCATTTCCACGGGAGCTATTGCCACCTGAATCTCAAGGACGTGGAGGCCTTCCGAGCTGTTGGATGGGATATGAGACCGAAGAGCGCGTCCAAGCATCGAACACTCGGGCATCTACCCAAGCCCAAGCGGAGTGATACCACGGATGAGATGAAGACGCTGGTGCTTGTGGCTGGGAAGCTGGCCGTTTCGGTCCTGCATGGCGTGGACAAGTACTTCGAGGCTGGCTGGCGCGTGCAGTGCTACTGCTTCCGAGACCGAGACGCCAAGGTGTACGATCTATTGGCAGCGGAGAACCCGTCACATTTCCAGTGCACTTACGTGGACAGCTTAGTCAGGGGTCTGATCAAGGAGATCTCGGGCGACTACGAGATGATGGTCACCGCTAAAGCTGCTTCCCGACACGAATTCCCAGTCGGCGACGCCATGAAAACTTCTATCGAAGACACACGGCTGAACTGCAATCTACCGAGTCTGTATGAACATATTCACGAGCTGCAGGAGAAGGTTTTCGCTATGGAAGTGGATTCAGAGAACCAGCGCTATAGGCAACACGAGGAGATGATGCTCCAGCTTCAGCAGCAGAAGGAGGCGTTTGAGTATCAGCTTCACCACCAAGACGAAGAGTTCCAGACCCGGCTGAGTGAACATCTCAAGTCCACGACATTTCTGCACCAGCGTCATGAACAGCTTGTTGATAAGCACATGAAGGCTTGCTCAAGTGAAGTGGCAGCGGCGCTATCGAGTATTGAGGAGTTGTCGGAGTGCGTGAAGCAGGATATGTACGAGTATCAACGCTCTCGTCTTGACAAAGAGCTGACTCGCTGGAGGAGGGAGACAGCTACTACTTACGATTATGTTACTAAAGACAATGATCAAGTGAACTCGACGTTGCTCGACGCGGTGGACGATCTCCTTAAACAAAATGAAGTTCAGAGCGGCATCAAGAACTGGAGAGCAGCGCTTGTGGTGCTCATAATCCACAAGGTCACAGCGTGGTTATCCACGTCTAGCTTTGGTGTAGATTTGATTGGAATCCTGGCGACATCAGTCGCGGTCGTTGCCATTGCTTCGTGCTTTATCGATCAATGAATATATTGCTTTCTTCAATTGACAGGAAACCGCAGGTAACTCTGTGAAGACCCTCTCGGCACTGTTTTTTACATCGCGCGAAGTTGCACATCTTAAACCCGAAAATGCGAGCGCATTCTTAACGCCTTTAGCTGCACGAAGGGTCTTCTCGTCAGGTACGTGTGCTACTCAGTTTCGAAAGCGTCTTCAACGCACACACTCGCTGATCGATAGGGAAGACACCATCGGCTTGTACAGTGCTGGCCAGTTTCTCGACCAATACGAATGATTTAGCCCTACAAGTGGTCCAACCAGCCCCTCTAAACGTGTGCAACACGCGGGTACAATTTTTTTCAGCACTCAAGTCCGTGAAGTAGGTGATCCACAAGGGGGCGCAAGTGGTGTGATCAAAAGTATAAGTAAGGTGGTGTTATTTAGCTTCTGATTGCGCGAGCGGGGTTCCTGGACGTTTGCTATCCCTCTTTAGAGCAATACAAGCATACTCTGAAAGTTTGAAGTCATTTGCGTCAAAATTGACGCGGTAACTGGGCTGGATCGCTCATACAGAAATTGGCTCTGTATATTCAGAATTTTTTTAACAGTGTTAAATTAACACTATAATACGCGTAGTCTGAACGATTCTCGTAACAGATAGCCATATTGAAAAAAAAGAAAACTCATGACTGTGTGATCAGAGCCTCACTTGCTTCGGTCTCGACGATTCGTCCCTGACTTTGGGCCCACCCCAAACGTGCCATTGCTGTGGCTAGCAAGTTCATAACTAAAGCACGAGCCTACCAATAATACCGTACCAGCCTGATATCTAACGTTATTCTGCCGACATCGAGAAGGTAAAATATGAGCCACTGAGCTCTGCGTGAAGGCTTCCGGTCAACTTGCCGTGTACATGCAAGCCGTACGAGTATCAAAGTTACTGATGAGTTCGTTGTCTAAGCAGTAATTCAACCAAGTACGAGAGGAACCGTTGGTTCAGATAATTGGTAACTGCGGTTAGCTGAAAAGCATCTGTAGGATTATGGCTGGCAGTTACATTCTCGGTTTCTACAGTGCGTGAAAATTTCCATCAGTGACGTCATTTTCTTTTGGTATTATCAGGGTCTCACTTCGACTCGGTATTTATGAGAGTGCTCTGTTCTATCCAACAACGATGGCGTCGTGTGGTGATCGATTAATCTACGCGAAAGTTAGCTCTGCCATAGCTCTGTCCGGACATCGCCAAGCGGCAAGTTCGCCCTTAGATTTATCCTAGCTTCGCGGTTTCTAACCGTTGGTGGACTTTAACCACGAGAACTTAAAGCTGAAATCAGTCCCTGGCAGTAGTAACAAGTAACCAGCGCTTTCAAAAACAATTATTGTGGAAACCGATTAGATTGTCTAATTGGGATATAAATCGGTTGATTAAGCAGATGATTAAGCTTAATCGGGTCTGATTTGCTAAATCCGACCTCCTAATTAGATCGACAGACTAAGATTTGTACTCTGATTTGACAGAGCGGTCAGTTATGCCTACAACGCCATGTGGCAAGCTGATTTAGCTGCTCCACGGCTTACAAAGCCCGGGACGGCTGATTTGGCTGCTAATCAGCCCGAATGTCCGACACCCACACGGCATTCGGTGGCCGATTTAACGTAAAACCGACAAACGCTAATGCTGACGAGAAATGACAGCGCAAATACATGACTTCAGAACTTGATAAATAGAATGCAGTACAGATCGAAGCTCACAGAAGCGTATTTAATGCACGCGATGCTATTTCTCGTTAGTAGGTACGCGAATCACTCAGCTCGTGGCGGTAAGTGGTCGCTCGTCGTATTTCTGGCGGGTAATGAGGCAACCCCCATTTTATTAACCTTACACCGATTTATACCCTTACCAATGCCATATGAAATCATAAGTATCCCCGATTTAGTACCAGTCAAATCTCTCATGAACGCTGCTTTATCAGCTAATCCGCTCGGGCAATCTAATCGGTTTCCACAATAACTCCAAAGACAACTAAAACAGCGGGGCTTACCGAGGTGAGTCAGCGAGACCTGCATAATGTAGACAAATATCAAATTGAGTTTCGTCTGAACAACGCCCGCGTGCGCGTCCAGTACGAATGCCAACTGCTGCAGTGACGAATACCCCAGCTTTCGCTTCAGCACCAGCACTAACATGAGAAATGACAAGAATTACAAGAAGCTGTACAGCAGAGTGCTCAGCAGTCTGGACGAGAGTTGGGCCCTTGAGATGTCCGCTAACGAAGCGTAGTAGGCACCGTTGTGCATGTGAAATAGAATAAATTGGTGTAGGCCTGTCACGAAGAAAACAAATGCAGGCACATGTGAGTACGATGGCCACAAAAATCTAAGAAACTCAAGACGTACAGTAGGCGAATGGCAGCACGACTTCGACGTACTCGACCAATAGCAGGTACTCTGCGATGAAGAGCACACGCTTGGCCTTCCGAATGAAGCGAACCCGTTCTTCTTGTGAGAAAATGGCCTCGAGTTCAAGATCGTGACGGCCGTTAGCTGTCGTCAGTTGATGAAGCGGAGACACTCGAGATTTTATGGATGGAACCCACTTGCGATAGCAGCCCGGCTCTCTCAGTAACAAATCTGCCAAGTCGGATGTGTACCTCGCGTTTCGAACTTGTACAGGTCCGGCCACGCTAGCGGCTTGCTTAATGGCCAACGTTTCCGCTTCCTCTTGTTCATTACAAGAATCTGTTTGTGCCTCCATCGCCATCAAGCGAACTGCCAACTGCACGAAATTCTCTTTAGCCAGTGGGTGATCACACGGGATTTTGGCCATGAGTGCGCTCAAACCCTCGAAAACCTTGATAATGTCTATCATTGATACCCAGAACTGCACCAAGTCGACGACCATCACGGCAGCCGTCGACGCCCAAGACGATGCGGTCTGGAGAACGCTCGATACATAGAGGGCGTTGTAGACCTCCACGACGAAGATAACGCACTGCGGCTTCTGGTCGTCGTCATCGCCCAATGCACGACTGATCCAGTTCTTGGCAATGATCTGGATTATTGGCAACACCGCGACGAAAATCACCTGGTTCCAGCCTGTGAGAGACACAAACCCATAAATGTACAGCGGGTAGACGAACGGGAGCGTCGTTTGGCATTGGTACACGACGAGTTGGCGCTGCACCTCGACGAACAAGGACGGATCGGCCCTCCACCGAGGCCCCGAGATGTACGTGAAACAGCCCCCAACGACCAGCACAAACGGTGGACCGACGATCAGCAGCCCGAACGGAAGAGGGAAGTAGGTCAGAGCGCAGAGGCCGAAGATGAAGAGGCTGGAGACCGTCGCCGCCAACACCGAGACGACGGCAATCTGCCGGTTCGACAGCTTGAGCTTGGGAGCGCCGTGGCCCATCTGCAGCAGCGCCGACACCCCCATGAAGCACATGACGGCCCACGATCGAGCGAAAAAGACGCCGTTCCCGTAGACGCCAGCTTCAGGTGGGGCCATAGGTGGAACCTCCTTTATCAGACTGAGGAAGAGGCATGGGAGGGGTGTCAACACGCACACGAGGAGCAGTCGAAGTGTACTCAGTTCCTTCATGTAATGACCGAGCTGCTGCAGTCGCTGGTCCGAGTAGCTCCCTTGGTACTCCACCTGGAGAGACATCCATGCCTTCACCACGCGTTGGCGAGCGCTACTCAGCATCGTGATTGATCTCGCACAGGCGTTGTAGATAGTACTAAGCAAGCAGCAACGAGCTAATTTTATTGGCGTCTCCAGCTCCAAATTTGTCTGAGTGGCTATGACTGAAGAGGCTGGGAGCTCGATAGTTCTTGCTAGGCCGTCTTACAATGATGAATAGACCCATTGAAGCGGCGGTGCCAACCACTAATATGCAGGTTCTAAATACGGGCGTACCGTAGTAAAAATAGAGGGCATGGAGTGTAGAAAAAAAATAATCACGATGCTGAGTAGCGCTCGCCAACGCGTGGTGAAGGCATGGATGTCTCTCCAGGTGGAGTACCAAGGGAGCTACTCGGACCAGCGACTGCAGCAGCTCGGTCATTACATGAAGGAACTGAGTACACTTCGACTGCTCCTCGTGTGCGTGTTGACACCCCTCCCATGCCTCTTCCTCAGTCTGATAAAGGAGGTTCCACCTATGGCCCCACCTGAAGCTGGCGTCTACGGGAACGGCGTCTTTTTCGCTCGATCGTGGGCCGTCATGTGCTTCATGGGGGTGTCGGCGCTGCTGCAGATGGGCCACGGCGCTCCCAAGCTCAAGCTGTCGAACCGGCAGATTGCCGTCGTCTCGGTGTTGGCGGCGACGGTCTCCAGCCTCTTCATCTTCGGCCTCTGCGCTCTGACCTACTTCCCTCTTCCGTTCGGGCTGCTGATCGTCGGTCCACCGTTTGTGCTGGTCGTTGGGGGCTGTTTCACGTACATCTCGGGGCCTCGGTGGAGGGCCGATCCGTCCTTGTTCGTCGAGGTGCAGCGCCAACTCGTCGTGTACCAATGCCAAACGACGCTCCCGTTCGTCTACCCGCTGTACATTTATGGGTTTGTGTCTCTCACAGGCTGGAACCAGGTGATTTTCGTCGCGGTGTTGCCAATAATCCAGATCATTGCCAAGAACTGGATCAGTCGTGCATTGGGCGATGACGACGACCAGAAGCCGCAGTGCGTTATCTTCGTCGTGGAGGTCTACAACGCCCTCTACGTGTCGAATGTGCTCCAGACCGCATCGTCTTGGGCGTCGACGGCTGCCGTGATGGTCGTCGACTTGGTGCAGTTCTGGGTCTCGATGCTCGATATCGTGGAGATTTTCAAGGACGTGAATGCGCTGATGGCCAAAATCCCGCGTGATCACCCGCTGGCTACGGAGAGTTTCGTGCAGGTGGCGGCTCATTTGATGACCGCTGAGGCGCAGGCGAAAGCTCAGAGTGGGCAGGTTGAAGTGAACGACCCGTGCCTGGCTCTAACCACCCCGGCACCCAAACCAACAGAAGCTCCGGAAAGTGGTTCCTACGTTCCGAAGATGAAGGACGCGTACATGAGTCGACAGTGGATTGTGTCGCAAACAGCGCGAGTATTCCCGTTCCACCCCCAGAACCGCTATCGTAAACAGCCAACAATCTCTGACAACGATCTGAAACTGGACGACATTCTTACGCCGACAGAACGGAGCATGTTTATAAGGAAGACCAAGCACGTGCTCTTTATCGCAGAGTACCTGGTGCTGGTGGAGTACGTCGAAGCGGTGCTGCCATTTGTCTACTGTACGGGCTCGTAATTTATTTTACGTTCAGGCGGCTAGACTCATTTATTACTTTTGCTCTTCATGGCAGGCCTACATGAACTCATCTTGTTTCAGATGCACAACAGCGCCTACTACCCTTCGCTGGCGGGTTTATCGAGTGCCCAGGTCTCGTCTGGATTGCGAAGCACCCTACTCTATAGCGTGTTGCAGCTCGGATCGTTTATTACGTTGATGCTGCTGCTCAAGATAAAGCTGGGATACTCGCCATTGCAGCACTTAGCCTTCGTGTTGGACGTGCACGCGGGAGTGGTCCAGACCAAGCTCAATTTGATATTTGTCTACATCATGCAGGTCTCGCTGACGCATCTTGGTAAGTAAAGCTCACCACTTACCATCTTTGAGGGACTTGCTATCTGAACTTCGGCTTTGGTGCTGTTAGGTGCTGATTTTAGCTTCAAGTTCTCATGGCTGCATCCACGCAAGGATTAATGCCTGAAATGGAGAGCGGGAGGGAATTAAAAGGAGCTCAGAGGTGGCAATCAGCTCGCTGCTACAGGAAACAGCAACGTGACACCTCAGCGATTTTAAATTCTTCAATTGCACAAAATTAATGTTCTTTGATATGCACGCTTACGAATTAATCTTCGCATTTTGTAGCAATTCGTTTCCGGGGTCAGTTGTGCACACTTCCTACTATTGCGTCTTCCATCTTGACACTACCAACAACAGCACCAGACACCACCCCTAGACTACCGAGAACCAGGAGAGCTTTCACCCACTTGGGCAACGGTATGTGCTCCTGCACCGCGTGCGAAATTGTCTGCGATGACTGAGTGCTGAGCGTCGAAGTCGTTGAGTCCACCCTGTTCATCATTGCAGCACCCCAAAACGCACCAACAGGCACCGCTCTCTCTTCGTCAAGTGCTGGGCTTCCTCTGAGGCGACGAACTTTATTGTCGGAGTGATAACCTTGGCCCGTAACGGTGAAGCAACGCTGTTTGTCTGGATCACGTTTCCAGCGCGAGTGCAGCCCACGCCACTCGCAATAAAATGGCGCTAACGAAGAAGCTGGGGCGCATTGTTGTCTCCGATGAAATTTCGAGTATGAAAGATGCTAGCAATGGTCGCCTTTCAGCAACCGTTTACTGCCAAAATTTGACTTGGCACGGTCGTAAACCTGCTTTGTTGATGTTTTCTGCGGCAAAATTGCCACGTCTCCACAACTACGCTTTCTTTGCTGACAGCACCTTAAGACGTGTTGATGGTTTGCTTATGACGTGATTTCCTCCTTTTAGTGCCAAATGGAATTGTAGGACTGTATTTTATGCTGAAGCGGACAAGGATATGCCAGGACTGCGTTAAACTTTAACTTCTTCAAAATTTTACTTTTTACTGGGGATTGAGGCAGCATAAATACTGATAAACAACAAACGAAACGCGCACGAGATTTAGACATGCCGCAGCGCACGCTGCATTTCTGGAGCCAACTGCAACAACGCACGTATATCCATTTTTATAGGACGGAGGTACAAGTTAAGACTTTACTCCTGTTGATAACCTTATACAACTGAACCAGGTAGTGTCCGAGTCGTTAGTCCGAGTAGCTTCCTGGGTACTCGACTTGGAGAGACATCCGAACTGCCCAGGCGCGTTGGGGAGCACTGGTCAGCACCATCGATCGTCTTTCCGTCTTGCAATTTCAAGGTAGGTCAGCTACAAACGAGCCAAGGTTAGTGGGTTAGTGCCACGTTTTAGTGGCATGCTCTACTCAAAATTGCACGTAGTGCCAGACCTTGAGCGAATCATTCACGCTTTGTCACAGTCTTTCAACCTTGAGTCGATTACGCTGTTATTATTATTAAGAGCAATGACGATAGGAATTCGAGGATGGGGGGGTTGAGTGTAATTGTACAGTAGATTGACAAGACGCCGGTACTGTAGAACCAGCACTGCAGAAACTACAAGACGCCAACCGGTTTACGCTGCTACCACGTCAAGTTTGTGGTAGTAAACTACTGCTGCTGAGGGCCGGCCATGCAAGAGCACCCTCCATTCCCAAAGTTTCATTCTCAAGACAACAATGCTCCTCATATTCTGCCTGGCTCTTATCGTCGTCGCAAGTGGCATGACCTTGACTCGTGGCGAAGATACCGCTCCAAGCTACGATGTCGCTCCTGCGCTGGACTCGAACGCGGGCAAGAATGTTCGCCGTCTCAGGGGAAGCCACAAACCGCACACCAAGGGAGACGAAGAGAGAATGATACCGGTTTTTACATTCTGGAGCGACGAGATGCTGGGGAGGACAGAATTTGCTTCGACTACTTCAACAACGTCAACTACTTCGACTCAATCATCGCAAAATGCTTTATAGGCGAAGAAGCGGCTGCCGAAGTGGGCTCAGGCTCTCCTGGTTCTGGCTGCAATCGGCGCGATATCTGGCACCGTCGTTGGCAGCCTCATACTGGGTAATACCAGCAAGTGATTTGAGAAGGAAATGGCACGATTCGGCTGCGATAACACTTTGATGAAGAGTGAGGATCATTGAGTACGTAGCACATACTACTAGAAGTTTTCTTATCTGACGTCGATGCAGAGCCGAACTACTTGTAGACAGTTGCCCAAGTTTAGTGCAAGACCGTAGGTTCAGTTGACGGTATTAATACTTGCGGTGAACTTGCGGACAATTCACCATGTGTTTCAATCCTGTCCACCACGCTGCGGGGGATAGGACGACAAGCGTACTCGCTGACCCGTTCCTGTATTTTCGCTCGGAGGTGCAGCAACCGCAATGCCGCCGAAGCGGTTCGTGTTCGCTGACCTCAATGCACTGAACCACGACGAACGCGCTCACATGGAAGCGCTCCGAAGCGATTTCTCGGCTCAAGACTTGGCTCAAGAATTTCCCATTGACGCTCACAAGCTGACCGAGCTGCTCTCCCACCCTCACGGCGAGCCAAATTTCTTTCGAGGCACGCACTACAAGTTACCCGCGGAGGACATTAAGAGTTTTCCAGACGCTGGCTGGGACGTGAGGGCGAAAAGCGCGCCCGAGCACCGTACGCTGGAAAATCTGCTCAAACGCAACCTCGCAGACGACACGAATGGAGCTCTGGGAATCGGGAAGAAGACCATGGTGCTCGTAGGCGGAGAGCCAACCGACACCGTTCTCAATCGTGTGGAGATATACTTCGAGGCCGGATGGTCTGTGCAGTTGTACTGCTTTCGAGACAAAGGCTCGGAGGTGTCGGACTCGCTACGATTAAAGCACGGGTCAAGCTTTCAGAATCTCTTCCTGGGTGGCTTGGCCAAGAACATTTTGAAGGGTGAAACCCAAGGAAGCGTTACCCTCGCCGGGGATTCAGCGACTAGAGCGCTAGTCGATACCACGACAGTGTGCAGTTCTCCATCAGGTGCCAGCGGTGAGGAGCGGTTCATATTGATGAACCTTGACGACATTTTGGGAACGCTGGCAAGAAGTTATTCATTGTACAATAAGGTTCAAGGGGCGAAATCACCGATCAACGTTGGAGTCGACCTTAAAGCGTTGACCAAGTTGGTGTGCGGGAATGGTTCCGCTAAAGTACAGCGGCAGGTGGCGATGCATTCTGAAGCCACCACTGCTCAAGCTCAGGCCTTGCTTGAAAACGGATGGGCGTTAAGCAAGCAGACCGCGACGATGGTGCCGACCGTCCTGTCCGAGTTTTTGACGCAGCTACTTGCCAAAGATGTCACGGCAAGTTCGAAGACGCTGGTTCTGGTGATGGGTGATCAGTGTCTGACCGTCGCTAGCAAGGTTGTCTACAGCCGCATTCTCGCGGAGTTCCTGGCGCGTCGAGATCCACCTCTGGCGGGAGGCGTTAAGCAGCGAGTTCCTGAACGTCTTTGTAACCCATCGCAACCAAGTGGTGATTAAGCCACTGAACGACGCTCTGAAGACTTTGCTGTACGTCGATCATCGAGTCCCCAACAGCAAGAAATCGAGAGCCAGCGATTGTACAGGCACTGCAACAACCAATGCAGCAGCGGAGAAGACGCACGTTGGCGAACATCATTTGCAGACACAAATGCACCAGATGCAAGAAGCTTTCATCGCGATGCAGGCGGATTTAGCTGGACAACGCGCAAGACACCAAGAAGACCAGCTTCAGAAGCAGCAAGAGGCTTTTCAACTTCAACTTCAAGAACTCCAACAGAAGTTCGACTCGGAGAGCGAGCAGATGCGAGAGAGTTTTGAGAGGCAACTGCGAGCGCAACGAATGGACCTGAGTCAGGGATCGGAAAAAATATATTGGTCCAATACCAATACCGCCATATGAGGATGTCAGGTCACCTGACATCCTCACGCGAATTATCTATTCGAAACATTGAGCGGAGCCTTCAGAATAAATCAAGGGACGACGTGGCAGAAGCGCGCCAGGAACTGAAGGCGTATGCAGATTGGCGCTATAACCTGTGCCGGAGAAGCATTTCAGATTTGGACATGAAGTTGGAAACGACATCGCAGCGCATCGAATCGAGGCTGGAGCGACAAGTGCGCGAAAGCGATGAACTTGGACACCGCGTTCGATTTCAAAGCGAGAGATGCGCTGACAGATCGAGTAACCTTCAGCACAAGATCGAAGAGCTCAACGTCGAAAGCTCATTCCTCAGCGCGATTTGTATTCATGGATCTTGATGCCATCTTCCAAATGATCTTCAACGTTGTACAAGACAGCCCCCGGTGCGAAGACAAGTGGAGATATTCGGCTCAATTTTAAGGTGTTAACGAAGCTGGTCTGCAGCGATGGCCAAGCACAAGTCCTTCGTCGCGTTGCTACATACGCAACGAGCAAGTCCGTGCTGGTGCACCAGTTGCAGCAGCTTGGGTGGTAGACGGAAAAGAACACATTGAGGACGATGGCAGCAGCTCATGAACGGAGGCTGAAGGAGGCTTTGTCAATGACAGACTCTGCAGCCTCTATGAGGTTAGCATTGGTGATTGGAAAGAAAGGGGCAGTACTTCCCGACAGGACGGTGTGGAATCGTCTTATTATTGACTTGCTCAAGGCGGAATGGCGTGTCGAGATCTACTCGTGGCAAGAATCCTTCAACAAAAAGTCGCTACGTGGGTCAATACGCGCCTTCAAGACGTACCGAGGACAAGTTACGATGACAAAGAGCTGTTGTACTTGGCCAAGAAGAAAAGCTCTGCCAATGACTCGGATAAGCTACTGACCTCAAGTGCTGTTTATCACCAGGCTTCTAGCCATTCCAGCTTGACTAAGTTGGCTGATTGTGTGCCGGGGTCGAAGATTCTTGAGCTGCGTGCAAAGGTTAAAGAGCTTCGAAGATCTGTTGCTGCAGCAGAAGCAGAGTTAACGTGTCGCGTTCAGCAGCAGAAAGAGATCTTCGAGCAGACTCTTCTCCAGATGCAGAATACGTTTTATCACAAAAAATACGAGAAGAATAGCTGCAGCGACCAGTACAGTTTAGGCAGTGGCTCATCATATAGAGTGAGTAGCTCCGACAACACTACGAGCTGTTCGATAATGTGACAATCCCGTTAGCTCCATGCATAAGTGAGTTTCCGTGCGCGAATCTCATTCGCAATGAGTTCAGAACCTTTAACTGGGGTTGTAGCTGGCATGATCTACACTCTGTATAAATTGCTCGTCTGAAAAGAAGTCCCATTCACCGAATAGGCCACAATGGAAATCTTCCATCCCTTGCAGCCGGCATGCAGTCTTTCGATTGATAGCATCGAGAGAACTGTCAAGCTTGAAACTTTCCCGGTATAGCTGCTCCAGCTCCTGCCTCGACGTTGCATTCGTGGTAGCCGAGATTTTGATTCCGAGAGCTTGTGGGTACATCTCGCAAGGAGGAAGGGCTTCTTTTACTCAAGGTACTCAAATTCTTCGTTGAACTTTCTCGCACCTTCGACAAAGTCAATGAAGAGATCATTAAAAGTTCTCCAGCAAATTTGATGTTGATGTGACTCGATTATCGCAAGGAGCCCCGGGAGCCCGTCGATCTCCTGGGTGTACAGTTCGATATACCATCGCCTTGACATGAATCGGGTCAGAAGCCGATGCAGCAATTCGTATTCGTCCGCCGGCAGAACATCCACGCTCACAGCCAGTACTAAAGTCTTTGGCGAAGCCGTATCGGACGGCCAATGGATCAGATTATACAGCAGATTTAGCTGCACTTGGTCAGCCGACAGGCTAGATATCCTACTCAGCACCCAGCCACTTGCCAGCAGCGCCTTCTCCCCCGCTTCATCGTGCCATCGATGATACGTTGCCACTTGGCGCCGCACTTTCGTTCGATCAGCTCCACACAGCATCTGCGTCAACAGGTCGACATTCAAGCGATATCCAGGTAACTCAGCCAGTCTTGCGCTGATGGGGTCCACATCGAGAAACACAAACCGATCATTGCCAACGCTGTTGACGTCGTTAAGCGGTCGGCACATCGACTCCACGTCTCCCGTCCGCATCAGCTCCCAGTCCGCATCAGCTCCCAGTCCACACCATCCAAATACTTGTTCTTGAAGCTCGAAGGGTACTTCTCCTTGAGGCGCACGGACATCCGCGCTCCTCGAGGGTTGAAGCTGTAGAAGCGCACGCGCCAGCCCGACTCCAGGTGCCTCTCGACCAACTGACGCAACGAGTCACTCAGCTCACTGCCGAGCAGCACCAGCGTCTTGGATGAGAACCAATTTGGCTCGTAGTCGTTCTCCGAGAGGTTTTTCCTGAGCATTTCCTCCAGCAACTGATCGTTTGGCTCGCTCTTCACGCGCACGGCCCACCCGGCAGCTCGGAAGCGCTCCATGCCGTCCGGCATCAAGTAGAACGAGGTCCCGCACATGGACTCGATGTTCCCTCCCCACTTCTGACGAAGTTCGTCAAAGCGACGGCATCCAGCGGGGCCAGTCGCAGCTTCGCACTGCGGTCGGGGCTCCCAATCACGCAGGTGAGCGCGTCCTCGTTCAGCGCATCCAAGTCCGCGAACACGTACTTGTGAGCCTTTTGACCATGCGATACTCTGTATTTCAACCAATCATCTCACCCAACTTACTTAATATCATCCAATCAACTTCCTCCATGCCGAGCATCAGCGCCTCCAGTCAAAGCCACCAACCAGCTCGAAGAGGCATTGCAAAGTGTCAATTGTGCATCACCTCTCGGCCCGTAGCCCATAGCTCTCCATCCACACCGCGCAGGCGACAATGGACGAGGAAGGACCCCAGGTTCGTCATGCCGGCTGCACCATCGTCCTGACCACAGTCTCTAATGTACTGCGTATGTTTCAATGAATCAATGACCAGGTTCGCGTCAAGTTCGTGACCAAGGACGCGTCCATCCGCGTGACGGAGACGCCGTTCGCGGTGCCCACGCGCCTCAACCGCCGCGGGCTCTCGCAGGTGGTCAACCACCTGCTGGCCACGGGCGACAAGCCGCGGCCCTTCGACTTCCTCATCGACGGCCTGTTCCTGCGCTCGTCGCTGGACAAGTTCCTGCAGACGAGCGGCGTGTCGGAGGAGGCGCTGCTGACGCTCGAGTACGTGGAGGCGCTGCCCGAGCCGCAGAAGCAGAGCGGCAGCGACCACCCGGACTGGGTGAGCGCTGTGGCGGCGCTGGATGGCGACCTGGTCGTCACCGGCTGCTACGACGGCGTGCTGCGCGTGTACGATGCGCAGGGCGACTGCAAGGCCTCGGTGAAGGCGCACCAGGGCGCGGTCAAGGCGGTGAGCGTGGCTCCTAGTGCTGAGAAAGACGGCGAGTTTGTTATTGCCAGTAGCGGAAAGGACCAGCTCGCGCAGCTGTGGCGTTTCTCCACCATAACGGCGAAGCTGGCACCCGTGGCGGCGCTCACTGGCCACCTGAACAGTGTCGACACCGTGCAGATGCACGCGTCCGGACAGCGTGTGGTGACCGGCAGCTGGGACAACACGGTGCGTGTGTGGCAGGCTCCTGGCGCCTCGGAGGACGCAGGTGAACAGCGGTCGGCGAAGAAGCACAAGAAGACGGAGGACGGCGCAGGCGCCGTGAGCTTCCAGCAGCTCGAGGCGGAGATCGTGCTGGTCGGACACACGAGCTACGTGACGGGCGTGGCCTTCCGCCCCAAGAACTCGGAGCACGACGAAGACGTGGTTGTGTCGGCGGGCAGCGACCGCACCGTGCGTCTGTGGGATCTGGTGACCCAGTCCTGCTCGCAGTCGCTCGTGGGCAACCGCGCCGTGTCGGACCTGAGCGTGAGCGCGAATGGACTTGTGCTGACGGCCCACCCGGACAACTGCGTTCGTCTGTGGGACCCGCGTGCACAGCAGAGCGGCGAAAGCATCGTACAGCGCACGTTCCGCTCGCACAAGGAGTGGGTGAGCTCGGTGGCCTGGCACCCGGACAGCTCGAGCAACGAGCACCTGTTCGTCTCCGGTGGATACGACGGCACGGCCAAGGTCTGGGACGCTCGCAGCACGATCCCTCTGCACACTGTCAACGCACACGAAGGCAAGCTGCTGGACCTGTCATGGCGGAACCAGGGCGAGGGCGACAACAACGTGGCATTCGTCACGGGTGGCGAGGACAAGAAGCTCAACTTCTTCAGCGTGTAAGGCAGATAGAAAAAGACTGACATTTTTGCTTGTTTCGACCTCGGCCTGGGTTCTCGTCTTGTTACTTCCTACGTCACCACCTTCTTGTGTTCTGGTCTATTGCAAGGCGAGATCCGTCCAAGGCTCGATCGCTGGCATTCTACTTTGGTTCTGCTTAAAGACTGGCACGGTACGTATAAGCACCGCTTACTCCCAAGCCAGTAGCTTCTCGAGCTCCTCGATGTCGTCAGCGGGGGCCTGAGTGATAGGACGAGCGTAGTACTCCTCGATCTCGGCCAGGTCCTGCTTGCTCTTGTTGTCGTAGACGAAGTTGATGGCGCAGCCCTTGCGGCCGAAACGACCCGTGCGACCGATACGGTGCAGGTACGTCTCCGGGTCGGGGCGGTGGTCGCGCGTAAGGGGGATGTCAAAGTTCACCACAAGAGACACACCCGCGACATCGATACCGCGAGCCAGCACGTTTGTCGTGATCAGCACGTTGGTCGTGCCGGCGCGGAACTCGTCGATGACCTGGTCACGCACCTCCTTGGCCATGTCGGCACCGTGCAGGATGCCAACCGAGTGGCCCTTCTCACGCATGGCACGCGTCAGCTCCTTGGCGGTGTCACGCTGCTGCACGAAAATGACGCACTTGCCGATAGACAGGATGGCGAAAATGTCCGACAGCACCTGGAACTTGTTCTCGCGAGTCTTGCAGTCGATCCAGAACTGCTTGATGCCGTCCAGCGTCAGCTTCTCCTTCTTCACCGTGATAATGTTGTGGTCGGGCACCATCTTCTGGGCGAAGTCGCGCACGTCGTCAGCGTACGTGGCCGAGAAGAGCAGGTACTGGCACGCGCGGTTCTTGATCAGACGCTTGATCGCCACGGAGCGCTCGCGCATGCCGTCCTCGGCGACCATGACGTCGGCCTCGTCCAGCACGAAGATCTTGACGTTGCGGGTGTCCAGCTGCTTCTTCTTGATCATACCCTCGACCTTGCCGGGGGTGCCCACGATCACCTGCGCCTTGAGCGTCTCGCCACGGGCCAGGTCGTTGCCGGGGATGGCCAGGAACGTGTCCACGCCGATGAACTTGCCCATGGCGTTCACCACAGCCATAATCTGGCGCACCAGCTCACGGGTGGGACCCACACACACGGCCTGCGGGGCCTTCAGGTTCACATCCACGCGGTACAGCATGCCCAGGGCGAAGGTGGCGGTCTTGCCACTGCCACTCTGCGCCTGGCCGATCAGGTTCTCAGGCGGGCTGGACAGCGACAATAGCATCTAGTTAGCACAGTATTATAAAGTAAATAATATCATAAAAGGCTGAACTTACTCGGCGAGGATGAGCGGCAGCGCCACCGACTGGATCTTGGACGGCTTGGCGAACTTCATGTTGTACACGCCCTTGAGCAGGTCCTCCGGCCTGTGCACCAACAGCATCGTTAGTATACACGAGCAATAAATACATCCCATTATAGTAGCAGCACGCACAGGTTGAGCTCCTCGAAGGTGACGGCCGAGTAGAGGTTCGAGTTGGGGTCGTTCTGCAGCACCTCGAGCTCGGCCTTGTAGTCCTCGTCATCCAGGCCCTGGCCCAGCGCCAGGATCTCCTCCAGCGACTGCGTGACCTCCTCTACAGCCTCCTCCTTCTTCTCAGCCTCCGGGGCCGCAGCCTCGGCTGCGGGCGCCGCCGCCACTTCCTCCTTCTTGGCTTCAGTCTCGCTCATAGCTGCTACGCTCTGCTGTTTGATAATGAAGCCACCTGATCCCTCTCCCTTTTCAGCCAACAGCTTTCAGCCATAATATGAAATAGTGTAGGTGATAGTGATCTTGAGGTTTGTATGATTGCAAATTAGGGAAACCGATTACATAATTCTAGTGCTCAAATTAATTTTGAGTTTTTTGTGTTCAAAATTATTATTATGTCACGTGTTTGCTGTCAGCTCGACAGCATGGGTCGTTTTTACAGGGCGTTCCTATCGTTGGAGTCTCTAGTCACCGGGCAGGATAACTGGATTCCTATCCTAGAATGCCTTCTCGGACAGAGGAAAGCAGAGAGAAGCCCATATACAATTTCGTAACCGCGGGGTCATCGTTCATCTAACGTTCTGCTCTCTACATTTTTTTTAAATGTCTGTCACCACTTTCGCTCTGGCGAAGCGAATATTGAGCACGTCCGAGACCTTGTCTTCCGGCTTCAAGAATCTGTTCTCAATCCTCGAACCGTGAAAGTGAACGGCGTTAAGCAATCACAGACTGTCGCGGAGTACCTAGGCAAGATCCATCCCACGAGCTGGACGCAGTTTGGCAATTGCACCTTTACACCTGAGGAAGCTGCTGCTGTTAAATCTCGATGGGGCACTATTGTAGCTGCAGCTACATCGTGCAGCCGTTGCGGGGGTTAAGCCCAGCAACACCAGCACGGAGTTTCGCAACGACTGCGTGTGGGAGCAGTTGCAGGAGTAGTTGCAAATGAACGACCGTACAGAGGGCCGATCAAGGAGATCTAGAGCAAGTAGGTTGTTCAAAGCAAGCGCTAAACTCATTCACTTCTACATTTGCATCGAGCGGCAAACAACAAATAATTCTTTAGCTAGGGAGTCGCTCCCTGCATGGATGAAGCCGACGAAGCGATGGTTCCCCACCCCGCTGGTGGGATGCCCGTTGTACCCGCCGTTGCCCACGCTAGCAGACCACGACCGGCAGCTTCAAGAGACGACGACGCGGGCGGCAGTGATCCAGGGCAGGGAGACCAGGCGCCAAGTCGATGTCCTAGCCCAGCACGCCGCCGCAGCCCATCACAGGACGACTGAGCAGTTGGGCCAGGTGCAGCAGCAGCAAGAACGACTTGCTGCGCAGACGTCGGAGTACCTGCAAGCGCATCACGACCGCCGGTCTGCGCTGCTGGAGCAGCGCTGAGCCTGCGACTGAGAGCCGCCCCGCAGACGCATCTCCCGCCGTCACCGTGGCTGCAGGGACAAATCTGCCGGTGCCGCCCATATACCGAGGCAGCTCCAAGAAGGAGAAGCGTGACTTCATGGATAGTTACGCAATCTACACGAGGCGCATCAAAAGGCGCTAAACTAAGATACCCAGACCAAGTTCTTCATGATGCCTATAAGACTGTGGATAGAGAGGTGAAGTCTCTTTCTATAGATACGAGTCTGCAGGACGCTGAGTCTCGCCTCATGGCCGACTTCTATGAGATTGCTGACGGTATGAACATGGAAGGTGTTGTGCAAGTGGAGCCGAAGAAGGTGGTCGGCTACTTGGTCGACGCGCTGAGGCCTCCCGCGTTTACCCCCCCCCCCCCCCCCGCACTCGCGGGGTTTTTCGGTCCCTGGCTTTGATCAATATACATGTTACAAGTATGCGTATTTGATCTAACTATCGTCTTCCGTAAGTACGACACATTTCTATAACCGGCGGGAAACTGGTTGACACAGACAAACGCACATGTTGTCTAAGACGACCTCGGATGGGTAGCTATATTTCAACAGGGTGTACCGCAAATCGCGTGTAGTGAGCTGCACCCAATGTTCATGAGCAAGGTACAACCTTCCAAAATCAATATTCAAACGACTCATAGAAAACCGATCTATTTGCATTACACGACAGCTTCCTCGATAATGCGGTCGAAGTCTTGGTCAGCGTCCACAACTGGTCCAGCCAACGAAAGCTGCTGCAGCTCATCTACCAGCGACGCTGCGGCGAGGCACTCGTCGCTCAGCTACAAACTACACTTCTTGTACCCATTCGCAATAGTGTCGGTGCTTAGCCCATCCCAGCTACGGCGCACCCACCTGCACATTCCGCCACGTCCTGGAGGTTCCAGCTTGACCTTCTCGCCCTCTGGGCGCGGCTGGTTTAGCTGCGCCTGTATGTCGTCGAGCCACAGCTGCCGGAGCCCCCACTTGAATGGGAAGTTCCATGCTGCATCTGCCGGTTGGCAGACGGCGGTGGCGTTCGGCGGAACCTTAATCAAAACGACCTTGATCGAAGCAGCGTAGAGAAACACTTACGAAGTCCAGTGTCCGCTAAAGTCGTCCCAGAGAAGCAGGATGGGCTCCTCTGAGAACGACCGGTTACCAAAGTGAAACGTTAGAAATCGTATCGAAAGATCTCTATTCCACCAGTCTAGGATACAAAACCAAACCATGATCAAAATTAGTATCATAGAATCCCATCACAATAACATCACAGGATGAGCCCACCTTTTTCGTTCGTGTAAATTTGCAGTCCTGTTTTCTCTTTGATGCGCTTGATTTCCGGCCACGTCCGAACACCGAACCCACAGCGCTTCTCGTTGTTGGCCTTGTTCTTGGATGGCTTCATCATGAACACGACGAACGGTGTGTGCTTGACCCCGTTCGAGTCCCCCAACAGCATCACAGTTGCCCGTTCTTTTGAAGACCCCGCGCACTTGACCCAAACCGTTTTAGCACCACGGGCATTGATTGTTTTCTTCATTGGCAAATATTCAAAGAAAGCAGCTTCATACATACACACATTTGAATTAGTTTTGTTAAAAAAAATAAAACAAAAATAAAAAATAACCTGTTTGGTCGGCATTGTAAATGCGCTTGATACCCAGTTGGCGCGCCATCTTTTCAACCTCTTCTGCAAAATCCGCCTTCACCCTCTCAACATCCGCAGGACTGACTTGGCCCTGGCGTGTAGGCGCCCGCGATGGCGACCTCTGAAGCTCTTGATCCACTTGTCCGACGCCCTGAAGGAGGCGACACCAGCCTCCACAGCAATCTGCTGAGCTTGGAAAGTCAGCATTCGGGGCGACACGGGTACCCTCTCCTGTCTAAGGCTATTAATCCATGCTACGATCTCTAGCTCAACAGATTCAGAGAGAATGGTCCCTTCCCCAACGCTTCACACCTTTAGATGGCTACCTTTTAGAGCTGCCTCGAGCTTGGCTGACTCAATTGTAGCGTTCCGGCGCTAGTTCTGGCCAGAACTGCGCAATAGTACTGCGCATCTTGGGTAGAGGGGCCGATGCCCAGAACGCGAGACCTGTCAGCTTCTTCTCCACCGAAATACCCTTAATTAGGTGCTTCGTGTGGTGGCGCCCCTTGCCTCCGAGGCGCGGTCTGCCCACAGGGCGCGGCTTGACGCGCGTCATGGCAAAAGCCGAATATCTGTGATACAATGCTGGTGCCGCCAGACTTGCGGCTAATTGGTTGGTTTGGGGCTTGTGCATCTCTCTACATGCGATTCAGGGACTGCTGCTCAACGCTTTTTAATTGGCTAATATGAGGGTGCAGCTCACTACATGCGATTTGCGGTATATACTACAACTTGCAGTATCCTTTTTATTGATGGTGAACAAAAATCAAACACAAGGGCGGGTTTATGCTGGAAGTATCCTATGATTGCGTCCCAACATACCAGGCTCTGCATGCCTTGAAAACAAAAAACAGCTGTACCTAGCTAGCAATCAAGTGACACGTCTTCCCAACCGCGCTAATGGCGTCTTAGCATTATTATAGCGCACGCCCTGCTCGGTTGTATTGGATTGGACCACCTCACCAGGATGCATTCTCTCTGAGGGGTGCATATTAGTACTTACATGCGCAATATAACCCTTACATAGCAAAATTCTTTCCAGCGTACCTATTCTTTTACATACCCTGGCATATCGGACGAGATCCATCTTGCATTTCGAGCCACTATGTACAATCATGTATCATATCCTGTCTGATCTGATCGGAATACCAAGGGCATAGTAGGGGTAGCACTGTCTCATACGCATGATGGGGAGAGCGGTTCCTGTTAGCAATCTGTATAGCATATTTTCACCTACACCTGTGCATTTCACGTAGAAAAGACGTGCTGTTCTTTTTCATAACATGTAGTCATATACAACGTATTAGTGCGGGGAAGGGGGTAAGGCTGCACTGGAGGATCAGCTCGGCCGCCCAACCAAAACGTGACCATGTTGATGGAAATGCTGGTCGTGCTGTTGAGAAAAGTGGAGCCTCGCAGCATAAATTTCCAAGCCCCGGCGTAATGGTCCTGCGGCGTCACCGAAACCAGGAAATCAGGTTCGGAAATATTTTAAGTGCGGCGACCAGACACATGGAGTGTTCCAGTGTCCGGACGTCGCGCACTTGCTTTCTATAAATAATGCAGAAGCTTGGATACTGTCCTGAAAAACGTTTGACTGGGGTCCAGCAAGTCAGCGAGGTGTGGGACAAGAGTGATGTAGACGATGGCCCTGCAACTAAGGTGGCGAGCGTTCTGGCCTATGCCGGAGCTGTGGAGAAACCTGCGCCGACGACGGAGGAAAAGTACCTGGAGGAGGAGGAAGACCGAGCGCTCTTTCCCGATTTTACCAGTGACATCGAGGCCGAGCGCGAGAGCCATTCTGCTGAAGAAAGTTGAGGAGGCTCGGTGCTTTGGAGCAACAGAGGGATTTGCTACTGAGTTGGAAAATATCCTCATGCAGCTCATTGATGTGTTCCGAATCCTAATTGGACGAGATCCCCCGGTAGACATGCCGCCCATGGAGGTGAAGCTGAAGCCGAGTGCAGTACCCGTACGGTGCCGAGCACGCCGGTACTCGCCTGCTCACCGCGAGTTTCTTAACCCTTTCGCGAGTATCCTCAATAAATTATAGTATACAACTCATTGATATTTCCTTCTAGAAGGGCGCTCTAGGCGTCCTTTACAAAGTTACGGAGCCTTTTCGGTGTGTCTTATGGGACATGCCATCTACGGGGATTTGCAGGTACATAGAATGTATGCGTATGACTTAGCATTTGTATATATACAATGATTACATGATGATTTCTGCGTACCGATTATGATTTGTTTTAAAAGAAGGTTGATTACTAGCTTGAACTTGTGCAAAAGGGCACAGGATGCACCCTTTAAGAGGGGGTACACTCTACCGTGTTTTGGAAAATCATCTAAAGGGCGCTTTCTGTATCCTTTTACCGCGAAAGGGTTAAGAATCACATCAGCGCGCTGATTGAGGCTGGGCTCTGCTATCGAACCCCCCCCCCCCCCCCCGGAGCAGTTGGTGTTCGCCCCCGCTGGTGGTAAACAAGCACGAAGTGAGCGCCCATCGCATGACTGTGGACGTACGCGGTCCCAAGGGGTGTGTAGAGCCGATTGTGTGGCCTATGCCCATTTTGGAGGCAGCATTTGAGCAACTACGTGGCTCATCTCGGTACTTCTCGTTAGACTTTTTCAAAGGGTTTCTGGCCGTTTGTGATGGCCGTGTGGTGCCAGGAGATATACTCGATCTTGACGGAGGAGACCACTCGAGCGTTGATGAGTGGCACTAATAGCGTAGGGTACGTGCCATCTACGGTCCAGGAGATGTTCGCCGAGGTGTTCAACGACGGGTTGATGATCTGGATAGATGACCTGCTCGGCTACGAAGACGGCGATGAGAGGCTGCTTGTACTCCTTAAGAAAGTACTGCAGATTTGCGCTGATAAAGGTCTGAAGCTCAATGGTAAGAAATGCAGTTTCTACTTGCGCGAAGCGCTTTGGTGTGGTAGAGTCGTATCGCGCAAAGGTGTCCGGTATGACCTGGCCAGAATTGACGCGCTCACCAAGCTGCCGGCGCCCACGACAGGTCAGGAGCTGCAGCAATTTGTGTGCGCTCTGAACTGGATGAGGACATCACTTCCGTCGTTTAAAAAACTGGTTGACCCGCTGGTGAAAATGATGGAGGCAGTCTACGAGCGCACAGGGGGCCGTAAGAAAACGCAAATGCGCGCGGTTAAACTGGCTGATGTGGGGTGGGGTGAAGCGGAGGTCGCTTGCCCGGAGCGTTGCAAACTCGCACTGAAGAATGCACTTCAGCTGGCACATCCGGAGCCAGCCAAGTTGCTCACCGTGCACACTGATGCCAGCGACGAGCACTGGGGGGCGGCAACCACTCAGATTCCCCGTGACCATGCAACACGGGCAATTAGCGAACAAGAGCACGAGCCGTTGATGATGCTCAGTGGATCATTCTTAGGAGCAGCGCGAAGGTGGGCCATAGTCGAAAAGGAAGCTTATGCTATTGTGGAAACATGCAGACGTGCTGATTATTTGCTTCATCGACCGGATGGGTTCGCTCTGTTCACGGACCATCGGAACCTGTGCTATATCGTTGACCCACACAGCGTCTCGAAGACAGTGCCCAAATAAACCGCAGACAAGTTGCTCCGGTGCTGATGGGGTATCTGTATGAAATCCATGTTATTGCTGGCGACGAGAATGTGTGGGCGGACTTGCTGCCGCGCTGGGGCTCGTCGTTGAAGACAATCTGCGCAATTTGGCAAGTGCCACTGCCGTTATCACCACAACCGGATGAGGGTTTTGTATGACCAACACTTCAAGAGATTATGGCAGTGCAGGACGCGGCGTCCGCTCCAAGTGAGATGACTAAATGTAACGAGGACGGACTCTGGAAGGATGCCCGAGGTAAGATCTGGATCCCCGATGACGCGACTGATCTACAAGTCCGTATTTGCGTGGTGGGTCATTTCGGAATCGCAGGTCACCGAGGGATGACTTTGACGTTGCAGCAGATCAGTGAGCGGTTCGTTTGGGCGGACATGAAAAGCGACGTGGAGTTTTTTGTGCAGCGTTGCCTGCACTGCGCAAGCACGCTTAGTGGGCAACGACAGCTGGAGGAAGCCCTGCATACCGATCACCTAAACGAGCTTATCCACTGGGACTTCCTGTTCATGGAGGAGAGTGACACAAAGCAAGAGTAGGTATTGAACATTAAGGATGATGCATCCAAGTTTGCCTGGTTGTTGCTGTATGAGACTGCTGAGGCTGAGGCTACATTCTCGGGGCTGATGGACTGGTTCGCATCATTCGGAGTGTATCGTACCTGGGTTAGCAACCAGAGTACGCATTTCAAGAACAAGACATTTGAGGCCCTGCAACATGCGCTCGGGGCACACCACCATTTCCCTACAGCTCGTTGCCCTTGGGCAAATGGGACGGCGGAAGTGGTAATGCGCGAAGTGCCTGAAGGCGATGGATGGGTCCAAGCGACCATATTGCAATCCCAAGACCGGTGAAAGTTACGACGCTAGAGGAGATACAGTCAACGCAGCGCAAGAATGTGGTGCGACTGGAGCAAGCTGAGCCAACCATGACAAAAAGAAAGGCACCACGAAGGCGCCGTTTGTCATCGAGGATTTCGTCCTGTATGCTGATGTGTGGCAGTACACGCGCAGTAAGCTGCGTGTAAAGTGGTGTGGGCCAGCGCAAGTAGTGGACACTGTGTCCAATTGGATTTTCATGATTCAAAACCTGGTGACCAGATAGCGTAAGGAGGTGCACACTAGCCGCTTGAAGTTTTACGCGGATAACTCTGCACATCGCCCACAACAGCGAGGGCCATGTGATGGATAGCCTCCTCCAGGCCCGATACAACCGCCAGGAGAAGCGTCATGAAATCAAGGTGCGCTGGCGCGGCTTGAACGAGCTGGAGGACTCGTGGGAAACGGCCGATGTTATGTTGTCAGGCGTGCCCGCGGTGGCCAAAGCATTCGTCCGTAAGCACATCGAGCTGGCACCGGTGAAGGCACTGCGCAACGCGTTGGCTATCTAGTAGCACGGGGTTAACAGCAAGCGACCCGACGGCAGGCCGCATCTATAATATATCTCCATGTAGATATTATCTCCATGGAGAGCTCACTTCGAGGGGGAAGTGTTGTAGATGCAGCTACATCGTGCAGCCGTTGCTGGCGTCAAGCCCAGCAACACCAGCACGGAGTTTCGCAACGACTGCGTGTGGGAGCAGTTGCAGGAGTAGTTGAAAAACGAGCGACCGTACAGAGGACCGAGCAAGTAGATCTAGATTGACAAGCAGGTCTGAGCGGCTCGCAAAAGCACTGCAACTTTGCTTTATGCTGACGACCCCACCCAAAACGGCTTAGAAAGAGCTAATCAACATTTAAAATATCGTCAATACCTTGTATTAAAATATTTTCTTGCAGGGGCACCATCATGCCCTTGCTTGGCCCACTCTCTGGGTTTGGGGGTACTGGGTTTATTACCCCCCCCCGCTCCCACCCCACATACCCACACACACCCACATGCGGATGAAACAAGGGCAAACCGGGTCATGAGTTGGCCTCGCACAGCAGCCGCAGTAAATTCGCGAGGTCTACATGACAGATGCACAAAACATACCGTTAAGTGGACATTTCCGATCACCACTGCTGCTGTGTTATTTTCAATTAATATAACACTTTACCTCCAGTTACAGCACGCATGTTGAATTAGCATACTCCTGCTCGCAAGCAGCACCTGTACGTACATCATAAATCGATACAGTAAACAGGTCAGACACCTCAACCATACTCGCAGAAATATCCTGAGCTCGTACCGTCTTCGGTTCAGCAGCGGGTGCATCGCTTTGAGGTGTACCGCGGTATCACGTCCTTCAGCGCCGGCAGCTGGGGTCGAGCACGATAAGCAGCCATATTATCTCAGCTGGAGGCAGTCCACGAGAAACATCTAAACCAAACGCATAGTTGTGTAAGAGAAGGAAGATAGAGTCGCAAGAAAGAAGCATATAGGCCAGTGAAGCACTTACCACGGACGTCGCGACGGTCGGCTCCCCTGGAGACTAGCCATACACACCAGCATTAAGACGCTAAACGACATGCTGCCGGGCCTCAACATGATAAGGCATCAATGATAGGACGTCCAGGCTTGAACAACTTACTGGGTTTGATGCGACAGCAACGCAAAAAGCGAGTGAGCACAACCATCTAACTGCCTAGATCAGATGATTTTCGTGTGCCCCGTCCCAGTTGTGGAGCCCTGATGAAACTTCAATGAGTGTTGGCCATGTGCTGCTATTGCGGTCAGTTTGGAAATGTTTGATGCATTTACGGTCAGTACGGATAATTATCCTTTCAGTCGTCGTCGTCGTCTTACTTATTGGGGGGCGTGCCGAACCCGGTACAAAAGTTGAAAATTACATTGCAGCGCCTCCACAGCCGGGGTGTGGCGTGGAGGGTTAACTCTTTCACTACCGGATCACCCTCTTATGGACATCCAATTGAATCCATATTTTGACCAGTAAGATTGTTTATTTCTTTGTAGAGCGACAAGGATGAATACACACTCTAGTACCGATATTATGTGGAAACAGTCAGCCGTGTATTTGCTTGTAAAATACGTTGTGGTTGTAGTGCTCATACTCGCTCATTCAGCCCCACAGCGAGCGAATATGATTTGCGACAAATGCCACGAGGATCCGTGCGACTGGGAGCGGTATGGAAGCGAGCTCTGTGAGAGCAGAAGCCGCCTGCTCCACCGAGTTCGACACCCCAGACGCCTCAATAAAACGCTCTACCAGCTCTACTTCTATCTGAAGTATGGTCGGCTTGACGCTGATCCCACAAACCGGCAGCTACCCCTCTGCATCAGACGAAATATCTCACGCCGGTACCATACATGGACTTAGGTACTAGTATTTACATTTATTTGAACTAACTAGTTTTGATGTTGCCTTAGTCGCCAGCAAACAATGGGAAACTCGTGTGACCTCTACCGATCGACCCATTCATCTACATCGAAATTCGAAATACTACGAGTAGTCAGTAAAAAACAATCGTACCCTACTCAAATCCAACTACCGCTATCAGACTTAGCACTCATGTTCTTCTTTGCCGTTGCATACATCCTGCTGGCCACACGGGCGTCCGGGCCGCCGTCTCCGTCGTGGTCTCCGACCCGAAGTCCCCGTGACACTCGAAGCAGCCCCCGCCGTCTCTGTCATCGTCTCCGACTCGTACATCTTACACGTGACGCAGTCCTTGGTCTCCATCGTCGACAGCGTCAACACCATCACCACCACCAGGAGCACGAGCGAGCGCATTTTGGCGGTCGCAGCATACACACAGCTCGATGTCCACACGGGCGTCCGGGGCGCCGTCTTGCGTCCGGGCCGCCGTCTCCGTTGCGGCTTCGCTCGACCCCGACGAGCAAGTAGCAGCCCACGGGCTTCAATAGCGTAGCCACCATCAGAAGCTGCCATGCATGGCCATCTGAGGAATGGAGTGAAAACTTTTGGTCCAAGCGCTGCTCGAAAACTTTTGTGGTTTGGTGGTAGGATGAACATAAAATTAGTTTTCTTCTGGACATGATATGGTACATAAGAATTATAGATCCGCGAGCTTCATCATTTCAGCCAATCACGTTACTATAATGACTTCGGTATAGACATCATACTGTCCCGAAGGGCCATTTGTTGTACCGGTACCAAAAGAGTTAAGCTGTGAGCGCTGTAAAGGAAGTCTGAAACTAACGCTGCTCTACGTTCTCATCTGCGTTGGTTTCAACTTCCTGCCTTCCTTCTAAAAAGCTATTTTAACTGCTCCGCTCGTGAAGATCTTCAGTCCGATTTTGCCTTGTATTAATATCGGTTATTTGATATTACTGGATAGGAAGCAACGTTAGTGCTGCTATCGCAGACCAAATAGGATTATATCGGTGGTACGTCAAGTCAATCGATGGCCTCTCTTGACATCTAACTGGTATATTTTCTTGAAACCGGTATAACTCCGGTGCCACACTGGGCTCCCAAAAGGATTATGACTAAATGTAAGCATTTGGATATTTCTACAAGCTCTAAACAGATATATCAAGGTTCGCACTTTCAACTTTGTAAAGTATTGCCGGTAGACAGTGTTAACTGGCAAATTTGCGGGCAGATGCTGAGGCCGTGAAGCAGGCGCAGGAGATAACAGTAGCTAATAAGAAAAATATAATAAAAAATGAAGAGGTTTATACCAAAATTCTCCTATCCCACCCTTCGCAGAGCCCTAGTGATGAAGCGATCCGTGTGGAGGTCCGATGTTGTCATGTATTAATATCTGGTAATTTATATTGATAAATCGATATTTATTGACAAAGTTAGTAAACAAAAAGTGGTTTGTGTGATACAGTGGTGGTTTCCATAATGAATACCCGAGAAACTTTATTAATTACATGAATGTTGCCTGTGTCTTCCGCTTATGTACGGTCTTGATGTTGCGTGAAAGTATTTTGAAGAGGCCACCCACTTCAATCGTCAGGCATCGAAGGTGGAGGAGCTCTGGTACAAGTACTCATTTGAGCTGATCATCCACAAGCCAAACGTGGCGTGGCTCTAGGCGGCCACACTGAACCCAACACGACGCATGTGCTCAGAGCGATACAGTGCGGTCGTGGTGGTCGGGGTCTTCACAAATTGACAAATCTTTGTCGGGCCCCTTGGCGAGCAGAATGGGCACAGCACGACACGCGCAGTGTTGCAACGCATACGGTAGGCCAGCTTTCAACTGCAGCACGTTGAAAGATGAGCCTGGGACCTGGACTGGTGGTACAACATGCAGCAGTAGGTGTTCTCAGAGAACCAGGTCCCTGTATAAGATAGGGGCAAAGGCCTGTAGGAGCTGGCTGCACCTCCACCGCTAATCTATTTACCTTCTCTTTTGCCTTCTTTGGTGAAGAGCGTTCAGCCGTCTGATCGAGTGCAACGTCCAACACGCAGCTCAAGCCATAGGGGATGATCGTAGAGGTTTCTCGGGCCAGCGGTGCAGTCGGGGTAACTTATCAATTTCTCGGAGTCTTCGATCAGCGTAGTGTAGGGCGAGTCGCGGCGCGCGACTTGCCGGACCAACCCCAAGATTTGAACACTAACTCACCATGAGCTAGCTGTCGCCTCATTCATTAAAATAAATAGTCAATACCCTGCATCACAACATTGACAACATAACGTAAAAGGTGCTGAAGTCGTGAAGCGAATAGTAGCCGACGGCATATTTTCTGAGTGCAAACGTTGATCGTAGAGGGTAAAGCTATAGGAAACTGACTAATTGGTAAGTTCCAAGTCAAATTAGCATGTGCTGCGGCTGCGATGCGCTGGTATGAGTAACTGGGCTTGACACACTACATTTATGCCTGTACTAAATTTCAGAGCTTGTTCGTGCAACTTTGCTTTGAACACTAGAAAACCGTACCAAGTTGGAAGGCTTTGACCGGGGTTGGCGGTCTGCCAGGCCTGCAGCCACCACCGGCTAGGATTACCGCAATCCTCATGTTAACCCTTTTGCGATGAATTTTATACTTTGAATTTGTATGGGTGCATCCCCATACAAAACCGTAAAACATGGCTAGATGCATGATTTTATGCCACAGCCCGCAAACCAAAATCGGACGTAAGACTGGGTTTTGGTCGTACATAATGTAAAACATGCTACTTAGCCATGTTGTAGTACGGTTTCCGCCCCGACCCTTACTAGCCAAAATTTATCGTTCTAAACTCTGATTGGGGCGATTTTGTAAAACATGCTAGTTAGCCATGTTTTACACAAAAACCATTGCAAAAGGGTTAAAGGATACTACATGTCAAAGGCGAAATCGAGAGAGTCTTAGATTTGAGCTAAAAATACTTGGAAGTGAACTTAGCCGCTAAACAACAAACCCAGCTATTAGAAATAGAACTGAGCGCATTACGATTTAATCATAAGACGCTACGAGTGAGCTGAGCGCTTGGGTTTCCTAGCCCGTTTGAGTGCAGCTCCGTGCCATGGTCAAAGCCGTGAATACTACGATTCAAATATTTAAATCACAATTTCGAGCCTCGGTCGCAGAGCATGTTTTGAAAAACGAACTTGTCTTAGTTGTAGACATTTTCACAGTGTAACTCGTCAGTGCCTGCGTGAAGTCGTCGTAGTATTCAAGCCGCAAGGATACCTTTCTTTGTTGAGTGTATAAGTAAAGATTATAGAGTTTTAATATTTATAGCCGCTAGAGTCACTGGTATCGGTTTCGGCCCACACAACCCAGCCAGCACTATTTCGGCAATTCCTTCCATTCCTGCGCTTTCAGCCGCGATTGCCTACATGTCCCATCGTACACCGCCCAATGCCATTTGAGTACGAATGGCAGGCAACCCTCCAAGTCCAAGGGACACCGGCGGCTGATAATGCGCTCGATGCTCTGCGCACTTTCAAGGTGTAAATGAATCAACTAAGAAGATGTACATCATGCTCGGACAACTACGCCGATCATCAAATGCGATACCGAATGTGGTTTTGCCAGTCTTCCACCTGCTCCGAAAGTACGCAGAACGGTTCGTACTGGCTGAAGCTCTTGCTTCCGATCGGACACCCACTACGTTTTCCAGCATGTCTACCACAATAGTATGCTTAGTTCTCCCCGACAGCGGTCGCTCACTCGAGCTATGAACGCAGAAATAAGAACTATGGCCAGTTCCCCAATGTACCTTACACGAATTTGCAACCAATTAATTGATCGTCAACGTGACGGCAGGGACGGTACCTAAGATGAAGACAATTCAAAACTTTGTGTACAACTACAAGAACAGCGTTCTTTACCACAACGATGTTGTTGCTGACCTAGTTGGGATTGGTCGGGGCTCCCGGTATCGTAAGGATATGGATATGTCGGTAGGTTTCGCCTTCAGTTATAGCCTGGACAAAGATGACAATCCTGTTCTGGGGGAAGGTACGGAAACGGATCCATTCGTGCTGGCGTTTTCAACCAAAATACTCATGAAAAATCTAGCTCGAGACCCAGATACGTTTGGTTTTCACATGGATGTTACGGTCAAGCTTACGAAGTGTAAGTTCCCTCTCCGCTATCGTTTAAGACGTCAGTGTTGCAGGTATCCGAGCGTCGGGCGATGTTCGCTTTCTGCATGGCCAGCTCGACAGTGCGGACGATCTTCTGGGGGTTACTAGCTACAAGGACTCCGCGGAATATGCGGAGGCAAAGGAGAAGGGCAAATTGAATGAAAGCCGAATGGAGACGTCAGCACTTGTTTCTGCTCACGATGAGCTTATTTCAAGTATGTACCGTGATCATTTGCTTGCGGCGCTAAAAACACGAAGTCGCATCCTTCTGGGTGGAAAACACTTGAACGTTTGCATATGGATGCAATAAACTTCTAGTCAGTCTACCGTTGGATCTGGCGGCCGTAGTGGAAGCGATTGAGGTAGACGAGGCGGCGGTGCACGAGCTGGTGGTGGCGGAGGTAATGATGGTCAAGATGGACGGGGGCGTGGTGCTCGAGGAGGCCATAGTAGGCAGGGAAAACGTAGTGGCGTGGAGGCGAGGGGGGGGGATATCGTCACTCAGGAATCCGGTGGCCGACCGGCGATAGTTGGCCACGCACTTTCGTCTGATTAGCTTTTCATGGAGGTTTTAGGGTTGTCATCCGTTTACATAAGCCGTTCTACATGTTCTACAACATACACAGGTCATCTCGAGAGACTGAGTTGGACGAACTTTAACGTTTAGTAAGCTGACTCGTTAAAGGTTTCCAGCACTACTCGTACTCAATCCACAGTCTGGGGTAGTCCTGTGAAATTTGAAGATTATGGATTTGACCAAAACACAATTATATCGCACGCAATTGTCTTGTTCTAACACTGTCGTGCGTATTTCACCGATCTTATTAATTTGTGTTGGGTAGGCCTGTCCTACCTAGCCATGCCCTCTTATGGACAGTACAAGAACGAATAGATTGTCAATGTTGATGTCAAGGTACCTAACAGAACCGTCAGTAATGTTAACCAAACCTCAGGATGCGAATTCACGTGGGTGAATTGAAATCGATCCTGCTCTATAATACACGACAGAGTTACTGCGTACAACAAATACATAATCCTAGCCATCGAGGATCTACCCAAGCATCAAAACTTACGTGAGGGTACCGGTTCGAGTGCTGAAAGTAACTTGTACATAATATCATGAATTATCGTCGGGCCCGTGTACAAATGCGGATTTATTTAGCTAACTTGCACTCATTGTTATTTGCGTGCGTGTAGTTACTGGCGCAAAGTGTAAAAGTATTTTGTAGTCGTAGGGTGCCAAATGTTAGAATAATATGTGACGTGCTAAGGTTGTGGATAGCATACAATGACGTCTTTCAGACAATGAAGAAGCAACCACTTTCTTTTTGTGCTGTAAAACGTGTCCTTAATAAGCGGCGCACTCATTAGTATGCTTTCTGCATCAACTACCGTTAGCTGAGACCTTCTTGAAGCTTCTGGCATGATCAATACTTGCTTTGGCTTGTTAACCTTACGTCACGTGCAGGCTCCAGCTCTACTCCGTTTTGCGAATACGGGAAGTTCCATCATAATTGCGCAGTAAATGCTTCAATTTCTCCTTGTAGCCGCTCGTACTACCTCGCCCGACCCTCCGTTTCGCGAAAATGATTCCGGTACACAAGCCCAAGCCGTGTGTGAGCCCTTTAGACTTTCGGTATTAACTTGGGTTGCGTAGGTATACGCAAGTAGTAGCCATCAATAAGTCCCCCACATTGAGGCAGTGGTGTTCTTTTCGTATATCCCAGCAATACGGAGTGATAAACGAGACGACCGATGCAGACCACGTCAACAAATCTCTGCACTATCACGACATTATCTTCGTGCGCGAGCTTGCGATCAAAATTCTTGCAATCACGACCGAACGAAAATGCTTTTGCAGCGTTGAAGGTTTTAAGCGCAACACCTATCTTGAACGTCCATTACAGGCCCGGAGGAAAGTACGATACAACACGTCCATGGAGAAGGTGTCGTGGGCTCTGCCGATTTTCGGCCTGTAACCAACCCTCCCGTTTAAAAGTGTATCCATGCGTGATATCATGGTGGAATGCGCCCTTGCACACGTTCAAATCCCAGTCACATTGACATGGATACGCAGGCTAGTGATGCAATCGACTTGTGTTAACTCTACCGTACAGGCGCCGCAACGTCGTTCGTTCGTAGAGCCTCGTACAGATGATGCGGCGTTTAAGGCACATCGTTGTCATTCCGGTCCCACACTAAGACATTGTGTGCTTTTCGATACACCAGCAAGGGGATACTCCGTATTCACAATTTCGGGGAAGCTGAAACCTCCGTCGACGTATAAAGCAGTAATTTTTGAAATTTTTTCTTGATCACTAAAGTCTGGTAGAATGCTTTGGCCACCTCGGACGTGAAGTTCGAGCCGTTGTCGCTCAGCAACCGCGGCGGCACTCCGCGCCGAGACAACATTCCATTATTCATTACTGCCACAAACTTCACGGAATCCAGGCGTCCCATAGCGAACGATTCAACACTGCAAGTAAAATAGTCAACGAAAACCAAAATGTAGCGATTTCCACGGTCCGTCTCGGGCAGAGACCTCACAGCTCCCACATCGAGCAACGAAAACGGCCCCGTCAGGTCCACGACGGGCGTCTGCTGCATCCGACCAGCGCGCCACGGTCGCGCACCCTTCCCACGGCCATACTTACCACACTCGCGCAGGTATTCTTCCACGTCCTGACGCCACCCAGGCCAATACGCATTATGCCGTACTTCGTCGAGCATCTTCGTAAGGCTAAGGTGCGAAACAGTAGATCGGCATGGCAGAAAAGTAGAACCGTCCCCACGAACGGTAACGGGATCACTGGCACCGTCACCGAACGAGCCGGTCCCACTCGCACCGGACGGTTCACACATCGCATCAGCACTTCGTTCTCCACGTGGAACTTGGCCGCTATCCTCACGACCTTCACCATTAAGTTGGGGCCCGTCGGCAGCGCTCCGTCCGTCAAGAACGCGTTCAGAGCCATCGTCCACGGAGCTCTCCGCTGCTCCAGTCTCACCTGCTTCACATCAAGTCGAAAGAGGTCCACGGACAGCGGAGGGATGTCCGTTGGCGCCGACTCATCTTCTGTAGCGTCTTCGAGCGTCGAAGCTGCAGGCTCTGTGTTCGTCTCGCTGAAATTGTCCCCAGGCGTCAGTGTCGAGCGTCGAGCCCGGCAGCACGTCAGACGACTCCCCGACTAAGTCGTCCGCTACGGTCTCAGCCGGATCGTCCGTGTTCAGCATGTCCTCCCCGACTGCATCTCAGCGTCCTCACCGAGCGCCCTCCACTTGATCGGCTTCTCTGCTTGCCTGCCAGACCCTGCAGCCTGCTTCTTGTCCGCACTTGCCTTCTCGGCGCGTTGCCATCACTGTCCATCCTCCAGAACGCCTCGCTCAGACGCTCGGCCTGCTCCTGCTCCTTGAGAGCCGCGCACCACGCCGCGTAGCCCTACGTGGTCATCATCAGCGGCGAACGCTAGCACGCCGACGCCTCGTACATCCTCCACCACTTGCTAGTTAGGCACACCAGATCGACCGATCCATTTACCAGCAGTAGCCAGTATTTAGACGTCATCGCAGGCTCGCCCTCCAAGGAGACGAACCACCAATCAAAGGCCACGACCACGGCGAACACGCCCCAGCCACGCCCTGGTAGATCCACTCGACGAGCACGTAGGCAAACAACACGGCGTAGAACGCCAAGAACAGGATCAGGCCTACCACAGGTATCCTGTGAAGCTACTGTGTGGCATGCCGCGTACGCCGAGCTCTCAGGATCTTTGATTGCGCGTTTGTTCTGAGCGGTCGGTTTTTTTTTTGTGGGGAACACGCTCTGAATCTACCCAATTCTATAGGGCTCACCAAATGGTACAGAGAGCCTATCCACATCCTATTCCCTCTATAGCTCGATAAGGTTGTCAGTTCATTTCTACGAAAACGTTTAAGGTTTTCTCAGCGAAACCCATTTTTACCTGCATATCGATTATTTTGGGGGCTCCCCTACAATAGGGTTGTTGTAGTATATGGCAGCTCGCCACCAAATACAGCACTAGTCAATTCGAACTCGCGCTCACCAACCACTGCGGCAGCGCAAATCTGTACTGTGCATCGAGTACTCATCCATTCCCGATCATAGGATAGGCTAAAAAAGGTGTGCTCCACAGCATTGTATTAGTGTTGCGCTAGGTGTCACAATGATTCGATGAGCCAAATACCCGCTGAGCACTAACGAATAACGTAGTCGCCAGACAGCAAGACATGCGGCGGGATCTCGTCCCGCCCATTCCAGCTTATCATTCGCCATATTGCTTGGCTTAAAAGCATTGCCTTCGTCGGTTGGTGATGCAACTGTCCCGGTTGCCCAACAGCGGAAAACAAACCGCATATAGCGTCGAGGATGCAACCTCGTCGTACACATCCTCCACGTTAACCGTAAGCCCATCCAGTGTACTACGTCCACCAACTGATTGCCACGGCTCCATAACTCGTGCAACCTCCTCCAGCTCTCACAGCTCAATTTGCGATCGGTAGCATTCGGCACGACCGACAGCGCGTCCGAGGAAGGGCCACGCTTCGTCCGTGAAGTCTACGTGGTGGCTTTCAAAGGTGTAACTACTCCGCCACAGAAAGTCAGTAAGCCGAAATTTGTCTTCAAGTGGTGTCAGCAGCGTGACGCACGCGAAGACCGGGGTTTCAACAAATGCAAGAACCACGTGGATGCAAAGCAGCAACAAGGTCAAAATGCTTATTACAGCGATGCTACTCGGAGAATCCGACGGGAACAAATACACACCATTCGTGAGATTGAAGTCTAAACCTTAGAAGGTCCGTGCGGTTCGAGCTAAGCCTGGGCGGGTGCGTCTCGGGTTGGAACGACATGTTTGGAAGGAAGTCGAAGCCCTTCAGCAACAATATGACGTTCCAATCTACGGGAATAAATCGGCTTGGTGGGCTGACAGCTTGACGATGGAACTCTTGTGCTACCATTTCAGTGATCATAATCTTTCTAACCCCTGCATCGTGCTGCTTCTGGACGACTTTAGCGGCCATCGGGTTGGTGGTATCCTACTCGAGAAAGTGCCTCCTGACCTGATTAAGCCAACCAGCCGATGCTGTAGTGGAGCAGCAAGAAGCGCTGGATGCGTTTCGCGTCATCGATTGAAAGGATATTATCGACTGCACTGATATCTAGCAAGGTTCCATTACATCTGTTTAATCTTGGCAAAAAAATCAAATAATGCTCACATCAAAGGCGAACGGTGAGTGCCGTTGTTTTTACTCACCACTTTTGATATAAGGATTACGGTCGATCTAAGAAACGTTGCCACTACTGATAGTAAAAAAAATGACAGCGAGTGCAGCTCGCCTTGCAATACGAGGTGCGATCGCAATAAAGAGCTTCCATTCTATAATATCGTACCCCGAGAAGGAAAGGAGCGTACCGAACTGTCCATGGTGTCGAGCACAAAGCCACTTTGTAATATACAAAGTACAAGTGCTGTGGGCTTGAGGTGCCAAAGGCAGAAAGAAAGGTCCATGTATCCAATCCTCATCAAATCAGTACGTCCCTCCCCCTCCTAGTGGGTGGCGGCGTGAGGTTTCACGGGAGCCCTGCCCAACCATTAACTTTTTTCGCGCTATGTCAAGATGCCGCCGCGGCGCACGGCGTAATAAATCCGCCATCCCGATCAACGAGATAGCATCGCGCACGTGAGCACGGCAATGACACCCAAAGCTGCATTCCGATATTGATGGCAACGAGGCGGAGGATAACGCGCCACAGACACCAACACGTGGGTACAACAACTGGTACATATTGCCATTTTACGTAAACCTACTGAGCCTTTGCATAATTGGTCACGGTTGGCAGTGATCACAGGGACGAAAAAATGTGAAAGCTTGGATCTGCTGAGAAGAACCAAGCTACGGATTCATGAGGGGGATACGCGAAAGACCAGCATACACATCCCAGTAATTGATAGTCTAAGCAGGTACGACAGAAGCGAATGGCAGGCGCAGTTTTTTGTGTTCTTATTCGTTGATGCGTGTGTATCCAGCGAAGAATCCGCCGCCAACAACGCAAATTCACTCCGCCACCTCCATTACCAGCACAGCCGCCCAAAAAAGGCTCAATATCTCCCAGCACAAGCTATATTCCCAGCAAAACGCGCGGATGCAGCCCGTCCTAGGTATGTACTCACATCATGAATATATAGTATGGCAAGGGCTGATACGCTAACGATATACTGCATACACGTCATGTTTTGAAAGGACAGTGGGTACGCGAGTCTTCGCTGATCCTACCATATCACCGGGGTAATAGCCCATGTCAAAATTACCGAAAATCTAGTGTATTCATATACGTAGGTGCGGAGAAGACGCGACCTAGGTTTTGAAGCAATGAGGAACCGTAACGACACATACAGAGTAGTTCAAGCCAAGTCGTAGTGAAAAACGTTCTTTCCGAGATCTAATAATTTGTACGGTATGCATGGCACTGCCTTGATAATATGTCATTTCCTTCCAGTTTATATATTTGTGATTGTCGGGGCTTCGCACTGATGCGGGCGACCAACGTTGAACTGAAGACGCCGCATTTGCCGCCACTTCTTGCGCTAGCACACTGTTCTTACTAAAAAGAGTGTGACCGTCACCATTGACGAGGTAGCATGGATATCGTAATTTAGCTTGAGTAGAAGTTAATTGTAGCCAAGAAGGTGTCCATGGCGAGTGCAGCAGCTGTTTCATGAGAATGAAGAAGTGTTGGAACCAATGTGTGCATGAGTGTGCATGACCCTACGTAGAGGTCGGTGTAAAGCCGTAAGTATTCGACCAGCAATGCTTCCGTGTCATGTGGTTTACATTCTATATGACGCAATTTCGCACTCGATGACGTTTTGTACGCGTCAAGCAGCAAAGAAACTAACTCTTAGTAAACGAACCGTATCCATATCTGCCACATCAAGCATGAGCTCTACCAATTCCAAGAATCGATGCCAGATAGTCAGCATGTGATCCCATAAACTGGTCAGTCGAATTAACCTTGTATCAAGCTACGGTTAAGATACGTTTTGTGTACTTTTTCACCTGTAAAAATTCCAATTAACGGTTGCTCTAACATGCTTGATTTCAACCAGGTTGATAACAGTTCGTACATAGAAATTTTCAAAATAGCCCCAAAATCAAGGCCGCCGGATTTTTTTCTGTCCTCATTTCAAAGAAACAAATTTGTTGGGGATAAGCGATCCTGCCATCAAAGCCTTGCTTAGAGTACTGGAGAGTTCAAAATGCACTGGCTAATTTCAATTCAACACCGCTCACCACGCCGAGAGCCGAGCACAATAACTCCTTTCTGAAAATAAATTCCCCAAACCGAAGTACACAATTTTACCACATAGTAGTATCTAAACCAAGTTCAAGGGGGACTATTAACTGCGAGTAAGTATGAAATGAGCTACGGATCGGAACGATTTACCATAAATTTGAATTGCTGGGTCACCCATTGTTCACCGTCGTCTGTGCCATTTTGCTGTCGAATCTGGTGTAAAAACGCCCACCGAGGTGACTTTAACTGCAAACATGAGTATTCGAGCTCCGATCAAAATGAGCAACATGATCTGTACTCACGAAACGTATCGGGCGACCGCTCGTACGTAATGCGTTCTGGTCAGTCGTTAATAGACTAACTAGAATATAATTGGAGTTTGATTTTTTCCGTGATTGATGGTACCCCCCCCCCCCCCGTTGGTATAACGGACCATCAAGTCCAAACTTGCCCTCCAGCTAGGGGGAGCGTCTTCTTAAAAGACAACACAAACGAAAATACTACATAATTACTGTCAAGGATAAGCAGTGCTCGTTGCTAGTGCATAGGTTCAATTGCAGTGAAAGCTCGATATCACTTGGATCGATCCACGATAGAGTACTTCACTATGGCCTTCGTTGGGGGTGCTCCCTTCGGCCATACGCAAGCGAAAGTGCATTTTACCACCCTTCAACCAAAACACTCAACTATGGATGTACATCCACTAGTGCACCGTCCTCTCAGATTGGGGGAACAATTCAAAATATACCTGAATTTTACCATGCATTAGTCAATCAGCTCGGTCGTAGAACGGACCCCTGCTACCACGCTGCCGGGCTCGTTGCTACCGCCCGCATGGTAATTGGGACGATGCTGGGCTAGATGACGCCGCCCACGTCACAGGCGGCCAAGACAACGCCCACCGGACTCGATGATAGCTTCCACGTCGGAGTCGGCCACGATGCGGTCGCCCAGACCCTCGTCGTTGTTGGTCAAGATATGTTGTTATGTTGTTTAGAGATCATGGCGAGCCTGGATGGCGTTGAAGAAGGAGGCTTCGACCACGTTCCGGTCGGGGCTATTCAGCTGCTGGAAGCGCAGCCTCAGTTTGCGGCCCTGTACTTGTGTCCGCATCAAGAGAGGAGACGTCGCCTCATTGCAGAAGACGGACAGCATCTCGCGATTCAATGGCGCAATCACGGCACGATTTACCGGTGGTTTGAGCGGATACGACGGCATCTAGAGGTAGGCAAAGCAGTAGCAAGTCCAAGCGCCATGCTACGCGGCGGCGGCCTCGCCGAGCTACCATATCCTTTCTATCGTTTCGATGGGGGGGGGGGGGGGGGGGCTAGAGAGCAAATGGATGTAGCAATGGAAGTCGTAAGTCATCGTCTGAAAGCGGTAGAGTTAGACGTCCGAGTCGTGGAAGCGGTCAATCTAGCTGGGTACTTAAGATCTGGAGGGGTAGCTGTCACTTATCACATCGTTTTGGTGCCTTCGTACGGGCTCCTTCGTGGGATGATATGAACCTTTAGTGTTTTGCTGAAAAATAGATGTGGGCCACCTCGATTCTTCAGTGCTAAAACATTTTCCTTCTCACCAGCCACCTGTGCCCTCACCACGTCTGCGTTATATTCCTGCTCGGACTTACTACTTTCCGTATTGCTCGTTCGTTTCCGCTTCCTTTTGCCAGCACTGGTTGGTAGTGCGCGCTCCCGTGGGCGGCCACGGCTTGGTGTCGTAGGGGCGTCCACAGATGTTGGAGGACCGGCACTTGTAGTTGGACTCGATGTTGGAAGTGCGGCAGCAACAGCCCTTGAAGTTGGCATCGATGTTGGAGGACCGGTACAGGAAGCACCTGAAGTTGCTCTCATCATGGATTCGCTTTCGTCTTCCTCATCGCTCGATCCCAAGTCGGCAAGAAGCTGCATATTGCACGTCATATCGGTCAGCGTCGGATGCCCGATCCGCTCGACATCCCCGGTGGCTGCAATACAAACATAATCACAACTGTTAGGGATCAATGTAAGTAACCTCGATATAAAATGCATACCTGTCATCGGCTTCTTTTGCTTCATCTTACCCGCCGCCGTAGCGCCGCCAAGAGCCGTGTCTTTCATCGCCACCAGTGCCGCGGAATCCTTCTCCGCCGTCTGCGTCGACGACGCCTCGCCGGTTGACCATAACGACGCCCTCTTTCGCAGTTCCTCTCTATTCGTAATAGATGGGGAGCGCGGGGGCGCTGGCTCGTTCGTCCGTCGGATGCGCCGCTATCGGCGCTGCATATTTACCACCTTCTTCTTCTCAGCCGCAGTCATTTGGCGCTACGGCGCCGTCCCAGCAGGTACCACCATGAGCTTGCGTGTTTCGCTGTAAAATCCCCAAATGAAGTGGGGGATCTCAGAGGCCATTCGTTTTGAGGCGTATTGTCTTTCTCCCGCCTCCTGTTCTTCCCTAATCTTTCTCCGGCCCCCCCCCCCCCCCCTCACCTGTGCATCGGATTTTCTGCAACACACAAAAATGACTTGAATAAAGTATGATATTATTTTCTATACAAACATCTAGTCAAATTATCAATATGTTGGAGCTCCAACATGCGTAGAAGCAGTGTTTTAGGGTTAATCGAAGCTATACATCCGTTATGTTGGTGGATCCAACATATGGGGTTGAAGGGTTAAGACTCAGGACGAAACGGCCCAAACAGGTGTTCGCTATCGATTTTCTTAGCAAACCTGCTTCGCCTTAAACGTGTAGGGGGCACCGAAAGACTTCTTAGACTAAGGTATATTTAATTTTGGTGTTTGCTTCTGAGTGAAACCCGCATCCGCATTCCCGACGATGTTTGACGTTTCCTTGGGTGGTCTTTTTTAACCACATACATGATAAACCCGAGGAAACGACAAAAATCAAAACGCGTTTAAGCCCAAGTCAAAATATCAAAATATACACGATCCAAACGCGGCTATCCAAGTACAAAGATGCGAATTCAAATAGCAACAAGAGCCCGCCGTAGACGGGGCCATCGTGGTAGCTTGATGAGGAAATTTGTGTGTTTTGTTTTTGAATTGAGGATCATTATTGTCAGTTAGCTAATGCGATCGCTAACGACTACTAAAGACCGGGGGCCTCACCTTTGCAAAGCCTCACTAGGGAGGGGGCTCTCTGGACCAGAGTCAGCTTGATGACGAAATGCAACGTTGCTTCGGAGGAAGGGCCATATATTGCACGAGGATGCACCCGCCGCTCCTATATAAATGTTGCAAAGACGATCACGATAGCATTGATGGTTATATTGTTTTTGAAAGACAATTTCAAATTAAATCAATCTAAAAGTTAATCCAAGCTAATCTCATGTTGTATTACTTATCTTGTTCTTGTTTCGGCATCTTAGTAAATTAGTGTGAAGACAGTCTGACGCGACAAAGTTGAAAGATCCGCGATTCCACTGATCATGCTACCCACTCATACTAGCCGGTGCTTGCTTCGGCCGCCGAAGCTCCACAATAGACCTCCTTATTTTATCCAGGTAGTGTAGCACGTCCAAACCGCAGTCTATTGTGTTCGACTGCTGTGGCTTCGTGTGGATGATATCACATTTCCATGGTGCCCGTTCCAATGCTGAAGCCTGGCGCTGGATTGTAGGGCAGTTTCAACCACAAACAGGCTCCAGTGGCGGTCTCCAGAGACCAGAACCAGTACAAATGGGTACATGCCTCACTTCAATACACCGCACAGCGTGTGTAGTCACTCCTGCAAGTCCGTAGGCTTTTTAATTCTCTGGACCTGTCGGATGGCCGAGAAAAAAATACGTGCCACAGACGTACACCATGCCTCTCATTCGTGGTATGCAGCGGAGAATGAAAAAAATCCATAACAGTCTCGCTGAGATATTATCCATGCTTCAGGATTTTCATGTCGTCACCATTTATCGCAATATAGTCTGAACCGTTGCTCCAACCCAAAACCAAACATCCCTTCGAGTATTTCTCCCCGAAAACCGGTTGAGTTGCTGTACGGCTTCGGATACCACGGCGTTAGCTTGACGGCCATCCATCACGAGCGACAAGCTTCGCCCTAAGCGTTAGCCCCACTGTCACTGACATTCACGGCACCTTGATACCCCCCCCCCCTCCCCCTCCATCAGGAAGTATTGCTTGATCGGTAGGATGTACAGTGGAGTCAATCGATGCTAGCACGGTCAGGTTTTCGGTCATTAAATAATATTTAATAAATTCTTAAATTTGACTTGTCCTCGAGAAACTCCGTCAATGTTCAACAGAACGCCAGCAGCTCCTTAAAAGCGGGGCACGTTTCTTACTCATGCAGTAACAAACCTCATTTCCTTCGTAGGGTTTCATTCAGCGCTTTTTTGGAGTCTGAGCCAACGCAAAGGTCATCCCAGTAGCGGTTGTATCAGTCTTATAGCGTAGAGGAAAGGACTCCGATCCCTTCTGCAGCGTCTTTGAGGGTCTAACTTGGTTTGGTTTCCCACTTCCTGAGAAGCTCGATCCTTTCCCGCTCAGTGCGATGCGTTTACGCGCAGTTGGGGATTGGATTGTGCAGGTAAAGCGCTTATGAGAACCACTCAATCCAAAAGAATCAGAGCGAATATCTGATTCTATCGAGTTAGTTTTGATCCAAAAATATAGATGAGTTTGTATGCGAACAAGCGGTAGCTACCGCGATACCATACTACAGTAGGTACCGCGAAGTTACATTACGGGTAGCTGCATTTACCGTGGAAATTTCAGTTAATCCCGAGTGCGGAAACGGCTTATGGTCGTAGCTGTACTTAATATTGTATGTCCTTGGTCGGCAGACCAAGCTCGTGGACAACTGAATCTACGTGTTGAGACAACCAGTTGGGCGATTTTTAACGGGTACAACGGAGGCTGTCAACGCGCTTGATCGCCTCTTCGATTGCCTCGTACTTCTCGAATGCCTCGTGACTGCAAACCCGGGTAGCAATATTGTTTAATCTAATCTAATATTTTCCTTGTCGGTTAAAGAAGCGTATTTGGTGATCGCCACACCACGCGGTACCGAACTCTAGCTCCAGCTTCTCAACAACATAGCTATCAGGGCAGCCACATATCCATTCGGCCCACAATTCACTAGCCGATTGAATACCCCGGCTGAGTCTGTAACAGGTAAGCGCGGAAGGTTCGCTGGGTGTACTGTGAGCTGTACTACTTTTGCAAATGCTGATCCGCTCCGGAGTGGGGCAAGAACTTCCATGACATCAGCTACACTTTCACCAACTGCACACAGGCTATTTCGAATCCTATTCAATGACGTTATCATTTTCTATCAAGCGATTAATTCAGGGGGGGGGGGGGGGTTCAAGCGGACTCTCTGTGGAGCCACCTACATGGGTCGTTGCATTCTTTATTTCCACCTGAAATTGATTAAAATCGTAACTCTTAAAGATTCCATTGTTCCACATCGGGTACTCCAATATTTGCTCGGAAAAATCATCACAGCATCCTGCAGTATTACAGTGCATAGATACTGAATCAGCTCGAGAAAGCCACTAGCTGCGGTTGACAGCTCACATTCACCTGCAGTCGTCTTTGTATACTCCTCAACCAACGGAAAAAATGCGTTTTTGAAGAGCTTGGGGTGCATCAACGTAAGTACTTGCTTGGAAAAACCTATCTGTGACAGGCCACTGTCACACAGGCGCCACCGCGTGTGCGCGGTGGCCAATCAGAGCCCACTATAGGTTTAACGGCTGGGACGGTCTCGAGTGCCGAGACCGTCTCGGCACTTAATACCAGAGTTCAATTTGCCTACTACTTCCTCTGCTTGTGTAAGCACGTAACGGGCTGCTGTTAGCCCGTTACACCTGGTAACACTTCGCTAATCCGTCCAACGCCCAAGATCGTGATGAACATGAACGACACGTCGATGCCTGACGCGTCACGGACGACTGCAACTTCACTGGAGCACGCCGGCTTTCCTCACCTGTCGGCGATCGAGTGGGAGGCGCTACACCGCCTCGCAGCGAGCTCGCGCTTTCTCCTGTCCAAACTGGCGGGGAAGGCGAAGGAGTCGGCGCTCGGCAAGCTCGTGGCTGACGCTTCCTGCTTCCCGACCATGGTATCGATGAAGGCGGACTTGCGGCTCGCGTTCGAGCCGCCCCGAGATGAAAGCGTTCAGCGCTCCGCCTTCCTGGCGTTGAAGCAAGGACGCATGTCAAAGCTCGAGTACATCCAGCGCGCACGATACCTTGTGTCGTGCATCACGACGTATCCCGTAGACATGGCGACCCAAGTCTACGTCTTCATCCTCTCCGGCATGAGCGCTGGCTACCAGCGCTTCTACCTGACCCGGAAGACCCCACCGACACTCAAAGAGGCCTTCGCTGTTGCGCTCCGTGAAGACTGCAGTGTGACGACGTCTCAGTCTTTCGATGTCGCTCGGGCTCCGGTGCCCGAGCCGGAGCCGATGGAGGTGGATGCGATTCAACAGTTAGGTGGACGTCGGGTGCCGACATCATCAGCAAGGCCACCTACGGCCTCGTCAACGCGCAGTCCCCGCACGATGCGCTGCTACCGCTGTGGGAAACCTGGACATCGCGCGGCTATTTGCCGCGCTCCGGCGCCGATGCCGGCGAACGCCACGGTCGCGAACGACGTCGCCGCAAAAAAACTGCGACAACCAGTAGGAGCGGGGCGCCCTACTGGTCGTGGAAGGAGCGATGGTTCTCTGGTGGCAGAACCTCCTCCTAGCCCTCCCGTGCTTCATGCACAACTCTTTGCCACCACCTCCGGCAGTGACACGAGGCTGATTTTGCTCACCTCCACGTTGACAGCGCGACGCGCCCTTTTCGCGCGCTGCTGGACTCGGGCGCGACGAATAACTTCGTTCGCGCCGAGAGGTTGTCGGTGTTACCGGCGGACATGAACATTAGCGACGGGCCTGGTGACATGATCGTGAAGTACGCTTGGCGACCTTCGCGTACGAGTTCGACGGGTTCCGCAGTTCCGAGGAGTTCTTGGTGATCGAGCTGAGCGGCTCGTTTGACTGTGTCTTCGGCATCCCGTGGCTCGCTCGCCACCAGAGATCAACTGGCTGACTGGCACAGTCCGCCCCCGAGACATTGATGTGAATGCAGTATTGGCGTTCCTGTGCGGAATGCCTAACCAGTGCCGTCATGGACCCCGTCTCCATGACTCATGCTTCGCACGAAGCGAGCGATGGCCCTTCGTGTGCGGTGTGCGAACTCGCAACCTTCGCCGGTCCTAAGCAGGAGCCTCAGGATGTGTCTGACGTGGTCGAGCATGCGTTCCCACGTCCCGATGAGCAGCGGTTCTCGGAAGCAGACAATAACGTGGTCGAGCCACGTCAGGGCGAGAAGCTGTTCTCCAACGTTGAAGAGCGAGAAGATGTGGTTGAGCGTGGCCTCCCACACGCGGTCGAGCATGGGTTCCCGTGTGTGGTCGAGACTCCCTGATGAAGTTGACCCGGTCGTGTCCAATGACCCGCGTCCAGGCGCCGACGTTGTGTCCCGGCGCCCCAGTTCAGCGGCCGTGATCGAGCATGGGCTCTCATCGGCAACTGCGGACAACACTCCACGTCCGGCTCGACAACGCGGACGTCGCAACCCGCGCCGCCCTCGTACCCCATCGGCGGACTCGGTTGAGGTTGAGGCTGAAGTGATCTCAGTCCTGGTGGGGGACGACGCGGAGGCGGCTCCGCGTGTACGCGACGTCGAAGTCGCACGTCCACAGTGCGACGCAGCCGAGATCACTCGGCTGCCTGGGCTCTCGTGGAAACACTTCCTCCGTGACCTGGAGCAGGGCGAGATCGAGCAGGTGTGCATGATCGTCGCCGAAGACGCCGAGTCAATTACGGCCGTCGCAACCAGTGCATCGGACCCAGCTTCCGACGCTAGGACGCGCCCAAAAAGAGCCGAGCCGAAGAACGCCCGTCAAGCCCGCTACGCAGCTCAGTCGTTGCCGGCGCTCGAAGCGGCCGGCAACCAAGTCGCTCCGCTCGTGCGCGAGTTCATGAAGATTTTCCCGGACAAGGTTCCAGCCGTTCTTCTACCCGACCGTGGTGTTCGGCACGAGATTGACCTCGAGTCCGGTGCGAAGTACTGCGTGACGCGGCAGTGGCCGCTTCCTCGCGACCAAGTCGAAGCCATTGACGCCTTCTTCGAGAGTCGCCGGCAAGCCGGCCACTTCCGCGAGAGTCTCTTGCCGCACTCCAGTCCGACGTTCTGCGTGAAGAAAGCAACCGGCGGCTGGAGAATCGTCAACGCCTTCAACAAGCTCAACGAGGCCACCATACCGGCGCAAACGCCGATGCCGAGGAAGGACATGGTGCTGGACACCATGTCTGGCAGCACGAAGTACTGTGCCATTGATCTGATGGATGGCTTCTATCAGATCTTGAAGCGCGAAGACAATGTGCCGCTGACAGCGGTCAGCACGCCCAGCGGGATGTTGTGAGAATGGCTCGTGATGCCGCAGGGGCTCAAGAACGCCCCCGCCACCTTCAACCGGATGTTGTCCAACTTGCTTCGGCCGTATCGAGACTTCGCGCCCAGCTACTTCGACGACATCTTCATTCACAGTCGTGCCGAGGACGGCATGACGGACGTTAAGGTCCACCTACTACATCTGC